GCTCCCACCGTTTTTTTTTTTTAAAAAAAAAGAAGAAGAAGAAGAAGAAGAATACGTGGTTCATCTTTATATCATTTTATTTTGAAAAAAGAAATGATTTTTTTTTTTGGGTAATATTCCATGGAGTGCCAAATCCATAGGAAAATCGTCACTCGTCACACAACAACGTAGAAATTGGTCAATGCAGCACCAAGTATTCAAGAAATTCTAGCGGTTTTGCTGAGATCTTAGTGGGCATTTCTTACTGGATTTTACTTTGGAATTTCTTCCGTGTTGATCTATGTTAGCTAGGTTCTTCAACAATTCCTTGTTCTGTCATCTTTTTTTTTTCCCTGTACTTTTACTCTTGCAATTTGAACTAATAAAATTAGCGTCTGTTTTTTTCCCGAAATTATTATCTTGTTTATTATATTATTGATTGTTTTGGTACAATAAAGAAGTGGTATAATAGAAAAGACACTAATTTTGAAATAGGGTGATTAGTTGATTATCTCCATCACTGTAGATTCGTACACATTTCATGCAATATTATTTCTCCCAGTTTCACATAAGTCAATTTTATTTACTTAGCTTTAATATTTTTTCTAGAAATTAAATAGTTACCTAAAAAATACCTTTTCTCCAGAAAAAAAGATTAAACTAAAAATTAATAAAGGCACGAAAGTGTTGGGGAATTTTTTTTTTTTAATAGGAGTATGAGAATTCACTTTTATTTAGTATGTGGAAAAATTATAATTTGGAAGAAAAATCGGATACAAACTAATACGATCATCCTCGTCCTAATCTTCAAAGTTTCCGTTCATTTTTTCCCACTTTTTCTTGAAAACGCTCAATTTTTTTAATTAACTGGTATTCATTTTAGGAGGATAAGGACAAAGCCCTTAGTCAACTATGGCATCTTACTGTTGGCCAACTGTTTTTTTTTTAACAATATTTTTTTTTAATTCTTTTTTGCAACCATAATTGATCTTGCAGTGTAAATGTATAACAGCCATATTGTCTTGACTCTTGATTTTGCATGGAGATTTTTTTTTTGGGTACAAGAGAATATTTTATTGCATCATAGTAAAATTTGATGCAAAATAATAATAAATAAATAAAAAGTATAATTTGAGAAAGACAATAGTATTTTTTTTTCTTTGTCATTTCTGATATAGACCGTACATGGTTCAATGAAAAATTGTTATATCAATAGTAAACACGTTAAACTAAAAACATAGTTTTAGTAAACCAAAAAAAAAAAAAAAAATAGTCTTACTGTTAAGCTCTCTCCTTTTGAGAGAAAGAGTCGTCCCCATTTTTACATGTTTAACCCGCCATCCATTATGAATTTTGCCAAAGATGATTTATCTCCTATTGTAGTTTGCAGGCTATTAAAGTGGGCGTAAGTTTACCCATCTCTCGTGGGGTTCTTGGCGTTACCAACAAGAAAAAAAAAATCTAACAAGTTTCTCTAAGAGCATCACTTATTAGGTTAGAAATAAATGATTTCACATTCCTCTTTCTTTTTTTTTCTTTTTTTTTCATCTGAAACGGACATTCCTCTTTCTTTATGTACAATGAAAAAAACAAGAAATGATTATTTTTATGAAATGAGAAATAGTATATCGGTTCATTATATATAGTCTCTTATAATAGTATCAGTTTGATACAGATACTCTTTGGAAATGACAAGGAAGTAAAGTTCAACATTGAAGAAAACATTTGGAAGAAAAAGAAAGAGGGAAATTTTGGAATTCTCCTTCGCACCTTTGGGAATGCTCTCAAAGATACGCGTTGTAAACATTTTTTTGGTGTTTTGGCTCATTGATTTTTCAGAGATTAAATAGTTGATTTGATTTGTGGATTCAAAACATGATTTTCCTCATTACTTTTTTGGGTCCTTGAAAATAAAAGAAAAAACTCATTACTCCATCCATAATTTTTTTTTTCTCAAACTCTATATGTATATCATTTTTTATTTACTGCTATTACTCCTGAACTTACCAAAGTCAAATAAAGGCACAGTCTTAAAACCAAGGTTACAGAGAACACCGGCTCAACGGGCTTGTTACCTGTTGGACTAATTGAAAATTAGACTTGAAAAATGTGTGGTTTAGCCCGTAAATGTCATTGATTGATCGATTGTGATTACTTAAGTTCTAACAAATGGAACTTCGTTGCAATTAAGATGTCTTGTGACCTTTTTAGCAGGTGGTATAATCTCATTCTTGAACAAGAAAGGCGACGAGATTGTAAGAACTATCGTTAGCGATTTCCTTTTTGTTTCGAGTTTTTGTATATTGCAGACTGTCTACGATAAAATGTTATATGCTAGTCTTATTCAATGATCTCTATTATTTAAGTATCATTAAAACTCGAAACAATAATATACATCCGGTGACTAAGTACAATGATAATATATAAATGACAAATGAAAAGACAAATACACCATCCACTTGCTAAATATGTCTATTTATTAATTAAGAGTAAAAATGTAATTTTAAGGGAAAAATAAAACTTCAACGGGAAAGGAACAAAAAACTAAACCATAATTATTTCACATCAGTCATTATATTTTGTCACTATTTTCATTCACTAAGAATATCATTTACCAACTTGAAATATTAAAACACATTGAACGAGTGTGCAAAAGTTGGCCAAGGCGAGCAAACGGAAAGGAAAGGGCAGCAGCCCTAATTTACGCTACGCTCACCAAGTTGGGAGGAGCCATGATTGAAATGAGCAGTATCCCTCCAGCCTTTATTGTTAGCAGACAAGAGGGTTACTAGTTGTTCTTATCGTGGGACTAATTTCCATAAATGTAAGATGAAGAATTCCATGAAACTGGAACTCTGGAAAGCGTAAAAGACTGGAACGTTTTGAAAATTAAAAACAAGGTGAGTTTATTAAGTATTGTGTAGTTGTTGGGTTAACTTGTTAAGAAGGGGTTCGATTGTTTCAATCATGCATTTTACTATTTTACTATTTTAGCCGACATTTTTTACCCCCGCTTTGGAAATTTCGATAAAGCAAATAAATATTCCTCATTTCCACTTCTTAGATGGTCAGTTACTTTCTTATTTTCAATAAACGGAAGAAGTTCACAGCAACTACACTCGGCTTATTCCTGTCCCCATTCCCCACGTTTCCTGGGAACGAGACAAAACCAATCTTCCTAATCAGTCATGCAAATCAATCAGATACAGTTTCAAGTTGGTCTTAAGAAAAAAAGAAAAATACACTTTTCCATCTTTATTATAAAGAATTTTTAAATTTTCTCTTAGGTTTATTTATAATCATATAAAGTTTTTTAAATTTTCTCTTAGTTTTATTTATAATTATATAGAAATAGTAGTGGCAGGATATTTAAAATTTCATACAACAATCACAACGTAAGTCTCATCCACGATCTTCGTATTATGAACAGATTTTTGTCACCTTCTGTGATTACTATTCCTTATGTTTCAAGATGAATATCCAATTCAAATTTTCATTTTTAATACAATTTGTAATAAAAATAAAAATCTAAACTAAAAATTATTTCAACAACAAAAGAGTTTCTCGGTTTCAAAAGATATTACTTTTACCCATAAAAATATAATAAGGTTGACACTTCAAATAAACACTCGTATGAATATGGGGTACGTAAAACACGTTCTAGTATACATATGTAGGATGGACACTGTCATCAAAGAACTTTCGATGGTTAATCCTTGTTATATCAGCAGGTACTACGGCAGTCAATAGTTAGATCACCACATCAATTTTTTTTTTTCAATAAATTGAATCCCATTGGTTAGGGCTGGTCTTATTTGAATACACACTATAACAAAAATGAGTAGTTTAGACACTTTTTTATGTCTCAATAAGTGGTGTAATAGGAAACATGTGATTCACATTGCGTGGCACACTACTAAATAATGTCTCCTATAATCGAGTCACAATAAGTCATAAAACATTTGAAAGTGTATTATTAGATTGTCACTTATTAAGACACTTTAAAGTGACTCATTAAGTAGGGTAATAGTTCACAAGCAACTCCACATAGTACACTTATGATAGTGTTTCATAATATGCATACCCTGTTTCATAATATGCATACCACTATAAAGGTATTAATAGCCCATTTTTGTTGTAGTGACATATAGTATAGTACTTGAAATCCATTTGAACAATCTATTATAATATTAAATTGATTAAAAACTGATTCAAATGTACCTACAAATTTTCCTGTAAAATCCGTGTGACAAATTAAGCATAGTAAAAAGACGAAGTAGTCGGTCACTGCTCTCGTCAGCAAATAGCCAAAGTTAATATATCTACAATACATACTATTCTATTTTCTTTACTTTCCGTACAATTTTTCCATAATGTTGTCGTCACCAAAAAATTATGCCATCGCATCTAACAGCTTTAAAGTTTCCATAATTTTAATCAAATAATAAAGTGACTTTTTTATACAAACTTTCCCTACTTTGCCGTTGCTAACAAACTGGACCTTTGTCTGACTGAATAACAAATTTTTTTATTTTTTATTTTTTAAAAAAGAATAACAAAGTAATAATATCTCAATAATTCATAATCTACGTCTTCGTGAGACGTTGACCAATTCAATATTCTTTTTTCCTTCTTTTATCATTTTTCCCATTTAATAAAACATTTCCAATTTCTTTTTAGGGCCTTTGTTTTCATACTTCAACAATCTCTCTCTCTCTCTCTCACAGAAGCATTTCTAATTTCTTGATTTGTTCATTATTCCCGCCTTTCTTTTTGTTAACTGCCACGAACCCATCTAATCTCTCTTTCTTTCTTCCCCAAAAATATCCTCTCACGTGCTCTGTTGATCCAGAACTGTTCTTTTGTTTCTTCTCCTTCTTCTTCTCTCTCTCTCTCTCTCTGTGTCTGTGTCCGAAATTCTACTGTTTCCCTTTTGCCTACACAGAGAGACGCGTGAATTTTCAATTTTGGTGTTTGGTACTGTAGTTGTACTTTGTTTGTTTTGCAAAAAGTATAATAATATGATGGTTGCCAGAAAAAGTAGGGATTTTGGCGGACAGATCTTTGTGGGCATTTTCTACTTGATTGTAGTTTTGAATTGCTTCAATGATGGGTTCAGATCCCACGCTCAATCATTGCCCCCGGATGAAGGTATGCTGTAGTTCTTCTCTGTTCTTTCTTGTTTCTGTTCAGTTTCATGCTTTTTCAGTTTCAAATGTTGAATCTTTGTTCCCTCAATTTTACTGTTCTTTGGCTGCTTGATAATGCAATATAGCAGAAAGAGTTCTGTTCACTTTTATCAGTCTTTCCTTCTCTAAAGTTTGTTTCTTTTATCTTGAATCCCCCTGAATTAGAAAGTTGAACGTTGAAACCTTTGCTTAAATCCACCTGGGCTCGCCTATTTTTCCTTTGATCATACATAAATCACCTTGGTTCGGATCAATCACTAATTGAAAGTCTTTCTCCTCCTTGAAAATGTGGTGCCCAATTGCAAATCTTTACTGACACAGAAAGAGGATTATCTTACCCTCATATTGCATTTGGACTTCCAATTTTCCCCTTATCTTTTGTTGCATTTAATTTCTTAGAGATGGACGAGCATGTTTTGTATCTTTGCAGTCCCACAAGCCTTAATTGGTCTATTAGTCTATCCACTTGCACTAAAAATCATAGAGTTGCGGTCCCCTTCTGTGATTACTTATCCTATGACCAAATTGAGGTGTCTCCTTATGTGATTTTGCCTCCAAATATCATTTAGCAAAGAGTTGATCAATGTTTACAGAGGCATAATTATGTTTAAACCCATGTTTTTTGATTAAAATAACCATGGGGTCCAGAGCTGCCGGATGCTAGCTTATACTTTATTCATTTTGATGGAAACCCTTTTGGACTTTGGTTCTGGTGACGTGTACCAAAACACCTTTGAAATTCATTTGATAACATTGTTGCAGACTTGCAGGCTGTATAAAGGTTTCTGGAACTGTTAACTGTGGTTTTTTTTTCTTTTTTTAATACTAGTAGTTATGGCTTTGGATACTAATTAACAAAAGCATTTGCCAACGTTCTTCTCTTTGATAGTACAATTGTCAGAGATTGAAACTGTATGAAGAATTTTCTCTGTGTATTCTCCAAAACTTAAGCCAGAACGTTGTTTGGTAGAAGCATAATTATAATAATAATACTCTGGGTTTTGACCAAGTCAAACGTTATAAATTAATCTGAATCTTGCTGGGCCGGCAGCTTTTGACATTTCTGTGTGTGGATGGAAGAGAATCAAGAGATATAGATATTATCATAAGCTTTGTTATGAAGGAATAGCAATTTTGAAAATGGATGTATAAGTTGAATGGACTATTATGGTCAATAACTGTGATTATCGTGGAGGACTGATCGCTAATGTAACTTGTACTTGTATTTTGCATATTTATATTACTAAATCTGAAAAACTTTCCATGAATGTGTGTTATTTTGCAACCCAAAATTGGGGTGCATTATAGAAGTAAATTTAAGAGGAAGAAATATCATTGACTAAGGAAATTTTGAGATTGTTATCACTACTAGTTTCAGGCAGAAATGTACTTTTCCTGTAATTTGTCCTCATAAAGTTTGACCTCAGTATATCAACTGACAACATTGCAATCTGAAATATTGCAGTGCAAGTTCTTGGAACAATAGCCTCGAAGCTGAATAACCCATACTGGAGTGTGACCAACACCTCTTGTAATAACGGTGTTGGTCTCAATCGGACCTTCACCCCTGACTTCTATAGTTGGGTGATTTGTGATTGCACTTTTGACAACAATGCTACCTGCCATGTGACAAGCATGTAATCTTCATTCTCTTCGCTTTTGCTATTGTTATAATTATTCATAATGAGTACCATTATTTTGTTCTTAGTATTGGATATCAAGTCTGGTGTGCTGTGCATCAGTTCCATACTCATCCTAATTCGAGTTCTTCTTTTGGTGACACAGTCAGCTGAAAGGTCTGAACTTGACTGGAATTTTGCCTACAGAGTTCTCCAATCTTACTCAGCTGCGAGTGATGTAAGTTTAGAGGTTCATGGTTGATTGACTTCAATTTGAACAGGTTATGCCATTGCGATTTTAAAACTGGGACTTCAGTGGTCTTATTGATTATTAACTTCCGTATGCCAACATGTAAAGAATCAATGTCCATTATCGATATTTTTCATCGAAAATACTAGCTAATTATGTAGTGCTTGAAAAATTAGCCCATCTTTCTCATGCCTAATATTCTTTTGAAAGCGGAAGGAATTCTATTTGAACAACATGAATGTTTGTGCAAGTTTCCTGCTTAACCTTTAGTTCAGTACTTATTCATTTCCTTGAATGAGAAGAACTTCAAAGGATTTTCATCATGAGTTAGGTGGCGTGAAGTAGAAGTATGTAGCCTGTACCTTGTCAACTAGGACTAGCATCTATAAGCATCAATGTAAAATGGCTTTTCTTGTTGGATTACCCGTTCAACCTTATTTCATTCTCATTTTTATAGAGATTTGACTCGAAACTATATCAATGGAACAATTCCTCCAAGTTTTTCGCGGCTTCCTCTTACTAATTTGTAAGTACTGTATCAGTTATTTTTGCATCATCATCTCAGTTAAGCTTCAGAGTGCATACACTAACAACTACTTCAACAGATCACTTCTGGGGAATCGAATTGGGGGTACTATCCCAAAGGAAGTCGGTGATATATCTAGTTTGCAGGAGTTGTAAGTCGAGGGAATCATGTACAATTCATTGATTTCTTAAGATAGTTGCCGATACTTTATTGTGGGTGATTTTTTTTTCCAGAGTTTTGGAAGATAATCAGCTTGAAGGACCTCTTGACCCACATCTTGGAAGCCTTAGTAGTTTGAGGAGGCTGTAAGATATATTTCAACTTAGTTTGCCCTTCTGAACTTTCAGTTGCAATTCATTTTTCCCTTAAATGGTAGTTACTTGTTTATCATGATGTTAGTCTTTGTGCAGGTTGCTTTCTGCCAATAACTTTTCAGGACCAATACCAGAGACGTTTGGCAATTTGAAGAATTTGACAGACTTGTAAGCCTATGCCATATGAGTAGTTAAAGATTTTTACTCATTTTTAGGTTTAAAATGTGAAAAATGTTAGCTACTTTTCTTTGCCATCTATTTTGGATCTTAAAATAGTGCCATTATGTATTTGAAGCTTTTTGATTTTGCAGTAGGATGGATGGAAGTCCAATTACTGGAAGGATACCGGATTTCATTGGAAACTGGACAAGCATCCGAAGATTGTGAGTATACTTGATGAAATGATAGACTCTGTTTGTTTCTCTGTGCTCCTTAATAAAACATGCATGAATAAATTGGTTGCAGGGACATGCAAGGCACACAAATCCAGGGACCATTTCCTGCTGCCATTTCCCAGTTAAAAAACTTGGTTGAGATGTAAGACCTGAAATTTGTCCAGACATTGGTTGCTTTTTTGTTCACGCAACATTCTCTGTGTAGTCTAACATTTCTTTTTCCTTGTAATATCAGAAGAATTTCTGATTTGGGTGGTTCAAACTATGCTTTCCCAAATCTAGATGGTGCAAACAATCTGCAACTACTGTAAGTAGTACATAACTCTGAGGTTGGAATATACATTGATCGTCGTTGACTATATTCAGGTGCTTATATTTTATTTCATGCCCATGAGGTGATGCAGAATGCTGAGAAATTGCTCGATTGTAGACACCATACCAGAGTACATAGGAAATATGGTCAAGCTGAAGACTATGTAAGTTTGATCCCAGCTTCTAGAGAAGATTTTTTTTTTTTTTTCCTTTTTGGTACTACTCGATCTTTTTGTTTGTAACCTTGATGCTCTTTAATAAATATGAAGCCATAAATGTGTTTGATTTTTGCTTGTACTAAATGGGCCTTGCTTCCATTTAATTAACGTGTTTAGAGTAAAGATTTTGCACTGGAAATTGAACTCATCACTTCCTGAATTTTATTATAATCAAATATGTATTCTTAGTGGTCTGATCTTTACTACTTTGCTTCTGCAGTGACCTTAGTTACAATAACTTGCGGGGTCCCATCCCAAATGCATTTCAGAGCTTGAATTATGATACTCTGTAAGTTAATATGCAATTATCAGGTCTACCTTGAAGGTTCTGCTTCTTAGTTTTGATTTTTCAAGGGATTGGTAACTTTTATACCATTAGTCTGTTACTTTTAAAATGTAACTTAACAATGTTTTATCTGGGTGTAGCATTCTGGCTTCTAACTCATTAAGTGGAGAGATACCCTATTGGATACTGAACAGCAGAGAGAACATGTTGGTACCTTTCTCCTTAGATAAATCTTAGCTTTAGTGTGTAATTATCTGTATATGAGCGCATTTGGAGAGGGCAGAAAGAGGGACATTTCTGACAGATTCCATCTTCATTGTTGCTGGCAGTGATTTATCTAACAACAATTTTACTGCATCAGCAGGAGGAGGCTGCCAGTCTTCCTCTCTGTAAGTATGTTCATTAGTTGTCGTTCTGATATTGATTTTTTCATCTTTTAATTTGGAGAATTTTTACTTTTAACAGGAACCTTGTTTCCAGCTCTTCAAGTTCAACCAGTAATTCGTGAGTCCTCAGCACCAACTCATCTTCTTACATTAAATTTTGGTTTAGATGTGGATTCAGTGGCTTGTTGATGACCTTAGTTATATGTAATACAGAATTCTTTGGTGCTTGAAGAAGGATCTTCCTTGTTCATCAAAATCTCGATGTATGTGTATCAACATATTATTGTGTGCTTTTTGTAACAGCTTCTTGCATTGTCAAGTTGAGGCACCTTTGATTGTTTTTGTTCGTGCCCTGATCTTTCTCACATTTGCAGATACTTCACTTTTCATAAACTGCGGAGGAGGGAGAGTGAGTTTTGAGGGAAATGAATACGAAGAGGATTCAACAGACGGTGGACCAGCATTCTTCTTTTCCTCCTCTGAGAAATGGGCGTACACAAGCTCAGGAGCTTTTATGAACAGAGATAGGGCCAATTATAAAACGGGAAATTCTTTTTCACTGAATGTGACTGGTGCAGATTTCTATCAAACTGCTCGTACAGCCCCTGCCTCACTCAAATATTATGGTCTTTGTCTGGAAAAGGGTAGCTACAGAGTGCGTCTTCACTTTGCTGAAATTATGTACTCTAATGACACGAAATTTAGCAGTCTTGGGGAACGCATATTCGATGTTGCAATCCAGGTAAGGAGGCACAGTTACTTTTACCTAGTTCCTTTGTTTGCTAATCAGCTGTATTTTGAACCACTTTCTCTGGTGAAATTTTCGTTGATCTGTTCATGACAGGAATAGTTATGTCTGTATCTTTATGATATCCAGGGCAATGTAGTTCTGAAGGACTTTAACATAATGGATGAAGCTAAAGGTGTGGGTATAGGAATTACCAAAGATTTCAATGATACATTAGTAAGTGGCAGCACTCTGGAGATCCATTTATACTGGAGAGGAAAGGGGACAACTGCTATTCCTGATAGAGGCGTCTATGGACCCCTGATATCTGCAATCACGGTCACACCAAGTTAGTGTGTATTAAACTTGTGTTATCATAAAATACATTTTTGTGGCATCATTTTCAGAGCCGTTCCCATTCTTCTTGTAGATTTTGACACTAGTACAGGAGGGCTATCTGTTGGAGCTATCATTGGCATTGTAGCTGCTTCATGTGTTCTGGTAGCTTTGATTCTTGTTGTATTGCGGATGAGAGGGTATTTAGGTGGAAAAGATGAAGAGGATAAAGGTAACATAAACCGTCACATTTTGTCGATCTGGCTAGCAGTTTTACAATTTTCCTAAGTGATTGGGTATTGGGGAGCGTGAAGTGAATCATCATTAAATCGACTTTTATGTTCAATTCTTTTTTCTTTCATCTAAGAAACTTATCTGTCTAATTCTGTGGTGCAGAACTTCGAGCCCTGGATTTACAAACAGGTTATTTTACTTTGAGACAGATCAAAGCCGCTACAAATAACTTCGACTTGAAGAATAAGATTGGTGAAGGAGGGTTTGGTTCAGTTTACAAGGTCCCTACTTCTACAAATTCTTACAATGTGGAGTTTTCCCTTTTGTTTGCATTACCCATAAGGAAATTACACAATGCATGAGCATTAAAGTCGTGTTTTATGGGGTTTAATTATATTGTTGCTAATGAGACATCAAATCTACCATTCTCAGGGGATCTTATCGGATGGTACAGTTATTGCTGTTAAACAGTTATCTTCAAGGTCAAGGCAAGGAAATCGTGAATTTGTCACTGAAATTGGCATGATATCTGCCTTACAACATCCAAATCTTGTGAGGCTATATGGATGTTGCATAGAAGGGAATCAGTTATTGCTTATCTATGAATACCTGGAAAATAATTGTCTTTCTCGAGCATTGTTTGGTAAACATTTTGCTTGTCCTTTATGATTAAGTGTACGAGTAACTGTTATAAATAATTCTTCTCATTTTTTCTTTTGGACCTACATTCTTAGGTCAACAAGAACAGCGCATATACCTTGACTGGCCAACAAGGATGAAGATATGCGTAGGGATCGCCAAAGGCTTAGCATATCTTCATGAGGAATCACGGTTGAAAATTGTTCACAGAGACATAAAGGCTTCAAATGTACTGCTTGATAAGGATCTTAGTGCAAAAATATCTGACTTTGGCTTAGCCAAGCTCGATGAAGAGGAAAACACCCATATTAGCACCCGAATTGCTGGAACAATGTGAGCTGCCACACCATTTTCTTCAGTTGTTTATGCCTTTTTGTTAAGCAGGCCTTTTGTTGATGTACATTATATGGTAGAATAGGGTCAACAGATCACATGCTTTACTTATGAGGAACTTCTGTTATATCATCTGTTTATGGTCTTGCAGAGGTTATATGGCTCCCGAGTATGCTATGAGGGGCTATTTAACAGACAAAGCAGATGTCTACAGCTTTGGAGTTGTCGCATTGGAAATTGTCAGTGGGAAAAGTAACACTAACTACAGGCCCAAAGAAGAATTTGTGTATCTACTTGATTGGGTAAGCTCTTTCAATGGTTTGTCCATGGGATATTCTTTACGACTGAATAATATGAGGAATCTGCAGTTTTAGATTCGTCCTTTGCTAAAATACCATGCATTGATACAGCAGTCTTACCCTTAAGAAAAGAAAAAAAATCCTTGAAAACAATCTCATTGATTCATTATGGGAGTTAAAGGCTTCAGTTTTAGAAATTTATTACAAAAAAAAGGCTGAGTTTTTGGCTCTTCCCATCTGTTTGCATTGATTAGAGATGATTAACCTCTTTTTTTTTTTTCTCTGATGTGGAACACGAAGGCCTACGTCCTGCAGGAGCAAGGAAGCCTTCTTGAGCTTGTGGATCCTAGTCTAGGCTCAAACTATCCTCAGGAAGAAGCAATGAGAATGTTAAATTTGGCTTTGTTATGCACTAATCCATCTCCTACCTTAAGGCCATCCATGTCATCTGCAGTTAGTATGCTTCAGGGCAAAATTCCGGTTCAGGCGCCACTAATCAAGCGTAGCACAATCAACGAGGATGCAAGATTCAAAGCCTTTGAGAAGTTAATATCAGGAGACACTCAAGTTTCGACATTTTCTGTGGAGAGCCACGCCCAGAGGAGTATTTCATCTGATGGACCATGGAATGGTGACTCGTCTTTTTCTTCCCCTCGCAAGCATGAACCACTGGAGCCTTCTTCATCTAGCAATCCTCTTATCGATTTTAGTTCTTGAAGCTTCAGTTAAATCATTAAGATGTATATAGAGCTTGATCTGACCCAAAAATGGCTGATTGCTTAGGTAGAGTTACCAGTGTTCATATTCATTGCACAAACATTCACGGTCCTGAAATTTTGTAGTTTTATCGATTCAAGGGGACGATTCTCAAGCATTCTAAATTACTGATTGTGTAATTGTGGTTGATAGGTTTCAAAGTTAACATTCACATTACATTACGCCCTCAATCAAGGTTTTCATTTGTCCTCTGGTACTAAATAATATACACCTTTTCAAGGAAAAGAAAAAAAGACTAATACACTACCTTGAACCTCAAGTCTGACCTGACTACTTTATTAATCTGCATGGAAGATTGACCTCGGAATTCGGGAAAATCTCAAGGGAGCCTCGATATGCGTGCCGATCTCAAAATGAAGGTGGCCTGGCAAATGATAATACCCAGTTGCTGCATTGCAAAATCCATTATAATAGTGTCCAATTGCTTTCGCTTCATGCCAATGCCATGTTTTGCAGAGCAGTATGGAGTTTGGATTAAATATCATTTCAGCTAGTATTGAGATGTGTGTAAATCCTGCAGCATAATTTATCCTGATTTCCTGACTCTTTGATGAGCAACTCAAAGAATCAGTGCCAACAGATGAGACATAATCTTTTTTTTTTTTTTTTTTTACTATTGGTTGATGAGCCCCCAATCTAGACTGTCTGTTTTTGTAGCACTTCAAGGAATAGCTAATGAAGCGGTTTTATTATAAAGCTATTCTGTTTCACTTGTATTATAGTTTCTCCTGAGTCCTTTCCTTTTCTATAGCAGTTTTAGCACTACTAATTCTCGCTCCATTCTTTGGAGAAACCATCAATGGATGACTCGAACATTCAACAAAACAACAAAGATGACATTGATGGTAAACAAGGGATATACATTGGTCCTAATGATTCAGGCAGAAATGTGAATGGAAATGAGCAACTTTCCGAGAATTATCACACCAACTTAATGAAGTATTCCTTGCTTCTTGGAGCTGAGAAAGTGCTGATGGCTCGAAATTCGCCACCACCGCTTGTGTTCTCTGACGCGGAATCCTGCCCGATTAATCAGGACAACATCTCTGCAGCAGCAAGAACGCAAGGCAAAAATGTGATGGAAATGAATGAAAAGGATTATGGGAATTCTCAGTGTTGCTGGATTCAATCAAGACCAAGTAATGGCATTGAATGCAGAAATAATGACAAGTTCATCCACTCCTCCAACAACATGGGAATCGACTATCCTTCAAATTACTGCAATGAATTTCCTCTGGATTTTGTATCTTTCCTGAGAATCCTGGCAGTTCTGGTACTTAAACTAGCTGGTTTTCAGATTGCTTTCTTGGCCAGATTATTCACATTCCCTATCCAGATAATCAACATTTGGACAGCATTTCTTCTGTTCCCGTTTCATTTGATGGCATTTGCAAGAGACCATTTGAAGAAAAAGCTGCTGACTTTATGGAGTTACTCCTGTTTCAGTTTGATTTACTTCATATGCGATCGTTTCAAGATGCGCAGAAAGTCAGTACTGAAACTGGCTGTAAGATTTTGCTGGGCATCTTTCTGGGCAGTCTACGTTTGCTTGATTCTGGTGGGAATGCTGGTTTTGGGATTCGTGATTGGTGGCGTTATCATGAAGAATCTGGTTGTGGAACCCATTCAGACCACCCAAAACCTCAACTTTGATTACACCAAATCTTGCCCTGTTTCATTTGTACCCATTGCATCTTCTCCGGTTGCCGGAATTTCCCCGGGCTTGGATTATAAAGACAGGATTCCTTTCTCCAAGAACCCCGGCGGCCGGCCCATTCCCTATAATCACAAGTTGAAGCTAACAGTTTCCCTGACAATTCCAGAGTCAGAGTACAACAGGAACCTTGGAATTTTCCAGGTAAGTTGATTGAAAAGTTGCAAATTTCCTTCAAAATTTACTAGTATAGTATTTTTTTTTTTCTTTCATAACATTGTCAAATTTGTTTATGTTGATGTAGGTAAAGGTAGAATCTTTGTCAATGGATGGTAAGGTAACCGGAAGTTCAAGCTATCCAACCATGTTGAAATTCAAAAGTCAGCCTATACGATTTGTTGAGACAACAATCAAAAGCATCCCACTTCTTACAGGGTTCCAATCAGAAGTTCAGAACCTTAAAATTGAAGTTAATGATTATATGGAAGGTCATGAGCCAACTGTTTGTTTTAAGGTAAGCGTTGAGCAGAGAGCAGAGTTTGAACCAGGTTTTGGGATCCCTGAAATATATTCTGCAACCCTTCACATTGAGTCTCGGCTCCCACAGTTAAGAAGGCTGGTTTGGAATTGGAGGAGGACCATATTCGTGTGGATCAGCATTGTTTCCTTCTTGACTGAGTTGATGATTTCTCTGATATGTTTCCGGGCAATCATTCTTCCTGGAAAAACAGTGCTAAATGTAATTGGTGCCAAAGGTAGTAGGTACAGAGTGAATAAGATTTCATGGTGACCATTTCAACATTTTAGAATGTAATAATAAGAAGGGAAATACAGCAGAAGATGAAGCTGCTTTTGTGTTTTTTTTGTTTTTTTGGTCTGAATTTATCTGAAGTTATTTCTATCATTTCTCCAACTCATGGTTGAGGACCTTGAGGATGATATAATTGAACAGGAGAATCGAGCTTAGTTACAATTTACAAATAAATAATAAAATAAAGAACACAATTCAGATCTTAGGAGGTTGAAGTTAAACCAATAAGATAATTTAATATTGGGAGAAACAGAGTAGTGCTGATGGTCATACCAAGCTTTCAAGTTTCAAACATCAACAATTAAAATCCATTGCATCCACGTCTAATGCAACACTTTTTTAGAACATATAAAAAATTATGGACGAAACCAATCACCTAATTTACATTAGGAAAGTTCTTAACAATGCTCGAGAAAATCTAGTAGCTCATCAAGATATTTACTGAAACCACAGCAAAGGTCAAAATAATAATTGAAATGGAGATTAACCCTGCATATAGTACCTTCTAAACATTTATAGAATATATATTTAATATTTGTTTTGAATTTATCTGGTATGAACTATTCTGTACATGCTCCAATATCGAATATTTCTTCCAAATGCAGGCAGGATATTTACAAAATATTCTGAATATGTATAATTTTTGTACCTACTATATGCACTATATATAATAATACCAATGTGAAACACCCTTTTGACACATTTTAATATTTATAACCATATATACGACCGCTCATCACACAACTACTTAGCCGTGATGTCGAGGCTTTATGATCATGTGTGCCTCGTATAATGGGTCTTGAATATACTACGCTAAATGGTTCAGCTGGAGATTGATGCATCACCTCTTTTCCCTTTCGACGCGATTGTGCTATGTTGGAATTTTTGTCTGGAAGCCACAATTGCCAGAGCACTTCCTTAGTAGAAATTATCAGCCTCGTGAGTAGTAATGCCAGAGCTACGAATGAGATCTTCATCAATGGTTGATCTTCATTTCCAAATCTAGTGGGTAAAAGAAGCAATATGTCTAAGCCAGCGAAGAGGAAAAGGGCTTGCCACAATACAGTGAGAAAGTTTGGGCACAAGGCTTGTGGCCTCTTTGGTTCAACAGTCTCAGTTGATGCCAATTTCCACTTGAAAACCACAATAATACATCCAATAATAAGGAGAAAGACAATTGAAATCGGAGCAGCCCATCACACTAACAGCACATTGGATGGCAGTCACAAAAAAAAAACTGAATGATACCAAAATCCGTAGGAGGGTGTAAGTTCATGAAATTTCCGAACGAGGATAAAGCTAGGAGAAGGAAACCATACATGAGATTCTTAGACTGAAACCTGAAGAAGTAAGATCCCACCATGTTTGCTAATATGCCACAAACAACTTTAATATATTTCCTTTGATTGTATAACCTTGCAGCTAGCAGCGAGCCATTGACATAGCCAAGGAATTTCGGTGCAATATAGCGTAGGTGAAAGTATGGCAACACCAAGCTCATAATGCTGATAGCGCAGTTCCGAGAAAACAACAATAAAATCAAAGCTAGCTTCTTGATAATCCAATAAAACTAGCAATAAGCAACCAAAATGAGCCTAAAATAGAGATTAACACTGGATTGAATATCTTTTGAATATATAATATATCAAAAATTTGTTATGAATCTAACTATTATAAACTATTTTGCACATGTGTACAGACACTAATCCTAATGCACAACCTTTTAACCTATTCTAATATTTATAACCATGCAATTAATCATCACATAATACCACTTATATGGTGAGGTTTCATGACCATGTGTCCTAGGTATGACTCGACCTGAATATGCTTTGTGATCATGTGTCAATATCAACTGTTTTGCACATTACTATAAACTATTTTGCACATGTCCCAATATCAAATATCTTCTCCCTAATGTAGGAAATTTAGAAAATATTCTGAATATATATATATATATATATTGTGACTCTAATCCTAATGTACAATGTTTGATTGCAAGAGAAATTTTTTTGCTGAAAACTAACAATCTCATGAAAAAGTAATGTCTGGTGTCACTTTTTATTAGAAAACCACTAAAACACATCATGTATGGTTAGTTGGTTGCCCAATGCTAAGGAGAAAAGAAGACCCGACTCCAAGTTGTTCAAGATTGGATGCTAGCAAGAAATACGAAGTAAATAATGCCAAAATCTACCTGACAAGGTTCATGAAATTTTCAGAAAACGGTATAGCTAAATACAAAACTAGATGTACAAGTTCCATGGACTTGCAAGTCCCTAAAAAGGCTTCAATAATCCAGACTAATCAGATGTGCAATATAAGTGCAATTTATGTGCAATATCTGTACAATTAAAAATATATTACATTATGTATGCAATATACATACAATTTATGTGCAGTGTATGAGAATTGAATATAACTCAATGTATAAAATTTTAAAAATGTGATTACACTCAACACAAACATAATATCTATATTTACATGTTAAAGCAAAACCAATTTTTTGAACAAAGTAAACGTGTCGTAACGAAAGAAAATCATTTCCTGCCCAAATCTAAATGTGGTAAAATTATCACCAATTAATTTTATTCCTACAATCAAGGCAAAAATATTGAACCGTATTAGTTAATCCAATGTTTTGGCTAAATTATCCACAACATTAATGTGATTTTTTTTTCACATTATTGTATCACATTAATTGATTATATAATAAGCAATCGCATTTTGAGAGAAATTGGATTACTATTTTGAGGCTATTTTTATCCTAAGGTCAAGGCAAAAATATTGAATCATACGATGTAATTCGATTTTGCGGCTAAATTGATCATAACATTAATGTGGTTATTTTGTAAAATTGAGTGTTTGAGTATAATTGATTGTATAACATGAGAATTGAATGAAAGGCTAGTGGTTAGGATGTTGTGCTTTATGGTATTAGACCTGGATTTGATTCTTACAAAGGGGTATGTAAGGGGGTTAGACCCACATTTAATTAAGGTCCACTGGGGTGGATTTTTTTTATTAAAAAATTGATTTTATAGCATTAATTGCTCGTATAATAAGCAATCGTAGTTTGAGGAAAAATAGATTCTTATTCTGAGGCTATTTTATTCCTACGGTCAAAGCAAAAATATTGAATCATATTAGGTAATCCGATCTTGTGACTTAATTATTGCGAGACATTAATGTGATCATTTTGTTCTATATTAATTCCTATGAGATTAATTTTATAATCTTACCAACTTATTAATTGTTCTAAACTTTGTTTAAATAATTATTTTAACTAAATAAAAAATATTTTGAATTATTCAAACAAAACTCCTTCACTACATTTTCATCCTCATTTCTCTTGTCTATTCCTTTCAACCTAATGAGCTCACCCGAGTTATTGGTTATGTTTTTTAAAAAAATCATATTTATGGTATTCTTAGTTCAACAAGCTAGAACTTAATTTTGAGATAATACCCTATTCTAAAAATTAAGTATGGCATGATAACCTTCTTGCAAAATTTATTTGTGAAACACTGGTCATGATAAAGGAAGACACTCGGTAGATATAATGTTATAGTGCTAATGTTTTTTCGAGAAACACTAAGAAAGTGTTTTAATCACTACATTTTGATGAGATCTATCTATCTCTATCCATATTGAATATTGTATTCGGACATCATATGTCTCCTACAAATGGCTAATGGTCAGTGATTCATAGTAATTGGATTCCAAATCTTTCAAACCCACTCAGTTTAGATTATATTTAGTTCAGTCATATGAGTTGACCCAATCTCTTAATTAACTAAATGTACATATAACTAACGGTTTCTTTTTTGAAAGCAAAAGGAAATGATTAGATTAATTACTTATTAAAAGTCTAGTACAAATTTTAGCTCTATGATGAACTGATTCTATTATACTTCGATCTACTTTAGAGATGGTGCAAACAATACATAATGATTTATAATGCTCAATATCTTCAAGGATGACTTGGATTTCTACCGGTATTCTCTCCGAATGTTGCAGATAATGTATCAAATTTGCACAGTGAGTTCCAGTGTAGACTGTAGTGATACCATGTTGAATCATATATTTAAGTGCAGCAAGACATGCGAGAGACTCTGCTTGTGGTGCAGAAATGGCTCTAAACCTGGTGTGTGTATAGTCATGTAATTTTTAGCTGCATTGAGGAGTTGCCATGCCCTGGGACCAACGAGTCGTTCTTGATCAAAAGCACCATCAAATATCAGGCTGATCTCTGGTTCCTGAGCCGGTGTGTTATTTCCTGACAACGACGTCAATTCAACCTGGTGAAGGTCAAGCCAACCTGTGCGGATAGCTGAGTATTCAAATTTTGCATTTCATAAAATCTTCTCAGGTGGCAAAGATATGTTTTCCCAATATAATTTATCTTGCTTTCCAAAGATTCCATAAAATGATAAGGGACTCTTCAATATGCTCTCTACTAGGAGCTTCTTGAAACCATTTTGAGAGCCAGACATTTATAAATTCTCGTGGACCTTCCCCAATTTTGAAACCAAAGCGAGACATGAACCAGACCCGTTGGGCCTTTTCACATTCCAAAAATATATGTGAGTTGGTTTCTTCAGAGTGTTTGCATTCAGCACAGATAAGCTCCAATAGAAGGCCGCGTTTACGAAGTTGAGAAGCTAAGGCACATCTATCGTTAAGTAGTTTCCAAACAAAATGCTGAATTTTTCCTGGTATTTTGAGGGACCATAACTTCTTCCATGTACTGTCCCGGATTGTTGCCCTTGAGACTGCAGTGAATGCTGAGGGAAGATTCCTTCTGGCAATTGATGTGGCTCGATGATAGCCAGATTTTACCATATATCTGCCATGTTTTTCTAAAGGCCATATGAGTTCATCTTTGGGTGGAAAATTAGTTTGTGATATATTGATTACAAGAATATGATTGACATGTTCTTCTGGGAAGAATAGCAAGGGCATATTCCATGTGCTATTGTTTTCTATAAGATGGCATACCCATAGGTGCATTGGGTTAGATGCAGGTAAAAAACTGAGTGGGTTTGAAAGATTTGGAATTCAATTACTATGAATCTCCATATCCCTGCAATTTCTAATCTTCTATTTTAATGTTGAGGATAATAGCTCCTTTCCTCAAATTATACTTTACCATCCCCAAGATGCATTTTTCGGAGAACGGGATTCAAGGAAATTTGGGTCTTGTCCATATTTGGTCAGGAGGAGTCTTGCAATGAGTGAATCTGGCTGTTTGATGATTTTCCAGGCCAATTTTGCTAGTAACGCCGGGTTCATGTGTTCTGTTTTTCTCATGCCTAGCCCAAGATATCCAGTGTATACTTCTTTCCGTATCAATTTTATTTCAGATGAAATTACTAAGTAATTGATCTATTTTCTTGGCAGTTGTCTTGGGTAACCGGAAGACCCCGAATAAATGTAAGGTAGAAGAGGCTAGAGCATACTTTTCTAGTGTGATCCGGCCTTCAGTAGTAAGGGATGCCGATTTCTAGATTGAGATCTTATTTTAAAAATTTGGAGATGGTACATGCTAAGGTAGTTTGTTTGGACCTTTCAAACTGTAAAGGCGCGCCAAGATAAGTGTCCTCCATTAGGGAGTCATGTATATTTAAATTAAGTTTAACCCAGAGAACATCCATCTCATTCATGTTAGGGCTAAGAAATATGATGGATTTGTGAAAGTTGATTCTCTGTCCCGACCATTTTGCAAAGCTGTTAATTCTTTTGGCCAATTTGGTTATTTCTGGCTGCGAGCATTCAGTGAAGATGATAGTATCATCAGCGTACATTAGGTGGGAAAGCCGGGGAGCCTGAGAAGCAATTTGAATTCCAGCTGGAGCGCTGCTTTCTTAGTGATTTAATATAGAAGAGAAGGCTTGCTGACTGATGATGAATAAATAATGAGATAGTGGGGAACCTTGCCTGACTCCTTTGATCGGCGAAAAGAAGGGAAGGTCCGGCCGTTTATTGAGAGTGTATATTGCACCGTAGTTAGAAATTGTAGAATCCAATTTACCCAAGTGGATGGGAACTGCATTTTTTGCAAAGTGGCTTTGAGAAAAACTCCACGATACTCTAACAAACGCTTTATTCATGTCAATTTTGACCGCCGCAAGTTCCCGTTTTGTAGCCTTGTCGTGTTTAATATGATGTAGCATCTCGTGTGTGATGATGACGTTTTCGCTTATATGGCATCCCGGGATGAAACCATTTTGTGCCTGATCAATTAAAGTAGGCATGACTTTCTTCAGCCTATTTGCCCTAGTTTTTGCAATGATCTTGTATTTAACATTGCTTAAGCTAATTAGACGGTAATCACTTGGAGTTTTTGGAGACAGTTTTTTAGTAATCACAATGATATTAGTATCATTCCATCCATTCGGCATCACACTGGTTTGGAAAATTCTTGGATGGCTGCTATAACCATAGTACCAATAGAATTCCAATGATGTTGATAAAAAAAAACCCCGCCGGGATGATGTCAGGTCCAGGAGATTTCCACAGGGCCATTTGCCATATACCTGTTTTGATTTCATCATAGGAGAAGGGCATTGCAGCATAGTAATCAAATTTTCATTCAGAGTGAAAGAAATACAATCAATGAGTCCTTCAAATGAGAAAGTTTCCATTCTACCACTGATGTGTGGATCAGTGTCGTAATATAAGGATTGGAAGTGATCTAATAAGATTTGTTGTATTTCATGAGAGTCAAAACTCCAATCCCCATTGTGTTGTTTCATGCCATGAATTTGGTTACACCTTTCCTGATAGTTGCCCATCTATGAAAAAGTTTGGTGTTTTGTTCTCCTTGGACATACCTGAACTGTTTAGAATGTTGTTGCCAATACAAGTTTTCCATCTCAAAGAGATCTTCCAATTCCTTTGATTTTTCTTCTAGTAGGTGCTGGTTTGAAATCGATGATCGATGTCGAGAGAGGCGTGTAAGATCTTGCATCACATTTTTAATTCTTGTTGGGAGGTATCCATAAGTTTGTTGACTCCAATTTTGAAGATGGGTGAGACTGAGATGAAGGTTATGTGATAATAATTCTTAATGAAGAACTTCCATCGTCATACTTAAGTTCCACACTTGTTGGATGATTTGTTTGCCGATTGTGGATTTGGCCCAGAATGCCTCAAAATGTTGCTGTTGCGTATGCTGATGGCGTGTTGATTTGGTTGTATCAAGAATCAAGGGTACATGGTCAGAAATCATAATTGGGAAGTTTTGTATGTGTGTTGATGAAAAGAGGCTGGACCAGAGGGAGTTTGCAAAACCTCTGTCTAAGCGTTCGTATATAAAATCATTGCCCTTTCTCTTGTTTGTTCATGTAAACCACAATCCTTGGTTTTGAATTTCAGTGAGGTCTAAAATATCAATCAACTTATGTAGTTCATAAGATGTGAGATTATTAGCCGAGCACCCCTCCCCCATTTGTCGTGTGGGTTGATAATTTTGTTAAAGTACCCCAGAAACACCATCGGGTACAAAAGATTCTCCACATACTTACTTAACAGAGACCAAACAAAAGCCCTTTCTGGACTATAAGGCCTACCATAAACAAAAGCACAATACCAAACAACCAATTTATACACTACTTCTACTACTATGAAATTGTCACTACTAAACTTAACCACTAAATTGATGCTAGACATCCAAAATAATGCAAGGCCACTTGCCTTACCTCTATGACACTGGGTTAACTTGTGTGTAAAACCAGATGATTGCTGCCATTTTGTGATATGGGCATCATCCATTTTAGTCTTCACAAGGAAAAGAACTTCGGGTCTACGAGAGCGTTGTAATTTGTTGAAAAGCTTAATTGCAGAGGGCTTGGTCAGACCTCTGCAATTCTATACTAGATTCTCATGGTGCCGGCAACGGTTGATTTAGGACAAACGTCGGTGAAAGCCCTGCTTTTGGATCCTTATTCTCGGGTGTTGGAGTGATAGGATTAGGAGGAGTCATAGCTGAGTCTGTGAGTTGGCGCATTCCTTCTTGGATGAGTGTCACAATATCTGTGTATTGAAGGGCAAGAAAAGTTGCCTATTCGTGTAGGAGAATCAAGTTCAACTTGTCCCTGCACCACAGATATATCTGTGATACAGTCAGTTTCAATTATCAATTGAATCATTCTCACAAGTACGCCGTCGATGAAGTCAATTAATCTCCATAAGATGTTGAAACTTCCATGTAACTGCAGCTTTGACCGATGATGAAGTGATGCCAGCCTCTTGCATCGCTCATTCGGTGGTAGAATCTTAGTTGAGGAGTTCATCGGAGTACATGGCCGGCGGTGGATTCATCTCTTTAGGGATTGGTGCCGGAGGCGAGAACTGTCGGGCCGGCGAGGGAGGTTGGGCTACCAAATCATCTCCTGGAGTTATGTCCATGGATGTTTCTCCCCACTGTCGTTTCCCTTCTCGGATCTTCTTTCTACGACTCAACGCTGCCAGTGAAAGGTCGGTATTTGGTTCAGTTTCATCATCTTCATAGGATTATCAAAGTTTGGGCTAGATTCTATGGGACGATGGTTTATTATTATGGGCTTGGCCCAAGGGTTGAGTGTTAGCCAACATTGGACTTCATCAGCCGCTGGGTCCGGGAAGTAAAGTGTTACATCATTGGTTGGGTTGAGTGCTGTAGGGCCCATTTCAATTGAAGCCCATGGATTACGGCTAGTACTGTATGCTATAGTGCCGGATGGAAGCTGCAACAGTGTTTGAGTGCTGGTAGGGTCACGCAAACGGATTGAATTGGCTGAAGTATTCGATGACTCACCAACTGGCTCATTAGGGTTGATAGGCTGCCATGTAATGAATCTGGCATGTTTCATGATGTCATTCGACTCCACGTTCTCCCCTGTATTGTCAACATTGATTGTAACGGTGAAATCGGTGGCAAAGGTGAATGGTGAGATGAGGTGTTGCCTTGCCGTTGAAGAGGAGGGATTTCCATGTGCATGAGGCATATTCCAAAAGTGGAATTTTGAAAGATCCAACCATGATGTATTGTTGCTCTATAATCTCCGTCTTCTATGGTATGCTGGGTACGGATATTATTTGGAATCGGGTTGGATGGGCCGGGGGCAGCGTCCATCTTTGTTGATTGTCGAGGATGAGGCTGCTGCACCATTCCTTCCACTTGACGTCTCTTAGTGGGCATATCCTCTGGGTTTTCTGGGATAATATAGCCTTCTAGGAGGGACCATTCATCATCATTCCTGTGGACCTCTGGATGTCTCGTGACTACCGTTGTCATGCCTGACTGAGTATAGTGATAACCATTTGCAAAAAAACCAGGAAGACGTTCCCTGATGTATTTGGAATTATCTCGTACATACCTGGATGGGATTTTTGTATTTCCCCGTTCAGGTTAGGCTCAAAATGCAGCCAAATCATCTGGAAATAATGGACGAGATTCATCGTAAACCAATGGAAGATTCCTGGCATTGTTGATGCCTTGCAATTGCTCTTCAATATGCTGAAGTTATCTCTGGTAGGATAGTGTGGGTTTTCATGGCCGATAAGCCCACATCGACGACAATATATGAAATTCTTTCATATCTGCATTTGATCCACACTGTACGGCCATCAATAAGTCCCGCATGTGTGCCAGTGCTAAGGGGATCAACCGGCCTGATCCATACATATGCTCTGAGAAATGTAATATGCCTTGTGTCTGAGTAGCCCGTTTGGATTTCATGAACGTCACCAATAGCAAAGGCGATGCGTCTAGCAGCGTGTTGTAAAAGTAGCTCCACGGGAAAACGATAGGGTCTGATCCAAATAAGAATGCATTAGATTCGCATATTACTTGTCGTGAGATTCATGTTCCAACGGCCTACCACAAAGAGAGCTCCATCAATGGCATAAGGACCATTGTGAAGGACGATGGCACGGTGTTCTTCTCTGTCGAATTTGATCTAGTACCAGTTGCGATCTCTATGGATGATCCACGTTGGTAAGCCCCAATAGTTATGAATGTACTGCTGCATGTATTCAAAGCTAAAGGATCGATCATCCAAAAGGAAGCCAACCAGACAGTTGTGATACCTTGCTACACCATAAGCTGAGTCTTCTGGAGTCATTTGAACAAAAGTGCTTCGATGAAAAGAGAAGTAAGAATCTATATAATCCCCTTAGCCCATGTGGTCCACAGGGTTGAAATCCTAATCATCCATTGACATATCATCTTCGAAGAAGGGATTTGCCATTAGGAAGTAAATGTGGTTAGGTGAGGTTGAGGATTAATTAGGACTGCTAATTCGGTCGGTTCGGCTCGGTTCGGGTGAATCCGGTTTAGATAATTCGATTTTTTTCATTTTCCTTCACCCGCCCGAAACTGAACTGATATTTCACCTCCCCCGAACCGAACCGACCGATCAAACAATCGGGAGATCGGGTCAGGAGCCGTTTAAACTGAACAAAAAAGACCAAAAATTTCTTGAACCAAATTCTCAGTTTCCGCAGTAAAACAAACATCAACAACATTCAATCATTTACAATAGAACATAAAAAGCCAGAACAGACAGTTGCTTTACCTTTACAATCTCAAGATTTTTAGTATCATTAAAGCATCCACTCCAAACAACCACCATCAGAGAAAAAGAAGAAAAAAAAAAAAGGGAAACCGATTCACAAAATCTCAAAATCAGGGGAAAAGAAAACTCCACAATGCACAAATGGGTACCAATAAACCCCTCTACGAGGGGGCCTTCATCCAGAATTCTTCCTCACTTTAAGCTATCTTTTTTTGAGAATTTCCAATCGCTGACTGCCATTTATCAAAAATTCAATCACCATCACATTCATATACTAAATGCAAGTGCCACGGTTGCATCATTCACCAAAGTGAGTGAGTGAGTAAGGTAAGTTTGAGTGAGAGTAATCAATCGGTAAGCTGCAAAACAAAAAGGGTCCATCACCATCTATTCTATCTCCTTCATTGAATTTTGCCCCCCATCCCATTTTTTAAGTTTTCTTTCTTGACTTTCTTTCTAAATAATAAATCTATCGTTAAGAGAGGGATTTTATATTGTAACTTTATTCTCTTCCTTGTCTAGTTTATTCACTTTTTCTTTTTCCAAATGAAATGCTCTATCTCTATTGTCATACCAAATATTAGAAATTATAGCAGCTTCTTTTCTTTCTTTTTTTTTTTAAGGTATTTGGCATGCAAACATATTCTTTGTACGGTTTTCCATAAACTATACATGCCTATACTATAATTGAAAAAAACGGTTTTCCATAAACTATACATGCCTATAATTTTGTTTATATTTTGACAAAAAACAGGTATCCTTCTGATCTACGGTTGATATGCCAACTGGATTTGAATATACCAGTTACAAATCAAGAGAAGCTGTAGTCATTTTGGGGGATTAACTTTATATTCAATAAGTATTAATTTTCCCGGTCATTACCAATTAACAATTATTATAATATGGAATGGTATTCTCATCTTTTGGTTTATACGTGATCAATTAAGTTTGATATAGAAAGTATATTAAAATAAATGGAAAATGATTTGACGTTGATGGAGGAATCATAATTATTTATTGTGATTAATTTGATTATTTTTTTGTCCCGAAGTCTGAAACTAAAGAATCGGAAATAAATGTCGGTGATTAATTATTATTATGAGCAGATCATGTAGTATAATTTTTTTTTTGCGATGATTACCAATTAGCACATGTTTAATGGTAATTATCATAATTGGATTTATACACCGTAAATTAGGATTGATGTAGAAATTATATTAACATAAAAGGAAAAAGATTTTATGTTGATGACGGTAGCATAAATATTTATTTTGACCAATTTAAAATTAATTACTTTTTGGACCAACAACTAATCAGTATTGAATTATTTCATTGCATTGTTCCAAGAATAAAGAATTGAATAGAAGCTATTTATTAAGATGGGTTATCAAATATTATGCTTATGGTATGTGGTTTATTAATTAGCATTCTATGAAATGATAATTTCAATTGTGGGTAGTCAACCATTTGAGAAAAAATCAAAATAATAATATAAATTAATAAATATAAATTATAAATATTACAAATTTGTTTGTCGGTTTCAAATGAAGTGATGGTAGCAATTTGGAGCAAGTTACTTTTGTTGCTTTGGACCTAATTCTTCATATAATACTTGTCATTGTAGCAAATGCAACACTGGAATGGCAAATTTTTACGTGGGCAAATGTCATGGCCGCTGAGATTTGCATGGCTATTAATCTCAACATAATGCAATATAAAATCCTCGGAACATAAATCCCAGTTATTGAACATAAATTTTTTTTGTCTATGGGTATTTTTATTCAGAGTAATAAATACTTTTCGAACTTTTAGCCAATTTACATTGTTAGAGCCTATAAATGGTCGAAGATATGGAGTTGTGAAGTGCAAAACAATTTATATGAAGAAGTCTCTTCAGATTACTTTCCCTTCATATAAAGTTGATATATTTACTTTTTACACCTGTAAATCAATCTTATGTATCTTGCTTAAAGCTACATCAACTGATCACCCGCATCTTTTCATGATTCAGTTACTGTATGTGTATACATTTTCTCTTATGTATCCTGGAACAATACTATATCCGGTTCACCAAATAGTTTATATTTATTAAGTAGTAATGAGTTTTGTACTTTTGAGTGGCTCATAGTATGTGTTTTATGTGTGCTTTACCAATGTGGTCTGTTTGAGCAGTTTGGTTGATAGAGTTGATTGTGTATGAGAAGGCATATGTACAAAGAATAAGGAAAAAAAGGGTATTGTGTCATTACGACATAAGACAAAGAATAAGGGGGAAAATCATAAATAACAAACTTTAAACAGATCCGCATAAGCTTTATTGTGATATAGATTTTCAATCAGATCAAATAAGTAAAAATTCAAAAAAAAAAAAAACGGTGTACGAAAATGTTCTTAAAAGGTACATTCATAGAATCACAACTGGACATTGAGATGTCCATGAATAATGTTTCGATTATCTGAAATAAAAAGAAGCTTAATATGAGGGGAACTTCGTGCTTTTTTCCAGCTACTCATCATCATCAAGCATTATCTTCCTTATTCGGGTATTTGCGGATTGTACCGTCGGGGGAGGAGATTCTTGGGTTCTGATCTTTTGTTTGTTAATTGGACTACTTGCAGTAGTTATCAGATTTTCATTTACATCGTCATTATCTCCTGATTGAGATGTAATATTCTACATTAAATGAATAAAATTTGTTAATTTTTTTTCCGGAAACCGTTTGTGGTGTCTTAGTAATGATACTATTTAATTAAAATTATTCTAATTTAATACATTAAATTCTTCTGTCACTCTTGTTTTCTCATTCGGAGTAGTTATCGTATCAGATACACCTTCTTGCAAGTTGAATTAATAACATGTAACATAGCATATTGACCGAGACCGGAAAAAAATTGGTACATAATGCAATATCATATGATCATCGAGCATATGCGTTCATTTCAGCCTTAAAAACATTTTTAGACCTTTAAAAGTTAGAACTTTATTGAAATAATAAATTCGATATTTTTAAAAACAAAAATAGAAAAGAAAATCATTGAAAAACAATCACTCACCAATTCTTGTACCATCCCCATGCTAACATGTTTTTCTTTTTTTGGGTGCACTCAAGAGATCACTACAAGTTGAAAACTAAATATCATTAATCATATGGATGAAGAAATTCCATCCGAGTCAAAATTTGGACATCAAATTAAGAAGAACCACCAATCAAATCCAACAACATAAACCTCCATATCGCGTCGAAGACCCTCTCGACATATTATCTATCGGATTCCATAAAACAAAAACAAACATGAATCGATTAGTGATTTGCAAATCGAAAGCCAAAAGAAAAAAAACAATATACTGAATTGATTCCATGAAAACAAACACCACGCGCACACATATTTGTAAAAATAAAAAAGAAAGCAAAAAAAAAAAAAAACACCACTACACATGAATTTTATCAAATTGTTTCGGTTCCGGACATGATTTCAAGAGTATTTTGGAGCATGTATTTACTGGGTTTTATAGAGGTGATGGAGTGATAATATCTATGTAGTTGACGATAGGATGTGGATTATTTTCCGTAAATGTTTGTGGTCAAATAAACGTGAATTAATTAGCGATAAGATGGAGATTTTTCTTAAAAAGATATCTACGGTAATTATCTCAAATTTTTGGAATGGCTCCAGTTTTTAATGATTTTAATCACCATTTTATTGTATTTCCTAAATGATAGTAATATTAGGCCTATGTTTTATTTAAAATAAGTAAGATTTAAAATTCAAACATTGGACTACATTAAATTATTGATTCCAAAAAGATTAATTAGTTAATAATTTTGAATTCAAAATTGAGCTCATCAATTCGTGGATTAAGAACATAAGGCAGATTCCATAAACAAATCCCTTTTACCCTATTAAAACAGAATACAGGATGTTGATGTGACAACTTCTTATTAAAACTTTTTGGCTCCAAATGCACCATATTGCATTGACCATTCTACCACGTGATATCCCTTTTTTAAAAGAAAAAAAAAATCTTATCCCAAGAAATAAAGCTACTTTACAAAAATAACTACACAATTTTAACTCCTAACATTTATCATCTATCAATCAAATTAAAATAGCATTTAAATTTGTCCATAAACTTATCCCCTTTATTACTCCACATTCTTTTGTATGATTTTTACATCGTTGTACTTTTTAATATTTTTTTTCTTTTGGCAGATGATTTTTTAATTTTTTTTATTTTTGACTAAAAAAAGAAAAAAAAATCAAATGTGTAGCTATTTTATTTTTTCCAAATCAAGAATTTATTTATCTATTAACACAAATTTAAAGTAGAGGGGCGCCCGGACATCTGCCTGAGGCAAGCATCTAGTCGTGGATTAAGAACATAAGGCAGATTCCAATTATTTGTTTATGGTATATATATGATCACTGATTTATGATGCGGGTTTGATTGTTTTAAATAAAGACATTGTGTGCAAAATTATCTCCGAATCCAAAGGAATAATGGACTGCATTCATTCTGTATTAATTTGATTTGATTTTTTTTAATAATTTTTTTATAAGGCGGTATTAAAGCTTTACTTATATATATCAATTATGTCATTAACAGTAATTAATAATGAATGTAATATGTGTTGGTAATGTTGATTGGTAATTATTACTCTATTATTTATGCATGTTAAGTTTTTAGAAGATTTAGGGACCAAAAGTGCAATACATAAAGTTTCTTTTGAGAGAATAATTTAGAAAATTACACATAGGATTATGTGGCACCTTTAGAAATTTTTTTTTGTTTCTATCTCTGGTTTCTCTCTTAGTATAATACTATAGATAATAGTTATTTTTTTAATAAAAAATTATTCCTCATTCGGATTTTCGGGCGGGCCCGAATAAATTTTTTTCACCTACACGCGAACCGAAATATCTCTTCAGTTAATCGAGTAAACCCACAAAACCCCAATTTCATCTGAATAGCTGACTAGTTTTTCTCGAAATGGGTTCAGTTCGATTGTCGGACCCACCCGACTAACTACCACCCCCAGGATCAACTACAAACTGATGTTGCGGGATTGAGATACAAGAGTAGCAGGCTAGAGGAGTAAATGCAGGTGAGGCAAATACAAGTAGGCTATGGTGAAGTAGTTGAAGGGTTGAGTAATTCTAATTTAAAGAAGTATGTAAACTATCTTGAGGGTTACATGCAAACCAGATGTAAGTTAAACTATGTATATGCAATGCAATTGGTAGCTGATTCAAGCAAGCAGTTGATAGGCTGCCAAGGCAGTGCTTCACTCGTGCAGTGTACTTACGTAAAGGGCTGCGAAGTAATGATTGCTTTTTGGTTGCAGGTGGAGTAATGCAGCACCTGGAAAAGAGTAAACAGTGCTACTTTTGAACTTATTGCACAGAACTAGGTGGTATTACCTGAAAAAGAGTTTTTTATTAAAGGTGATTGTCTCTATGCTGTCTTAGAAGATGGATGATGGGATTGACAGTTAATACAAAAGCGGGGGTGTAAAGGTATTGGATTGGGAAAAAGGTGGAGGGAAAGAGTGACCGGAAAAGGAGAGGGATAGAAGACCACTTCAACTGGTCTCTTCCTTATCGATTACTGAGCCAATAACAGTTAACGTGATGATTGTAAGATTGTATCTCAAATTTCAATTTTGTTCCTTATTATAGTTTAAACCTCGAAGCGCTTAAAATTGATATTTTTCAGCACTAATACACTAGTCATTGGTTGAAAAACGAGAACATGAAAAATATGGGACAACAAAAATCTTTATAATTTGATAGGTCAAAACTCAAAAACACATGGATATTATTGGTGTTAAATTACCTTTTGCCTCTTCCACAAAACACAAAATACCCTTCATTAGAAAGGGACCTCAGACTAATTGGGCCACTGGGATCATTCTGAAGTGGGTCCAAAAAGTCAACTTCAAATGAAGATGAGAGCTCCCAGATCCCATTTCCAGAACCACCCATGACCCACCAAAGGATGTGAGTACCAACGTGGCTTTAAGGCCCTTCAGTGAAAAAAAAAATCCATAATCCATAAAACCCATAAATATTCAAACACAAAAAAAAAGCCCAAATCGGAAACCATAAAAATGAAAGGAAAAAAGAAAAATGGAAAACGATTATACAGTTTATAGTAGTTAGAACAGGGAGTCGTCGACGACACAGTCACGGGGCTTATCGGCAAAATTTTCGCCTTTTGGAAAGCTTTTTGTTCCCCAACTTGGGATAATCCACAATTGGATTGGCTTCTTATCCATTTCCCAAGCATTAATTTCAACGGATAACCGTTTTACCCACTCGCCATGCTCCTTGAAGGTAAAGTCGTATTGTAGTTTTCATGGGGTTTCGGGTTTTGGATATGCTACTTTGAGCTACGAAGTGAGCTTATCTGGTTTTAGATGTTTTATGGGTTCGGTATTCTGAAGCTTAGATTTTTAAGGGTTGTGTGAAATTTTTCTGTTTCGGGTTAAGATTGGTTAGGGTTATTGGTGAAAAAAGTTTGGGGATTTTGAATGGGAAGGTAAATCTGAAAGGAAAAAGAAGTTTCTTTACTGGTATTTGAGTGATTGGCACGTGATTTTCTTCTGGTTAATTCTACCAGTTCGGGAAAGTAGCTCTTGTTTAGAAATATATTGGGTAAGTGGGAAAGATTGTTTGGGTTGATTGTGGCACTGTGGAGACAGTATGATGTCTGTGGAGAGATCTTTTGAAGCATGGGAAGAGGTGCAAAGGCACGGTCAAGATTTAGCTGATAAGTTAGCTCAAGGATTCACTGGCTTGATTCAGTCTCACATCACGCCGCCACAGTTCCCGTGGCCTAATGCTCAGCCACCAAAGCTGTTTGAAATGGAGTTCCCAGCTCAGAATTTTGTGAAAAAGGATTTTGGACTGGCTGTGGATAGTTCAGCTATCAATGGTGTTTCTGCTATTTTTGATATCGGGAATAAAATTGGGCAGGCTGGGGTTGACCTTGGGGCTTGTGTCAATGGTATGGTACAACAATTTTTTAGGAGGTTGCCTGTACCTTTCCGGCATGATGAAAATGTTGGGGTATCCTTGCGGTCGGAGGCTAACATGCCGAGGAATGATATTGGTATTACTTTGGGAGAGGACTTGGGATCATTGGCTGAGCGCTTTAGGGATTATGGTTACACAGATAACAAATTGGTTTTGGATTCCACTGATGAAGAAAATGGTGGCACAGATGCAAAGGCATCAAGGCTCTTCGGAAGATCACAGGTAGAATTTGTTGATATGGGATTGTGTTTATTGTTAGTATGACAAACATGTTCCCCTAATGAATGAGAATCAACTGTGATACAGTTCATTTTTATGCATTTTAGGATTAGTACAGTTAAACGTGGATAGTTTTTTTATTGATAGTTTGGTTAATGATAATAAGACACTATTGTATTGTAGAAGTCAGAACAGAATATCCAAACGTATATTACGGTAAAGCTAAGGTACATGTTAGTCCTCTATAACTTATCAGAAATCATCTTTCTTTCTTGATCAAAATGTATGCAATGGTACCTTTTGAATGGAATTAGGAGATCTAGGGAATCTTTCTTTTCCTCTTGCTAAACTTACCTTGCTCATAATTTTCTGTTTGTGATGGGTAGGGTACCATTAATCTTACATCAACATATGAGAGTAGAACACGGACTGTTGAAAGTATGCTGGTTGCCCGAGGAGACTTATGGAGAGTAGAGGCATCTCAAGGTGGTACTACATCCGGCAGCGAGAACTCATCCCTGTTTCTTGTCCAGCTTGGTCCTGTTCTCTTTGTTCGGGATTCCACCCTGCTTTTGCCTATTCATTTGTCTAAACAACACTTGCTTTGGTATGGTTATGATCGAAAGGTGAGATTACTGTACAGTCCGCCTATTTCTATTTGTTCCACAGACAGTGTTTCCTTTGATTGTGTGGTTAAGAAAAGTAGAAAACACTGTGTGGTTGTTGACAATTATCTAACATTTTGCCTCCAGATTTGCTTTTGCGGTCGGTAATTTCATGAAATAGTATAAATACTTTGATTGCTTGACTTGTTTGAAGGAATTTTGCCATTTCCCATCATTCATGTCTTCATCATAACTGATTTATATTTTTCCGGATTATGGACAGCACGGAATGCATTCTCTATGTCCAGCTATGTGGTCGAAACATAGGAGGTGGCTGTTGATGTCAATGATCTGTCTCAATCCTATGGCTTGTGTAAGTTTGTATAGTGGACTTTCTGTTCATATGTGTTGTATTATTAATGCCCTACTTAGATGGGTACTCAAGCTCCACTTCATTTTTTTCCCTAGAGAACACAAATGTTTGCTGTTGTTAGATTATAATATTGCGTTCTCCTCTTGATGTTTCTCTGTAGTCATTCATGGACCTACAGTTTCCAAATGGCCAAATCACGTATGTGGCCGGTGAGGGTGTATCGACCAGTGCCTTTTTACCTTTGTGCGGTGGTCTTCTTCAAGCCCAGGGTCAATATCCAGGAGAAATGAGGTTTAGTTTCTCTTGTAAGGTGAGCTGTTGAGGTGGTAATACTCAATTAAAAGCTTTGTTGTTTGAATCTTTCATCTGATTATTTTGTTTCGCTCCTCTGCATTACTTCATTTTGATGGACAGCTAATAATTGCTTGGCTTTTGCAGAACAAGATGGGGACCTGTATTACGCCTATGGTACAGTGGCCTGATAAATCATTCTCCCTAGGGCTTGCACAATCTTTAGCTTGGAAAAGATCTGGTTTGATGGTCAGGCCCACTGTCCAATTCAGGTGATTACGTTTTGCAGACTTCTTTCGCCATAATCTTTTGAGTTTTTGGTTTCAAGTTTGTCAAGAGAGAACGAAATGAATAACAATAGTGGCCATGAAAATGGTGCATGCGTTTTTTGTGTCCTTTTTGTTCAGTATAAGGTTTGTGAGTATCCTGATGACCATGTGCCTTCTTTGCAGTTTGTGCCCAACAATTGGTGGAAGCAATCCTGGGTTGCAAGCAGAACTCACACATTCTCTGAAGGAGGAAGTAAGCCTTACCTGTGGCTGCTCACTTGTTGCTCGTCCCACAGCATTTGCCTCGCTATCTGTAATTTATTCCTACCTCTTTTTTTTTTTTCCTACCCCTTACAATTTGCTGTATAAGTTCCTTTTGTGTGGATAATCCATATTTCATTGTTGATAAGGTTTTATTTACTGTAAAATGCAAATGCCTGTAGTGAGGGTTTGTTTCTAGTCTGATTAGATTGTACAACGGGGTAAGGTTTTTAGCAATGCAAAATCCACTGGGAAGAGGTGTTATATTTTAGGACTACGTTCTAAACAGCTGTTGTCTGTAGAAGTATGAAGTCTATCCAAGCCTTCAACTTTGTTGAACGGAATTCATGCTTGGCATATTTCTCTCTCTATAAACATTTATTTGGCCTTGTCTTATGTCTGATATTAGTTTGATGGAAGCCCCAAAAAGAAAGTTAGAACTCTGTACTCTGGAGGACTTAAGTGTTCGCGAGATCTCCATTAAGATTTCTGACTTGACAAAAAATATAGTTCCTTCTGCTAATCTTTTCTTTTCTTTTGTGATGAACGCAGTTGGGCAGGTCAAAATGGAATGGAAATGTCGGGTGCTCTGGTGTGGTTGTCAAAGTTGAAGCTCCTCTGGGAGATGTAGGCAGGCCAAACTTGTCTGTACAGTTTAATAGTGGAATTGAAATATGATACTTGTTGCAATTCCTGTAAAAATTTTGTATAGTTTCTGGGTTTTCCTTCCTTCTGTCCATGACTGAGTCTGACCCTGTGCTTTGGCCCCTAACCATGAATTGTTAGAAGAAAGAGTAGAATACTGTTTAAGTCATTTCTATACATTGTAAAATTCCGCAAGAATATTGTTCAATGTTCATAATATAAAATCGTTGGCAAAAGTGTACTAATAAGAATCAATCAAGAATTATCATTATTGGTGGCCAGCGTTGGAAGGAATTCTTATCAAGTTTGGATCAGGGCGGTGGAGACAACACCAAAATCTAGTTCACTCGCTGTCTTACATTTTATATATAAGGATTGCAAGTAACTAAGTAAATTTCTGGAGAAATGAATTTGTGGTGATTGGTATCATTATTAACTAAACCTGATTTTAATGTTGTCGAACTTTGCATTTTCTATGATACTGCATAGAATTGTAAAAATTGACGTTTTCCCTGTGAAGTAAAGTATTTCGAATCTCAAACAATGCTACACTTGCAGAATACTAGTAAAAGTACCTTTCATTCTAATTCAATATTCTATCATATTAAAAAAAAAAAAATACTCCCTCCGTCCCAAAATTATTGTCCACTGTGATATTTCACTTTTAGTACAATTTGAGCTAAAACTGAGAATCCAAACTGGACAATAATTATGGGATAGAGGGAGTAATACAGTAAACATGATGATTAAAAAGTCAAATTAAACCAACATCAGACATATTTTTTTGGCCAAAAATTAGGTAAGTTGGCGGTGGTACCGTGGTTTGATTTTTATTTTTATTATTTTTTTTTTTAAAGGGATCTGTATATTAGATTAAAGACCATAGTTTATTACAATACACTCTATGATAGACTAAATTATGCATATCTACTACATCATTTTTATCAACTTTAATCAGTTTACAGCATTTGAAAGAGTTCATAATTGAAATTAAACTTGCAATAACCGTCTGTATTTCCACCGGGATCAAAATGTCTCGAAGGTTTTTTTGGAAGGAAATCACAGTCTGTTACAGTGGTTTGATGATGGTGTTGAGAACACCTCTTCCTCTTCCATTATTTCGTTTTTGAAGTAGGTAGCCAGCCAGAGAACAAGATGTTGATCCTCAAATGAAAACTCGAATAAAAATTAACGTACATTTAGACGAAACGTGTGGTAATTCCTCTGCAATAATTATTTTTAGACTGAAGAAATATTTAATTAGTCAACTTTAACCGCTACATCTTCGATCCATCTCTATGGCATAAATGAGATATATTTTCAATTCAACCAGTTTTCTTTTTTTTTTTTTTTTTGACTCGTTGTATTATACCGGTACACTAACAATTTCTTCTCACTTGCGAGAATATTTAATCTCTTTTTCATCTTTTGGACGAATGAAGTACAAGATTTTCCTGTTTGTCCCTGTCAAAGAGAAACTAATTTGTTGGCCAAAACCTTAAGGTGAAAATAGACCATGTGTTTGTGCCGAAAGAAAAAATCACTTTCAACTGTGGGAAAGGAAAGAAGGGTAAAAATCTCTCAAACATTAAAGAAATCAAACGATTTTAATTGAATTCGAAAAACAAGCCTTGGACTAGGAATCGAGGACTTACAGTTTACATTGGTTTGTAAAAGAATAAAAAGAAAGATAGAACTGGAACAAACCAAGAAACTCGATTTATATGAAAAAGAAAAAAGACCTAGCGTCGATAGAGAATTCCCAAGTCGATGGCACGCTATTACAACGACTCAGATATTAGCGCCGACTAAATGTAATCGATGACACGCTATGACACGGACCAGAAAGAGACTAGCACCGACACAGAAATCCATATCGATGACACGCTAAGACAGAAATCGAATGTGCAGAAGGTAGTCCGACATAAGTACTAGAACACCTATTACATGAGATTGAATTCATTGAAGTAGAATTCATAACAAACTACCTATTTCTATAAAGGAAAAATAGGCAAATATCTATCGATTGCTAGGTTACATTGAAAAAGATATAGTAAAAGATATGAACGGAAGAAGGACTGAAAAGAAAGACAAAATAAAGAGGCGTTGGAGGCCTTGTGGTGTTTATGATGTGATCGTCGGATGATTATCGATGTCTTGCGCAGCTCCTTTTTATAGGCAAAAATAGGTCAAAACTTTCTTGGAGACAAAGGAGCTTCCTTCCTAAAATGTAGGAGTTTGGCCGACTTGATCAAAGGTGCAAAGAGGAACTCCACCCACGTAAGTCTTCTTCAAAGGCCAAGTAAACTAATTAACATGATCAATTAATCATGCACGAGAAGTCTTCCTCAATCAAGCTTGTCCCGTATTAATTAAATCAATCCCAATCGCGAATAGAATTAGTCCTCAAATATAATTCCATAATTATAAAAAATATCCTATAATTAATAATGTCGACGGTTAATCTTGTTCACACTCTTGGGTTCCTCTGATTTAGGCGCGTTGATGACTTTCGAAACTTCTTATTTGCGTGCCAGTTCATATCACTTGCTGGGCCGACACCAATGACGAAATCGGCATCAATATAAAACCCCCCGAGGCACAATGTATTTGGAACAAATACTTTGTAACTTTAAAATCAAAAGTCGGGCTAACAATGAATCGGTCCATTGGGATAATAACTCTTGATGATGTTGTGTTGGAGGTATGACGTCGTGTCAGAGGGAACTGCTGGAACTCTGTCAGCTGGAACACCTGCAGTAGCTACCCCCACGAGACTCGAGAAAAAAGTAGACCCTTTTTTTAATATATATTTTTGAAAAAAAAAGGGAAAAGACTCCCACGATGTAAAAATCAAACCAAAGCTTGTCCCGCCGGGCGTGCCATTGTGTTAGTGCCGAAAAAAATCACCTTCAATCGTGGGGAAAAAAAGGAAGGGTAAAAATCTTTCAAACATAAAAATGATCAAACGATTGTGGATGAGTTCGAAAAACAATTCTCGAACTAAGAATCGAGGACTTACAGTTTACTTTAGTTTGTAAAAGAATAAAAAAAAAAAGAAGATAGAACTGGAACAAGCCAAGTAGCTCGATTTATATAAAAAAAAAAAAGTGAGAAAAGAACCCTCGCGCCGACAAGGAATAATTCGTCTTATCGATGGCACACTATTACATAGGAGGAAGATTATATGAGGTTCGATTTCACTGAAGTAGAAATCCATAACAAACTACCTCATTCTATGAAGAAAGAATAGGCAAAGAACTTATCTACCTAGACTAGTTCTATGAATACATGATAAAAGACTTAAAATAAAGGACACAGAAATCATTATATATATTAAAGGAAAAAAAGATAATTGACACGTGTCGCTAATTGAGACCATCAAGCATCACTTTTAACTTATTATCATTTTAGCCCTCAAAGTTCTATTTATGTGCTACTTTGTTTTCAATTTTATCGATTTTGCATTTTCAAGGACGATTAATTGTGTCTAATCCCCAAAGTCCCCTTGCCTATAAATGAGCCATAGGCATCTAGACATAATTTACGCATTTTTAATATATTTTTTAATCTAAACATAGCATTAGTTAGTGGTGACAATTTTTATTATAACAACTTTTCAAAATTTTTATTGTAATATTTTTGGCCAGATCTTACAAATATACATCTCATAAATAATATCAATACCTTTCATTTTGATCTAAAATTGATTAATCAAAAAATTTTTACGATTTTTTAAGAAATATTAATAACTATATTATCTAATTAATTTTTTTGGAAGATAAATTTTCAACATTAACAAACTTGCGCAAAACGTGGGACGCATACTAGTAGAGATAAAAAGGTAGAGAGGCGTCGGCCTTCTTTGGTTTGATGATGATTGATGTGTGTGTCTTTGTCTTGCGCGCGGCTGCCCTTAAATAGAAGAAGTGACCGTGGGTTTTCTTGGATGCAAAGTTAAGTCAAATACACATTCACCTAATTAATAGGAAATAGAATAGTATTTGTATTAGGAGATTCCCACTTATTTGGTCTTCACGTGAAATTAGGCAAATCCCAATTGTAGTAAAACTCCTTAACTTGCCAACAAAGTAATTAACTAACCCAATCACCACATTTAACCACGTAAGGAAATTGTGTGCAAACCAACTCTAATTTGTCCTTCAAATAACCTCACGTAAATATTACCAAATTAATCCCGATCCGATTGTGAATAAAATTACCCTTCAAATCAAACTCCTTAATTGTAGGAAACATCCTATAATTAACCATATCAAACCAGGAATCCTATTCTCATATTATATTCCTTCGAATGCATATTATTACCCCATCGGTCGGCGGTCGGAAATAAACTAAAACCTATTGGTGGTAACATAAAACCCCCCGAACGTTAACATGGAATGGAATGGGATGTGAACGTTAATAATCAAAAGGCTACCAATAATAAGCATTCGGCACAGCACTCACATCCACATAGTACCATCCAACCGGGTAAACAATATAAAATGGCACCCATGCATAGCGAGGAATATACTGATCAAATAAAGTTGCACGCTTACTACTTCGAGATGATGAAGATCTTCATCCAAAACTGTTAGTTGTGCCAGAACTTCTGGAACTGTACCGGTGTATATCAGTATTGTCAATATATCTATGTTGAACCTTAGGAACTGGTTGGAACTGAACCTTATGTGTAGGAACACTATTGTACTGCCCCTCACTAGCATTCTGAGTCTTAAAACTTGGAGTGTCACTGGAGCCTTTAACCCTTTCCTTGTCTGTCACCAAGTCTCGGCCATCAAACACTAATGGGAAAACATACTTGCGATCACAACGTACTTCGGGTTGACTGCCAAACTGAATAAACATAGGCTCTATGTTCTTGCAACCATCATCTGCGGCAACACTCTCTTGGGTGTCAGTGGCCTTAGCATCAACTGTCGGAACAACAGATTTTCTCTTGTGGTCAGCCTCATGCTGGATAGTCACATCATTAGTGTTCCTAACCGGGACACTGTTAGACTTATCACAAGTGGTCTTTGCCTCAAATGCTCTAACCCCGCTAGGACGCATATCTGAAGGTGTAAGCATCTTCGACCGAGCTCAGGTGAAATGCTTCTTTTCTCGACCAATCTTGGATTTCAACAACTTACAATCATTAATCAAGTCAAATCTCCATTCTACAGTAGCAACATAATTTAACCAAGCATATGTGCCAGCTTGAGATTCATATGAAACACTTGTTCCAACCACTGATTCTGCATCACAATTGTCAAAATCAATCCCACGCAACCGAGGCACAGAATTGGCCATATCAGCACAATGAAAATCATGTGGCACATGTTTCCCTTTACGTCGTTTGCTCCTTGTGGAACCCCTTCTATCATAAAGCCGTGCATAAGTACAATTCCGCTTAGCTAGGGAAGAATCTGCCACTTTATCAAGCTCATCGACACTAGTATCGCATGGTCTATCATGAGTGGCAACATGTAAACATTCAAGTGGCTGGTCGTCTGTATCTTTCTTTAGAACCTCATCAGGTAGAGAAACTGGCAATTCATCTGACACAGGCAAATTAACATCAGAGACTATCACAAGACCTTGTTCCTCTTAGCACTTGTAGTTATCATCACCTAAACCCTTGGTAACAGAAGTGGCAAGTTGAGAACCATCATAACTTTCAAAAATAATCTCCTCAATGTCGCCGTCACTGCTCAAAGAATCACACAATGTCCTGTAATCAACTGCAACAAGGACTATTTCACAAAGAACAGGCTCACACGGTTTACCCATAGGATCAAGATGCTTTTGCTAGAGATTATCATCTATAATGTCACCAATCGACAATGACTTAATCGCTAAATTCGTAAGTAATTCCTGTGCCAATCGAATCTGTGACTGTGGCACCACTCGCTCACAATGTGCCTGCAACAACCCTTGCTGGTACTGTGACTGCTGCAACACCTACAAATCATGTAACTGTAGTTGTGACAAAACATGTTGAACCTGTGCTGTTGGCTTCTGCTGGTACTGCAACACCTTTGAACTATGCACTTGCGGCACATCTTGCTGTTATATTGTCTGGGCCTGTGACAATGCCTGCAAATACTGTGATGACGACTGCAACTCTTGTTGATATTGTACCTGCAACACATGTTGTTGCTGTGCCGACGACTCTACTTGTTGATATTCAACCGGCAACACATGTTGTTGCTATGACAGAGCATGCTGATACTGTGCCGGCAGCTGAATTTGCTGATATTGTGCTTGCAACACCTGTTAATATTGTGTCGAAGGTTCTATCATGTTGTAACCATCAACCGACATGTTGTGACAACCATACGCTTGACTGCCAATAGCGGCCAGCCCCCCGAGACTTGAGAAATCTTGCTCCGTAGAGTCCTTATACCATTCGGCAACACCACCAAATTGCCAATTAACATTATATTGATCATAAGAGTGGGAATAATAGTCATTAGAGGCATCCGGCCATTCACTAGTACTATCGACCATTGGAGAAGTATAATCGAGATGTGAAAACATGGACTCATGAGAGATTTGTCCACCAAGTGGTGATGAGCTATAAATATATGAAGATTGGGGATTATCAGGTGACCCATCGTATGGGGAAGAGTCATAGATCGAATGCCTAGGGCTACTAAAACTATAAGTATGGCTATCAAAATAGTCCATAATGAAAAGGAAAAATAAAGATTTTTTTTTCTCGGAAAAGAGGAAAAAGTCCCACGACTTGGAAAAATCAAATCAAAATTTGTCCCACTGGGCGTGCCATTATGTTTGTGCCGAAAAAATTACCTTCAACTGTGGGAAAGAAAAGAAGGGTAAAAATCTCTCAAACATAAAATATCAAACGATTGTGGATGAGTTCGAAAACAAGCCTCAGACTCAGAATCGAAGACTTACGGTTTACTTTGGTTTGTAAAAAATAAAAAGAAAAAGAATAAAATGAAAGAGATAGTGGAACAAGTCAAGTAGCTCGATTAACATAAAAGTGGGAAAAAGACATAGCGCCGACAGGGAACTCCCGATCGATTGCACGCTCTTACAACGACTCAGATATTAACGCCGACTAGACGTAGCACGCTATAACATGGACTAGAGACACTAGCGGCGACACGGAAGTCCATATCGATGGCACGCTATTACAGAGATATGGAATTCACTGTAGTAGAATCCATGAACGACTTTCTATTTATATGAAGGAAAAACAGGTAAACACCTATAGTGCGATAGGGCTTACATCGGGAAAGACATAATAAAAGACTTGAATGAAAAGGGCTGAAAAGATAAAGAAGCTATATCGAAAAGGACATAATGAATAGAACAGGATTGAATAGGGCTGCTAATTTGGTCGGTTCGGCTTGATTCGGGTGAATTCGGTTCAGGTAATTCGGTTTTTTTATTTTCCTTCACCCGCCCGAAACCGAACCGATATTTCGCTTCTCCCGAACCGAACCGACCGATTAACAATCGGCCTAATCGGGTCGGGGGCCGTTTAAACCGAAAAAATGCCAAAAAATTAGGCCATTTTTCAACTGCTGAATGCTGATAAAAAAATTTATCAAAATAATGTACTAACAAGTAACAACAATCAACTTACACTCAGAATAATCAAGTGGTAAGATATATAATTCCCAATAATATAGAATCTGCATTCAAAATTGAATTATTTGGAAACTCTGAAACTAAAACTTTAGATCTGGTTTAGGAATCTCTCCGCCACCACCGCTCCTTCGCCGCCACTTCTGAACAAACCCCTCTCTGCCGTGTATTTCACCACCCCGAATTTCTTCCTCCTCCTCTTTCCTTCCGCTGCATAAATACCATCGGAGACGACGACATTACCAGGAATGCTCTTCTCCCAACCACTTTCCAAAGAGAGATGATTCCTCCATTAAATACCCCTGTTTTCTGTCTGGAAATGAAAACCCAAACGGGGGATTTGACTTTTTTGGATAATCAATCAATCCAGAACGTGGATTAGAGTAATTCGGAAGAAATTTATTTGGTGTAACAGACGCCATCACCTAGAGGGTGAGATTCAGTAATTAATTAAGGATTTTCGAAGTTAGATCTGGAATTGAAAAAGAAGGATATGATTTTCAGATTCGTTGAACTAATGAGGAAATCTGAAAAAAAAGGAAGAGAGAAAGGAAGAAAGGACGAAGGAGGAGGGCGACGGCGTCGAAGAAAGGAAGGAGGAGGAGAGAAGAAATTCTAGATCTAGAAAAAAGGAGGAGAGGAGGGCGGCGGCATCAAAGGAAGTAGGAGAGAAAATGGGGAGAAATAAAAGAAGGTTATATATACCTAATAAAAAATAATTATAAAAATTGAATTAATCGGGTAATTCGGGCAGCCCCGATTAATATTCCCCAAAACCGAAACCGAACCGTATATTCTAATCGATTTGTCGGGTATAGCCAAAATTCACCCGATTTAACCGATTACCTGACCCGTAATGGCCGAATTAATTTCGGATCGGGCGGGTTTTCGGGTCTGACCGATTAACTAGCAGCCCTAGGATTGAAAATAAAGAAAATGATAAAAGAGGCGTCGGAGGCCTTTGATGTTTTGTTGGTGTGATCGAGAGATGATGTTGATGTTGCGCGACTGCCTTCTTATATAGAGAGGATTAGGGCGCAGCTTTCTTGGAGAGAAAGGTAGGTCGGCCGCTTCTTGATTCCTTGGAGGAAAAGACTTCAACTCGGAGTAGACTTTTTGTCACCTTCCCTTATTAAACCAAATCCGACTGTGAATGGAATTAGCAATCAAATAAAACACCTTAATTATAGGAAACATCTCATAATTAATTATGTGGGCGATTGATCATGTTCACACTCTCGGGTTCCTCTGACTTCCGACTTGGACGCACCGCCGATTTCCGAAACTTCTTATTTGCGGGCCAATTCATATCACTTGTTGGGCCGACACCATTGACGAAATTGGTGTCAACACCATGAACACGATTGCATCTCAATTACAAAAACACGTTTCAAATTGATGTATGAAGATAGAATTGTTAGTAATGAATGGAATTATTACTTAAATATAAGTAATTAACAGTCCCCCTTATCCAAAAATAAATAAATTAAATAATTCACATTGAATATTGAGAATTTTTTTTTTTCCCCTTCTTCTGTGACGGAAGTTTTTAATGATAGTGTTAATTGATAAGGTGAGTGCTGAATTAAAATTCAGAAGAACAGACTCAGACCAATCCTCTCTCTTTTTTCTTCAACATGATGTTTCATTTTCTATTACTTCCGTATATGATCCCATAAACAATATCCCAGTCGAGAATTAAAAAGATAGAACTCTTGTCAAAAACATCTTTCTTGTTACTTTTAGCCTTGTTATCATTTACTTACCTGTCTATATATTCACAAGCTTAAGAATCAAAGAAACAAATCCAACCCAGAAACAAAGCAGCTAGAAAACTTGTAGTGCTGCTAATGATAAATGTGTTTCCAATATATCTTCGATGACTTGGGGACTACTTAAACTAGCTGAAGAATTAACGAAAAGAAATAGCTACGATCCAAAAGATCCCAGAGACGCATTAATTCAGGCGGAAGGACTTCAAGAAGACGAAACATTCAAGTGTACTCTTGTTTTGGTACAATTGTTTCCCATACGAATTAATCTTTCAATTGAAATCACTTTAATATCGTTATGCAGTCATAAGCTTTTTAACATTTCAAAATTATTGTACTGTTTAAAATTTTTAGCTATATGCAAAATTTTAGTTTTCCTTGCATTTTGTTAATCCTATTTTGACAATTTAAATTTTAAACTTAGCCGTATGTTATTTCTATCATATAAAAATAGTGATCAGATTGATAAATGAACTAAACTCCTATCTACTTTGCAGTATTAAAAGTTTAGCTATTAAAAACTAAATCTTAGTTTTTCAAAAAAAATAAAAATAAATGATGCAGGTCATGCGAGAGTTTCAATTTTATGTGCTCTTCGATTACAGCCTAGTGGTTGGAACTTGGAAGCTTCTGCTGAAGAAAGTAATTATCAGTGACCACAATCCAAGACTCAAAAAAACACTGAAATGAATGACCAGAATAAGACGAGAATGCATGCACTTTAATTAATGCCAGAAGCTGCTGCACTTTCTTGAAGCAAACGGAAAAACACTTCAACATTACAACAGTGTCTTCTTCACATTTGGTTCCACTGGCAGGGCAGACAATCAAGGGAAAGGCCACCTGATAACTTCCATTTCAGGGCTTCCAAAAAACTCAACACTGCTGAATTTGGAATGTTTAGGCTAGGTACAAACTAACTTAAAGCTTCACCTTCATTTCAAGAAAGTCTTCATCAAATTGATAACACATCATATAATGTGATGCCTAATGAGGGGGCGAGTGGACTCCGCATTTTTTAAACCTCCGGAACAAACATCATCTGACTCTCCCTGATCAGCAATGCTTTCTCTTATCTGGGATCACAAGTTGGGGTCAAAAGCATTTTGGAAAAATCTGTAATTAGTTTGATTCAACGAGATTCAAACAAGTTGCGTACCTGGTTTTCGAGCTCCCGAGAGTGAGCTCAAGATCATCTGAACAATCTTCATGGATTCTCTCTCCTTCCCATGGCTTAACTAAGCCTCCTTTAATGCTTCCAAAAGCAAACTCATCTGATATCACTTCCGCCATTGGGACATCTGAGCTAGCAGGTATAGCCGGCGAGCAGGTACCGCTTTGTCCAGGAGTGCACATGCGAGAACTGCCTTGTGTCATTGATTCAAATTTAAAGCCAAATGGAGTAGAAGACACAAGACTGAATGTTGGTGATGTTGGTCCGCTGTGTGGTATTTGCATTCCTGCAAACCACGCAGAATCAGGGAGGGCTTGACGCCCTGGGCTTGGAGGTGTAGATAAGGGAAGGTAGGGGCAGTGAGATCCCCAACTTGCACGAGCAGAGGAATCCTCCCAGTCAGTTTTCAATCGTGGAGTTCGGGCAGTTGGAGAGCTCAAGGGAGGGGTGACAGGAGCGCTGATGGAACCACCAAAATACAGATGCTGGAATTTGGAGGACGAGGACGAGGATGATGCAGATGAGAGATTTTTCAGCCAGGGGATAAGAGAATTGCCATCACCATTCAGATTAGCAGTATAAGGTGAAGAAGCTGGGCTTGGAAAGGAAGATGAGGCAGGACTGGGATTATAAGATGTTCCAGGGCTTGGATGATAAGATGAGCATGGACTTGCTGATGTTGATCCACCCAAAAAATCCAATCTGTCCACTGGTTTGCATCCCTGTAAATGAAAACTTGTAAGAAGGAATGGAACATGTACCCAAAAAAAATTCAGAACCAATAGCACATATAATGGCAGTGATTAGAAGAATACAAAAACACGAGCACAGAAAATAATATGCGACAATGCTCATAGTTTCTTCCTTGATGCAATGCTAGTCATGTGAAACTTAACGATCTTTTCTGGACATCAAAATTTGGCAGAAAGCTGATGCCATTTTCCGGTTGAATCCTATTACCATTACAGTATTACTACCACTTGTATCATATCAAGCACAGTATCGAATAACACAAATGGAATACGAAAAGTAAGAATCTAGCTTCACAGGCTTCCATCAACAAGTGAATGTTGATCTTTCTAAGGAAGATCCGACCAGTTCAAGCAACCTTATGCCTTGTATCCTTAAAAAAGGACGGCTTAGTTCTACGGCCAGGATCAGTAGGTGCAGGAATACTAGGGACCAACGACCTGATGATACTTGTAAAATTCTTTAAATTGCAAGAGTTACAATCCGGTAAATTAAAGCTAAGGTTTCAAGATTGTTAGGTGATTCAAACTCTGTGTTTCATGGACCTTTTAGCTCCACTGAATTTTACATATCCCCCAGATTTCGAGGATCTCAAACAATGGAATACTTGGTCACTGATTAACAATCTTACAGAGATCCATATTATCTTGGCAAATTCAATAACAAACCTACCGCTGAAAGTTAAAACTGTAGTTTTACAAATCTGTAGGCAGCATTATGCGTTGACGATATGTCCTGGGAAAGAAACAGAACATACTTTCTCTCAGGTCTCATCACCTTCAATTATTGAACTTGTGCTAGAACCACTATAGTTTCCAATCAGTTTTTCTTTTCTCACTTTATTTCTCAGCCTCCATTATTGCTCTAGTGCTAGTACAGATGCCAAGTTGCCAACCAAGTATCTCACAGGTTTCTCAATCTGAAATTATTGCACTTGTGATACATCATTCTAAACCAGTTACAGCTTACAACCGGTTACAGTTTCCAACCAAAACGAAGCCACAAAAACAATGCAACTATGCTAAAAGAAAGTATGCAGTTTTACTTTCAGTCCATCACGAGAACAGTAAAGAGATCTAAAGTAAGCAAGCCCATATGATCAACTCTTTTTGCTGAAAAAGGAGCCCTGTCTCTAGTGGCAAAAGTAAAGCCTACTGCACTAAGATGGAATTCAACAAATTATCCACCATGGTTAAAAAGAACAAGAAAGAGAGAAGCATGTAATCATTCAGAAAGCACTTTTACAGTTTTCTCTTCAAAACTCCCTGTGACCCCATGAAGGACCCACAAACACATGGGAATCCCAAGGGAGAAGTTAGTAGTAGCAGTAAAATTTATGAGGCCACAATAGTCCTTCCAAGATCCCAATGCCACACATTAACAAGATTGGAAGAAGTGAAAAAGGAAATACACCATCTTGGTAGAATCTTTGAAACACAACACTAGTCAGTAGTCAACAACAACGGAAAAGCTTTAAAGAACTGGTGGTATGAATTCTCTGTATTATTTTTTCTTTTTTTTTTTTTCTTTGCTTAGTTCTTAGCAAAATGCAGAGCATCTAAAAACTAAAGTAAAAAAAGTGATAACATTCGATATTCTTAACAAACACCTGATCTGTGATCGGTCAGAAGATCTCAACACACGCCATCTTTTGGTGTTTTATAGACAGTGATAATCTAATCTAATAATAATACTATCTATAAATATATAGCTGACATAAACAAATAGTAAATTCATCCGGCGCACATTAGCAATGGAAGGACAAACTTCGTTCGGCAGTTAGCCTGCTTACGACTGCGATTCTTTCTTACACACCAAAAAAAGGACTGCCAGAGTCGGCAGCAGCAACAACCCACTAAAATGCACCGGTCAGTCAGTAGAGCCACCCATGGCAGTTTTGTAAGCATCGGAATATATACATCAGCAGAAACAAACGAATGCCAAATGACAAGAAAAGGAAAAAGAAACTTTGCTAACGTGCACCACACAGACACCATCATTTGGTGGTTTCGGGATTCAGGGAACAAACTGGCGCATTTTAAGCAACAAAAGAAAAGTGATAGAAATGCTAAATTGATTAACCCAAATCATCTATCTTTAAAGCCTGTCTCTTTTTTTGTTTTCGTTGCTGACCCACATACTATTTTTTTGAGTGAAAACGCAAAAGCTACAGTTTTTCAGTGAAAATAAGCAACAAAAGCTACAGTCTTTTAAGTACTCTGTTTTCATGAAAGAACTACTTTAACGTCACGGAAATTTTTATCTTGCTAAATGATGCGTGAAATTGAAGTCCGAAACAGAGAAGGAAATAAGGGGAAAAAAATGAAAAAGAGAAAAAGAAAGAATAGTACTTTACGGTAAGTGGTGCCGTCGGGCTCAACAGTCCAGCCGGCCTCGTTGCAGAGTGCTTTAAGAACCTCGTTATTGTCGCAATGCTTTGGGAGTTTGTAGTTCCCAAACATCCTGAGGCCGGCAAATATATTCGCCGCAATGGCTCGCCGCCTCCTCTCCCTTCTCTTGTTATTCTCCCTTTCCTTCCACGTCGGTAGCCTCGTCCCCGACGTCATCCTCTCTATCCCAGAAATTCTTTTTTAAAAGGAATGAAAGCCCAAAAAAAGGACTAGGATCTTAGGTAGTGTAATCAGTAATGGAGAAAAAAAACTCAAACAGTCGATAGACCCATTTAAAAATGAGTTGGGTTCTTCACAGGGAGAACGAAAGAATCGATTTTTATGATTTGGGGTGGTGATCCGAGGCGAAGAAGATGAAGGAAAAAAAAAAGTTGTGAAAGGAGTAGGGAAGTTTATGATGGTCTCTTTTGATGTTTTGAGGAGGGAAAGCTATTGCTATGATGAATGATGAATGATGATGATGGATAATGATGAGTCAATTTGGTTGGACTCCCCAACCCGGGAACTTGAGGGGGGAGAGTGTATTGTTGAGGTTGAAAGTTGAAAACTTAGAAGTGTTTTTTGAGGTTTTGGCGAAAGTGCCCTTTTTACCACTCTTACTTTGTGTGTGTGTGTGTGTGAACTTTGAACTTTGAAGGGTTGGAGAGATGACCGAAAAAGTGAAGGAAACAGAAACATATGAGGGGAGTTATAAAAAAGACTAATGAGTAAAAACGGTGAGGGATTTTCACTTTATCAAATTTTGGGGGGGTTCTTTTTTTCAGCTGTTAATGCTGACCAAAGCTCTTCCTTTGTCGTTGATTCCTGATATGGAACTTGAAAGATAGAGAGCATATGTCGGGATAGGGAAACAAAAGAAAAGATCTTTGGCTGTTTGATTCCCTGATTTTGCTTCTCTTTCTCTCACTTTTTTGCCAAGTATGAAAAACTCACCTCCTCCTTACTGCTAATCTAAAGTCTCCAAGTTGTGGCTGACCCTAAATTGAAGTAGTTGAAATGGTTATTTTGTAATGGTTATTTTGAAAGTGTTCATCATATCTTACAACAATACGTCATTTTTTCATTGTACAACAGTAATGTGCACATGAACAATGACTTACTTTGGTTTTTCCCCCCCTGTGATGATTAAATGTAGGATATGTTTTCTGTGGTAGAGTAATAATTTCATGCGTAGAAAAGTGATAAAGGGGAGCATGATGAGAATAGAGGGAAAAGGGAACATGATTATCCTACACCAAAAAAGGGGCAATTTAGGTATCCGAGGAGTAACAATTTTTACTTTGAAGATATAGTAACTAATTATAATGAAAAAGTATAGTGACTAATGAAAAAAATAAATATACTAGTCTCACTAAATATGTGTACTTATTAATTAAGGGTAGAATTATAATTTTTAGGGAAAAATAAAATTTTAATAAAAAAATAACAAAAAATTAAAGGCCAAGAATACTCCACATCACTCACTATCTTTTTTTCACTAGATATATCATTTTCCTTTTTCTTTATGCCTTATCTGTCTATGGATTTTAGTTAGTTACTACTAAACCGGGTTTGAAAATGAACCTGAAAGCAACAAATGGGCATACGTCCTCCGACATGGCTTAGTGGATATCAGGGCCCACACGAGTAGGAGCCCAACCAGAAGGCGTGACTAGCTGACGTAAGATTGCCACTTGGCAGGCAAATGTTGTTTTTACTCGTAACCGTTTCGTTTCTCTTAATTTTTTTTAAAAAAAATTAAGATTAATTGGGAAAAAGAAAAATAAAGAATAGACAGTCACGTGGAGGAGGTCGGCGCACGTGGTCGAAGTCCATCAATTTTTATCACACTATGCTTCCCAGAAGTAACGACTAATTGAGTGATGATGATGAACAAGCTTAATGGACTGCGGGCTCGAAAGACGAAATGAATGAGGGAGGAGGAATTAGTGAAAGTTGGGAGGAGCTCTCAGACATAATTATTTGTGAAGGGACAGTTTTGTTGTTTGGCTGGTTTAGGCAAAATCGTGTTGGTTTTGCAGGAGTTGTATGCATTTTTTGAGGACGATCAATTAATGAGGGGATATACATTAGTTAATTTTGGTTCACCCAAATAAGGAAGGCGTCTCTCTGCCCAGAATGTGTGTGGATATAACTGAATGTCTTTCTTGTTGAACGCAGTGGCGGAACTAGGATTTCATATAGCCATATCTACAATTCGAAAGGAGCGATTGAATATACAACAACTGATTAACGACTTTACCCCAAAAGATCAAGGAGAAGGGTTGGATGCGCTCCATTATGAAAAAGAGGTTCATCGTTCGGATTCTTATTTTGGACAACCACAATGTTACATAGACTGAACTATATAGCTCAAAAGATGAAGTATATGTATGTATGACCAGCAGTGAGGCATTGTTGTTTGGGTTGCATCAAAGCTTGGTCTGTGTTCAACAATCTTTGTATTGACCATGCCAACCACACACGACCTTTTTAAGTCCTCAGTCTGGTTGAGTTTTGATTCATTTAGGTACTACTTTACAAAGTAAGAGGGACCAGAAGAAGATGAAGTGGGCTCAGATTGTTGTAAACTTATATGCCAGCCTCCCACACAGCCCCCCCTGCAATCCTGCTGCTGCCCTCCCCTCATTAGCTACTCATAGATCCCAATAGAAACCAATGATGGCTCCATTCGGACAATCAGTTCTGACGACATGCTTCTATCTCTCTGACCATTTAACTATGATTGAGGAGGATGGGTAATATCATTAACCTTGAACAAAATTGATGCCATAGCCATTCCCTACCATTTCTCAGGATGTAAAAGATAACCTGCTGAACTCTGAAGCTTCGAAATTGAAGCTTCAGCCTTTAAGGTGTTGAAGTGACCGTGTCACTTAAATTGACAGCCTCCGTCAGCAATCGATTAACAGAATCCTTTATTTCTTCAGGCACAACTAATTCTGGAGGTACCGACTCCATAGCGTATTGAGGAATGACTCTCATTACCATAGCCAAATCTAAATACTTGTTGTCCACTTTCCATCCATTCAGATTCACAAACTTGCACGACTGCTTTAGGATGCATTTGTTGCAAACCTGAGGCAACCAGAAGATGGATTTTCAGATTCAAACTAGGGGAGAAGCGAGGGCAATATTTTAATATTTGAAGGCAGAACAATCGGATAGCCAGTCAATAAGAAAATTAACTCACAGTGTTCTCATGAATTCCAAAAAACCTACGAAGTCCTTTAGCTGAATATACAATCTTTTTTCCTAGGGAAGGGCAACCAAAACTGGCCACCTTTTTCAAGTCACTCCCAGACAACCACCTGCGACCGAATTCAGGTCATTAATACAGCAAAGACGGAAAGGCTACAATTGTACGATCAGAATTGCAATAAAAGATTTCAGAAACATGTAGTGGCAGTGATGCATCGTGAAACAAACCCTCTAAACTATCAAATACAACATTGCAGTAGCAGTAACCTTCTGCTACTCTTAGATCATCAACTTAGTTTTATAGGTCCAAGATGGTCCCCATTTCCCTCCTACAGAAAAATTACTGTGTGTTCACATTCATCCTATCTCCAAGACTAATATAAAGAAAAGATCACTAAGACGAAGCAGGAGTGTTTAAGGCTTTAAGAAAAGATGACTGAAAAATTAATAAAAACAAAAAAGCAAAAAACAAAAAGAAAACACTTGGGCATATTTAGTTGCCTATGGAACTCTGAATCAAATAGTTTAGATTCATTTCCACGATTTCATGGTTTTGAAATTAAAACAAATACAGATAAATGAATATGAAACCAAAAGAAATCCAGAATTAGCTCCAAAATCCTTTGGACCCAATATAAACTTCTATAACAGCAAAAACACCCTCTTAGAAATAAACAACAAGTTAAATAAAAGAAACTCACGAGGCTCGAATTGTAAAATCAGAACTACAAAAGATTTCAGAGAAATGCACTGATATTGACACACACTAACTCAAAACCTCTAAACTGCTAAGTACTCTAGGGTCATCAACTCAAGATTTATAAAGGGCAACGTATGATCTCCGTCTTCTTTCCTTGACAGTGCGTTAAAGGCGAAAGCATAAACCGGAGATTAAGCAAAGAATTAGAAGGAAAAAAACACTTGGGCATGTACTTGCTTGAATCAAATGCATAGATGCATTTCATTTGTTTGCAATTCAACAATCACAGCAGAAATGAACATCGCACCAAAGAATTAGCACTGTGATCTGTCTGGACCCAATTTAAACTTCTCTTTAAGAAAAGAAATTCTTCAAAATTTAAGCAATACCACTCCATAAGGTTCACAAATCAGCATCGTATTGCCTAAAATGTATTCTTACTAATGGAATTATGTGAACATAGTTTGAAGGAAAAACTATCGTCTCTACATAATGAACCAACAAATATGTTTTACGTATAAAAATAAAACAAATACACATTATTACAATAAAACAAATACACATTATTACACTTCCTAAGTCACTTATGTATTTCCCTAATTGTAACTGAAGTATGCATCAAGCCAAAAGGAAATAAGAAAATTTTTTCCAGCATTTCCCGAAGCAAGCAAGATACACCTAACTTCTAGGTCAAAAGAAATGTGTCATCATACAAAGGAAACATATGACCAATTGCTTCAATTTTACAACGCAAATTCTGAAGCCATAAAATTCAAACAGATGCTGCACTGAAAAAAAAAAAAGGCCATAAATTCTTACTTAGCAATCTCTCGGTTATCCCTGCCAAACTGCTCAGCCGCATATCTGATGTAATCTTTGGCGTAACTATTCTCAAAGCAAGTAATGTCGAACCTGTTTCTCGTCAGAAAGTTGGAATCATTAAAATACCCTTTTTCATACAAATAAATCACGAACTTTTCCATTTCTGGGGATAGCGGCTTATAATCTGAATGATCCATTTCCAGCTCCTTTTTCTCCTTCAAAGCATCTCGATCACGCCTAGCCTTGCTAGCAAACAACGAAGACAAAGATAATCCTCTTTTAGAGCTAGATTCCTTCTCACTCTGTTCCATAACCCTTTTGACACCTTCCTCGGAAGTAATAGACAGATTCTTGAACAGCTCTTCAACCCTTTTGATTCCATCCTCCTTACTCTCCTCGGTATTCTTCGAATTTCGCTCTGCAAACCTCAATTCTCCCTCTAGATTCTTCAATTTCTCCTTCAACTCTGCAGCATTCTCGTCCTCCCCTTCAATTTGGGTTTCGTCATCATCCGGGGTCTTTTCCTGAAGTCCCACCGCTTCCTTGAAATGAATACTCAGAGATTTCTTCAGTTCCCTCTTTACCTTAACATCATCTCGTGAGGTAATCGGTTCAGTGCTTTCATTTTGAGCCCAAAATGAAAACGGCCGTAGGGAGAACGATGGGCGATGTGAAGGTATCCAATGGGGTAATGGAGGAGAGGATTCAAAAGGGTTTCTCAATCTGAGAATCGTGTGATAGTGGTGGCTACGAACGATTCTACGAATAATCATCAGCTTTCTTTGAATCCCTCTCCTACCACGTTCTGCCTGAAATTGTTGGAAGGAAGTTCACGATTTGGAAAGGGGTTTAGCCAGGGTTTACATTACATTACTTATTAGCAATTTAACAAGACGGGCTATTTTTAGCTTGCGTCTCGAGGAGTCTTTGGGCTGTTTTGTTTTATAGTCTTAGGCCCTCTAGATTACTGAACTTGGATAACACCAAAAACTTGAGCCTACTACAGTTATATTCATATTTATGGACAACATTTTGTTTTATTTTTTTATTTTTTATTTTTGGATTTGAGATATGAATTTTAATGATTTGAGTGAAATTTTTAAAAAAAATGTATAGATAATTTTTTTATATTTAAAATATAAAAAGGGGGCAAATGGCAACGTAAACAAATAATCCGAAGTGTTATTGAGTTCAAGAAAATGGACTTAAAAATAAAAATGGTCAACTTCCACGTGTTGGAACCCAATCATTAAAAATTAGTACTCCACAAAGTATCAAAAGGAATCCATTGTTAAAATAAAAACCACATGGCCGGTCTGTTGATGGGTTCCGGTAGTCCTCCGCGTGAAACAGAAAATACAAAATTCATGGCCGATTTGTTGGATGCCCTATTCATACACGACACTCTGCACCCCCTCTTCGAATTTATATTACAGTAATAATGTACTAGTAAGTAGTATTAGATACAGAATATTATGCAGTAAATGAGAGAGTAATTACAAGAAAATTTTGTGTAGAGGTTAATTGTATACTAGAAGCGATTGGTACGTTGAAAAACGTGAACTCGTAGGTGTACCGGAGAAGATATGGTCAAATATAACTTTTGTTGACTTTGAACTTAGACAGTGGGAGGGAAATTCAAATCACAAGCATCACGATACTATGGCAGGATATAAATTATTTTATTTTTATTTTTTAAAAAAAAAAAAAACACATGGCAATGTAAACAAAAATACGCAAATAGCACTAATCCGAAATTATTGAAGGAAAATGAAACTTCCAACCCAATAATTAATTACTCCACGAGGAATCCATAAGAAAGATAAAAACTACATTAATTAATGGTGGTCTGCTGATCGGTTCCGGTGGTCCACCATCTTCATCACCGAAATACTATCAAAAATTCCTTTTCGTCCAAAACGCCGGAGAATTCCCACATGGTTCATCATTTCAACTATCTATTGCTGATTCCGTTAATGGTTGCTGCTGCTGCTGCTGCTGGTGACGAGTTCATGAACGAAAACTCGCAGCTCTTTCCCAGCGCAGCAACCACCGCGATTCATCTTCCCTCGGATCCTGTCCCTCCGTCCTGCCCTGCTCTTAATCCCAACCTCAATTACCGTCCGGTGATCGGAATTCTTAGTCACCCCGGAGACGGAGCTTCCGGCCGCCTCAGCAACGATACGAATGCTTCTTACATTGCGGCTTCGTACGTCAAATTCGTGGAGTCCGCCGGAGCCAGGGTTATTCCCCTTATCTACAATGAGCCTCCACAACTTCTGGAAAAGGTCGTTTCTTCCTTCTCAACTTTTTTTTTTATTTTTTTATTTTTTGGTTAGAATTTTAAATTTTTGTTCCCCGGGTTTCATCTGTGAAAGTGGAAACATTTTTGGGCCCATTTGCTTTGTTTGTTTTTTTTTAATGGTTTTTCCAGAATTATTGCTCTCCATGTCCCAAAATTATTTAATACAATTTGAACTAGAAATGAAAACCCAATTTGTACAATAATTATGGGACGGAAGGAGTAATTAATAATTGTCTCATCCCAACATATCTTTTTACATTTCTAATACAAAATATATCTAAAAGCACACACCGAAAAGAACAAAACAAACATACCCTCAAGTTTTCCTGAATTTACATTACTTTGGTATGTTTTTTTATGTTTTTTATTTTGGTCTCCTGTTACAATTATTTCACCAATTTAGCATCTTCAACAATTTGACGGGGATGGTTAAAACATGTTTCGCTTTGTTGTTTTGCGGAAATGCCTGTAACACCCATTGTAAGTAGCTCAATTTTATAGTTGATTTTTAACTTTTTTCGTACAATTTCACATATTGACTATTGACGTTTTTGACAAGAAAATTTTTTTTTTTTTTTCCTTTGGAAAGAGTGAATTTATATTACTAGTTTGGAGTCTGCCCGTTCAAAAACATTTCTGTTTTGGTGCTAGTTTTCGCTGTGATTGAAACATAATCTGTGACTTACAAATATAAAAATGATACCTTTCCTGTGGAATTGAGTAATGAAATCATCATATTACTAGTTCATTCAACTTTTACAATCTGATTCTAAGTTGTTACCGATCAAGCCATTTTGCTGTGTGTTTGTTTTTGTTATGCAGAAACTTAATCTAGTCAATGGTGTGCTCTTCACTGGCGGGTGGGCTAAAACTGGTCTCTACTTCAGTACAGTCCAGACTGTGTTTAAGGTTTATGACAACGCTGATAAAATGACTCCAACTTCTGCGGCATCAATATTGTTTTACTATAGATAAGCTTGGATGATAAATAATACGTACTGTTCATTAATTTACATTTTTTTCCAGAAAGTTTTGGAGAAAAATGATGCCGGAGACCATTTTCCAGTGATTGCTATCTGCTTAGGCTTTGAACTCTTGACAATGATCATCAGCCAGGTAATGCATTTTTTGGTTCTATAATGCTTGGTTATTATCATTCTCGAATAGTGTATTGTTTTATTGATTGTTACTCGGACGGGTGGAAGTCAAGTTAGTTCGTTTTGGTACACTTTCTGAAACAAACTTTTTGGGCGTGTAGAACCAAAGCATTCTCGAGCAATTCAGTGCAGCTGATCAAGCGGCTACGCTCCAATTCATTGCAAACACAAATCTTAATGGCACTGTATTTCAGAGGTAATATAATGAGTGTGCAACTTTGAGCTAGAGTTGGTCATCTGAGATGATGTAATTTGTACCGTATTCTGATCTTCGGAATTGCGTTTCTCAACTCCTTATTGATTTACGTGGCTTAAGGTTACATATGAAATATAGCATTCTGAACTTTTATGAAAATGAATCCATTGGTGTGAAGATTTTGTTCCTCGTACAAACAATGACATCATAGTATTCAACGATGCATTTTTAGCTTTGAAATTCTTTAAATTATCTCAGTTTAGTTACACAATTTGTGACTCTTAGTTCCATTTTACCTTGACCCGCAGATTTCCTCCTGATTTGCTGCAGAAGTTGAGTACAGATTGCATTGTGATGCAGAATCATCATGTATGTGATCATTTATGAATTATAGATAACAATCCTGTACAGTAACTTAGCTGGATAAAGATATTCATATACTTTCTATGAAGACTTAGTCATCCCGATGCGCTTAACCAGCAAAAGAAAATCTGATATTTCTGTTATGCTATGAAACAGTAATGTATATCACCCGAAAGGTTTCGAGAGAATGCTGAATTATGTAAGTTCTTTAAGATAGTCACGACTAGTGAAGACGAGGACAATAAGGTAACTTGTTTATGTAATTTCATACTGTCGAACCTTGTTTCGTGGTAATTTAACTTGTCTCAAATTTTTTTTGTTCATGTGTTAGGTCTATGTTTCTACAGTTATGGGACAGCACTATCCTGTTACTGGCTTTCAGTGGCACCCAGGGGTATAAGTTTTACTTCACGGTGGAACAAAATTTTCATATGTAAATGGAATGCTGATGGTTGTGTTACATCTTTTTATCTTATAGGACATCCGCGTTTTACGTCAGTTATTTTCACATCCTAGATTAGATAGATGGATCATGTTCTAATTGATCTAAACTCATGCTTTGAGAAATGGTGGAGTACTTGCTTCCAACGCAAACAATGCAGTTGTAAAAGTCATGATCAAAATTATGGATGCAATGATTCACCTGAATTCTGAATAGTAATGCCTGTCGTTTTTTGCAATACAGAAAAATGCATTTGAATGGGGATTATCAACGATACCTCACTCAGAAGATGCAGTTCGAGTAACTCAACATGTTGCCAATTTCTTTGTTAGGTAGGACACCATATCACGAAAAGTTTATAGCATAGCTGGTTTGATTTGCATAAAATTAAGACCTAGTTAGCAATCCTATGTAAGAGGTTTGCTCAAATTTCTTCCTGCTTGCACCTTCATGAGCTGCCCTCAGGGTCCTTTCGGCCCTTAGGTCAAGGAACTTCGCAGAGAAACCTTTGGTGCTTGGCTCTTTTACCCCTTGATGTTAACGTTTGAGGTTTTCCCTTGATTACAGTGAGGCTAGGAAGTCGTCGAACAGACCACCAGCTCGGGAGGTGCTGGACAACCTCATTTACAATTATACACCCACCTACGGTGGGAAGGCCGGGTGAGTTGGATGCGATGGGGATCAGTAATTGTGTAGGCTAAATGCTTCCCTTTTCGCTGCTCCCTTTCATTTTTTTTCTCCTCCTTTTGTTTGGTTATAAATGTAAGGGTGACTCAAAAATAACTTGGCTTAACTTTTGTTTTTGGTGTTGCTGTTGAAAAATGCAGGAGAGGATACGATGAAGTTTACATTTTCACTTGAATCTGGACGCGGGGAGTTATGTAATCTGTGGAGCATATGTAAGATGATATTATGATTGTATCTTAGCCCCGTGGGTTTGTCACATTATCATACTCCATTCTGGGCAGAAAGATCGTACCTGTTTTACTAAAACAAAAAGAGAGAGAGAGCTCTTAATTTATTCTTCTGCAACAGCAACTTGACATTCTGTTTGCGTTATCGAATGTACCTCATTTATTCTTTTGTTTGGGACATAAAGGGATCGAATGTGCCTCTTTGGTTACCTACAGTATGGATTGAATTCAATTGAAGTGTAACATTAGGAATGCGAAAGCTGAGAATTTGCAGCTCCAATTACTGCTAAAGATATAGAGGATCAGATCTCATGGAACATCTTATTTAGCCTAAGGCAAAAATTTGTACGCCTTTAGATTTAGGTGAATTAAATAATTCGATACAAATTTTGTAAAAATCCGTGATATAATATTTCGATCAATAATTCAAGTTATTATGTCACAAAATTATTGTCTTGTACATTTTCCTAATCTTATTCTCATTAAGTCATTAGGTAAACAATCAAATCAGACAATATGAATCAGGAAACCTTAATAATTAATTTGGAGTTGAAAAAGATGACATCCTCCATCCTAACTATGTGATCAAAACCCAAGAGGGAAAGAGCTATTGATGATTCATCATCACGTCAATGATATCGCCACTTAGCTTAATCAGACACCACAAACAACATAAACAAATCATCCCTCCCAATCTCATTCTCTTCAACAAACTGCCAAATGTCTGACCTCAGAATTCATTTCCAGTAATTTAAACCCCAAAAAAGAAAAACCCAGAAAGAATCCAAACAAATAAGAACTACCGGCGAATCACGTGAATCACAGAGTCCCCACCACCGAATCCCACCTTCATCGTTCCCATCCATCCTGTTGCATTTCGCCTGCTTCCTCAAGGAGACATTTTCTCAATTTTTCCCACCACCAACTCAAACACGCAGTCACGCAGTTGCTCTTTCAAACGTCTCCAATTCCGCCGAATCTTCCCGAATTCCGACGCCATTACCAGAGAGTTTCGAAGAATAAAGACAAAAACCCATCAAATTTTAGTTCAACCGATTTTAGCCCCTCCCCTTTTTCCATGTCAAAAATTCATCTTTTCTTCATCCCAATTCTACCCCTTTCCGAAACCAATCCAATTCGCTACCAACGACGCCGACGTTGCTCGGAATGAGTCCAACTCCGTCACCCTCTTCTTCCTCTGTTACTACTAATCAGTCTTCGTCCAATTCCACTCCCACGCTCCCGCCGATCAACCCCGCTTCTGCCGCTACATCATCTTCTTGCGATATGTTTAACTTGTATCATCTCTGGATTTCTTTATTGTTCGCTTCTACCAAAGACCTTGTGGCTGCCAGTGCATCAGCCGACAAGTTGGTTAAGGAAGAGTCGAGGACGACGCTGCTCTTGCCCAGCGAGAATCGTACGGGCACCACTGCTGTTATTCAACAACATCGAGCCAGCCCGAGCTGCCCTGCTCTTAATCCCAAGCTCAATTACCGACCGGTGGTCGGAATTCTTAGCCACCCTGGAGACGGCGCCTCCGGCCGGCTTAATAATGATTCCAATGCTTCTTATATTGCAGCTTCGTATGTGAAATTTGTGGAATCCGCCGGAGCTAGAGTTATTCCCCTTATCTACAACGAACCTCTGGATGTTCTAGAAGAGGTTTTGATTCTATCCCTTTTATCTTTTTTGAACTTATATATGCACTAAAGTTTCTATCTTTAGTTTCACTCATTTCTGTGGAAAAGGGTATTCAGAATAAGAAAAAAAGGCAACAAATTTGTGGCAAAAGATAGTTAAAATATGCTACTTTTTACTAATGGTGATTCGAGTTTGACCATATTTGAGAGAAATTTATATTTCATTGAATTTCTAGGTGGTGACTTTCCTTTTCTTTAAAGGGTTATACAAACAATGTACCTTTCCGTTGTAGTTCTGATTTAAGTACTATCTTTAGCTTTCTGTTCTTACTGCTTTGCATCAGTTAAACTTCATCTAATTATGCAGAGTCTGGGGAGTTTGTCCTTAATGGCATTCGTGTGCTTTTCGTGAAAGGTAAAAGCATTATGAGTTTGTAGCTACTTTTGACTGCGGCTGAAATATAACCTGGTAACTTAGAATTGTAGGATATTGGGAGAATAGGTTTGTTTCTGTTGATGTAACTCATAGTGTTGTTCTAGTGCTGTTGGTGCAACTTCTAGCATCTGTTTCTGAGGTTCTACCATTGAGTCATCCTACTAGTTTATTTTTATTGTTACTTTTTCCTTTACATTTGTTTCCCTTGCCCTGCAGAAACTCAGTCTGGTGAATGGTGTACTCTTCACTGGTGGATGGGCTAAAAATGGTCTCTACTATGACAGAGTGGCAACTGTGTTTCAGGTCAATAACTATGCTATATCTACGATGAGTCAACTCCATTTTGGTATCAATGCTGTTGGCATAAAGCAATCCTATGATTACTTTTGTGAGAAAAAAATGCTACTTTTAATCAAATTGCAGAGAAACAAGAGCTAGCTTGATTTATACTGTCTGAAAATGCTACTTTTTAATCAAATTGCAGAGAGAAAAGAGCTAATTTTAGTTTATGCTGTCTGGAAATTGGCTTAAGCAATAACTTATTGTTCTCCTTTTATCCCGAATTATATGACAAAGACTTCCTCTTCAAATTAACTTCAGAACCTGTTGTGTCTGTTTTGGTAAGTATGGTTCGATTTATCGATTCTTTTGTGTATACAATTTGCAGAAAGTTTTGGAAAAAAATGATGCAGGGGACCATTTTCCGCTAGTTGCCATTTGCTTAGGCTTTGAACTCCTGACTATGATAATTAGCAAGGTGATCCATTCTTTAATTGTTTTAACTTAGGCAATGCTTGATTTCATTCTTTGGTATGCTTTCTGAAACTTTGTTTTACTGATGCAGGACAAAAATATTCTTGAGCAATTCAGTGCTGGTGATCAAGCATCTACTCTCCAATTCATGGAAAACATAAAGCTTCAAGGCACTGTTTTCCAGAGGTAGTACTTTATGAGTAGTTGATGGTAGTTTGTCAGCGGTTTGAGTCCGCTTATCTCCAACTCAGGTTGAATTATTTTTTATCTCGTTGCAATAGCTTATTTTTGGTTACCAATGTTATATTCCTTTTATAAGTTTAGATAGATGGATATCATTTGTTCTTAGTGGTTAATAAATTTTTTTTTCCCCTTGTCACACGATGTCCTTTGGGTGGCATTGTATTATTTGGCACACTCTGCATTCAAATGATTGCATATTTTGATGATAAGTGGACAACTTCGAAATATTTGTTTATTTTCTTGATTAATGAAATTGGGTTAAAGCTCATCAGCGTTGTTGGATGGTTTTCCTTGTCGCAATGTCATTGTACTGTTAAGTATTAGATACTGTCTCAAAACGATCCACTTTTCTTTAGGAGACATGGAAAATGGCAATCTTAAGTAAAGGGAAACGCTGCTGTTGTTGGTCTGAAGATTTTATTTAGTGTTCAGGTTGCATTGTGTAACAACACATCTCTATGGTGCTTTCGCGAAACTGTCTGATTCTTTAAATTGTATCAGTTTAGTTAGCGGATCATTAATACATGTTCATTGTCATTTTCTCCTGCAGATTTCCTCCAGATTTGCTGAAGAAGCTGAGTACTGATTGCCTTGTTATGCAGAATCATCATGTATGTAAGCAGATTCATCCTTTCGTCTTTTAATTTCCAGCCTGTTCAACTCTGTCTGCCCCTTCTGGCATTGGCCTCCTGCAAAAGAACTCTAGGGTTTTTTAGAGTACTATAGTATGAAGACTTCTGAAATGTAGTATCTAATTCCTGATGCCGTACTGTATTCAGAAGTATAGTGTCTGATTTACTTTTGTGATTCTTGAAAACCTACATGCTTAAACCTTCATGATTGGCTGATTTATTTTTCTGTTATATTATGGAACAGTATGGTATATCACCAGAAACTTTCAGGAAGAATTCTGATTTGTGCAACTTTTTTGAGATTTTGACTACTAGTGAAGATGAGGATAATAAGGTAAGTTGTTTGATCAGTTTTTTTTTTTTCACTTCGGAATTTAATTTGCTATCTGAGGTTCTCTTTGTTTAAATAGTAATTGTTGTGTTTTCTTATGCCAGGTCTATGTTTCTACAGTTAAGGCACACCACTATCCCATTACCGCCTTTCAGTGGCACCCAGAGGTATAAACTTTGAATGTTGGTGGTCAAAATAGTGCCTGTAAATGAAAGAATCATAGCTGTCTTAATATCATTGTTGATAGCTAGTGTCGGTTATGGTTTTCATTCTGTTTTTTGGAATAAGAGGGATAATACTCCTTGATTAATTGAGTCGTAGAAGTTTTGTTGTCACCATCACAATTGTAAGATTTCTGGAAGGCTGCTATTGGAGGTGAAAGGGTGGTAGTCTTAAGGAGGCTTAGTATATTTGCCATTCGGTACGATCTCAGTTTTTGTAGCTATCGGACTAGTCATCAAAAGCACTAAAGGTTCTGCAACTTGTTTGTTTTGCATTTGTCTCAGTATATAATTACAGAGCATCATTTTGTAAATAACTTTTATCTTTGTTTTTCCACGTATATATCAGTAGCATTATTTCATATTTAAGATTGGATATAGATTTGTGTTATGGTTAATCGAAGCTCCTTTTGCTGTTTTGTGAGTCTGGTAGGAATGTCAGCTGCTAAAATTCTGAATAAATCTCAGTCCTTCCTTTTTTCTTGCAGAAAAATGCATTTGAATGGGGTTTATCAAGAATTCCACACTCAGAAGATGCAATTCAAGTGACACAATATGTTGCCAATTTCTTTATTAGGTAAGATCCAGCAGCCGCTTGAAGTTTAGGGCACCTCGGTGTAGTTTACTTTCCTGAGAGGGTTAGATTAATGGATTAAATTTTTTTGAAATATTGCTGAATATATTTATCATATAATAGTCTTGCTTACATACAACATTATTATCTCACAATAGCATTGAGTTGTAGATGTGTGTGCAGGGGTGGGTGGGTGTGTGTGTGTGTGTGTGTGTCTGTGTGTGCGCGCCTGTGCGCTTGTGTAAAGAAATTAATGATGTCATGCAAAGATTTTTCCTCTCTCCTAGTATATCAATAACTACACATATCAAAGTTAATTTTAGGGATTTTTTTTTGGATGTGCGGTTGTTGACATACTTGGATGAGAAAAGGAAAAATCTTAATCAATCAATTGGCTGATAAATAAAACTGCACAATAAGCAGCACAGTCGATAGAAGCTGCTGGTCTGGGTCTGAGAAATTGTTGGCCCATTAAGGCCTAATCTAATCTATGCAGTCATACATTATATTTCTACACCATGCTGTTTTTCCGGTACTCGAACATGTGCCCCAGGTTACTGCAAGTAAGGATTCCTCTTTATTTGTTCTTGAGCTTCTACTTGTACCCTCACGAGCTTTGGTGAAGGTTCTTTTTCCCTAAGGGTGAAGTCACTTGGTGGAAGAACATTGGCAGATTTACAGAGGGGATCTGTCTGACCTCTAGGATGTCATATTCTGTTTCCGTTGATTATAACTTTTGAGTTTCCCTTTTCTTTTGTTTTGGTAAATTACAGTGAGGTGAGGAAGTCCTTAAACAGGCCACCGACTCGTAAAGTGCTGGACAACCTCATTTACAACTTCACACCAACCTATTGTGGGAGAGCTGGGTGAGTTTACATAGACATGGGTTAGGGAGTGAGACAGCTAAATGCTGGCTTCTCACTTTTCCGGTCTTGTTTCTTTCGCTTTTATGACTGAAGATATGTTTCGGTTTTGTTGTCATTCTGCAGGAGAGGGTATGATGAGGTTTACATCTTCGCTAGACCTTCAATGAGGGAATGTTCATCAGTAAAATGTAAATATTGATTATGTTGACATTGATGATGTAAATTATAATGGGCTATGGTTATTCCTATCCATCTTGGACGGAAGATATCCTCCTTTTTCCCTTTCTTGGTACAATGGACAATTCCAAACATCAACTCCGTTTTATTAAATATCTAAATAAATATCAAAAAAAAGAAGAAGAAACTTTTAATTTTTTTTTTTTTTTGGTGGTCATGTAAAGATTTGGCGGAAATCCAATTTCGTTTTTAGTAATTGTAATCACAAAAACGGATCTCCATTTTCCGTTTTTATTTTTTTTGTTTTTAAAATACTGAAAATTGGAAAAATAATTTTGTTGAAATAAAAAATATTGAAATTTTGTAAAAAAAAATAAAAACGAAATTTACAAATCCGTTTTTCTGAAGCCAAAAAACGAAAATCTTTATTCTTTTTTTTTTTATTTCAGTTGGTCAGATGAATTATTAATTCAATATATATAATTCATGTTTACTAGTGTTATGTACTATTTATACGTATTAGTATTATGTGATACGTTGATACTATTATACATTATACATCACCGGTAGTAATCTTATTTATTACTGTTAAACCTATTAGTTATTAGATATTATTATTAATTCAGTGTAATTAATTTGTACTAATGTTATGTATTATTTGTACGTACTAGTATTATGTAGTACGTTACTACTATTACCTACTATACATCGTCGGTACTAGTGTTATTTATTACCATTAAATCTATTAGTTATTAGATATTATTATTAATTCAGTATAATTCATATGTACTAGTGTTATGTGCTATTTGTACGTACTAGTATTATGTAGTACGTTAATACTATTACCCACTATACATCACTGGTACTGGTGTTACTTATTACTGTTGAATCTATAGTCATTAACTATTATTATTAATTCAATATAATTCATCTATACTAGTGCTATGTACTATTTGTACGTACTTGTATTATGTAGTACGTTAATACTATTACCTACTATACATCACTGGTACTAGTATACTTATTACTGTTAAATCTATTAGTCATTAGATATTATTATTACTTCAATATAATTGATCTGTACTAGTGTTATGTACTATTTGTACGTACTAGTATTATGTAGTACGTTCATACTATTATGCACTATACATCACTAGTGCTAGTGTTACTTATTACTGTTAAATCTATTAGTGATTAGGTATTATTATCAATTCAGTATAATTCATGTGTACTAGTGTTTTGTACTATTTGTACGTACTAGTATTATGTAGTACGTTAATATTATTACTATTAAATAGGTTAGTCATTAGATATTATTATTAATTCAATATAATTCATTTGTACTAGTGTTATGTACTATTTGTTCGTACTAGTATTATGTAGTACGTTAATACTATTACCAACTATACATCACTGGTATTAGTGTTACTTACTACTGTTGAATCTATAGTCATTAGATATTATCATTAATTCAATATAACTGATCTGTATTAATGTTATGTACTATTTGTACGTATTAGTATTATGGAATACGTTCATACTATTATGCACTATACATCGCGTTAAATTTTGCGTCTGAACCGAATTGAACCGAAAAGAACCATTTTGTATCCGATGTATCCGAAAAAATCAAATTGCCGGCGACGTCGGCGGAATTTTTGGCCGGAAGTTGTTGCCGGCGGCGGTCGGTGGCGGTCAACGGCGGTAGGTTGCGGTCAACATCGGAAACTATTGAAATTTATTATTATTATTTTTGGTTTAAATTCTTTCGGTTCAATTTGGATATTTACTTAACCCGAACCGATCCAAATCATTCAACTTTTTCAAATAATTGATCCGAACCGAACTGAACTGAAACTAAATTTTCGGATCGATTTCGGATCAGTTCGGTTCGGATCATTGGTTCGACCCAAACCGTGGGTCAAAATGACCAGCCCTAAAAATAGCATTCGATTTCCGTTTTTGTTTAAAATTAATTAAAAATAAAAATGGTATTTTGATTTCCGCTTTTAGTTTAAATAACTTATTTCTTCTTCTCCTCCAAAAAAAAAAAACTTATTTCTTCTTTCCATTTTCTTCTTTTCTTCTGTCGTTGATTCGCCTCCGCCTAGTTTCTAAACCCTAGTTTTTTCCCGGCGGCCACCACCCACCTTACCCCCATCTAATCCTCAAATCCACCATACATGCACATCTGCAATACTGTATTTGACGCCTACTATCACCAAATTCCGTCAATTTTGTCAAGATTCAGTACATCGCTGTCAAGATTCAGTACATTGTTATGGTTCTGTTTATTTTCTTATATTTGATTCCGTGTATTTTTTTTTTAATTTTTAAAAAATAATGATTCTCTTTGTTATTGTGTTCTTTGTTTAGAAAAGATGGCTCGTTCTTCTTCGACGCAAATCCAAAAACTTCACAAATTAGTGTCCGATCGAGAAGGACCTTCTTTACCTTCAGCCACATTTATGTTAAAAAACATGTGGCGGATCTATTAATGTAGTTTTTATTTTGGATATGTTAAAGGATTTAGAATTTTGTAATTAGTTGATTTGTGAATGTGATGAATTTAGTTAATTTGGTGATGGTTCTGTTTTGGTGCTTCATTGTGTTGTCTACACTGTTCTTGCCTCTTTTGCCTTTGGAACATTGGAGAAGTACTATTCCATCATTGGCTCTGTTTTTTTTTTCCTTGACAATTGTTATTCTGTTTTCGGCGTTAAAATTGGTTGCTTTATGTTGGAGTGAATGTGTTATATCTTTAATTATACAAATTCTATTGAAGTACTAGCTCTATTTAAAAAAAAAAAATTGTAATTTATGGCTCTGAAATATGCCTCCAGTGTTTTGTTGATCAGTTTGGTGTTATGTTGGTGGTGTATTATGACTTTTTTTTTGGTTTTCTAAACATGATTGTAGTCTGTTTTTTTTTTCAGTCTGTTTGGTTAAAACGGATTTTGATTTTCCGTTTTTATTTTCGCAAAAATATTTCCCTTCTTATTTAAATTACAATTTTTCCCCTATTTTTCCCCACAATAATTTACAAAATTAAAAACGGATTATCATTTTCTGTTTTATTAATCAAATAATTATCAAACTGTAATTGCACCTAATCATCATTAAAACGGAATTAATAAATCCGTTTTTGGTACTGTAGATTAAAAAACAGAAATAGAATTTCCGGCACATACTTTTTCTGACTACTCCCTCTGATCTAACTATTTCGGTCTTCATCTCCAGAACAAGACATATTTTGGGGTTTGACCCCCATATGTTGTCGCCACGGCAATATCCTTCTGGTTTTCTTGCAATTGGCTCTGAAAATCATTTGTTTTGTGAATTGTGACTCTGACTCACACGATAATATGGGTTTTTGGTACAAAAGATCTCTTAATTTTTCTGTTTTTTGTCACATTAGGTTCAAAGTTTGGTTCAATACACGGTTACCACGGTTTGCCCAAAACAAAATATCTTAATAGCACAAGGAAACAATATCTTTTGTCTATCAAAAACAAAAAGGAGTTATGTTGGTTAGATTGTAGCAAGATTACATTTTTATAATCACATATTTTCTCTATTTTGAAATAATGGTTTAGTTTAGATTATACTAAAAACAAAAGATACATATGAATGTAAAAAGTAGATTCTTAAACCATATTTGATGTAATGTGGATGTAGTGTTTTCTTTTGATCAAAAATTTTTCAAGTTTTACTAAGCTTGTTAACGTATATGATTAAGTTTTACAAGTGAAGGACATACAAATGATCAAAAACTTTATAACGCTCTCAAATTTTTATTTTTATTATTTTTTTTTTTTTGTGTGTTTGGATGAACGCTCTCAAATCTTTAACCAGGGGGGTGGGGGATGGGAAGCAGAAAAGAAACACATTTTGGAAAGAAAAATACAGTAAAATTTATTTGTATATAATGCACGTGCCATAGTAACATGTCACGTGACAATTGATACAGCTAGCAAAACCCACAGGCCACAAAGCGCCTCTTATAGTGGCGGGAAACTGGATGTTCCTCACTTCTCTAAGCCCTTTCCCGGAGGGAAAAAAATCCCCCACCGTTTATTGTTCGATTCCTCCCTTCTCCTCTCTGTCCCCGGCGGTAGATCCGATTCTGGGGCCGTACCCGTACCTAATATATGGCTGAAACAGAAACCATGGGTATTCTCGACGAGATTCAATACCTCGTCTCCGATAAACTCCAAGTGGTATGTCTCCTTTTTCTTCTTTACCTAAAATACACATATTTCCAAATTAGTCTACTGTATTTTTTTCCATTTTTTCGGGTTATCATTCTAATTCGAAAGGGCTTCATCTAGGATTGTTGGTAACATGCTCAGATTGTTAACCCGAGTTTTGTTTTATCAATTTTCAACGCCCAGGAAGAATGAAATAGCTGCCGTCTTAATTTTTTGTGAATTTTGAGTGGAGAAGGATGATCTGCAGTTGTCTCCCTTTTTGCTTTCCTCTTTGTGGTTTGGCTATCTATGTACTCTGATTTTGTTTATTATCATCAATTAGAGCCGCAGTTGTTGATGATTTAGTTGCTTTATTGCTTATTGGCATCTATGGGTGGTCCAGTTAGCATAAATACTGAATTTATTTGCTCTTTGATTGTAAATTGGTTTTCGGAAAGCATGTAATTTCTGAATTCTGTTGAGTTGGAGTTTATATTTAATATAAAATTGGAATCTTGAAGGATTAGTAGAGCATCGCCCACTGAATTTGACTCACTTCTCTAAGTATTACTTTAAGTTGTAAAAAAGGTATAACTTTGTTTTCTTATTTTGCTGTGGTGTATTCTGGATTTGAAAGTTCTTAGCAGTTGATTCAAGTAGTCCTATTAACTTATAGTTGATCTTGCTCTACATGGGGCTGCTTTTCTTAGGTTTCGTACAAATGGCTGAGTCGAAATTTCTTGGTGTCCTCAGATGACGCAAAGAGGTGAGGACGGACTTCTGATGGTGTTGTAGATTGGATCTCGTATCAAAATAAGTTTTTATTTTTTTAGCTAAAATATGTTCATTCTCCTGTCCATATAGATTGCTTCGGGATTTTGTTGAGAAACATGAGACTGGAGTAGAGGTATTATATACTCTGGCTGGGTGGAAGAAGAATGACCCTTCACTGTATCGTGTAAGGCTTGCGTCCAAGCATGCACTTGCAGGTCCGATTTCTGATGGTATTAAATATCTGAGCGTTCAAATTTGTTTCTTTTAAGAAAAGTTTATGATTCAATTATCTTATGGATCTGTAAATGTCTTTTAGGACATCCAGTATGCATTTGTAACTGTATCATTGGAACTTGGCTTGATACTGTCTATTTATTCAGCTTTGCTCTTTCATTTTTTTTCATTCTTTTTAGAGACTGCGTAAGCTTTTTCCCCGGTTAGTGAACAGTTCGAAGTGGATAACTTGTTATTCTTAGAAATCTTTTTCTAATAGGGTTTGAGATCCAGATGCTAAAACTGTTACCTTTGTCATTCATTCTATCTGTTAAACCTGCATTATGGCCATTAAAATATTTTACTGGATTAAGTTCCAAAAGACAAACATTTATATGGGGGATGGGTGCTATAAGTTGGATAGTTACTGATCTTCTTGCTAGAGTATGATGCATTTTATTGCCTGTTATAGCAGTTTCGAGGATAAAGTGCATTATGGCCACTAAAATATTTTACTGGGACAAGTTCCAAAAGGCAAACATTTATATGGGGGATGGGTGCTATAAGTTTGATAGTTACAGATCTTCTTGCTTGAGTATGATGCATTTTATTGTCTGCTATAGCAGTTTCGACTTTTGAGGATAGCTGAGCTTTCAAATTTCTAGTTTATGTAGGGGTCATCTGTTGACCTTTAATACAAATCTAGAGTATTATATCAATCCTTTATCTTCTGAGATATTTTTACTCTAACTTTCATCTTGATTCCTCAGCGAGAATCTCATTTTTGCCGGTTTTTGTTGACTACCTTTGATTATTTTGTCTTGTAGAGGCAAAACAAGAATTTGATGGGAACTGCTCAGTTGAAATTTATAGTGTGCAAGCATGTTTACCAAAAGATCCGGCTGTCCTCGGTAATGCTGAGTGTGTCCAGGCAGGAGAGCTTTTTAAACAGCTTCAAAGTGTTGACAATTGTTTACGTGATAACAGGTGAATTCTGCATATTAGTGGTTTGATTTTCCCGAACTGAATTCACTTGATTTCAGATTTACAATTTGCTGTGCTGTTTGTGCATTTTATGATGGAAGGGAAATTAGGAGACTTATTAAATATCATGTGTTTCTTTGAGTAACATGGGTTAGGCATTTCCGTCGGGGTTATTTAGCCTGTCTTGTCTCATCAACATCTGGTATTAATATTTTCTTGCTTCAGATTTTGTAGGGTGTCTAATTCCTTTGTAAAGAGAAATGGCGGAGGAACACAGGAAACCAGCACGTTGCCACAAGTGAAAAGTGAAGGAGCATTTGGGCCGCAAATCAAAACCTTGCTCCACCAAAATCCAACTCCTGCACAGCCTAAAAAAGGGCAGGTTGCAGATGTGGTGAAAGATGTCAAAGACAGTAGTTATATCAGCGGGGCTCATGAGCAGAATAGTAAGCCTGCTCTGCAGGAAGTAAAACTTTCTGGATTCCCTGGCAATGTAAAGAAAGTGGCTGATAATAAGTCTTCCGGAAATGGTGCATTGGCTAATATGTGGGGCCGCGCTTCTTCAAAGACAAAAATTGAATGTGTCTCAGCAGAAACCAGTGCAACAAATAATTCTTCTGGTTAGTCCTTCACATTCACCCATTTTTTATTGACAGAATTTGAAACTTGTAGTTCCAGATTAGCTGTTTTTTTTTTTTTACTAGAAAAGGAATTAATTATTTTTATTATTATTATTATTTTTTTTTTGGTATTTTGATAAATTGTTGCTACTACAGATGCTCAAGTATGTGCTCGTGAAAATATAGAACACCAAAGCAGTGATGATGAGTTTCAAGGTGTTAACATTAAGCGTGCATCCAATGGCAAAACTGGCAGAAAGAGGAAGGTTATCTTTGATGTCTCAGACGAAGAAGACGAATACAAAGATGCTGTAAATCTAGCATCCCCAGATCCTCCAGCAAAGCCAGCTTCTAAACAAATGTTCCAATCTTCAGACCTTGAGAAGAATAAGTTAAATTTTGAGGAAGAGAAGGAAAAACCCGATGTTAAGGATAATAACGAAGTTGACGGAGTTAGTAATCGAATTCTGAAAGAAAAATCTGTTGCTCTCAGCAAAGATGATACCACAAAGGCCCTCTCCTTAGATAATGGAAGAAACAGTGCATCTGCTGGCACAACTTCTGAGCATAAAATGACTGATACTGCTACAAGGTCACCTCAGAGGAGGAAAGTGGTGAAAACACGGATAGATGAACGCGGAAGAGAAGGTATAGTGTGGTTAATTGGAAATGTTTTTTCCTGATACTGTTAATGTAACTCCCCTTCTAGACTATTCCATCTGTTCTCTTGCAAGCAATGAATGTGCAAGCGGTTTTAACAGCAATGGTTTTTCTTTTATCAAACTAAATGTGGTCAGAGACAACTTCCTTTGAAGTGGAGACTTGTTCATTTTACCTCCTTATTGCTATCAAATTTGTCCACTTCCTACCCAATTAAGTAGTTATATACAGATGTACTCCTTTTTGTGAAGTGAACTTAATGATACTATAGTGCAAGGAAAAAGTAACACTAGAATATGGGGTTTTGAGGGGAAAGTTACTTGCAGAAATTGCTTGTTTCTAAGCTCTGAGCGATTATGATAATTACTTTCACAGGTAGAGCTTTTCAGTTCTTAGATGAAATTTTTAACCACTTGTGTCATCTGACTTTGTGTCTTTTTTTGCTTCTGCAGTGACTGAGGTAGTTTGGGAGGGAGATGAAGCAGAGACAAAAACTAATAGTAGTGCAGCAAAGAAGGTTGATAACACTACAGCCAGCAATACTTCTAGCAGGTAAAAGAAAATCATAGTTCAAAATCTCAGATGAACCAAAAAAAAAGGGAGAAGAATCTCAAATGGAATTTGATACTATTGTTCTCTTTTTCGGGGGGTTAACTTGATCCTGATTCTTTCGTATCATATTGGTGTAGTTTACTTGAAATGGTTTTGTTTTATCTGGTTACCGAATTTGCTGTATTATGTCAAAGTGAATATTAATTGAGTTGTCCTGAAATTGCATAATTTGTGGATTGAGTTTATGGTTTGACCTTCTGTTATCACTAGTAAATATGATGCAAAATTTTCTGTCCATGTGTTGCCACCCCTTCGGTCCTGAATGTTGTGCTCTTTCGAAACAGTTTTTAGACTTTTAATGATTTTGCAACTTCCCAGTCTTGGACACGGGCACCTTATGTTCTCCTTGAGTTTCTTATTGCTGAAGTTGAAACTACGACCACCTTCTTGGATAAATCTCTTAATTCATTTTGATACTTATCTGGTGTGTACTAAAGCTGAAGTAATATGTGCAAATGAGCAGAACTGTGTATGCATGTTTTGTTGTGCCAGAAATCAGCTAAAACATTTCAAATTGCATTTTGTTCCTTGTAGTTTAGCAACTTTTGTTGGCTTTGATTGCAGACCATCTGTGAATAAGAAGTCGCCTGCAGTGGGTAGTAATGCTACTAACCAAGTAGGGAAAGCCGGAAACAAGAAAGCGGGGAACAAAGATCCTAAACAGGGGAGCCTCATGTCTTTCTTCAAGAAAGTTTAAGGGATTGCCGCGGAATCTGCAGCAACTAATGGCTCTTTTACCATGTAGTCTTTTGATGTGATTCTACAAATATATCGTGCTTATGGATGCCTGTAAAATTCTTTGCACATGGGGGTTTCTAAGAATCGTTTCTCCTTCCCAGAAACTCGAGAAGCCCTTTTTTTCTCTCTGTATTTCTGACCCATAGGCTACATGCCTTGTTTAGTTTGTGGGAACTTCACTTTACTGCTGGATCCTGGAAGTTCTTGTAGTTCAACTTTTTTCGTCAAAGATCTCAATTACAGTTCTAGTAATCAGCGTTGCCAGTGATCAAGTATCAAATCTGAACTTGTCACAAATACGTTTATTCTGATTTAGTATGTTGTTACTCTATAGTCTCAAAATGATTGTCTTCTTTGTAAAAAATTAATGACAATCATTGAGACAGAAAAGAGTATTACTTAGGTCAACTCGTCCAAACTACAGCGAACTGGGAAACGCAACACTTGTTGAAAATTTTCCTTCACTGTATCACCATCAATATGATTTGTAGACCTAGCAAAGATAAGCCTGCAGGTTTTGCTGTTCTTCTCGAAATCTCAAAACAGTTCAATATCAAAGAGACGATGGAATCTCTAAACTGAACTTTATTATGATCTTGTTGAAATTTTAGACAAATTACAAAGAACTCGATGAATGTGCAAGGAGGTTTCAACTTTCACGTATCAAGTTGGTCGGCTCGCTCAGAACATACTTGGGCAGTTCATATTTGGCACCTGCAGGCACACAGGTTTCCCAAGGAAATGGACCATTAGCTCTAATTTGTTGTGTGTGTGCAAGAATCAAAAAGCAGAGAAAAATAACAAGAATAAATAGCCACCTCTTTCATCGTAGCACACTGTTAAATCCGCATTATGAACGATTACTCCAGCACTCTCCACAAATGCCTGAGCTAGGTGTATGTCAGCCTCAGCAGCTGCTCTTAGTGCATCCCAAATTTCTTGATGAAGGAAAGGCATGATCGCACCACATCATTGTATGATTTTGAAAAATTCGTTAATAACAGAAATCCTTGTTTAAGTTTAACACATTTTTGCATCAGAATATCGCCGTAACAATGCATACATTCCCAGAAAGCGAAAATCTCAATCCATCATTACCTTTTCTTCCTCCATAATGAGGAGCAGTGTCCCAAAACTCTTCTCGCAGCTGCACTAACTGACTCTTGGTTATGGGCTGAGGATGTTTCCAAGGTTTAGGCTTTCGGATCTTTTTCACTGTCCCTGTGCCTGTAGGAATACAGCAGCAAAAGGGCATCAAACATCTCCATGGGATAACCAAGAAAAGACCACAAAATTCACAATCATCATCAGTTCATCACACTAAACATAAAGAAATTCACTGATGAACAGCACCTTACATGCCTTTCTTAAAATTCAGAACATTCCTTTATACTATAACTCATAATCGCAGCACAAAGTTGAAATCTTGTATTCCAGGTGATGGTGAAGGCAAACCACCAAGTTCATTACACTTTGAAAACTGACAAAGCATCTACAAATTTCCCAGTATATATCAAGCTCATGATTTGGAGCAAAACCCAAAATTCGTCTCAAGCTAACACTTAGCTAAGATCAGAGAAATGAACAAGCAGTGTGCATGATGATGTGAAAAAAGAGGAAAGATTAGAATGCTTACCATCTCCTTTGCTCTGTGATGATCCAGCACACCCCATGCTTCCTCTTCAATGTAGACAAAAGAAAAACAGCTCCAAGAACCCAAAGAAATCAAGAAGTCATATCTAGCTCAGATGGGTTGCTGAGAAACAAATTTGTGGTGAATGCATGAGTACTTTTCTGTTTGATTAATTGAGTAAAAATTAAAAAAAGAAGCCGCAAAGTCAAATTGATGAGTATTCGGTTACTTTTTCAATTTTGCTTTGTGTTGCTACTCTGTCATGAATACAATAATAATGCCAGTAATCTTCCGTCATGCAACCCATTAAAAGGAATGAATAATTATAAATAAAGATTACTCTTTAGAAAAAAAAAAGGTGGTGGAAAGAAGATAGAATAAAAAAGGTGCAGCATTTAGCAGGGTGGTTTTAATTGCATGTAACGTAGAAGTGGTTGGGATGTCATGTATCATTCCCGTGAGATGAGAGGAAAAAAGGAAAAGCAGTTGTGAAGATGATGATCATCATCCAGAAGAGCTCTGTTGTCTCCACTTGGTTTTACTCCACAACTAAAAACAATTATTCTTAGCCAGCCCTCAAATGGCTTGTGTCTACCAAATATTGATGATATGAGCTGCCTAATTTGAAGTTGCCCCAATAGCATAACATCGTTTGACTAATAAGACATGATTTATGCACATTCTCATTTCTTGCTGAGAAAAGAAGTGGCGAGATAGAGTAAAGAATCCCTATGGAAACAGAAAGAGGTAGGGAGATTAATAAATTTTCCCAACATCAGCTACATTCTTGTTGATTCTGGAAAGTTACAAATTATATCACGTTACAATAGGTAATAGGAGGACAGAGAGGTTTAATAACTTACTAGTAAGTAGCTCCTATACGAAATGCTACTAATTCCCTTTCTTGTTTTTCTTTCCCCTGGATGTAGCATTAGTATAGTGCATTAACTATGAACATTGAACACCTAGTAGATGTTGACCTGCTGAAGCAATAGCCAACATGATACACAAAATCGGTAGTATGCATTGTGGCAGCTTACTGAAAACGAAATGCATCCCCATACTTACTCCTCATATTGTAATGATCATACTTTGCGTCGCCGTAGTCGGCAGGCTTACTTTCACCAGCCTTCGGCTCCACTATGCTCGACCCTGTAACCTCTCCGCTCTTATCCCTATGTCGATGCTTTGTTCTTTCCTTCTGACTCTTGGTCCTCACTTGGGTATACGGAGGAACCTCACCAGATGCATAATATTCAGAGTATTCTTGTCGTCTAGAAGACTTGTGTTTGGTGGACAATGAGGGATCTTTTAAGCTGCTTGACCTGATCTTTGGGGGCTTGACTTCGGAGGATTTATCGCCAACTGTTGGTGTAAAAGCATGTCTGCTTTCTGACATCGGGGCAGGAGTTCTCTGCTTTTGAACTGATTTGACCTGGGGCTCGGCTTCATCTTCAGGCATGATCAAAGAATCTTTCAACGGAGTGAGGCCATTCCTTGAACTATTGTGCTCAGATCGAAAAGGCATGATGTATACTAAGATGTTGCCCAGTGCTTCAAATGCCAGTTTCGACAGATCTGAGAGAAGCTGTCCAAAAGATGGCCATACTGCTTCTTGATCCTCTTTCACAGGTTCCGCCAATTGACTGGGTACCTTCTCATTCTTTGATGGGCCTGCCTGAGTTCCGTTTTCGTACAACTGTCAGATCACACTTATTTAACTAGAATTCAAGTAATGAAAGGCTCCAAGCTGGTGAAAATCATTTACAGAATAACCAGAAAGCAACAAGCCACAAATCCAACAGGAAAATGTACAGCACAAAAGCTAGACTTCGACATGAAGTTCCTAATGTTGTGGATTTGTACACAAAGTTCTTAAATGAAACAGTCTTCATAATTTAGCAAACTCCTCTTGGAAACATTATATTGCAGAAGGAGCTGATCCAAATTGTGCATAAAAGAGGAACTAAAAGTATAAGCATATTGGCCACACAACAAATGAGTAAAACAAATATACCATTTTGGGAAGGAATGATGAGCCAAATCCCTGTTGGAGCATGGAAGACACATATCCGATCACAACAGCACCAATAACCATCAGAATATCTGCCCAAGTTCTAACATTAGGGTCATACACCTTTGAATTCAAGCAACAGTGAATTGCTTCATAGTATAATGCTTCTATAAGCCAGTGTAACGAGTACGTTTAAAACCCATCAAGCATCAAATATAAAAAAACATCAACCATGCATAATAAATTTTGGCAATTACATCACGAATGATCAGCAAGGAATACTGAGATAACTCTCAAGAGTACACATCTTTAGAAATGGTACAAAAAGGTAGAACATGGAGAAAGCCAATGCTGTCCAAACATAAATTTCAAACCTGTGGCTGAAACTGAGCTGTATCGATAATCACAATCCTCTTGCGCAAGGGAGATTTGCCTAAGAGCAGCATTTCCTCTGTCAACAACTAGTAATGAACAGGTAGAGCGAACATAAATCACATCAAAGTCAGATGAGAATTTTGCATCTTCACTTGGCCCATCCCTGTATCCCGGAACATTCGATTTTCCCCCAGCTATAGTTGTCACACCTGCAATAGATTCAAAAATTCAATGTTGCTTAGCTAAGTTTTAAGACTGGCTAAATTTCTGAAAAGATACACAACACTGCAGCAGCATAAAGATTTTAAGAATACCTGATTCTCCTATCTTGCGAATGGCAAGGTTTGAAGTATCCGCCACATATACGTTTCCTTTATCATCCATGGTGACTCCTTTCGGGTGACTGAAACGAGCTTCGTTCGGCTTTCCATCCACATGCCCTGTATAACCCTGAAATGATCCCGCAACCAATCTTCCTCTGCTGTCTGCATTATCACTCATAGAAATACAGTAGCTAAGAATCACTAACAAAGAGAAGTAAAATAAGGACTCCACATCTTAGAGAGATAAAGGAACACACATTGAGACAAGGGAGGAGTAATTTTGACAATGTTGCTCTTATCTGCATCCACAGCAAAAAGTTCACCATCGTGCGAGACACGAATTTTGTAAGGCATAACCCCAAGTTCATTGCCTCGTGCAACAGTTTCAACTAGGTAACCATCTTCGAATTGTAACACATTGCCATCTGCAGAAGAAAAAAAAACAACTGATCATGAGCTAATACAAACATAGGAATAGGACATAAATTACTGTGGCAAACAATCCCCAAGGGAGCAAATCCAGGTTCACCAAAAATGACAACAGTAGTTAAGTTTTTAATAACTCATAAACAACGAAAAAACCACAAAGAAATATTTCCATGACTCTTCCTTCTTCATTACCCGCTTCTAGTTTAATTCTAATGTCCGCTTCCTAAAACTTGAGTTCAACAATCAACCCCTATGTCTGTCCCAAAATAGTATGGTATACAGGAAGAGAGCTGCCGGATGATAACAAGAAACTTACCAGATTGAGGTAGCTTTGATGAAGTCCTGGTCCATTTGAGCAGTGAGGAAACATGCTTTATCAAGGGGCCTGATTAAACCACAAAAGTAAATCATCAAAACGAAAAGGACAGAAAACCACAGAATTAAGCAAAACCCAGAACGCGAACAGATCAAACTTATGATGAAATGTGGCACACAAAACGAAACAGAGAACGGTAACACAGTTAGGTAAAAATAGAAATATGGGTTTGGCTAAGAGCAAGCTTACCAGCCGGAGGAGCAGCTTCAACTGGGAATTGAACAAACGCCACCACCAACAGAGTGAAGAAGATGAAAAACAAATGCAAACCCTTCATTCTTGCCTCAGACCCCATTCAAGTTAAAACCCCACAAGCTCAATCTGCTTGAGTGTGTTTACAGAGGGGGAAAAAAAAAGGCTCTGTTCTTTTATGGATCAGAAGCAGAAAGGGGTTGGCTTTCCTAAGTAAAAAACTTCCATTCGATGGAAGCAAAGTAAACCGAAATCATCAAGAAAAGTGAGGCCTTTTTTTTTTTCCTCCTAAAACCCACTGTGTGTGTATGTGTTTATTTCGGCTTAACTTGGCTTACTAGAAACTTTTGTGATGAATTGATTCTTCTTGCTTCAAAGTTCCAGAGTGAAGTTCTTACTGTTCAGGGTTGGTACTACTTTTGACACAAAATGTTACCCAAGGTACAAATTATAGATTTTCTTCCCTTTACTGAAAAAAAAAATGCCATTCCTGGGTCATATAGTAGTACTTTTTACTGTAAATTGGAATTTCGGTGGTGTTTGGTCAATTGTACTTTTTGGGAGAGTGCGTTTCGTTTATCTCGATAATGTAGACTATAGTACTATTATTAGTAATAATGTATTTATCACGCAAAAATAAAAAATAAAAAATAAAAAAAAAATTAATACTGCTAAAATGCATTTTCTCGGTCTCTGGCTGGCCAAACCAATTCGTGAAAAATGATAAAATACAGAAAGAGTCTTTCAGAAAAACCATAATGATTAATGACCAATGTGTTAATGAGACAATAAATAAATATGTTTTTGAAAATTCAACCAATTACTATGATCCGCCACAATTATCTATTGTCACTTTTAGTGATGGATCATTTTATATCTATCTTAAGAATTCTCATAATTTTCCATTGTAAGAAACTAAATTTATGCCTAGTTGACTCTTCCTCGTTACTGCATTGTTACAGTATTATATTTTCGATTTTCTATTGTTCAATCGTCATTTAAGGACGTGTATGGAATTGGCTTAATCTCATCAATTAATTATTTGAGCATGGTGACTCTTATTAATACTACTAATTTTATAGTAATATGTTTACGACTAAATGTATTTCATTTAAAAAATAATTATATTTTTAATAAAATTTTAATTAAAAATAAAATTTCAAACTGAATAATCTTTTCGAGAAAGAAAAAGACAATGTTGTTTCTGCTGAACTCAACAATGTGTTTTATTGGTGGCGGTGCTCATCACTTTTTTGTTTGAAGTTCAATTCGAGAATGCATCCATAATTATAGTATTCATTGTATCTATTATTTAAATTTTTATAAGAAGATTAGTAGTGTACTCAAAATTTGAATTTTATCCGACTACGTGACAAGTTTAATAGTTCGAATGCATCATCAGATAATTTCAAATAGATTTCTCTCAATAGTAAGATTAATGTTTGTATTATAAAGAAAAAAGAGATGAATGTTTACGGCAGGTAATAATATTACATTACATTGAGTTTTTTTTTTTTTCTTTTCTTTTCTTTTTTTTTTGTCTTTTGATCATTGTCAATCAAGATGGGTGGATGATTTCTAACAGCGTCAATGAAAGTGTGTTTCTTCTTCTTATTTTGTTTTTAACATAAAACCAAAATGCTTAAAATATACTCTATCCGTCTCAGAAAAATAGTCCACATATTTTTAAAATTTGTACTAAAACTAATACAAATCTCAAAACTCAATGTGGACCATTTTTTTGGGACGGAGGTAGTATTATATACTAACGGTCTTAATAAATTAACACTTTATAATTAGGACGGAGGGTGTATGTGCTTGTAATGCTACTGTTAAGCCTAAAACGATTTTCTCTTCTGATGACAATCAGAGTAATATTTTAATACTCCGTTGATATGCTCAAATCAAAACGTAGTTGAAGCAAGTGTCACAAATTCCATATCAGTTTTAATTTATTTAAGCATTAGTTACTTTTATTATACGGAGGAAAAAAAAAAGAAAATATACTATCACCATAATAACAACAACTGACATGAAAGTGATAAAAAAGAAACAATGCAGATCGAAACGCTGCAAACAAATAATAAAATCTCAAAATAACTAAAGAAAGTAACAACAATTGTATTAAAACCCTAATTTATAACTTAACTTCTTCCTTGGCTCCTTCCTTCACCCCCAATCTCTTTTTGGTTGCTGCCTCATCTTCTTCCTCCGGACAGCACCATCATGCCCATATAGAGCAACACAACAAGGAAGCCGATATTCAAGGGATTATTCAAGATACAAGAAGCACAAAACAAGGTTGACATTATTTTTCCCCACATGCAACATGCTAATAATAATCCTACGATAACTACCCCGAAGATGAACTCTGGCGGAAACATCTCTTTACTTCGATATAACTAGCTATAAAAAAAAAAAATTATTTATTTATTTATTTTTGAGAACCTAGAACAAGGGAATTGATTATCTTGCTTGAAGTACCGATGCCATTTATATATAGTGTGGTCAAATTTTCGCCAAAAAGGCAATTAGTTATTAGTTAAGGGCAATTTTCATACTTTGGGAACCCTAGAAGAAAAGAAGAAAAGGAAAAAGAAAGGCTTGGAAATAAGGATGCAAGATATATATATGCATATTGATGGCAATTGGAAACACGAATACAAGAGAACGAAATTGTGTTAATTGATTGATGTCTTTTATGCACGTACGTAGCTTTCGCAACTTCTTCATTCTTTCTTTTTACAATATACTATACAAATACTTAAGCTCATCACACGACTACATTCATTATGCTAAAACGCTACCAATGTCATGCTCCCGCGACTTTCAATTCACTTGTTTAGCAACACACGTTTGTTATTTCGTTTACTTTTTAGTTTTTACTAACGTTTGATATAAAATATTTGTAGGTTATTGTTAAATGGTGTATTTACGCAAAAGAATTTATTACAACGAAAATGCATTTTTGCAGTCTCTGGACTGATGCATGCCAAAGTTTATTTCAATAGGTAATGATCTAGGTTTACGAATTTTCATTCCGTCAAATTATCGAAAACTTAAAATTAATACTAGTTTAAATCATCAACACATAAAATAAAATAAGCTAGTCTATTAATTTGATCACCAACAAATAGACCAAACGAATTATGTTTGAGAATAAAATCTCATTTTTCATTAATTAAAGATAACTGATTCCATTGAGACGGCCAAATCCCCTTAAATAAAAAAGAAAAACATAAAAATAAATCCTAATCAACTATTAAAATTACTAAAATACCCAGATAATTAAACCCTAATCTACTTCATTTGTTTTATTCCTAGCCGCCATCGCCTAAGCAATTCATGAAAAATGATAGAAATAGAAACACATTAGAATTTTAATGTATGTTTCTTGAAAATTCAACCCATTAGAATTTTAATGTCCCTAATTTTAATAGAAAAGAATCCGTTTAATAGAGGGAGTTAATAGAATCACTAATTTTAAGCATTGCTCATAAGTATAATGATGTTATGGGTAATTAAGATTTAATAGTGATCAAACTGGAGACTTTTTTATAATTAATAACGATTCTAGCAGTTCATTCAAAAAAATTTGGGACAGAATGAATATCATAATTGAAAATTATTGTAGACTTATAGTTCTGTCATCATACAAAGAAGATAAATTCACGATATTATTCGATTCATGTGTGTAACAAATTTTTCTTTCATGATTTCGTAATCTTAAAAGGTAAGAGCTATCTTACACCACTTTTTACAAATTATTACAAATATGTAATTACTTTCTTCCACCATATTTGTTCGTACAACTTTCAATTAATGGCGTTCGGTAATGTGCATTCATGTATAATTATTTATTCAAATCCCAAAATAATTCTGAAATAAGTATTTATACGTAAGTATAATTATTTTAGGCCAAAAGAAGTACTATTTTACTTATGGGGTAATAATATCGTCCAAAGTAAAATGTTTATTCAGATTTTTTTTCTTGAACTAAAAACTTTATATTTACTTTATTGGACTTCATCAAACAATGATTAACAGCAACAAAATGCAATTATTAAAATATTATAATTACCCATATACACTGTATTTAATTCAAAATTGTTGTATCCACTCTACTTCAACCGATTCAAATTTAGATATATTCGGTTGAATTTTTCAATTATCAGATATGTCACGTATCAAAATATGATTTTAAATATATCACTTACCTTCTGATGAAACTCCCTTTTATAGATTTAATATATAGTGTTAATATTATGTGCCTCTTGTAGTCATGCATTGAATAGTTAGTTAACAGAGTTTGTTCCAAGCTTTATTTATGTATATATACAGAAATATATATCATTCAAATTTTCTTGTTAATCGATTCTCTTGTCGATTGTACTAGTAAATGTGAAATGAACCTAAAAAACTAATTAACTAGTAAAAATATGTGCAAATCTAGCTAACTATATAAGTTGTGAGCTAACACTTGCAAAGTGCAATGAGATATTCAATACAAAATTTTAGAGAAAATTTATGGGAGACGCCTTGGATGAACGTTCAAAAGTCTTTTATATACATTATAGATTAACCATTTTCAGAGCAATAATGTACTGTAGGGACAATTGACAATATACATTGAAATGAGATAGTTATTCATGAGAAAACAAAAACATCACCACTACTAAATTAATAACTACAAACATTATAATGGGAGTTAAGTACATACGTACAATATTAGTCACTATCTCATTTCACTATTCATTTTCACTGTATATATCAACGATTTTTCATTTTGTTAAATGGATTATCAATTCGAAGTTACAACAATAATAGGGACAACGACAATTTATATTGAAATGAGATAGTGGCTTGTGAAACGATATAAATACCATTCTCACTAAATATATATACTTTTTTTTTGAAATGACTTATTTATTTATTAGTTATAGAGAAAAAAATGTAATTTTGGGCAGAAAAATAAAATTTCAAATGGAAAATGTTAGGGATTATGATACTCCACATCAGTTACCATTTCTTTTACTATTTTTTGTCACTATATTTACTGTTTTCCTTAAAATTAAAGATAGTAAAAGTTTAAAAGTAATCCCTTTTACCCTATTAAAGTAGAATACATGATGTTGATGTGGCAGATTCTTATTAAAAATTTTTGGCTCCAAATGCACCATATTGCATTAATCATTCTGCCACGTGTCTTTCCTTTTTAAAAGAAAAAAAAATTCTTATCCGGAAAAAAAAAATCTACTTTACAAAAATAGCTACACAATTTTAACTCATAACATTTATCATTTATCAAGCAAATTAAAATAGCATTTAAATTTGCCCATAAACTTATCCCCTTTATTACTTCACATTATTTTGTATGATTTTTGTATCGTTGTACTTTTCAATATTTTTTCTTCTTTGGCAGATGATTTTTTTATTTTTATTTTTATTTTTGGCTAAAAAAGGGGGAAAAAAACCAAATGTGTAGCTATTTTATTTTTTCCAAATCAAAAATTCATTTATCTATTAACACAAAATTAAAGTAGAGGGGCCTCCGGGCATCTGCCCAGGCCAAGCATCTAGTTATCTTTATTGATACATATAACTAATTTTCATTTTGTTAAATCAATTATCTTTATAAGACGAATACACAATACATGTTTTAAAGTTAGAGGTAATAGACGTTTAGAAGCAGTTATTCATGTTGATAGATAAAACAGTTTTGGATATACTATTATATATGCCTTGAACGGGGTTAAATATTAAAATAACAAAAATAGCCATGGTTAAGATACACTTTTTTTTTCCGGTTTGTTTTCTTTATTTCTTTACAATCAAAAAATTAAAATTACTTAATTTTTGAATTTCACATTTGATTATAACATAAGTTAATAAAAGCAAATTAATTTATGATTAGTAAAACTACCTCTATCCTAAACAAATATTATCTCCGTTCCAAAAAAATAGTACACATTGAGTTTTCAAATTTGTACTAAAAACAGTACACAATTCAAAACTTAATTTTGACTATTACAAAGGCAACGAATGTTTGTAATGCTTAAAAAAAAAGTTAATAAATGAAAATTAGTTTATTTCGAAAGACCTGATTTAAAAATTTATTATTGAACTTCATTGATATAAAAAGAATTCATATGAAGTTTTTTTAAACTTAATTTATGATAGACTTTTACAAACATTTAAATACACTTAAAAAAATATGGATTGGGGGATTTTATTTTTTTTTTACAATTAACATAGGATTAATAACGATGTTAGTATGTTAAGGGGATATTTGGTTGGTTGAATATACTTAAAGGGGATTAATGACGATGTTAGTATGTTAAAGGATATTTGGTTGGTTGAATATATTTAAAGGGGCATATGATAGTATTACCAAAATTTAGAATATTGATGATGGATTGGTCAAAGCTCGGGAAGAAAATGTAGTTCGACAAAATAATTACTAATCCAGACGCATAAAAACAATGTGCTTTTCCCATGCCACATTTATTTGTACGGTAAATTAAAAAACACCAAAATTGTTTTTTAGTCCTTTAAAAAAATAATACTAATAAACACTTATAAAGGATTAAACATAGGGATTAAAAATAGGAACAAAGAAAGAAAACACCTCGATACATGGTTGAAATGCAAAAAAAAATTAATTAAATCGGGTAATAACACTAAACTTGCCAAATCATACCGTGTGTGTACGTGGCATAATATCATTGGCATCAACCCGTGGCTTTGCCACATAGACGCAGTCGAAGTCGGACTTTGTCTCTGGCTTAAATACACATTCACAGCAGATCTCGATTTAATTTCATCAGCCTCCTTTTGCTTCGCGAAAAAATCTTCTCCGACGCCGATTCATCCCAAATTCTCACGAGGTTCGTTTCTGTGTTCATGCAATTCTTTGTGGGATTTATTTATTTTCTTTTTTTTGTAGCTGTCGCAGAAATTTGATGCTCTCTAGGTTTTTTTTTTTTTAATTATTTCTTTGTTATTGTTCCGATTTGTAATCGGAGCTAGAATCCTTCGATTCAGATCCGCACCATTGTTGCATGATAGAAATTGACAGATTGATTTGCTTGAATGAATAAAGCTGATTGTGTTTGTTTTTGGCTTGCTTTATAGATCTGATGAGTTTAGTTTCACGATATTGTATTGGCATGCGATTTGATATTGGTTTGGCGCAATTATCCTGATTGGGTTTTCTTGTTTTTTGGTTTTGCTTGTTCGTTCTAGTTGAAACGGAACGAATTCTGTGATTTATGTCAGACCTGCCGGACTTGGAAAGATCAGATTTTTTTTCCCACTGATGTAAAACGTCTTTAGATCAATATAGTTCTCTTATCTGCGTTTCTTTTGATATGCGTCCTTGCGTTGCTGCGTTTTTGGTTTCAATTAATAATGTTCTTGCATCTCGCTGAAGGTTGTTACTTTACCCTCTGAATGATTTATAATCGCCTGTGGTAGTTTTACTACTAGGAATTGCGATTTTATTCCTTTTGGTCACTTGATGCTACAATGAATTATTTGGGTTACAGAATTATCCTTTTTTTTTGTCTTTATCTGTGTTGAATTTAAATTATTTACTTGCTGGAAGGTGACCTTTCTTCATACATGTTATCTAATGGTTCCTTGTTCTGCAGGCTGATTTGGTTGGTTTCTTCACAGTAAGATGGGGGGAGGATTCAGGGTGCTTCATCTTGTTAGACCGTTTCTATCCTTCCTGCCAGAAGTCCAGAGTGCTGATAGGAAAATCCCATTCAGAGAGAAGGTCATCTATACTGTGATTTCTCTTTTCATCTTTCTAGTCTGCAGTCAGCTACCATTGTATGGCATACATTCAACAACTGGTGCCGATCCATTTTATTGGATGCGTGTCATTCTTGCCTCAAATCGTGGGACTGTCATGGAGCTTGGTATCACTCCCATTGTCACATCTGGGCTAGTTATGCAGCTTTTGGCTGGGTCAAAGATCATTGAAGTTGACAACAATGTTCGTGAAGATCGAGCCTTGCTGTAAGTTCCCTAATTTTCTTGGTAATGTCTGTTGCTTTCCTTATATGTAGTAGCAGAGCAGCTTTTTCTGATATTTTTATCTTGTGTCTAGGAATGGTGCACAGAAGCTTTTGGGTATCCTGATTGCAGTTGGTGAAGCAGTTGCATATGTTCTCTCTGGGATGTATGGCAGTGTTGGACAACTTGGAGTTGGGAATGCAATCCTGATTATTCTTCAGCTCTGCTTTGCTGGCATCATAGTTATTTGTCTTGATGAGCTCCTTCAGAAAGGATATGGACTGGGTTCTGGAATTTCACTTTTCATTGCCACCAACATCTGGTAAGTGATTCTTTCGCCTTGGTCTCTCTTTTGTTGTGAAGCATCTCTGAGATTAATGACTTATCGTGTTGCTATTGATTTGACAGTGAAAACATTATATGGAAGGCATTTAGCCCAACCACAATTAACAGTGGACGTGGGGCAGAATTTGAAGGTGCAGTTATTGCTTTGTTCCATTTGCTAATTACTCGGACAGATAAGGTTCGTGCTCTCCGTGAAGCTTTCTATCGGCAGAATCTTCCAAATGTGACAAACTTGCTAGCCACTGTCCTGGTCTTCCTTATTGTCATTTACTTCCAAGGGTTCCGTGTGGTCTTGCCTGTAAGATCAAAGAATGCCCGTGGGCAACAAGGCTCCTACCCGATTAAGCTCTTTTATACTTCGAACATGCCCATCATTTTGCAATCTGCTCTTGTGTCCAATCTGTACTTCATTTCTCAGGTATGAGGCTTATGCTGGCATGAATGATGTAGTATCTTTATTTTGAGATCTCAAATGTTTTGACATTTTCAATTTTTTTTTTTGCAGTTGCTGCATAGGAAGTACAGTGGAAACTTCCTTGTGAACCTATTGGGTAAGTGGAAGGAATCAGAATATTCTGGCCAATCCATACCTGTTGGTGGACTTGCTTATTACATTACTGCCCCATCAAGGTAAATTGTGGTACATTGCAACTACATTGATGTCTGTTTTATAACCTGTCTCCCCGTTGTCTAGTTTTGGTTTGTTCTGTCTGGATTATGTTTAGTTGACACTATTGTTAATGTTACAGCTTGGCAGATATGGCAGCTAATCCATTCCATGCACTCTTTTATATCGTCTTCATGCTGTCGGCATGTGCACTGTTCTCGAAAACCTGGATTGAAGTTTCTGGTTCGTCTGCCAGAGATGTTGCCAAGCAACTTAAGGTAATTGCTGCTGCTTAAACAGAATAGCACTAAAACATCATAGATGAGTCATTGAGCTCCTAATTAAATTGGTATCAGTTTGACGTATTGCTGCCTAGTTATTCCGCTACCTACCTGTATTATGTGAAGTGTTCTGCTAAGTGGTAAGGAACATTTTATTGGAAAATACCCTTGATGATGGTGTTTCTCATATTTGCACCTAATTTTACTTTCAGGAACAACAAATGGTCATGCCTGGCCATCGGGAGTCAAATCTACAGAAAGAGCTGAACCGCTACATTCCAACTGCTGCTGCTTTTGGTGGTATGTGTATCGGGGCACTCACTGTCTTGGCTGACTTTATGGGAGCGATTGGTTCAGGGACTGGAATTTTGCTCGCCGTGACAATCATATACCAATACTTTGAGACATTTGAGAAGGAGAAAGCTAGTGAACTTGGTTTCTTCGGCATGTAAGCTGTGAACAAATCGAGTGACTTGCTGGTGTAGTGTGTGTTAGCCTGGTTAATTTATCAGCGAAGAGGTAATGTAGGTCTTGCCCAACACCAGAAGCTTGCAAACCTGAGAACATAGGTAGCTTTTTCTCTATGGGAAGGATACTTTGTAGTGGGATGACCAATCTGGGAATTTTTGTTTTACAAATGTAAGTTGTAGTGTTAAAAAGGATTCTTAAGAAATAGATTCTACTTGAGGTCTCATTTTCAGAAGACTGAGTTCCGGTTAACTGTGTTATTATTACCTGGTACCCATTAATGTTTAGTGCATTACTGCTTTTCACTTTCTTTCTCTGCGCTGCAACCATCGGACAATGCTTCAATTGAAATTCTTGATCAGGCTTCTTGCACACATAAAACTGTTCTTTGTTAGAATTTTCCTTTTTGATGAATTTTCTAGGTGGGCATTATTCTGACGATTGTAACCGCAAACAGCTGGATGTTTAACATGGTTTTTAAACCGAGCCTTAAATGTTTTTTGGTAAGCCCTTGAGCCAGAATTGGATTACCTGCTATTGGAAACTTCTTACGATTTACAAAGTACGTTCTGCATAATAATGTTTCCCGAGTTATATCCGATTTTTTTTCACCCTTTTTTGTTGTTGTCTGGAGACAAAAGGAAACCCGCCTCTAGGAGATTAGGACGACTTTGGTCTCACTTGAGTATAATTGCATCGTTATTAAAGCTCGCCATGGAGGACGAGGAATTCTGGAATAGATAATTAATTGTGATAAAAATAAAGATCCTCGAACAAACGCCGGAATAATGGCGATAAGATTTTGGTTGTAAAATTTGAATTATAGGAACAAAATCTAAAGGTGTGTTATCAACATCCTCGAGACACCAAATTTAGTGAACTGGGGGAGGCACTTGATGTACCCTAAGAGTAGGAGATTTCTAAATTATGTATTCTAAGAATTGGTCTTTCCAAATTATGTACCTTATGTATGAATTTTGTTGTTTTAAGTACTTTTTCAAGCGCAAAATGGGAAACTCACATATATATAAAGTGGATTCCACTCTATGCACAATTTTTGTTCATGGAACCATACTTAAAAAGTGCAGCTCTATCCAGATTCCAGACTACAGTACTAAACATCAGCAGTGCCAATCTGGAGTTTGATGGCCCAATCACTTTAGTCAGAAAGGCTTGATATACAGTGAATTGGTCCTGTTTTCAGGCCCTTTTGGGATCATCAATTGCAATTTGCATGGCTTGTCAAAAGTGTTAAGTAGTGACACCTTACGATATGATAAAAAGGAAAAAAAGAAAAAGGACGTAACTAGTGACATAAAAATAATTTCACAAAATTTGCCAAACGACGTAAGCAAATCTAAAATATATGTTAATGTCTCCACTGGTAAAGTTCAAAATAGTGGTAGCTAGCGAATGGTTTTTTTTTTTTTTTTTTGCTGAGAATGATTTAGTCGAATGACAAGTTGACAACAACCTTTTCGTTTTAATAAAAAACATGGAAGTTTTCAGGGATTAAGTCATTTTCGGATATCGATTTATTATTGTTTTTTTAATTATTATGATTGACTAACTATCTTACTAATCACAGACAGTAATAATTTCATTTTGTCGACCAAACAAATAATAAAAAATAAAAATTCTCGTCTATTGAGCATAATTAATAATTAGAAATTTTCTTTTCAGGCGGAAAAAGAGTAATATCTTTTTCTCAATATCACATCATATGAAGCAATTCGATTAAGCAAAATTCACATGGAGGATTTGCAGTGGAAAACTCGTGGAGCTTGAAATTGAAGATCCTTTCAAAAGGGCCGACTTGATGCGACATATTGCGACAATTTCATCTCCAATATCTTTTTTCTTTTTTATTTTTTATTTTTTGCGCATCGGGATATAGGATTGAGATGGGGAATTCGACCGTCCAAATCTTTATTCGTTGCATTGTTGTGGTCTGAGCTTACCCAATTGTCGCCTAGGTTTTTTTTTTTTCTCTCTTTATTACTAATATATATTAGTATATACTTTTATTTAGAATATTACAATTGCTAATTTGATAGTGAGACGTACTTGGGGGGGAGGGTGTGTTTTAATTGCATGTTTCAACACGTGAAGGGGACCGTGATTATGACTAATCACTAATAATCACCGCCACACTGGCTTTAATTACGGATGATAACCTCCCGATTATCACTTGCTGCATGCTTTCTCGTATGTAACAGAAACTAGTAGAATACGGAAAAAAATTTCCTTCTGCCCCAAGAGAAACACTGCAGTAAACCAAACTCTTTGTGTTTTTTTTTTTTTTTGGGACAAAGAAGTACACTTTACTGCACCTCGTTTTAAATTTTAAAAATTATTATTCTTTTTTGGTCTGCCAAAAATAATAATCATTATAAATTTTAAATTATACTAAAAATAAGACTAAACTGTATAAATGGTCTTCTACATTTGTCCGAATTTAAATTTTGGTCTCCTACATCAACATGTATATGGATTGAGCCTTTACATTTCATTTTGAAACTTTTTTGGTCTCTTTTCACTGTTCCGTCACCATTTCCGTCTTGACGACTGTTGACCCTACCAAGTCAGGGGTATTTTCGGAATAACATATATAAGATCAAAAGACTAAATTGTATAAATGGTCCTCTACATTTGTCCGAATTTAAATTTTGGTCCCCTACATCAACATGTATATGGATTGAGTTTTTACATTTCATTTTGAAACTTGGTCACTTTTCACTGTTCCGTCACTATTTCCGTCTTGATGACCGTTGACCCTACTAAGTCAGGGGTATTTTCAGAATGACACATATAAGATCAAAATAACAAATGTTTTTATAATAAAAAATTAAATAATTTAAAAATAAAAGTAAAAAATTAAAATGATTTCAAATTTCAAATTTCAAATTTTTTTTTCACTTCCCACTTTTGTGGGTCCCACATGCCAGTCAATTTCTCCCCTTTTTTTTACTACAGTAAAAAAAATCAAAATTAAAAAGCAAACTTACCTTCACCCGTCTTTTACCTTTACTCTTAAAAATTTTATTCTTACCAAGTCACTGCTACAGTAAACCCTACTGATATAAAACCTTATTTCCTGGCATTATTGACCCAAATCTGGCGACATCAAACTGGAATTCCGATCTAATTCCTACTCTATTTATCATCTCCAATCTTATCCGCCAACGTCTTTGTTCATTATCTTCATTGTATTCCTATATCTTCCTTCTACTTCAAATAAAATTTGCAGATTTTTATGTCGGCCTTCGGTGGTAGCAACAACAACGGCAGCAACAGCAGTAACGGAAACAGGAGCTACCTTCAGTACGAGAGATTCATTTGCAACAAATGTGGGATGTATTGCAATTTTGGGCTCTCTGCAACCTATAAAAATCCTGGTCGATTGTATCATGATTGCCCTAACCGTGGGTTTGTTGGGTGGGCTATACCTGTAGCAGTGACTTGGTATGAATAAAATTTTTAAGGGTAAAGGTAAAAGACGGGTGAAGGTAAGTTTACTTTTTAATTTTAATTTTTTTTACTGTAGCAAAAAAAAAAGAGAGAAATTGACTGGCATGTGGACCCACAAAGGTGGGAAGTGAAAAAAAATTTGAAATTTGAAATTTGAAATTATTTTAATTTTTTACTTTTATTTTTAAATTATTTAATTTTTTATTATAAAATAATAATTTTTAATATTTTGTTCTATTTTATTATAAAAACACTTGTTATTTTGATCTTATATGTGTCATTCTGAAAATACCCCTGACTTGGTAGGGTAAACGGTCATCAAGACGGAAATAGTGACGGAACAGTGAAAAGAGACAAAAAAAAGTTTCAAAATGAAATGTAAAGGCTCAATCCATATAAATGTTGATGTAGGGGACCAAAATTTAAATTCGGACAAATGTAAAGGACCATTTATACAATTTAGTCCTAAAAATAATAACTTTAAATTAATAATACATTTACTTCGATCTTGATGGGTTGATCCTATTTATAAGCCAAACAAAAATGCACATCTAGAGAAGCCAAAAGATTGAAAGAAAAGGGGGAAGAATGCTAGATATCTTGTTTATAAATTATTATAAGAAATTTAAACCATGAAAATTAACAAAACAAAAAGACACTTCCTATTTCATTATCAGATTAATTGTTATCATTTACGATTGACTATGGCATAAAAATAAATATTTTTTCGAAATTGATTTATTTATTCACTTTGTCTTAAAATGATCACTTTCGATATTTCTAAACAAACACTGATTGGACTGTATGTATCTAAAGGAAAAGAATGTGTAACAATAATAAGTGAGGTCCTAATTAGAGGGCTTATATTTAAGCATGCATCTTTAGTTTGCTGGCTCAGAAAAAGAGATGCATCTTATATTTTAGCATGTAACAATAATAAATGTTTGTTGGTACTCAAACTGTCAAAAATAATTTAGAAAGACAAACATTCTGTGATTCCTTTTTATGGGATATTCGATCTTAATTCTCATAAGAAGTTCAAATTGGTTTTATTTGATTCGACATATTAGCTAATAATTTATCGTGGCATGCTTCCTTAGTTCCTTTTTGGCAAAATAATTACTCTACAGTCTCTTATAGAGTTATGATTGTTGATTGCCTTTTAGTCTTAGAGTGAGGAGGGTTTAATCATTCGAAGTGTTGTGTATACGTTACAATTTATGCTAATAATAGCAGTTACAAAATGGGCACCAAAATGGTGAAGGAAATTCAGCTATGTGACACAAAGGAAAAGGGCAAGAAAACTACAAGTTCTTGGCCAAAAATGATGAAACAAAGAACCTGAATTTCACATTGCGCGCACTTACATTTTTGTATGACTTGACAAAGAATCTAAAATATGAGAGGTTAATACCCAAAGAGTATCTTAATTTGATCTTGTAAGGCTTTAGCCTTTTTTGTTACCAAAAGAATATCCAAAGAGTATCCACGTGAAACTGTACAATTACCGTTTACACGACCACATCTACTTATCCCTTAACACAAACAAAACTCCTATATAGCAAAAGAAAAAAAAGAAAAGGAAAAGACTCTTATAAAGAGGATCTGGATGAGCATTTACCACTTTCCCTTCAGACAAAGAAGTTCTTTTGGCTCATAAATATATGGAAAAATTCACAACTCATGATCAATGCTAAATTCAGAAGTCAGAACTGAAGAAGAGCCAAAATAGGCCATATTTTCTTCTAGAATATCAACCTCTTTTTTTTTTTTTAAACACAATTACAAGTATCTAGTTTATTACATATGAAGTGAAATCTACGGGGAAGTGGGTAGTACTACTAAATGAGAAACTCCACGCATGCACATCTCGATCTGATACTCGGAAAGCCTTCCAAGCGAGTGCAAGATAATCTACACAACTCAACACACAAAAGTATTTTGTTAGCAGAATTTGAACCTGAGCTCTCTTGAGACCTCAGGTTTTGATGCCATGCCCACTAGAACTTGGACAACCCCTTATTGGCCAACCTTCTTCTATATTGGTGTGCTATTTTTACCAAACTCTTCCCATTTTTTCCACACAAAAAAATACTACAACCGTGTACTGAAGTTATTTAATAATTAGGTAGAATGATAAATAACATTCATAAATGCTTGAGGGAACAAATATGAAAAATGTTAAGTAGCTACTGGCGCGTGGTCTACACGTCATTCAAGTTTTCCACCAGAAAATGCCTTTCGCTATTCTGCAGAATCTGTGAAGGGACACCTTCCATATCTCGAAGGAATCCACCTGTGTGTACACACGCGTATCCAGCTGATTGGTGTGAATTGACCGAAATGTCCTACTAGATAGATAAATATGTTGAATTATACAATTCGATATTTCTATTTAATATCAATATTTCATTTTCACATTTACGTGTGTAACAAGTTCGTTAATATTAAAATTATTTTTTTGCATCCTTCTTTAGAAGTGTATGTTAATTTTATTTTATTGTTATACCGACTCTTTTGTTGTTTTTTTTCTACTTGTTTAAAATTTTCATAAACATGCCAAAATTCCACAAACACAATCTCTTATGAACTTACAAAATAGTATCACCATATTGTAACTATAATTGAAAGTTTCTTTTACATTATGGTGGTTGAAACAAACTCTCCAAATATAAAAAAAAAAACACAACAAAATACAGGATAAACTACATAAATAGTTTAATTTATCAAAAGATATCGCGTTTCATTGTTCGATTTGAATTCTGCCATTCAAATATGAAAACACAAACAAAATACAAGATAAACTACATAAATTGTTTTAAATTTATTAATAAATATTATTTCTTTTCTAAATAAATAGTCCACAATGAGTTTTAAGATTTTATTTTACTGCTTTTAGTACGAATTAAAAAATTCAATATGAATTATTTTTTTCAGACAAAACAAATATCAGGTTTTGTTGTATTTTCATAATTAGAATTATCACGTTTTATTATTCTAATAGTGGAAATATAATAAAGGAAAAAGTTCTTTTATATATTGAGTGTACTGGTACCGTTTACATTACTTTATCTAACAAGATATCATTTCTTCAAAATTTGAGCTGTAAATTTTTAATATAAGTCTCCAGATGTTACCAACATTTCAAAAATTTCTACTCTAATTTATTGTTACTGCAATAATTTTTCTACTAATAAAGTAATTCCAATAATTTTCCCACAATAACAAACCGAATATCTTTGAAATAAATTTCCAGGTAACAAAGGAGCAAAGGACAAAATCGCCAAAAAAGAAAAAACACCAAAGAATTGACCAAACGCTGCTACTGAAGGCCTACCGTAGTTTTAATTCCCAAAGCCAACGGCACAGCTCATTAGACATTCCCCCCAAATTTCTCTCTCCTTTTTTTCTTTCTATTTCTTACTACTTCCTTGGCTTTCTCCTTTTTTTTTTTTTTCTGATTTCTCTCCTCCATTACTCCGATTCTTCCCTGATTCCTTTTCCACTCCGACCTCCCTCTCTGCTTCTCCTCTATTTCTCTTTCCCATCATACTCCTCCGATCACACAGTCAGCAACCCTTTTCGTCACCGTTCGAGGCTTCTGACTTTTTTTTTTTGGTCATTAAAGAGAAGTTAATAGTAAATTGGAAAGCAATTTTAAATTTTAAAATCCCAGGTCTGAACAGGGTTTTGGTGTTTGTGTTACTGTTTACACCCCCACTGAATCTTCTTTGAAGGTACGAACAGCTTTTAATGGGGGGTTTTCATTCTCTCCATTAAAAACTTCCACTTTTTCAAAGCTCCTATTTCATCCCCATTCTTTCTATTGCGTAGCTGGATTTGTGTTCCTATTGTTTGTAACCGACATTCATTTAGTCTTGTCTTTAAATGGTAAGTAGGAAACTTTGAGAAGTAATTGCTGAAACATCAGTTTTTTTTTTGCACTTGTCCAGGTCCCCGGAATTCAGGATTCTTCTCCTAAACCGATTCTGTTTTTCCGAAAGGAGCCTTTATTTTCAGGTATGTTTTAGAGTTATTTCATCAATGATTTTGTTGGTTGAAATTATAAATGTCTTCTACTGAGCCTTAATTTCCGTTCTGGGTTTTTGCAGAAAGAAGCAATCAGCGGGTGATTATTATGTTTTCTGGAATTTTGAGACCTTGAAAGATGATATTTTGTCTGGTGATGAAGAGGAAGTGACCAATTTTAGAAGAGCAATAAACAGTTAGTTCGTCGAGGTGCGTTTTACGCTTTACGGTAATAAGTAGTACAGTAATTGATTAAAAAAGGTCCAAAGTCTAACGCCGTTTGGTCCATCATCTTATAGTCAAACGTTGTTTGTCTGGACACGCATGTAGATGATCATAGATATTCGTAAACTTTTAGTACTGTACACGGTCCTTTGTCATGTATATATATATATATATATATCCTGGTATCATCCCCACAGTAAGAAAGGATGCACCCTCACGAATCAATCTCCCACAAAATTAGAGTTAAAAATTGGTTAATGGATTTTTTGCCCGTTTGACAGTGTACTTTTCGGTGGCACAGATCTTGAGAGAACAGAGGGGAGGTTTTCAGTCCTTTTTAGGCCGTTGGATCTTTGTGTGGGTTGAAGTGAGTGAAATAACAAAAATTTTTCCTTTTTCCTACAGTTAGAAATGATGAAATCATGAGGCCCCCACGTGATTTCTTGCAGTAGGGTAATAGTGACGTGTGAGAAATGTAGGGGATTGTTTTGACACGTTCGTACGACCATTTGCTTAGTAGGATTTTTCATTTCTTTCTTCTTTCTTTGTGTATGTCTTCTTCTTTTTCTTTTGGACCCAATAATATTCTGGAAAGGGTGGAATTATTGTGGGAATGTGGATCCAATGTCATCAAACATGTCATGAGGGCAAATAAATTTATATACATAGTGCCCAAATTTTTTCGCTTCCAACTACTTTATATCAATCTGTGGTGCATTCATCCAGTTTGGTGTGTGGCAGCTTTGTAATGTAATGTAATAATGAAATGAAGAAAGTTTTCTTCTGATGTTTTTAGTTTTTAGTTTTTACCCTACCCCATGAGATCTTTTGTGAAGTGAAAACTTTCTTTTTCATCCCCTTTTTACTTGCTATTAGTAAAAAGAATGGAATGAATGGCTTTCATTCCTTTTTGCATTTGCAATCCAGAGATTTTGGTTTTGGAAGTCTTCTCTTTGTTTGTGTATTATTAATGCAAGTTTGATGCTTATTTGATTCTTCAATTTGTTTGTTTTTGGGGTGTTTGGTGGGGATGAAGGGGAGGATGGGGGTATTATTGTTTGGTGTGGTCGGTTGGAGAAGGGAAGAGTCTCCTCTATTATGTCTTGTTATGGCAAGATTATAGCTGGCTCAAATAGAGAAAAACTAAATCCATCTGGATTTGTTGAGTTGGTAGAGGTCTGAACATAGTAGCAAATGACCCTTGAAGATTAATTATTCATTTGGTCAAAACTGATTGTGGAATAGAATATATAGTACTACAATTTATGCTGACAAGTTCTTGTGTTTTTTAAAAGTAATTTCCTACTTTGGGCAGAGTTGGACAATCTCTAAGTTCTACGTAATTTTGATTAAGAAATGTACCAATGATCTGCAGTTTTCTACAGTTTTTTAATGCACTAATTATTCTCCGCCTTCTCTTAAGTGTGTTTATTGGTTGGTTTAGTGTACTCTAACCTTGGCATCTCTGCAGACCCCCGGCCCTAATCAATTGTTTACGGCCACGAATTGAAAGTTGAAACTTTGGACCGTTGCATTCTTCATTTAGTCCTGTTTTTTGATATTTTAAATGCTTTCTTGTAGCTTCACTCGTTTGCTTTCTGTTCATCCCCTTTTATTTTACCCCACTTTAGATCCCACTTTTTTATTATTCTGCCTAAAAGGAAGAAAATCTGAAGCACATCTCAGGGCAAAAAACAAAAAGAAATTCCCCTTATGCTTTTAAAGGTCTCGATCCAAGTGCTAAAGCAAGTGGCTTCCATCCTTTGTTGAAACTAGCCATCATTGTTATTCTACTTACTGGTCATCCGGACCATCATAATATTCCTGTGTCTTTCTTTATTCTCTATGATTCTTATTTTATTGCAGTTTTCTGAACTCATAAGTGTTCACAGTTCGGCTCAATAATTGTCATTGCTATTTGCAGCTTGTTTTGATCACATGGAATCAGTTGACCGGCCTGCGGCTGTAGGCAACAAGAGCAAGGGTAGATTGGCACGCACTTTTGCTAAGGTGCTGCATATTCGAGCTGTTACTGGAATAGCTCCCGACAATGGAATGCATAAGGTTAAGTCATCTCACGCTGAAGATATGAAGGCTAATCTGGCCAAGAATACCACTTTGCGAAGGTTCGATGATGAGGATGAGAAGATGCAAAGCAGAGCAGCTACAGAGGCATTTTTAGCCAAGCTTTTCGCCAGCATATCATCTATTAAATCTGCATATGCCCAATTGCAGCTAGCACAGTCTCCTTATGATCCCGATGGGATTCAGTTGGCTGATGGAATGGTCGTTTCTGAATTGAAGAATGTTTCAGAACTCAAGCAATGTTTTATGAAGAAGCAAATTGATGATTCTTCACCAGAAAACACTCTGCTTCTTGCGGAGATTCAGGAACAGAAGAGCTTGTTGAAAACATATGAGATAATGGGGAAGAAGTTGGATTCTCAGCTTAAACTTAAGGGCTCTGAGATTACATTTCTCAGAGAAAAATTGGAGGAAGCCAATAAAGAGAACAAGTTGTTAGAGAAGAGAATGAACTCTAGTGGGCAAATGCCTTCGGCTCTCGACGATGTTCACTTATCAAGCTTGAGCCCAAGCCATTTCGTTACTTTCCTCAGGCAAACAATGAAAGCTATTCGAACCTTTGTTAGGATGCTCATCAGCGAGCTGGAATCTGCTGAGTGGGATCTGGATGCTGCTGCAAGTTCTGTACAACCTGATGTTGTCTTCTGGAAAGCTAATCATAAGTGTTATGCATTCGAGTCCTTTGTTTGCCGGGAAATGTTTGATGGTTTCAATCACCCGGATTATTCAATGTCGAAGGAATCTTGGCAGGATACCAAGAAACGACAGAGAGTATTCTTTGACAGATTCAGAGAATTGAAGTTTGTGAAACCAATGGATTACTTAGCTTGGAAGCCTAAATCCTCATTCGCGAGATTCTGCCGGGATAAATACTTGAGCCTTGTCCATCCAAAAATGGAATCATCCATCTTTGGCAATCTGGATCAGAGAAACATGGTAAATGCAGGGGAGTTCCCTGAAACCACATTCTTCGTTACATTTGGCGAGATGGCAAAACGAGTGTGGCTACTGCATTGCCTGGCCTTCTCGTTCAACCCCGAAGCCTCAATCTTCCAAGTGGAGAAGGGGAACAGATTCACCGAAGTATACATGGAAAGCGTCAGCGATGAGGCATTTCAGTCATCAGATGGCTCGCCGGGATCAGAACCCCGGGTGGCATTTACTGTGTTTCCAGGGTTCAGGATAGGTAAAACTGCTATTCAATGCCAGGTTTATCTGTGTTGATGATGATAAATGATATAATCCTCATTGACTAGCAACCTTTCTTCTTTTTCTTTTTTTTTTTGGTGGGATCCCATGGCAACTTTGATGAACTGATCTGGAGCCCGCCCCACCGACTTTTGGCATATTTTATAATCTGCGGTGTTAAATCTTGAAAAAAGAAAAGGGAGATTAGGATTGAGGGCTCTTTGTCCTGTAGACGATGGGGATTTCTTTTTTGTAATGCGAAAATAGATGGGTGAATCGTTTTCTGGGTATAAGATCATAAGATCATAAATATATATGCTTCATGTCCCCAAATATTCCTTAGATTTTTGTTAATATTAGGCCAAGTTGAGTGGCTGATGGAACTGAATAGAGATAGATGTAACATTGTATATTGTAGTTTTGTCTTTGTTGTGCATTTTCTTTGTTCGTAGAAAATAACAATGAAACAGAAGATATATACAATAGAACGTCGGTAAATTAATAATTTATAAATTAATATTTTTTGTCTTTGTTGTGCATTTTCTTTGTTCGTAGAAAATAACAATGAAACAGAAGATATATACAATAGAACGTCGGTAAATTAATAATTTATAAATTAATATTTTTTAATAATTAATAATTTTTTTCGGTCTCAACTTAAGACCAATACAAAAAGTAAAAAAAAATCGATAAAATGATAAGATAATAATATTTCAAAAAATCTCATGTATATTTATAAGTCTTAACAATACCATAAATTAATAAATATCCTAAAAGGAAAAAATAATAATAATAACTATAAATATTTTAAAATATGAATCATTAATACTTATTTTTTAGTTCGTGGACACGATATGAACTATGTATGATTTTTTGTGTTCACAATAGTTTTAATACTTGATTGATTTGGATGTAAAAAAAAATTGCAAATTAAGTAATTTAGTGACGATTCTTTTTTTTTTCTCACACAAATTCTTTAAATTAATAATTTATTAATTTATCGATTATTTAATAATTCGCTAAATTAATAAGTTTTGGTGATCCCAATACTATTAATTTATAAAAGTTCTACTGTATGTAGTATCTGAGGCATTTTCCTAGCCCTTTCTCTCTTGGATTTCCGTTGACATTCATAATCTATACATTGTTACCATTTTGGTTTTAAAAAATGTATTTCATTTGACATAAAATTATGATCTAGTTTAGATTTTTATTTTTAGTACAAACTGAAATAAAAGCGAAAATCTATTTTTTACACAATAATTTTAGGACAATGAGAGTATTTGGGTTTGATTGAGGATTAAACTATCTATTAGGGGGCGTTTGGTTTGTTCATGTGTTTCACTATGGGTTTAGATATGATAAATGGAAGGAGTTATTATCATTATGTCCATTCCAAAGTAGTTATTTGGTTTATAATTCGGTTTAGTATCATTTTATTTTTTTATTTAATTTATTGATTAATGGTACAAAAATTTAAATACTAATTTTAAAAAGTTAATAAATCTTTTTTGTTAAATCAATTTGAATATTTTAATTCATGATTTATTTTTTATTTTTTGGGAAAAAAACTAAATTAATTTGATTGAGTCACGATAACTCTTATGTCAATATGAATTTAATGCAGTAAACAAATTCTATATTTTAAATATCAATTTGAATAATTTGTTAATTAATTTAATTTTTCAACTGATGATGTTTTAATTTAGATGTGACTCAAAAATTTCAAATTAAAACTTGAATTTACAATTAAGAAAAATATGTTTTTATGATATAATCATATATTTATACACAATATCATACCATGAGAAACAACAGATTAAAAAGAACAAAAAAAGGTTATAAAAACAGAAATCAGATCAAAACCCGACTCATTGGTGGGTTTAGAATATTCTTAAATGTTTTGGTATCAATCCATTCTTACCAATTTAGAACCTGTCCAAACATCAAAAACTGGAGTTATTTCAATCCCCATTCCAAAATCTACCAAGCAAACACACTCTTATTCTCAATTCGAATGGGAAATAATTCGAATGCGGGCATCTCTTCAGAAAAGGCCTAAAGGCTAAAATGTAACCGCCAAAATACCTACATCTGAATATATGATATGGGCTGAGATATATTCTCAGATCTCCAGATCATCAGTTAATACTATAACTTCGCTGTAAACCTAAACCCCTGGCCCAGTAGAACAACAACAAAACAATCACTTCTTATCTTTTTTTTCCCCAAGGAAATATTGATACTGCTTTAAGACAAATTAAAAATGGAATTAAAGTATCACATTAAATCAATGAGATGAGGTGAGTCAATGTTTAGTTTTACAAAATTACAAATGCCTGAAATCCTTGATTTGCTATTTGGCAAATTTGCTTTTGTTGACAGGAAAATCTTTACCGTGAGCCAGAAGGTTATATATATAAAATAACGCAGACGATGTTGATTGCATCCAAAGTCAAAGCCCTCAATAAATCGCATAAAGTTGCACATAGTATTTATCTCTTACAAAGAAATGGTAGATAAGATGGCTTCTAACTATTATTGCCTATAGTATGTTGTTTTTTTTTTTTTCCTTCCTTGTAATCATAAATAGAAGATTTTCAATAAATAAATAGAATGACGTTTTTATTTTCATTTTTTAAAATGATTGCTTAAATTCGCAAAACTAGAAATTTGCAAATTTTAATGTAGACATTGAAATGGAACGGAGGCCGCGCGTCTTTGTTTGTCTAAAGCATAAAAGAATGTGATTTATATAATAGTCATTGATGGTTTAGAAAACCCATGATAACAACATTACTGATCCCGTTGCCTTCAACTCTTCATCACTCAATCAATGATTGACCTCATTTTTGGCAATTTATTTCTTATTTGACTTTAAATTCGCAATTTGGCTCCATTTATGATATACTACTACTACTACTACTCATACTGCAAGTGGTAATTACTTAACAATGTCAGTTTTTGTTTTGTTCTCGCAGCCAGTAATAGAATAGCTATGATTCAGAAATTCCAAATGGTATCAAAATCCAATATAAAGACAACAAAAGTCAAGGGACTAAATTTGAGACAATTTCCGCCAATATTCATCATGGCTTGAAGTAGTTAACTGTCGTCGAGTTCTTGCTTTCTTAATCATTACAAGAACACAGCAAAGTTACAATGTAAACTGTACAATGTACATAGATTGGTATTCATATATCCGAAATCTATACTTACGTAAATTTGGATTCAAAATTGGCTTGAACCTGTTAGTAATGGCTGTAACCTCAAGCACGAGACGTATAAGGTTTGCACTTTTCCGCAAAATGGAGAAATAGAAGAGGAAAGAAGCTGAATTGGATGGATGATCTTAGTGCCCTACACCTGGACTGGGTACTGACTCCATTTCATCCGCAACCATGGTTGCATTAACTTTGTTACTAGGGGAAGAAATGGGAGCAGAGCCCATAGGAGGGACACTCATTAGGGAACTTTCTTTCATGGAATTAATGTCAGCCATCTCAGTCTTTTTATCAACCAGAAGCTTCCTTGCTTCAGAAAACTGTGTAGCAAAACACATGAAAATGAAGATCAAAACAAACGTCTTGGTTATCGAATAAGCCATGAAAACCAAAGGTCTAGTGGGATTGTTTTGTTTAGTACACTGGAGCAAGAGCAGGGAGTGATCAAGAAGAAAAGCTTTATTGCTGAAGAGTGGAAGTGATGAGTGATGAGCTTTTCTGAGGAGGAAACAGAGTATTTATATGTGTAGGATTGGGTGAGGGTCAAGTTAGTGGTTTGGTCAAATCCAAAATATTTGGATTTTTTGTAGAGAAATAAGTATTGTTTGTACTCATGTTTTTACATAACAGTGCTGTTACAGAATGCCTCGTGTAAGTTGTATAGATGTTTGATGACTAAAGCCGCCGGCCTCGGTTTCTTAGGCAACCTGTATTGTCTGAACTTGCATCGTATACCTGTTCTGTTTCTTTATAGTTTTTAGTCTGTCTTCCATTTCCCTTGTAGGCTGATTGAATATAAAAATTTCCAGACATTCAAGTTGCACTTTCTTAGATTATCTCTATAGCATCTTTAATAATATTCCTAGCAGGCCGCCCTATGGATTGGATGCTCTTGAAGACTTACAAGGCTTTGAAACTACAAAGATATGAAAGCCTGATCGAATTTGACTAAAGGAACTTTTATTGTATCCCTTATTAACGTCTTAAGCTGTGCTATCTTACATTATACAACCGTCTGTTATCTGCGGAAACTCTTCCAGTTTGAACCCCTATTAGTACTGCCTGCTGCCGGTTGCTCAACATGAAAGTTAAACGCTACAGATTGAGCACACGGGATATTTAAAAAAAGGACATGTTTGAAGCAAACAAAAAGCAGGCAAGACAAAGCCATTATCAAAGGTAAGAAAGTCGTACTTAAATTATTGCTAATAAAGTAGACAATGAAAGAAGAGCAGAAAATATGGTTAATTACACCCCAGAATCAGACAAATCTAAGTACTTAGATGGTTATGGATTGAAAATTCATTAAATTTATTCAACAAAGAAGACAAAACAAGAACTGTTTCAAGGACTGCAGAAGTGGGATTTTTCACAATTAGAATAAAGTACTACAATTTGGATTACCTCCATACAGCGTTGAATGGATAAATTGGATCTTGTGGGAAGTATCTATTCTGCTAAACGGCTCCTGAGCTGACCAACCTATCAATGTGAAGTAATCCAAAAAAGATAGTCAAAGACAACGATTCAACTAATCCATTTTGTTAAGAGAAAGAATGCAAAACACTTGCCCGTCCAAAAGGTTGTCCTTGTTGAACAATCGTTTTAAAATGCCGTCTTTACGTGCAATGAAGCATCATCTTCATATTTGTCTGAATTCATATGAGACAGATACTTTCTCAAGCATGTAAGATGAAGACAAATTACTATTTTTCCACCACCTAAGACCAACCCCAAGGGCACACACCAAATCACCAATTGGGTACAAAGTGCAAGCCCAAGGGGGAAACTATTCACGGCACCAAACACTTGCAAATGAACAGTAAAGGTGCATTACAATTCATGAGCACCAAATTTGGTGCTTGAATTTTTTATTATTTTTTTTACTTTTATTTAATTTATGCAATTTATAAAACAACCTCCTTTAAATTAACTAATGTATAATTTATGACTATTGTATATTATGATAAACTTTTGAAATTTATAAGTATAATAAATTTGATGATTTTTAATTGATCTCATGTGTATGGCTTACTATTTAATTTATAAAATTACAAAAAAAAAACATAATATGAATAAAAATGTATATATGTGATATTAAGAAAAAAAAACATACATGGATAAAATAAATACATTAAAATTGAGATAATTAATAAAACATTCATACATTGACATTAATAATAAGAAAAACAACTTAAGGGGAAAAAAAATTGCTTGGGCACACAAATGAAAACATACACGAAACTCATCCCCCAAAAGAAAAGACAATTGCACACACACACACACACACACTTTAATAGTACTCATACATTAATTAAAACAAAACTAATGATAATAATTTGGGAGGTCTGTGCCATATCCACCCATATTGGCAAAAATTTCACCGAAAACACTGTATAATAATAATTTGTTTTTATAATTTATAATGTCATTACAAGTTTGTATGTTTTCATTTGTATAAAAAAATGTTATTTTAATTATTAGTTTGATGAAATATGGTTTGTCAAATTTAATTTATTATAGTATATTTTTTGTGATGTCGATACAAATATTTTGCCTATATTGGAAATATGAACAAAATGGCTTATCTTTTGGAATTTCATAAACTTAATAATAAAATGAAGGATAAAGTAGAATTGCTAATTTGTGTATAAAAATTGTGCTGATGGTTGGACTTCAAAACAATGTAACTTTGGTGATTTAGTGTGCACCAAATAGGTGTTGGCTTTGGGGATGGTCTAATGCATGTGACCATTGATGAGAAAACAGCATCCTACATGGAGAGCTAGAATACAAATATGGAAAGCTTAATTAATCAGATTGGCAAAAGAAATCGGGAACTTTTCTACCTAACTAGTATGTGTCCTGCGCTTTCCGAGCGTTTGACAGTGTTGAAAATTTATCTTTCAAAAGAATTAATTAGATAATGTAATTATTAATATTTCTTAAAAATTGTAATATTTTTTTGATTAATCAATTTTAGATCAAAATGAGAGGTATTGATATTATTTATGAGATATATATTGGTAAGATCTGGTAAAAAATATTACAACAAAAATTTTCAAAAGTTGTATAATAAAAATTGTCACCACTAACTAATGTTATGTTTGGATTAAAAAATATATTTAAAAATGCGCAAATTATGAAAGAGGACTTTGGGGATTAGATGTAATTCTAATAAAATATGAGACATAATTAATCGTCCTTGAAAATGTAAAATCGATAAACTTAAAGACTAAGTAGCACACAAATGGAACTTTAAGGGTCAAAATGATAATAGATTAAAAGTTTAAACTCGTAAATGAAAAAACTTCTGAAGTCGGGGGGTTTCTCAGCAATTTTTGAAAATATTCATTTTCAATCACACAATAAGTAATTTGTAATATCTGTAAAAATCTTATATAGTAAATAAATTATTAACTGTTTACATAAAATTTTAACTAATTAATGTTGAGGCTTGATGGTTTCAATGAGCGACGCGTGTCGATTATCTTTCTTTCATTTAATATATATAATGATGTCCGATGCAATGGGGAACCTGCAGGCCAAAACAAAGAGAAAAAAAACTTAATCAGCTACACAAAAATAATAGGATATGCATTTTCACTAATGTGGACAAGATACAACTTTTTCTTCACCTGATGTATGACACAATAGGAACCTGCATCATGACCTAACAGAAAGTCAAACAAAGCCAAAAGCTTAACAGCAGAATGCATACCCAATGGCTTACAAAAAGTTCTACCTGGGGAGACACTCAATCATGTATAGCAAAGAGAACTTCCCTTGTGTGATTCCGTGATACAACTATGCTAGTTACAGAAAGCAACAGAGGTTAATGTGATCAATGAAAACTCGTTATAAGCTTATAGTCAAATCTGATCAATATGTACAGCTCTTAAGTAATCAAAGAGCATTAAATTGGGTTATCAAAGAATTAAGTTCTTCTAAGGGGTTCGAGTACTGCCTATCTCCTTTACATACAAAAGAAACCACCATTTCCCATGTGGTTGGATTAGAGAAGTTTCCTTTAGCTAAACTATCTAAAACCATCCACAAATATTTTGTCTTCCCTCCTCTGATTAATCCATCAACTAAATTACATATACTTGAAGAGCGAGGAAGATAGCCTTTAAAGACCATCTCATCCAAAACATGAGCTGCTTCCTTATACTGCATTGCATCACAAAGTCCATCAAAAAAGGTCCTGTAAGTCACCATGTCAGGAAAGCACTTCCTTCTGGGCATATCTTCCACTAGCTCACTAGCTTCTTTCAGTTTCCCTGCCTTGCAAAGGGCGTGAATGATCACATTGTAACTTATTATATCTGGCTTACAATTCCTTCTTTCCATCTTATTCAGCACCTTAAATGCAGAATCAAAGTCTTGCTCTATACAGCACCCCTGAATTATCACATTATACAAAACCGTATTTTTTTTGCAGCCATTTTTTCTCATATCCTCTAATAATTTATTAACATCTTCCCGACGGCCAGCCTTGAAAAGTGCACTAATCAAGGTAGCATAAATAGCAGCATCCAATTCAACATTTTTCTTTAACATCTCCTCCTTGAGCTTCATAGCAACATCCACCTTATCAACCTCGCAAAGCCCTTTGATCAACGCAACGAAAAGGAAAGCGTTTGGCTTCAGTTTAAAATCCCTCTCCATCATTTCCTTCAATCTAAAAGCCTCCTCCAACTCTTTGTTCTCACAAAGCCCTTTAATCAAAGTCCCGAATGTCGTCACGTTCGGAACAATCCCTTTCTTCTGCATAGCATTAAACACATCCCAAGCATTATCTAAATCCCCCATGACCAAACAAGCATTGATTAATATATTATAGGTGCAAGCATCTGGTCGTGCGTATATCTCCATACCCAGAAAAACTTCCCTCATTTTACTAAATTCCCGACAAATCAACAAACTGTTCAACAAGGAATTCACTGACTTAATAGTTCTCCGGCATCGGAAAGAGGGAATTTCATCAAACATCTCGAGGGCCTTCCAGGACAATCGGGCCCTCCCATAAAAGGAGATAATGTTACAAAAGATAATCTCTTTCGGGATGATTCGGGTTTGCTTCTTCAAATTCTCAACAATTAGTTCAAGCTCAGAGAACATCTTGGCCTTGCCTAGTTTGGTGATGATGAGATCATAGGATACAGGATCATATCGGAAAGGTTTTGGAGTTGGGTTGGGATCATTCGGATTGGGGTTCATGAAGAGTTGGAAGGCAAGTTTCGGGTCTTTCTCAAGGCGTAGGAGAGATGAAAGTCTGAAAGGTGAGATTTTTCGGAGTTTTTCCATCGAAACTTAACGGTAAACTCTGCACAGAAATGGGGAGGGATTTAACTTCCCGCCAGAAAAACGTTTAGTAAGCTCGAGCGGATGAGGATTCGAATCCTTGCCTAATTGTGTCCTAAGCTCGTTTAATTTGTAATATTGGGCCGTCCACTTGGTAATCCGGGTTGGGCCACATATCATTTCGTCTTTTTTTTTTTTTAAGGGAGCCATGCGATTTCCTTTGTTTATCATTAATGTTTTTATTTTACAAATTATTTTTTTAATATAAACTATAATATTCAGGTTTTTTTTTTTTGTTTTTACATACAATTACAAGCACCTAGTTTATTACATGTGGGTGAGGTCTATGGGGAAGGAGATAGTACTACTATGGGGGAGACTCCACGTGTGTGGATGAGATCTATGGGAAGGAGATAATACTACTATGGGGGAGACTCCACGGGCACACGCAAATTGAAAACCTAGTACTTGGAAAGCCTCCTGACGGTATAAATTGAAAACCTGCAAACTCAACACTGAAAGTGTTGTTACTTGTTAGTGGGGTTCGAACAGGGGTCTCCCGAGTGTGACGCCAAAGCCCCAACCAATTAGGCTACCCCTCTGTTGGTTATTCATGTATTCAATCTACGTGTACAACATTCAAATTTCTGTTCTCTTTACAGCAAATTCAAAAACAATGAAAATTTTAGTTGTAAGAAGAATGAAAATTTATGTTATATTATCGATTTTAGTACTCACTCTTTCAGTTATTAGATTAATCCCTTTAATTGATTCAACTTTGTCCGAACAAGAATACTTCAATGTATCAAATGTGTTACATTTTAGTTAATAATAACGTTTGTATTCATGAGTACTCTACACTCATTAGTCTTAAATAGAGACACGATATCTTGTAAAATATTCTCGCAGACATTTTGTTTTAATTGACACAAAATTAAAAATTTTAAAAACAATTTCGAGTTTGAGAATATGGAATTGGTGTTACTTTGATGCTAGCTCAAAGGATCCTCCATTACCATTGGCTGGAATTCAAACTGAATAGTGTAATGTGATTATAAAAATCAAAAGTATTCTTTCCATCCGAGAAAAATAATTCGTAATTCTGTTTTGATTAGACAAATGATTAAATTATTTTCCTAAGACGAAAAAAGTAATAACGGACAAGGAAGGAAACAGAAGAATCGAATATATAGCACTTTTTACGAATTCGAATATAAGGTAGTGTACGTGAAATTTAAGGTAAGACCGACAAAACTAAAGTTAAATAAAATCAGCTTTAAGGATGTCTTCTTGCCAAGTTAACCGGTCGGAAAAGGTGGTAAAAGCATATATATATTTCTCTGAGTCATCACATATGCTTTTAGCAGCGACAGAGATCAAAAAATTCTTTCTGTTAGCTAAGACTATGCATCTTTGGTTGAATTGTCGTTGTTTAACTGTTCAACCATTTTTGCTTTCCAAGGCATATTTTGACGGTTTATGCTCAGATTTTCAATCACAGTTCTCAGCCATTTTGAAAATTCAATCTAAATGGTTCTTCAATCTAAAGTTCAAAAACTCAATTTTCTTATATATCATTTGAACGTCCAATGGCACAGCATTTGGGGAATTAGTTGATTTGTGACACAACATGAATTCTAAGTAATGTGAGACAAAAAAAAAGAAAGAAAGTGTTTTTTGGTTATATTTATAATTCGACATGTAACAGATACTGAAAACGAGCCAGTTTTATGAACCCCTACTTTGGGATCATGGTAGTACAGTCAAATAAATTTTAGTAAATTAGTACGCAAGTCTGCATTGCAAGCTTTTTTTTTTCTATATTTACAATTCTTCACACTCTTCTTTCGGAAGTGCTGAGTGTACGTGTACATTAATCAATCTGAGTTTGATACTTGAGAGTTAACAGGAATTTGAAATAAGTGCTATTGTGAAAGTCACCTTAGGCTCCACACTCAAAATCAATTGATTATGAGTGAGTTGACTTTTGAAACTTATAAACATGTGACAGATCTTTCACGACACCGATGTAAGATTCTATTTTCCAATACCACTCCTTAAGCCCAATGGAGTATTTAGCCCATTGAAGTTGCACAACACAACATAATTCATCACAAGCTCACCCATGTGCACAGATAAAATTCACACAAGTCCAAAGCAAACGAATCAATAATTCTTCACCACAAGCCCATCCGTACGCACAAAAGCTATTCACGCAAATCCAACTATTGAAATCCAACTATTTTAACCCTTTTTCTTGCTAGTTGATTTTGAAATCCAAAGCATGCTTAATTGCTTATGATTTCCAACTATTGGGGAACAACAAAGTGAACAAACAATGAGGAACAAATCTTTCTCACTAGTCACTATCTCCATAGATAATATAGATCATATGTTGCTATCTATTCGGTGAAATATAGACATTATAATAAACTTTATAAATCCCCATGCTAGTATGTTGGGAAAAAAAAATTACAAAAACAGATTACACTGCATAAAACGCATAGATAATGGCCTTGAAACTTCTCTGATCAACTAATTTTTGTAACTCAAGTGCATTACATTCTTAAAAGATACTACCACAAGATGAACATATATCAGATGAAGATCATATATCTAAGTAACACATTCCAAAAGCAAAAACCGCAGCAGAGAGTCTTTTTGTTTTTCCATTTACGAAGCAGCCTGCGCAACAAGAGGCAACTTTTAAGTATAAGAAGATTATATATGGATAACCTCTTACAGATTGTAAAAAAAAAGGGCAAATTTTTAAGTACATGAAGAAGCATCAAACAGAGTTAATTATACCTTGAAACAAGACGAATGCTGGTTTTGAACCAATCCGCAATCTGGGCTTTTTTAGCTTTCTTCACAACTCTTTCCAGTTTTCCAAGCCACTGGTTTTGGAAGAAATGAATATTGTTGTGGTTAAGTTGATGTGTTCTTGACGAAGACAAGTGGATTGCAGAACTTGTGGGGATAATGAAAGGAGACCACAGTTCACTCTGCTCATAATCAAAGTCGAATTCCGAAGCATCGAAGTACTTGTCCATTAGCCTATCTGATAAGCGTTTGGACACCATTTGTACTTGTGCATCTGAACTGCAATTTGGGAACACAAACTTGTATCCTAAGTAGTGTGATTCTAATGATGCATTTTCAGAATTCATCATTATATTCTTTTTTGCTTTATCTATTCTTACTTCCTAAACACTTGAATTTGATAGGGGAGTATATGATCAGGAAACTAAGAGAAATGGAAACCATGTGAAAGGGAAACTGAGACTAATGAAGGAAATTTTGTTTCAAAAGCTGTGTTAGTGGCTTATATACTGGCATTGTTTGCTTTGCTAGGCGCTAGCTCACATACTTTCCTAATGGAAGGAGCTTAATTAAGTGGTAAGAACATTATTTGTAGGTTTCAATTAAGTGGTTTTTGGAGTATCAAATGTTAGAGACGATAGACTCATGGAATTCAGACGTCATACTTTATTATATAATAACGTGCTATGTTTAGACTCGTCAACCTTTTAATTTTATTTTAATGCACTAACTGAGTATATGATTATAAATTTATTCTATTAGGAGATGTGAAAATTTAAAATTCATTAAATAAACCTAATACCTGAAAATTTCATTCCTAAGATCTAAATTAATTTATTTATAGAGAATAACGCCATCGAAATTTATAAAAAATAATACAAAACAGTGTATTTTGAGTCTCGCAAACTTTCTTTGTAATTTTTCATAAGTTTTTCTTGGGCACGTCTAATTTTGACTTGTTATATAAAAATTGACAACCTTGTTAAAAATGGACTGCATGACTTGTATTGACTTTTATATCATTCATGAAATGGCGATACGCTAGTTTATATTACCACTATCATAAGATGATGAAAGTAATAAAAAACAACGAGTTTTTGTTTTTGTCGACATTTTTTGTTAGCATTGCAAAGTAAACAAATAAGTCGACGCAAAAAAAAAAAAAAAACCTTTACTAACAGTTTATGTCTTCTACAATGACACGTATAAATTAATTAATTAATTATAACGCAATAATACCGTCAAAGGTTATTAAAATGATACTCCATCCATCCCAGAGAAATAGTCCACATTGAGTTTTGAAATTTGTACTAAAATTAATACAAATTTCAAAACTCAATGTGGACTATTTTTTTTGACGGAGTTAGTACAAAATATTGGATTGTTTGTCTTTGTCAACTTTTCCGTTGATTTTTTCATATATTTTTCGATAGCTTCCAATTTTTAGACGGGTTATAAAAGCTGGCAAACAAGAGTGCACGAGATAATGGTTAGTCCATGTCATATTGTCCGTGGAACATCAATGTAATCATTTACACTTTACAGTACTATAAGCATTAAATAATGAAAATAATACAAGACTTTTTTTTTTTTTTTTTGTAACCTTCCTTGACTTTCTCGTCTGCTTTTTCAAGTAGCTAGGCAAACACGTCGAATTGAATAAATTCAAAAAGAAAATTAAAAAAAAATTTATGTGACCTTTACATTAATACTGACAAATCAAATAATGTTTCAAATTAAGTAAAAAATAAGCCTTCAAAAACTAAACGTTAAAGTTTTCAGTATTTTTTTTTTTTTTTTGGATAACATCTTGTTTTTAGATAGATTACGAAAGTTGAGAACCAACTAAAAGAAGTGTTACATATTATGCATGATGCATTGCACTAAGATCGGCTCTCTTTGAGTTTCACATCTATTTTGGAATTTAGACGCAATACCTTATGTGACGTGCTATGTTAGGAATCTTCGTTAATTTTATTGATATCGAGAACAAGAGTATAAATTTATTTTCTTACCGTAAGTGGAAATTTATAATTACCAATAAACATAATATATGAAAGTTCATTGTCGAAACAAAGCTTAGTTATTTACCTAAAAATAACACTTTCAAAAAATTACAAAATATGATACCAAATTTTAGATTTTGTCATTCACTGACGTTCTCGTCAGCTTTTCAAAATAAACTAATAAGTCGATGAAAACAATTTCTACAAAATAATATTTTTTGACTTTTACATTTGTATCCGTAAATTAATTCACTGTAGACAAGAATACCATAGAAAAAACTTAGAAAATGATTTAAAAAACGCTTATGCGTGTGTCGGCTTTTCATTGATTTTGCTAATTTTATAGTTTTTAAATTGATACTAGTTAATAAAAACATATTTCAAAGTTCTTCTGAAACTTATCAGTCTAAATGGCTGTATTTATAGATTTTTTGATTTCATCCAATTTTCACTTGTTGTAATAGAATCGAACATCGGGGGTTTACCCTTGTCGACCTATCATTTTTGCAAAGTCCACGTGATAATTTACATTACAACTAAATCATGAAAAATAAACTGAATAATACAAAAATAAATTACTGTCTTCGTCGACTTTCTTGTTGGATTTGCAAACTAGACCCAAAAAAAATAAATTTTGTTTTGTTACTTTTACAATGGTACCTATAAATTATTTAATTGGTTTTCAAACAACAATACCATCAGAATAATTATGAAAATGATACAAAATAATGAACTTTTTGTCTTTGTCGACTTTTCCATGAGGACGAAGACATTGACGTAGAGAATTTCCACAAAAAAAAAAAGTTTGCAACTTTTTAATAAATCAGAGAATATTTCATAACTAAATTAGGTTTTATAATAATAAAAGAGTAAACCTCAAAACGGGTCATTAAACTATTAGGTAATTCTTATATAGGTTATCAATCAAATTTATTTGTATAACAGTTCACCTTACTAAACAAAATATTCATCCGAGATTATTCTGTTAGTTTTGACCATTAAATAGTGACGGAAATCTATTTTTCACATGCTTTTGGTTTCAGGGTATTTTTGTTATTCTGTTATTTTTAAATTTTTATTTTTTTCGAAAAAAATAATTTTTTTTACATTTTTTTTTTACAATTCTTCTTCTTATACTTCCTAACATGAATATGCTGGTAGTATAATTTTTAAATTTCAAAAATTAATTTAAAATTTTGTATTTTAACTTCAAGATATAAATTCTTTTTCCCCTAAGAGGAGTTGTTTTCCCTAGGTTATTATGAGAGTTAAATCGTGACAGAAAGCTATTTTTAAAATGATAAACTATTAATTTTCATATTTACTTTAACTCGAATTTTTCTTCTTCATTTCTTAATTTTTTTTTAAAAAAATTCTAATCTGGAAGATAAAATACAAAATTAAAATGAATTTTTGAAATTTAGAATTATACTACCAGTATATACAAGTTAGGAAGTATAAGAAGAAGAATTAATAAAATAATAATAATAATAATTTTTTTCAAAAAATAATAAAAATTTAAAAATAACAAAATAATGTGAAAAATAGATTTCCGTCACTAATTTTAACGGCCAAAATTAATGATCTCGGATGAATTTTTTGCTTAGTAAGATGACCTGTTATATAAATAAATTTAATTGATGACCTGTATTAGAATTAGCTAATAGTTCAATGACTCGTTTTGAGGTTCACGCATAATAAAAAAAAAATCAATGACTTCATTCCTCCATATGTATTTAGACCATGTCCAGGTTATAAAAATTGATTGCCAATTAGAAAAGATAGTGCATGATAGAGTTCGATTTGTGACAACCTTTACATCATTCGTGGAATGTATGCATTAATGTACATCCTATTAGAATAAAATGGTGAAAAATAACTACGAATTTTTGTTTCCATCAACTTTCTTGTTGACTTTGCCAAGGACTAAAAAAGCCGACTCCAATAAATTATTTTTAATTTTTTTTATGACTTTACAATGTTATACCTACAAATTAAATGATTCAGACAATAATATACTCTCAATGGAATTTATGCAAAGGATGAATGTTTTTGCCTTTGCCGATTGCTTATCGACTTTTCTATGGAGAGTTGGGGACGAAAAAGTTGACGTATATTGTTTCTTAAGAACAAATTTTTTTTGTGAGTTTTACATAATCTCGATAAATTAAAGAATATTTAAAGCTAAAATAGGAATTTTTATAACTCAATAATTGTATTATTTTCTTAGATCTTTTATCATGTCTAAGTCGAGTTATAAAAATTGACAACCAAGTTGTAAATGGAGTGCATGAGATATAAATGGGTTTGTGTCGGCCTTTAGGTTGTGAAATAACTTTAATACTACTGTAATATGAGAGATTATTTTTTTAATACTACTGTACATACATAATAAAAAATAATTTTTAAACTACTGTAATATACATATTAAAAAATTATTTTTTAACTTCGTCAACATTCTCATATTCTTTTCTAAAATTTTATATTGATAGCAAAAGAACAAAAACAAAATATTGCAAAATAGTAAAAGGCATTAGAAAACTAAACAGTTAAAATTCTTGAGCATGTTTTTGAATAGTTTCTTATTTTTAGACAAGTTACGAAAGTTAAGAACCAAATAGAAAAAAACGCCTTGTACATTCAGTGACTTCTGCATCATCTATAGTTATTGAGCCATTCATGTTTATAACTTCTGTAAAAGAAATGAATTTCCATTGTTTAGTGGTACAGTTTTGATCACTTATCGTTATTGAACAGCCTAAATGTTGTATAGAAGATCAAATAGTTATGGAGAAGAATAATTGATATTAAATAGAGAATGATTAAATAGGATGAAGGAGAATTAAATATTATAGTATAAAGAATTCAGAAATATATAGATCAATTATGAAATACTTGAACATCATCATATCGTTGAATTGTGTTAAAAAAGAAATAAACTATATGTACGGGTGTGAACCTGCATTTGTGCTTAAAAATTATGCACCTAAGTATTTAGAGCAATTCATGTAACAAACCTGTAAAAGGTGTGTTTTTTTTTTTTTTTGGTTTTGAAAAACTCATTAATTTTTCAGTCCGACAATTCCTTTTTTTCTTTCCCCCCCTTATTACTGAAAATAATACTCTCTTTGTCCAATAAAAAAAAAATAAAATTAGATTGTAGAAATTCTCTAAATTAATATTCTATAAACTAATAACCTCTATTAAATGATTTTCTTTAGGCTCTCTCGGGACTAGTAAATGAAGAAACTTGACTAATTAATAAAATAATACCAAAAAAATAAAATCTAAAACAAAAATTAATAAATTAATAAAATTTTTTAAAAATTTATATTTTCAAATACATTTATTTTTTAGTTTTTTTTTGATGTTTTTAATTATCATATTTTTTTCCATTGGAAAAATTATAATAAAATAGAGTTACAACCAATTTTTCTTCTAGTGAAAATAATAAATTTTGATAATTTTATTAACAGGATTAAAAAACTCGCTATATTTATAAATATTAATTTATTGATAAATTAACAAATCTGTGCATTGATAAATTTCATAAGGGTTACTGTATTTATTATTTATTTATTTATTTATTGCAGGTAGTACAAAAGTTTGAGAAGCATTTGGAGTATGGTATACAGATTTCTGAAATTGGATCACTATTAACAAACTTCTAAGGACTAAAATCCAGCCCATCGATTGAGATACCCAAAACTCAGCCCATATCTTTATCATCATCATGTTCATATTTTCAGTCAGCGAAAATACCAACTCCTCCCGCTCTTTCAAAATCTCCCCTGAAGTCCTAAACCCCAGCTTCATCACTGAATTCAATTTCAAATATCGAAGTAAAAAAAATTAAAATTTCTGTAGAAAAGTGGAACTGAGTTTTCTGGCAGACTAGAAAAATTCCGGAAACAATGAAGGAAGAAGCAATTGAGAAGCTGAGGGGAGTGGTGAGGGACTGTGTTAGCAAGCATTTGTACTCGTCGGCGATATTCTTCGCCGATAAAGTTGCTGCGTTTACGGCCGACCCCGCCGACATTTATATGCAGGCTCAAGCGCTTTACCTCGGTCGCCATTATCGCCGTGCCTTTCACCTCCTTAACGCCTCCCAGATTGTCCTCCGGGACCTCCGATTTCGGTACCTCGCCGCCAAATGCCTAGTAATTAACTAAACCTATCTATATTCCCTATGCAATCTTGGTGGTTTATCAGTGAACGGAATTTCTTTGCTTAGTTCAGTGGGAAACTTATGTGATTTTCTTTCGGTTTTATGCAATTAGAAATGTAGGTTACATTTAACTGTGCAGTGGAAGATTTGATCGTTTTGGTAACTTAGTTAAAATTAAGTGTGTTCAGAAGCTTATTTGAGTAGGAAGAAACATACCTTACACTTGACTGTAACAAATATGAGTTTGAGACCACAAGTGCTGCAGAAGAGATGGTGTCTCAGATGGACTGTAACTTGCTGTTTGCACTTTGTGGAATTGAATCACATATCTGCTCCATTTTGTGAGTTTCTGCAGAAAGAAATACTGCTTGCTAGGTTATAATACATTGTCGTGGATAATTGGAATTGAATATCCAAGAAGCAGGAATCTACTGCTCTCCTTTTTCTTTTTTAGATCTGCTGATATGCAAGGACTTAGAATAGTAACAAGTGAAGTTTCTGGCATTTAGAAGTCGTTTCTCCTGCTATAAAGATTTTTCGTGCTAGTAACTGCTGATTTGGTGGTTCCTCAAATAGTTATAACTGCTGGTTTTAAACTTATTTTGTCATATTTCCATTGCATGAGTTACTTTATCACTTACCTAATGCTGCTACAGTGTGAGATTTCTACTCTCCTAAACATATACGTTGGCCCTGTGATTTCTCTTTCTGATTGTGTGTTAATGTACGTGCAAAGGGCTTGTTTAATTTCTTTCAATTGCTTTCAAATTTTAATTTTAACAATTTCTGGAGTTGGGGCTGTTCTTGAATTTTCTTGAATTTAAACATCGAATCCAGGAAGAGCTGAAAGAGTGGGACCAGTGCCTGCTGATGCTTGGTGATGCGAAAGTTGATGAACATGGAAACATCACAGACACAAGGGATTGCAACATTATGTATTTGGATAAAGATGGTGAAGATCGTGAAATCAATGTATGTGTTTCCACCGCAATTGAAAGGGCATATATGACATAATCATATTAGTCGTTGTGTAGTGGAGAGGGTTTGTGTTGAAATTCCCATTGTTTATCCTGCTACTTTTAGCAATAATGATATAGTGTCTGTTGGCTGTTGGGGTGTGCATGTCCTTTGTCCTTTTTTTGTGTGCTTTTCTTCCCATTTAAAACTCCAGCATGGCAGAAAATGGAACCTGATATGTTGGGTCACCTGTAATACTATTTGTGGCAGATCTTGTCAGCGATTTGCTTTTTGAGGGGCAAAGCACATGAAGCATTGGAAAATCGTCAACAGGCGCGGTTGTGGTTAGTTTCTGTTGATGTAGTTCTACTTAATTCTAATATTTTGGAACTTTTTCCATGTGGTGCAGTCTATTGTGTATGTCTATTGGGTGGAAGTGCTTCGTATATGTGTGCATATTTTATATTGGAGACAGATGCATTTTAATTTCATTTCTTCCCAAGTTACTCTTTTGTCTTGGTACTTTCTGAAGTCTTTGTTGGACCCTGTTGTCAACCACATAGCTTATTCTTTTCTTTTTTTTTTTTGGTGAAACCACATAGCTTATTCTTATTTGTAAACTTTTATTCTTAAAGGTATAAAGCTGCTATCAAGGCTGATCCGCTATGTTATGAGGTATAGATTTATGTTTGGTGGTTATATATTTGCTATCATCAATTTTCCTGTTACCTCGTGTCAAGCTTCTTCTCTGTGGTTTTTCTTCTTTCAGGCTTTAGAATGTCTTCTAGACAGTCATATGCTGTCTTCTGAAGAAGGTGAATATTCTCTATAATGCTTGGTCTTTCATTCCATTAAGGGGCATTGAAACTTCTAACTTTTCTTATCCATCCTGTGAGATGCTTTTGAACTGTTCTGATATTATTATGATGGTGTTTTCTATGTGAAGAAACAAATCTACTGTCATCACTGCATTTCGGTCCCGAAGAGGGTTGGCTTTCTTCATTCTATACATGTTTGATTAAGAAGGTTGGTAACTGCAGTTAATTGAGTTGTAATGTATGTTTTACTGTTAAAGCCAAGCCATATTCATGTTAAGCTTCTTTGTCTACTTGTTTTGGTTAGATTTTGATGGTTGCGGACCTCTTAAAGTTTTCTGTTATTGGGTGACATGTTTACAATCATTTTATTTTGTGGCATGGGTAGCTTATGCTTCTGATGTTGCTTTTCAGTATGACAAAGAAAGTGTTGTTGAAGCCAAATTTAGAGAACTCGAGCAAGAAGACTCTTGCACAAACCCCTCAAAGAACTCCTTCTTGTGTTCCCTAAAAGACAACACTGACCTTTTGGCCAGTAAAGCTGAGTACTACCATCAGTGTGGTGAATACCAGAAATGTTTTCAACTCACATCTGTGTAAGTTTTAACCTTTGTTTTGCAGAAGAAAAAATGTTCTTGAACCATTATACCGTCCGACACTGATTGAGATTTACTATCTTGCATCTCATCTATTTCAGCTTGCTTGAAAAGGATCCTTTCCACTTGAAAAGTACACTGGTCCATTTAGCAGCTGCCATGGAGCTTGGAAATTCAAATGAGCTATATCTGATGGCCTGCAATTTGGTGAAGGACTATCCCCAAAAGTGAGAATGCAGAACCTTTTTTTTTTGTTTGTTGTCTTACTTTGAAGATTTCTTCTCTTGTGTCATATGAGACATGGTAATGCTTCTTCTACCACTGGATAGATGATTGTTATTTGACTTCCTACTTGGATCCTCAGAACTCCCAAGTTGTGTAGAACTACTAAAATAGAAGAGTCTTGAGAGCGCTATAAAGTTTGAAGATCTCTTTAAATTATATCAACTAGTACGTAAAACTACTAGGGCAAATTTCAGTATTTACTCATTCTAGTGTTTCGTAGAAATTGGTGATTGTTATTCTTTTATGTGCATTGTGATATGCAGAAAACTGATATTTGAGTTTTGATTTCTGCCCCTTAGTTTCATTCACTGCTTTATTTCTGACTATCTTATTTAGACGTGTATTTTCAATGTAGGGCCCTTTCATGGTTTGCAGTTGGTTGCTACTACTATTGCATCAAGAAGTTTGTCCAATCACGCCGTTTTTTCTGGTATTGGCTATTCCTAGTTGGCTACTAAGTGGTTTTTTTAAGCATTGTAGGCTGACAGCAATTTATAAAATTCAAAAACAATTAAGTGTATTTGTGGAAAAGATGTTTTTCACAATTTTGATATATGTATGTGCTTCAGTTCTTCACCATCCTAATGTCCATATTTAGGACAAAAAATTTTCCTTTTCATTTGGACCTAAAAAGGACAGGTTGCAGGTTAATGAGTCTACTGTCGTAATTGTTGTATTTCCATAAATGAGAAGATTATATGATTCTAGTTTTTGGCCTTGTGTCTAATGGCTTTCTTTTCTGTCACCTTTTGTTTTGACAGCAAGGCAACAAGCTTAGATGGTGCATTTGCTCCTGCTTGGATTGGTTACGGCAATGCTTATGCTGCTCATGAAGTGGGTGATCAAGCAATGTCTGCTTATCGTACAGCTGCTCGTTTGTTTCCTGGGTAGAATTTTCTTTTCATGTTTATACACTTTCTATTAAAAGGCGCTGTAATCTTTATATCAGACCAATTTCTTGGAAGCTAATTTACTATAGCTGTGACTTGGACTTTATAAGTATCTGTAAGGCGTAAAGTTTGACTAGGGGTTGTTATGACTACTAATATGGTGGTTGAAAGTTGTGAGGCACAAGGAGAAAAATACATCAAAGCAATAGAAAGGGCCGAAACTGTCCATTGTTTTCTCCATTTGACAATTTTTTTTAAGAAAAAGAAACTCGTTTTAGTTTCTATTTTTTATGTTCTACATGATTGGTGGAGGGTAGAGATAAAATGACCACATTTGTGTTATTCACGTGTTCAAGAATAACTTGAAATACTGTCATGATATCAAAAGCTGTTTAATGCTCTTCATTGTGTAAAATCTTTTGTGCTTATCACTCTTTGCCCAGTCACTAATATTTGCCGTACATATAAACTCCATCATGGATATCATCCCTTCCATTCCTGTTCTGTCTTATTCTTCTTTAGTGCTATCTTTGATTGAGTTTTTACATTTTCCTATTCCAGGTGTCATCTGCCTACCCTGTATATTGGGATGGAATACATGCGGACTCACAACTTCAAATTAGCTGAACAGGTAATTTATCACCTTGGACAGAAATTCTGCTGTTTTCTATTGTCTTCATAATTATCTTGCTAGAAACAGTATCCTGATCTTCAATAGCTTGCTATTTAAAACATGACTACTTTCTATAGATGTGTCATTTTCTTAATAAGTGGGAAAGAGGCTTGTTGTTATGATTTTTATTCAGGTGTGGAGATTAGATAAATTTATGTAAAACTTATTATGCAAATTTATCACATATACTCGTGGCAAGTTTTGCTTATAATTGGCAGTTTGATGTGCCTTGATTGCAGTTCTTTATGCAAGCTAAATCTATCTGCTCTTCGGATCCACTTATATACAATGAACTTGGAGTGGTTGCCTACCATATGAAAGAGTAAGGAGTTTTCTATACATATGCTGTCAGTGAATCTTATGCTTGTTGTACTCCTTTTTCTTCTTCAGAATCTATCCGGAGTGTTTTTCATGGAATTTCTCAGTGGCTAGTACATACTGTGATGATAATTTGCACCTGAACTTATACTTACTTGGCATCTGGCAAGTCATCACTCATCAGTCATGTCATTTATTAGGGCCCAGAATGGTTCGCTTATAGGACCGCCGAAATCTAACATTGTGAACATAGTTTTTAAGTTCAAACTGAACCCAATTTCTTGAATTGAAGAAGAACTAGTGATTTTGGTAGCTGTTATTATGCCTGGAACCAAATTCAAAAAGAAAAGAAAGAAAAGTCTGAGATTGTAGGCTTTGTAGCTATGGGATCCCTTGCACAAAGTAATAGCTAGTGCGGGGGACCTTAGGTCACAGGTTCAGATAACTGAAATGTCTTATAGAATTATAAAGTTTGTTTGCCTACATTTGGACTAATTACCTAACCTTTGCTTGGACCCATCTGTTTCCACCAGTCTTCCCTTTGATTTGTGTCTAAGATGTACTTTTTACATCGGTTCTGATTTCCTTCAGGTATGAAAAAGCTGTGCGGTGGTTTGAAAAAACATTGACTCTTGTGCCATCCTCTTTAAGCGAGATGTGGGAACCAACCCTAGTCAATTTCGCTCACGCATTAAGAAAATTGGGGTATGTCTATCTTGCTTTTTAGTTCTATATCTCTACATTCATATGAATATAAACAATAATTAAGTACTGAGGTGTGGGATTAGTGAATTGAGATTGCATAATGTTTACAACACTTGCATCAGGAGGTACGATGACGCAATCAAAGTTTATGGAAAAGCTCTTGCATTATCAACAAGAAGTTTGAGTACATATGCCGGTCTTGCTTACACTTATCACCTGCAGGTAACACATTCTCAGAATGTACTCTGTTTGCCCTTGTGGTTATCATACCAGATGTTTGTATGTAAACTTGGTGGTTGTAACGTGATTTTTCAATTTATTTGGATGCAGAACAATTTTACTGAAGCAATTGAAAATTATCACAAGGTAAATGATATTTTCCACCATTATCCAGCTCCTGTTTTTTTGGTTTCTATTTTTTTGACTCCAGCTCCTGTTGTTTCATTTACAAACATTTTAGAATTCAGTATCCTTGGCAGATATGGAAATTGTTTAATTATCATTCTTTTGTTATCTTCATATTGTTCTCATTTGCTTCCATGTTCCTCCTTTCAAAATAGGCTTTATGGCTCGAACCAAACGACCCCTTTTGCACAGAAATGTTGACTTTGGCCCTTGTCGATGAAAGCCAGATCAGCAGTAGCGACAAATGTGGATATGAGCTGGATGAGGTACTTCTTTAGGACTATAGGCGAGAAATTTTTTCTTCGTATTTTTGGGTGATTTGTTTCCGTAGCCATTGGGAAACAATATCTGCATAGTGTAGCATGCCAGGTACATCACCTGTTGTTGTATACCAATTTAGAAGTAGTACAGCTTAGTGTTTTTTTTCTCTGGTCTAGGGTTCTGTATGCTTATTGCCCGTTGAGTTCAGGAACTGTAAAGTAAAATATTTTGTTGTAAGGATATTCGTTTACCACATATTCCATCACACGGTACCTGAAGCATTAGTTCATCTTCATTGCTACTACTACTTTCCTTGGTTTGCGATACCTACGTTAGCAGTATAGCCTGTAGCATTGTACTCCTTCATGCATATTTGCTGGAGTTTGAGATTATATGGTATGCATGTAATGTAAAACAGTGAAATGGGATAAAAGAAAAAACCAACAGTGTAAAGATAATATACTAATTATTACAAGATTGAGAAAATCTAAGAGAAGTGCAGTAAGGGGAAAACTGTCCCTTGATCGTCCGACTATCATTTTGGAGCAGGAGGAGTAATTACGAAAATGATCTTTTGGTATGAGCCTATGGGGCGGCAAACATCAACTTTCATCCTCCATACGAAAAAGCATGTGACTCTTCTTCCATAGGATAAGCTTTGAAAAGGATTTGGACAGTTTGATTACTTGTGAAAAGGACAGCCATGACCTGATGATGCTGAAGTAGTAGCATTTTCTGGATCAGAGGTGGTTTCGATGGGTCCTTTGAATAACCCGGCGAATAGCTCTGCCGGGTCATAGTAAATCTCCACGTCTTCTGCCTTCAACGATTCATCAACCTATCCAAAACATTATGTCCTAAATCACACTTCTCCTTCAATTTTTAAGAAACATTTTTATCATCAGACAAAAAAATGAAAGATTTTTTGTGTTACATTTCTTGTAACATTAGTTAGCCAAATGTTTGAAAGGAATGTAACACCGAAGGATTACGGAAAATCCCATACGCAAAAACAAAGTCTTAAGAACAAAAAAATCGAGTTTCATGTCAGAAAAGTAACCGTCAATGTAGTTGTCATGGGGGTGAAGAAGAGAGAGGGAATTAATTATAATTATTAAATCCTCTGATTCTTTTTCTTCCACCCCAATTTACCTTCATAACAGCGAGGCCGAAGAACTGGACCAGCTCGCCAGTAGGGGAATGGCCTTTGAATGGGCCTTCAAAATAACCCCAATGCCTGAACTTGAACGTAATGACTGGGGGGCCAGAATAAACCCTGATGACCTCCCATGCAAATCCACGTGGAAACGCTGACCGGAACACGTCATGGGAAGACTCGAAGCTCTCTTCATCAGCATTGTAGAACTTGAATTCCTCCGGCATTGAACTCTTCAACAATGCATTGTAACTTCCCAGCTTCAGTGTTTCCTCTCCCGATAATCCTTCTCTTCCTTAAAACGAAAAAGAATTGTTCCAGAAAGTATAAGTATGCCGTTTTTGTTTTGTTTTTTTTTAATTTTAATTACAGGTATAATAAAAATGATGTCCTTGCAACATTACATATATATGCGAGACAAGTAAAATGAGATAAAAAAAGTTTTTGGCGTCCGTGTTCAGAAGATTACCGTAATCCTTTTCTTTCTCAACAAACATTTTACAATATATAACATGAACACAAAAAAAAAAATCAAACCTGGTAAATTTGATTGATATTTAATCGAATTCTAACCAATATATGTTCGGTAATTAAAATTAATGAGCTAAACCACCTTGTTTATTCCCAATCCTTAGGCACTTTTGGTAAATGCAACATGAAATTGATATGACTGAATATTGAGGTTAAAAAAAAAAAAAAACATTGTACTTTAGAAGCCAGCCAGGCGATGCTTGCTAGTACTTGAGTGTAAATTTGGTAAATGCTCAATTACCATTAACAACGAGCTTGAATTTATCAGGGTTGATGGTCCTGAAATCTTGGATACGAGTTTTGTGAGACAATTCCAGCTCCCATGACTTGACCGCATTCTGAACTACCTCTTCTAGCGACCCTTTAGGCCATTCCTGAAAGCATGAAATATTATAAATCTTTTGAAAGGACTACAAAATTAGACCCTAACTAGCTAAAAAGACAATTGCCTCGGACACCGAATTCCGTGATATAAGAAACGAAAAGAAAACATTTAAACTAAGGATGGTGGTATACATACATACATATATATATATATATATATATATATATATATATATATATATATATATATATATACACACACAACATAAGTAGAACACGTACCTGGGTTCGGCCATGTTCAAAAAGCTTGTTAACATCGTCGTAAATGGGAGGACCGCCATGCCTCCACTCGATGTTTTGGCCTTCTTCATGCAAGAATGACCTATACTTATCCGCTGCGACTTTCAGTTTCGCAGCCGTTTCTCCAGTCACCGCCATGCCTAAATGTTCTCTCTCTTTTTCTGAAGCTCTTTTTTTTGTTGTTGGAGTTGATGTTAATGGAGGTAAAATTGATGTTCCCAAGCAAAGCTTCTTACGGAGTACTACTACTTTTTGTATGAAATGTGGCATATGGGAATTGGTTTTGGATAAATATAAGCCATAATTAGTAGTAGATTATATACTTCCTCCGTCCCAAAATTATTGTCCAATTTGAGATTTTAGTTTTAGTATAATTTGAACTAGAAATGAAATCACAAACTGGACAATAATTATGGGACGGACGGAGTACTTATTATATAGTTGCCGTGTTGACTTTATTTTATTTTGTGGGTTTGAAAATTTCAATCAACAACAAAATAAAAAAAGAAAAAGTTACGGGTCGATTTTTACTTCTACCAAAATTATATTAAAACCACCAAGTAAAAAAAGCAAAGTGAAAAGGTTCCTTCCAAGGCAACTTAAGGGTTAGTGATGGCTTTTAGACTCTGATTTTTTTTTTTTTTGGTTACATAAATTCTATTGGACTATCTTAATTATTTATTTTTGGTAAAAGTGAAGCCGTAGAATAGAAGATATTTTTTTTTATTTTATTTATAAAAGAAATGGACGGAAAAGAAAAACGCTACTACTATTTGTCTTTTCACCTGCACCGGAGCATGACAAAGGCACTATTTTCATTATAGTGGCTGAATGAAATAAATGGAGACCTAACTCGTTGTCCCACAATAAACGTCACAAATTGTCGAAAATTGAAGACCTTTCAATGTGCTCGGCATCAATGTTTTCATTTCTTAATGGACTCTTTCATCAAACGTCCACATATTAATATCAATTTCGCCACACATATAATCTGATATTTTTCAGTCGGTAGGGATAATTAATTATCAAGTTTGTTATATTGTCTATCTTCATATAGCCGAGTCAAAAACTTTGTAAACATAGAGACCCCATCACAAAAAAAAAATATCAGTAGTAATAAGTGTGTTGTCCAAGTATTGAATTTCATTTCTGATTACTGATAAACATCGTTATGTTCTGATAAGTGTATATAATTAATTCACTATCTCTTTTGGCTCCATATATATATATGACTACACACCGGCATCATCTTCCGGCATCATCATCAACCCGCCGTCAGTACAGTTACAAGGTTATATAAGACATGATAATGCGGTTGTCATATGGATCGTCATCGGCAACTTCTGCTAATTAGGGAAATGTGGCAGTATTTGTAATCCTCTTCTCATGTATTCATTGACGTTTTATTTGTGTTTCTGATGATGAATGTCTAAACTTACTAAGGTTAAATTAGCGGTCAAGGAACCCAGCCATAAATCCACGTCCATGATATGTGCTATGCTGATATTCCCCTCCACATGAAAAAGCCCAAAATCTTGCTCAAGTTCCATCAAAGTCACGGAGAAAATGGAGTTATGTGAATCCAAATTTTGGCCCATGTTCAGAAAATGAATTTATTCTTCCTTTCCTTTTACTACGTCGACAAGATACCGGTGCAGCTTCTGCCCAAATATCTTTGTCGAGAATGACTCAGCGACATGCTGCCGTGCTTCTCTGCCCATTCTCTCTGCCATTTCTGGGTCACGGATGAGCTTCGCCATTGCCAAAGAGAAATCTTGTGGGCTGGGATCACATAGGAATCCAGTTACCCCATTCTTGACTGTCTCAACAGGTCCTCCACTGTTGCAGGCAATAACAGGCTTACAGGACGCCATTGCTTCCAGAGGAACAATCCCAAAATGTTCATCCTGTTAACCAAAAAACTGGTTTCGTCAATGACATTGTCGTTCATATGCATTTGGTTGAAAATTCCAAAGTTTTTCATCTCCATACCATCGGTGTATAAAGAATGCACAAGCACTCCGAGAGAAGTGCATTTCTTTCTGATGTAGAACAAGATGTGATGAACTTGACTCGATGAGACACGCCTTTCTCTGCTGCTAAACTTTTCAATTCTTCCAAGTAATCAACATTCTCTCTAAGGCGTTTATCGTATCCACCTGAACATAATATTCCACAATTTTCATCCAAGTGAGAATATAGTGCAAGAAACATGATAAAGAGTGGTGGGATCAAAGGCCGATTGTGAAACCTGCCCTCCCCACATAGGTACCCTATCAGTCAATGCAATAAAAGAGATCCCAAATAACAAATGCGAGAATAGAAATGGAAAAGAAAAAATTCATGCTCGTATGCTGTTGCTTAAACAAATTTTTACTCAAGATTAGACTAGAATATACAGATAGAAACTTGACCCGTAGAAACTTAACAGACTTTCCAATGCGGTGACCAGAAAGATGGTTCCTTGTATAAGCTAAGCTAGAACTTATAGTTCACTTTTCATCTAACTTCCCGTCTGGATCACTGGTCAAACTTAAGCAATATGAAAGTCCTCCGTTCCTAACGACATGAACAGAATCAAGGCACCCATGAATCCCACCCAACATTGATATGCATATCTTTACCAAACAGTTAGAGACTTCCCGACAACACTAGAATTTGCAATAGGGAGGGGGACTAGGAAGAAACAGATGACTTGCCTGCGATAGTCAGCGAAGCATCTGCCAGGACAGCACCCTGAAGAACATCTTGCTCAAGTGTGTGAAGCATAGCAAATGCAGATATTGCTAATTCTATGTTCTTTTTCCTTTCAAAGCGATTAATTGATAGGAAATTCAACCTGGACGAATGAAAATCTGGACTTTAGGTTCCAACATCAGGCATACTTTGATCATAGCATTTGACAAGATCATAAAACGATGAGCAAACAACAAAAGAGACCAAGAAATTTACGCGAAAAACCATATCAAACACAGAACCAGATAATATCAAGATGAGAAGTTGCAGTTACTTAATAGCATTAGGTTCCTTGAACTGATCCAAATTGACTGCCGGGTAAAGCACAGCTGGTTTAATCCCACGTGCATCAAGATTCTTGAATGTCCTCGCAAATGTGGATGCAGTAAATTTGCTATTCACAAGTATTAGATCTGCCATACCTACGGTACCAGAAGGTTGGTTTTATTCATTAAATTTTTTTGCAAGAAGAGACCAAGAAATGGAAATGCAAACTGTCAGTCCTAGGAGGTCATTCCAATGCATAGAGCAAGAGCATAAGGAGAGTAGGAAGGAAAAACCTGTTGTCATTTGTTCTATCAAGTCTATAGGCATTCGATAAAGCCTCCTAAGAACAGTAGTATGCTGGGCTAGCAGGAGATCTGGAAAATGACAGTAAAATACAACCTGCATGGGAGGGAATACACATAAACATTTTTCCTTACTATATTGTTTGCTATGCATAGGGGAGGAGAACTGATACCTTAGTCGATTTCTTCAATTTAATCACTGGAATAACAGCAGACACCTGGTCTACGAGTATCACATCGAACGAACGCCATAGAAGCAACACGCAAATGGCAACAAATATACAACGGAGATATGCACACACCGCATGGAGGCGATAGAAAATATGCCGAGGAAGAAAAGAACCATATACAGTAACAGGGAAGATTCCTGAATAGCAGGTATTGTATCATTAGCCCGCAATTTTGATTGAGGAATATTCAGAAAGATACAAAAGAACAAGGAATTTATCAGCAATAAGAAGTTAAGAACATCAACTCAAATAGATATTACCAGACACAGTTTCCTCAAAGCAGCGCGTTTTGTCATGATGAGATGTGAAAACATGGACATTATGCCCAAGAGAAGCAAGCTCAACAGCCGCATCAACAATTAATCTTTCCGCTCCACCTTCAAAACCAAAGCAATGATAATTATAGCAGATCATAAGGGGATAAAGGAAAGATCCTTAATGTTAAATAGGTAGATGAAGTTATGAACTCCTGCCATTTCATCAAACAAAGGTTAATTGTTGATAAGTTGTATTTTCTAAGTAGCATTTTTATTAGTCTGTCAAGAAATTAAATTCCATTAAGCCACTAGAGGTAAGATCACTATTAGAAAATTCCATCTGCCAAGTTGAAATTTCAATACTGAGGAGTCCTGAAATCTCAAACAAACAAAATTTCATAGATTTCTGAACAACCCTGAGGTTAAGAATGACATCTGGCATCATATACCAACAGCTGTGATCGCAGGGCCGAATTAAGTTGCATAATACAACATTCATTAGCTGTCATGAATTCATCACCTGGAATATCACTCAGCCGACAGACACTCTATCAGAATCAAGTCGAGGTCATAAGATCCACAAAAAAATCAACTCTAGCAAGGTTTCAAGTCAAATAGTCAATTAGGAAATCTCTGTTTATATTTGTTCGCAAAATTTCCCCCTCTTAACTTACCATAAATAACAACGAAACTCTTTTTATCCAACCAAGATATATCCACATAAATAAGAGTAATAAGGATGATGATACAAAATCTAGCTGCACCTAAATACTCAAGATTTTGTCCTCAACCTTGCTAAAGTTTCAAACGTTCAATCAGACTCAAATGGAAAGCATGTGGCTTCTTCTTATCCCATCAGATAAACAATGGTGAACTCATATGAGCAATGGGGTCAAAATTTGTCCCATGCCACCCAAAAAGCACAGTTCAACATATCCTAGGTAGTCAACCCCAAAGTGGTAAATAAAAATTAAGCAATATAATGAAGGCAATATAGGCATATTTACCAATGCCAAGATCAGGGTGGATGATAGCCACATTCAACTTGGAGTTCCCTGATTTCTCCATCTTCTGTTCCTCTTCAAGCCGCACTAATGAATTAAAGAGAGAAAGAAATGAACCACCATTTAGATAACAACCAAAATAACATCTTTGAAATGCTTCTTTAGACATTTTCATAGAAGTTTGACAATCTTTTCGAATTAAAAATATGCGTTTGGACAACTGTTTCAAGTAGATGAAATGTTGCGAATGTCCTCAGATGATCACCGAGAACAAAACCTTTCACTGACAACTCATCCCCATTTTTCTAGCTTCATTTTGTTAATAATTTCCAATCTGCAGTTGAGAGAGGTCTTGTTTACAGTTTCTAATTATTCTCACCTTTAGTCGGCTAAGGCAACCAAATAACAGGTATACAGATAATCCACAGATCCAAATTAAAATGTCAAAAGCACTAAAGAAATATCTAGAAGTCGTTTTCCTGATACAAATAGGCATGTCTATAATAAAAATCCAAAACGTCCTTTCTCACATTTTCACATCTAATTAGAATAAAATGGCAATAGAAAGGAACTCCAAATTATCAACACATAGTCAAATGAAAAGTTCTTAGAGAACAGTCACGACCAAAAAGAGATTAACACCAGGATCACACTTTCTAGGAGACCTCTAATATGGGGGCGACAAACAATTCACAAATTTTTTAAATATAGAATGACTAGCCAAGAGGTGGAGGAGTCGGGAGGAGTTTACGCCCTCTAGCATTTCAGAATCGCATCAAAAGCTAAAGAAAATATACCCAGGAAGAAAAAAAAAAATCCAGTTCCTAATACGCCGTTGATTCAATTCCCAAATAAGATGATGTTTCCGCAGCTACATTAACTTGCTCATTGCCAAGGCATGTGAAACTAGGAAGATATCGATCACAATTATGGACTACAAGTAACAAAATCACAGAGAACTTCACAAAAGCAATCTTTTTTCCTTTTTCCTTTCGAATAAAAAAAGGAACGCAATCTTGGAAACAAAGTTCTGACCTTTAGGACAAAGTAGAGATTCTTTAGCAAAACCTAAAGTGAGCTAAAGAGGGTTTCAAATTCGCAACGATTTCCAATTTAGCTTCAGCTGAGCCTCACCGTGGGACAACAATTCGCGACTCCAAATCACCGTCTAGATCACCAATACTGATCTCAGAAGTTCGTAGAAAATTTAGCATAGAAAACGACGTCGGGATGACCCTGATGTGAAGGCTTGGGGTCCAATTTCAGGGCTACGGCGATTGTTCCGGCGGCAGGGGGAAAAAGGAAAAATAAAAAACAGATTGAAATGGCCGAAGCTGAACGGAACCGAAAATAAAAATATAAAAGCTTCTGCGAAATAACCCGAACTTAAACCCGAGAAGGATCCGCGTATCTTATGTTGTTAAAACGCTGAATGGGCTGCATTGTTTCTAAATGGGCCTCATCCCCATTGAAACAAAACGCTGAAAAGCCCACATTCGTCCACTGAGTAGACTGAAGGGTCGAGGAATGAATAAGCAGGACAGAGGAAGACAGAAGGATTGAAGGAGGAGACCAAAGAAGTTGAATTTGTTGTTGAAGAAGAAGAAGAAGAAGAAGATGAATATACCAGTGCCATTGGGTGAAGAAGTAGGGCCTAAGTTGGTTCGTTTGCTCTCTTTTGTGGGAGCTGGATGTAAGTTTCAGTTTGAATCTCTGTTCATCAATGATTTTATTTCTTTTTTTCCAATTCGAATTATGTTCCCCAAAAGATTTTGTGACTTGGTTTCATTTGAATTGCTTCACAGTTTTATGTACTGTAGCTATTAACAAGTGGAGGGATTTGGAAAAGAAGGCCATTCTTCAGAAACAGCAACAAGAGAAGGCTGCTCCGCCCTTGGAAAATTCATCATCAAACTGAAATTCGGTACCAGATGCTATAGAGCGGATTAATATTTACTTGTAATTCTTTTTCTTTTTTCTTTTTTTTTTTTCTTTAGAAAAAAAACCTTTCAGAGGCCCTTTACCGTGTTCAGGGAAATGATTGACAATTTTTTCTGGGGTGGCTATTGATCAACTTTTGAACTTTATTTTAATGGAGTTTAAAGGAGCGAAATTACTTTCATATTTCTTTTGACTACATTTGGTTGTATCATGCATTGCATTGTTCATTGTTGTTCAACTGTAGAAACATTTGGGAAATTGAGTTGAAATGGATGGCTCAGAAAAGAAAATCTCTATAAATGTACAAGAAAGTGCCTGATTCATTAGGTTTTGTTCTTTTTTTATTCAAGAACGCATTCTTCTGAATTTACTTTGCAGGCAACATTTTTTGCTCGAGAGTCGAAAACTCCTTAAAGTTAGTACTTAACCCCCACTGGTTGGTTTCTGTATTTTATCTTCTTGGATGAAACTTTGTCAATAACTTATACTCCATGTCTGCCCACTTAACATTTTACTCCTATTAATAATCACATCGTCAATTTGTCATTGCTTGTGTGTTTTGCTATTTTCCCATGAATACCAAAGCTATGGCCTTAAGATGATAATAGACAAAGATCACTGCTTTAGCTGGTTAAGTACCGAGAGTTTAGATGACAACATTGTTACAGTACTGCTTACTTAGTTGCACTGCTTAATAGAGTTTTATTTTATCTTATTTCTTTTAAAAGAGTCAGGAAAGTTACTTTTTATGTTGTTTCAAGTATGCAAGGAGCTTGACAAATCTGAATTATACCATATTGGCTCTGATCCTCATTCTGACTCTTAAGCGGCTACTTGCTCTTTTTATCCTTGTTTTGGACCAAAGTTCTTTTTCATGGGAATGTTCAATGAACTGCATTTATGTGACAGTGTAAATTGGTGTGCTTGCTACACATCACCCTAAAAGACTTTGGAATCCGTATAATTTTGTCTATTTCAGCTCTGTATGACTGTCTGATTTAAAAGATATGTATAGGCCTTAAGTTGTTAACCTTTGTAAGGTTTCAGCTGATTTAGAACAAACGTGATTTTTGTGTAGTTTGTTATCAGGAAGACATTTATTGTGCTGGAATAGTTTACTACCATTCAAATTAGATTTTTAATCTCAGACCACTGACTTGATTTATCTGTTCTCAAGGTTGTCCGAAAAAGATTGAAGCAAATGTCGAGAAACTAGAATCGTTTTCTAATACATAAGACTAGAAGCATGAAATATCTTAGTTTGTCCCTTTCTGGAAACATTTGGTCTTTTAATTCATTGAGATGCTAGGCACACAAAGATGGATTAGAAGATTTCATGCATATCTATGAGTGATTTACACGAGCCAATAGGTAGTTTTACATCTTCCAAGTGTTCTGCGGCTTACATGGAGCTTCTAATGAGCTTATGAAGATAACTAATGAGACCTTTTGAGCATATCATTCTGCACAAAATTTGTTCCTTCTTCCTTTGTTTTGTTTCTAGACTGGACAAATGACCAAGGTGTATCACATGAAGCGGGTGGGTTGGCACACTTCTTGACTGGACTAATTTGATTCACAGGGTCTGTGTTAATTGTTGATCCCGAGGCTTTTGCCATGGTATAACCAAGCTTCTCGAAAACCACCCCGGAGAATTGGGCTGCTTTCTGCCCTAAATGCGGGATTTCAGTGGTGTCTAACACCACAAATAAAATATCTCATGCGTTATTTTAAGGAATCTCTTATAAGATTCCATTAAATTCATCGTGGCAAAATAACAGCCAGTTCCGTGTTGGTCCTCATAGGCCCTGGCGTGTTACCGACGCTTTTATGTAAAAATATCAGGCTCAATTTTCTTTACTGGCATCCTAACTGAAGTTCGGGTGGCATCTGAAGATTCTATATTTTTAATTAGTTAACGTTGTTTGCATAATGAATATCAGTTCCTTCCAATGTGATTAAACCAGAACGAATAGATGAAATGTTTTGAATATGATTTACCTTGTTGAATCTCCCTTGTAGTCTGCAAAACTGCTATTAACCAATTGCTTCATTGAATCAAGGCAGGGAGTAAAATTAGTGACATAATGGATTGGAACTAGGTTTTCAATTGCTTTATCTCCTGTGGGCTGTAGACGGAGGTAAAGTAAAGTGTAGTTTAAGTTGTTACTCTTATCTTGACCGAGTGGGAAGATTATTTGTTTGCAATGTGGATCTATGAATGTTCTAAGCTGTGTAACTGTGTAAGCTTCGGCTGTAAAGTAGTCTCAATCAAAAGAATATTTCGTAAATTTTTTCAAGTAGCGAGAGCGGCATTCTCTGGAAAGGCAATCCTTCTGTTTTAATAAGTATCTGCATGACTGCATCTGTTAAATGTTGGGTTGTTCTTGGTAGTGTATGCCTATGGTCATCTACCGGTAGCTCTTATCTCGTGTACCTTGTGTGCATAATATTGACCTTCAGTGGCGTCTCGTGATTATTCTGAATACAGTTGCGCTTAAACCAAGTGCATGCATTTATCTATTCCAATAATATCCCTGGCCCTTAGTACACTACAATTATCAAACTTTTGAACTTAAAAACTATCAAGTTTAAAGAAGTGTTTTGTGGCCTGAGGAACTGAGGAAACTCTCCCGTGAATTAAAACCTTAATTTTGTTCTTGCATGTACAACGCACTATTTTGAGCTTGTTATTATAGTCTAATGGTTCCACCATCGTTTTTTTCTTTTTGGTCGTCATTTTACTGAAGTCGAAGACAAATTCTCTCCTCCTGGATGTTGTGCGAAGATCTTTGTGTTTCCTCTACATGACAAAAATGAAGAGACTGGACAAATTCAACTGGAAAGGCGTGCCTGGCCTTTAGCCAAACTCCAAGCCTTCATATTAACTTCTCTTCTCACTCTCCTTCCCATTCGTTATTTTTCTGTATAAATATGTTTCCCTGTGCTCCACTATAGACTGGGGAACACACATGGAGAACTGCAAGTTACAACAGAAATTTGAATGTTGTTTCCAGGACTGGATCAATCAACAAAATCAAGATCTGGAAGAGCTTCTCCAGGCTCTGAGCTTGAATAAAGATGATGACGATGAAAACTTCCAACAACTTGCTGCGAAAGGTATCAAACACTTTGAGGATTACACTGATAAAAGGGCTTTGCTAGCCAAACATGATGCGCCGTCGCTTCTGTGTCCCCCATGGTGCACCTGTTTTGAGAATGCTTTCCTTTGGATAGGGGGGTGCAGGCCTTCACTATCTATTCGCCTCGTTTACAGTCTCTGTGGCGCTGAACTCAATATTGATACTGGCACTGCTGATCATCTGAGTGCAGCTTCTTCTTCCCCCCTAATAGAGAGCCAGGGAAATTTGGCTGACATATCCTCAAATCAGCTTCATTTGATCAACTCTTTACACTTGAAAACCATAAAGGCGGAAGGAAAGCTATCTGACAGGATGGCCAGTTTACAGGTAACAATGTTCTAATTTTTATTCTTAATCTTCTGGTTGATAGTATTGATAGAGTTTGTAAATTACCTGGAAAAGGGACTTCTAGACCAGGTTGCTGTTTGGTAATGTCAAAACTCAAAAGTAACTGGCTCAATAACTTCTGGGCTTCTTTTTTTGCTAGTTGAAACTGTTGAATCAAGTTATGAGTAACTTGTAATCTGCAGAAAAACCTGTAATTTTAAATCTTGTACAGAAGTCATTTAATAAGCTATCAATGTGGGAAAGTACATATTTATGACTGATTTTAGTCTAAAAAAACTTGTGAACATTGCTCACACCAAATGTTTGTTAAACTCCTCACGACTGCTGAGGCCCAGATTACCGTTTTGGCTTCGTGGTTCTACATATACAGGAAGAAATAGCTGATGATCCGCTGGCGATGATAGCGAAAAGAGCACGCCAGGTTGGCGAGTCTAGCCAGAGCGTAGATGAGGTCTTGCAGGGTCATTCGGTTGCTCTGGGGTGCATACTCGTGGATGCTGACAAGCTGAGGCTGAGTACAGTGAAGGAATTGTTTAGCATCCTTACGCCATTACAGAATGCCGATCTCCTTGCTGCATCAAAGAAACTTCATCTCTCAATGCGTGAGTGGGGGAAAAGGAGAGAACAACAAATGAGGGACCAGTGCGAGATGATTACTGGGGATCAAGAAGAGGAGATCAACAAGTAAGAGCATAAGGAGGAGCGATTTCGCAATCATGTCAAGTTTGCACAACAAAAGATGCAGGGTGGGCTTTTGTGGATATCTCACACTTATCCCTGCAATTTGAGTTCCATCTTTTCAGTGGTATTATGTTTCCAATGTAAATTTTGTGTGTGTTTTTCAGTTCCAGTTTGTGTGGTTACAACCTATGTTCGTGTTGGTGTACAATTTTCAATGTACAACTCGGTTTGGCTTGTTCATTATCTTTATCTGATCGGGAAATGTTGCGTCAAAGGAAAGCCTTTTGTGCTTTTCCTTTCTGTCTTTAACTCCGATCTTACGTATTTTTGTTAAATTCATAGATCAAGTTATATATATTCAATTTTATTATTATTTTTTTTTGGTACCTGAGGACAAGACAATAAAAATACTAAATATTATTCCGTCTCAAAATTATTATTAATTTTTTTAAAAATCATTTGTTTTATAATCGATGTCTAAGTCGAACACTCAAACTACATCTCATCATACCCATAAAGTTCCCAACTGGCTAGCCATGTGGCAGCACCAACAATCATTGATTCCATAAATTTGCTAGTAGCGGGTGAGCCATCGGAATAGGAGGACAAAAAAAGGCAGGAGCAAAAATATTAATCTTCACAAATTTAGACTTTTTTTTTTGTAAAACATGTCCTATTAAAAAAACTCACCACCTAGACGGATAATCCCAGTCGATAGATGTGCAATATAATAAGTACTTGTGTGTAGCTCATAAACATTGCCGAGAGACGTTTTCTTGGAGAATTTATTTCATTTGAGCACCTACACCATCTATCTAGAATTGTCTATTTTAAATTAAAAATAAAAATTTATCAATTAGATAATAAAAAGAGAATAGTATTATTACTTCTGTTTCAAAAAAATAGTTCCCATTGAGTTTTAAATTTTGCACTATTTTTAGTACAAATTTGAAAACTTAATATGGACTATTTTTATGGGACGGAAGTAGTACTATTTTTTAGTCGAAATTTGGAAGGAAAGAACATTTTACTTTGTAATTCGCTTCCGAAAAAATGAAATTATGCTTTCTCACTTATATAACACTATTTAAATTTTGCTAGAAGTTCAAAGTTGAACGATTTATACTAGTTGAAAATATAAGCTGAGACCAAATAATATTCATTCTCACAAACATAGGCATTTCAATTCATCAGTTTATCATTTAATTCATATAAAATGGATTTTTCCATATATTGAAAGTGAGCGCCGCTAAAAAGGGGAAAAAAAAAAAGAGGAAAAAGAAAAAATGAAAAAGAGCTGTGCAAGCTGCCGCAAGGAGCTAAGATGAACCAATAAGAGAGTTCCAAGTAACCCCCATGCACGCGCCGCCCAACCTACTCGAAACAGCAGCAGCCCGGAAACTCCCACCGCCGCTTCATTCCACCCTTTCCCTCCCTTATATATACATATGTATATATATGACCCATATTTCTCCGTTTCCCCTACAGAAAGGAAAAAAGAGAAATAAGTTAAAAATGAGCTTCCAAAGATTCTACGAGGGATGGTTGGAGCAACTCCGGCACCTGATGATCCAACTGAACCAGTCGCCGCGGCCGCCGCTCACCGACGAAGACCACCAACAGCTCCAGTCTCTGGTCCAGAAGACCATGTCCCACTACACCGAATATTACAGGGTCAAATCCCTGGTGGCCAAAACCGACGTCCTGGTCATCTTCGCGGCGCCGTGGTCCACCACCATGGAACGTTCCCTCCATTGGATCGCCGGTTGGCGGCCCACCACAGCTTTCCACCTCATCTACACGGAGGCCAGCATCCGTTTCGAGTCCCAAATCATCGATATCCTTCGCGGGCTTCGGAATGGTGACCTGGGTGATCTTTCCCCGGCCCAGTTTCGCCGGGTCAGCGAGCTCCAGTGCGAAACCGTTCGCGAAGAGAATGCCATCACCGATGAACTTTCTCAATGGCAGGCACGCGCCACCTATCTCCGTTGATCATTAATTCATCTTCCTATAATGTTATATCCGGCAGAATTAGTATAAGTCTATTAAGAGTACATATAAAGAGTAATTTAATTTAATTTTTTTTTAACGAATATGGAAATTATTAGTGTTACATATTTTGTTAGATTGATTTTTATTTTTATTTTTAATATGTGTATATATGTGTAGGATGGGGCGAGTGATTTTCAAGATATGAGGGAAGATGTGGAAGAGAAGATGCAAGTGTTGGGGAGAGTGGCAGAGAAGGCTGATGATCTGCGGCTTCAGACGATTGTGAAGCTGGTGGAGTTGCTGACACCCCGGCAGGCGGCGGAGTTCTTGATCGCGGCGGCGCATTTGCAGATTGGGGTTCGTGGATGGGGTGTGGATTTCGATCTCCACCATAGTTAGTTAATTAAAGAGATTTTGGGATCAGATAATTCAACTAATTGATGCCATGCATGCCCATGCATCCATCAATGATGAATGGTTTGACGTTGTGTAGGTTTTAGTTTAATGGTTGTGTGTGTGGATGGATTAATTATCTCCAGAAGTTGCCTGATATCAAAATTAATGTTTCGGATTGAGAATGCAACAGGGATTTCCAAACGTTGTTGTGGTTAATTTGAGGATGATATATGCTCGATTTGAAACTCCATAAATCTGGCAGATAGTCGTGCGTTGAGGGGAAAAAAAAAGATTATAACTTCTACATATATAAACACGCATTATATGAGTTCTTTTAATATTTTATTCAGTTAGTAATTTACCTCGTAGTACCAATGAATTTACGGGCTTGATCTACTTTTTTAGTGATAGAAGAGGAAGATTATGAACTATGGTTTCACCATCTTGCGTGTAATTACAGAGATATTTCTCGGTAAACCTGTCTCCACCACAAAAAGAAAAAAGAAAAGTTACAATGTACGTATTGGTTATGATTGTTGAGTACCAAAATTGATGAACTTCTTCATTTCTATTTTATTTTTTTTAGTTCTGAAAACCGTTAATATGACAGTCGATGAAGAGGTATTGACATCGATGATGTAGTTGTACTACAATTGAATCTTATAATCACCACTATTTTTTCTTTTTTTTTGGGGTGGGGGTGGGAGGTGGGGTTTACATTACCAGTAATGGTGGATATTTAGTAGTACTTGGTATTAATTTAACTTTCCGTTTATGGAAGATTTTGGTTTTGAGAAGGGGGTGACGTGTCAGGCGTAGATGCATGCATGGCAACACCTGTTGGCGAATGGCTGCGTAAGTGTGTTGTGTCAACCAAAGGGGAAAACCGGTCAAAACCTGCTCCCGTCATCATCTTCTATCGACGGGATATGGGCGCCGAAGGGTTTTTTTTTTTTTTTTTGTGTTTCTCCGCTGGTTGCGTGTGCTCACGGAATCGAAACACCTGTTAGCCAATGAGCTCGGGACACATGAATGCAATACCAGTGCTACTATGGGATCACTTGTCAACAAAGCAAAACACTGAAATCGCGACTCGTGACCGTTTACTCCTTCCAAATCAAATACTCATTGTCCCATAATTATTGTACCGTTTGAGTTTTCATTTCTAGTTTAAATTGTACTCAAAGTGAAATCTTAAATTGAACAATAATTTTGGGACAGAGAGAATATAATTAGACCAGTGACAGAGCCACGACATCAATGTAGAAGGTGCAGAATTTTTTTTAAAAAATTATTAATAGATAAAAAATCAATGTGGGGAATTTGAAAAATTATAGAGTATATATATAATTTTTTGTTGAAAATTTAAAATATACCTCGACTAATTTCAAAAAAATTAAGTAGATGCGACAACAACCCGTTTTCCTATCTCCGCCGCTGACTAGACCGCCGATTCAGTCTCTGGTAGCATGGAGTTTTTCTTTTCCTTCTCTAGGTAGCAGTAGCATTAGTCAATCTTGTCGGACGGACGGCCTCCACCGAAGTACTACGAAGGAAAGAAAAACTCCATGTATACTTCGTTGACTTGAAAGTGTCAATTGGAATGAAATACGTTGACTTGAAACGTGGAAAATTAATTTGTGAAAATCACCCATTGGGTGGATTGGAAAGTACTCCCTCTGTTCCAAAATAAATATCGTAAAAAATTCTAAAATAAGTGTCGTTTTCTGATTTTAATGTATTTTTTGTCAAAAATTTCCAAACATATACTCCAAAAAAAATATTGGTAAATATTATTTTAATGGGGTTGGTTAAGGATATTTTAATAATTTAGCTATCATATTTAAATATTTCTTAAATTGTATGTAAACGTTATAATAACACTTATTTTGGAATGGAGGGAATACTTTGTTAGAGCTTCCAAGCTTGGCACACATTATTCTTCCTAGCTACGCATTGCCCTACTTTTTATGCTCCCTTTGGGAACACCAATTAAAATTATGAGGAAACTGTTTCGCTTTGGTAATTTGTTACTCAGATCCAACAATTCATCGGTCTTCACTTATTCCATCTTAATTCTAAACCACATCCGGCTTTATATGTTACTCAGTTTCAATTCCAAATTTACATTAGAAATTTAATTAGCATGTGTCTTCTCTTTTCAGGTACAATAACAATAAAAGTAAATGTGTAATACAGTAAATCAAAACAGATTGTGTGTTAATAGTGTCGACACTATCGTCTTATTATATTCCAGATCATTATTTTACTTAAGAAGGTGATTTACTTAATCACTACTATAACTCTCAATTACTATTGTTAAAAATGTCATATAAATTACTGTTTAATTTAGCTCCTATTGTAAACATGCTTCACTTATATACTACAAACCACTTTTAGTGTACGTAGAAACTGCTGAATGGACTTAACTAAACCTACATTTATCCCGGCACTCCAATCTCTTGATTTTTAACCAGCTTAACAACGGCACAAACATTCATATCATTGACTTCAACATTAATTTTACTTATGCCCAACTCCCAAATTAGATGCATAAGATCTTGTACTCTTTCTATCCCAAAATTATTATCCAATTTAAATTTTCATTTTTAGTTCAAATTTTGCTAAAAGTGAGATCTCAAATTGGACAAAAAATTTTGGGACAGGAGAATAATAAATTCTACAAATTAATAGCATCAGTTGCAGCAATGTCTGCATGGTCACTAGTGTTCACCGGGCGGGAAGCCACCAATCCATATCTACCGTCTAAAACCGTAAAATGGTTGATTGGAGTAATATAATTAAAGGGATGGTAAGAGAACATAACGTCGTTATTATTACAATAATGTTGGCAGTCAAAATCTGAATTGATAATTCAAACTAGAAGTATGTTTTCAACCCAAAAAAAAAACAAAACAAAACAAAACAATCTACTGAAAGAAAATAAATTGAATATGAGATGTCTAAGTTGAGTCCTATATTCATCAACCCCAAACATATCATTATCGGTTGAACACAGTAATGCTTCAAAAATTTGCTAGTGAGATGTCACAGGCAGGTTGATTAATACACAAAGAAAGAGTGATTATGAAACATTGGAATCTGCAAACCTACCATTGGAAGTTTAACTGTGTGGTCTGTCAGTCTGTGAATCCTTGTCATGACTTCTTGTTTTTATAAGTATGGAAGGATCGGAACATCCGGCTTCAGTTACCTAGCTGTAGATAGCACTGAGTAGGGCTGTTCTTTTACATAAAATCGACCCGAACCGAACCAAATCCGAATCGAACCGTTAGTTTGGATCGGTTCGAAGTTGGGGCAATTTTCTTTTGGATCACTATGGTTCAGTTCGGATCAGTTTGAGTTAAATTTCAGGTTTAAACAGAATTGACCTGAAAAGAATCATTTTGTATCCGATAATGTTATTAAAATATTACGATGACGTCATCTTGCCGGCGCCGGTCACCGGTCGCCGGAAAATCAATTATCCGGCAATATTGCCGGAATTTTTGGCCCGAAAAATTCAATTTGCCGGCGACGTTGCCGGAATTTTTGGCCAGAAGTTGTTGCCGGCGGCAGTTGGTGGTGGTCAACGGCGGTCGGTGGCGGTCAACATCGAAAACTATTGAAATTTATTATTATTATTTTTAGTTTAAATTAGTTCGGTTCAATTTAAATATTTACTTAACCCGAACTGATTCGAACCATTCCACTCTTAAAAATAATTAATCCGAACCGAACTAAACTGAAACTAAATTCTCGGATTGGTTTCAATCGGTTCGATCCAGATCATCGATTCGACCCGAACCGTGGGTCAAAATGACCAACCCTAGCACTGAGGTTGTGCAATTGTTGAATGGATGTCTTGGAAGAAGACTTTGGGTTTGTTGAATATACTTCCAACTATATTCCAAAATAATTATTCAATTTGATGTTTCATTTCCGGTACAAATCATATTTAAAATAAAAAAATTCAAACTAAAATGTAAATAGTATTAATAAAGGACTGGAACGTTGAGATTAATTATGTTTGATGTGATGCAGTTGCTGATAGATCAGCCAAATTGGATTTTAGTCTGTTGTTAACAATTCATAGATTGCCCTATCCTCCCTTTGTTTGAAACTCTTGTTACGCAGACTCTTGGATTAATTCACATCAAGGGCGAAATTTTGTAAAGTAAGCATCCGCTTCATTAGTACATTAAGAAAATGATTAACATAATTTAGATAATTTTATTTAATACTACTCGAGTCCTTAATATAAGATATTTTAATTTATCCTAAATTTCACCATTTTTAATGAACAAAAAAAGTGTTAGAGTAGTTTTAAAACTTATCGGATAAATTATTATATATTAATGATTAATGCATAATATTATGCACGAGGGAATTGAAGACCAAAGAGTATCTATAAATTATTCGCACATCGAAGAAGAAGCCGATGAAGAAGAGAAGAAAATTATACTCTTTTTGTTCCTTAATATAAGGTATTTTGATTTATCATATATTTTACCTAATATGTATTTTTAATTAACAAAAAAAATTTTAAAATATTTCATAACAATCAAGAGAATACAACGAATGTATAAAATATTTTTAAGTTTTTTCGTTAATTAAAAATATGTACTAGGTGAAACGTAGAACAATTAAAATATCCTATATAAAGGACCAGAGGGAATACACCAGATGTAGATCCATAAATAAAATGAAAAATATACTTGAAAGTATTAAAGAAATAAAAGCTTAAGAATATTCAGTTTCAGCACCACCTATACAAGTTTTCCTTTCTTTAGTTTGCCAATTTTATATTAGTAGTTCAAGATTATTATTATTTTTTTCATATTATACGGTGTCTACTGTCAACAATCAGGACTAATTTCTCTTGCTCATAATAGGTACAAGATTTAAATAATGACATGACTAATAAGATAATAATATTAATCCTATTTCATAAAAATGTTACGTTATGTACCCTACTATCGAATTCCCTTTTTTTTCTTCCTTGGTTCAAACAAAATAAAAACAGAAACACTACAATTTAAGAAGACCAAATTAACAATTGACAAAATAAGCAAGTACAAAACAGCCAAAGCCAACGACATAACTAAGGTCGACTTTGTTCATAATACCAAGTCCTATTTGTAGTGCGCAACATGTCATTGTCAACTATAAGTATAAACCACTTCTTCTAGAGTTTTTGCATTCTGTGGGGGGGGGGAGGGGGGGAGAATAAAATAATATTCTTTCTATATGGAAAAAAAACCTAATTTTAAAAATTAAAATTTTAAAATGAAGTTATGAGATTCACGTAATTAAACTTAAAATAATATTTTAGAAATTGACAGAGATGAATGATATCTAATATTTCACATTAATTTTTTATTCGAAAACAAATAATAATTTTTTTCCGAATTAAACTACTATTATTTTCTGAATTACAGAAATAACAACTTTATTACAGTAAGAATTGCTCGCAAGTTGCAACTTGCGATTCCAATATGAGGAAATTCTTGGGATGGTTCCGAGTTCTGTCCCCATTTGAAAATGTCATCCTAAAATCGGTGCATTTTATGTAATGGAAACATTACTAACGTCAGTCCCCAACGAAGTAAGTTTATGTATAACAAGTTAACAAATTCTCTGCTCTGCATTAACGATGGAGGGAATAAATTTTCGTTGTACTAAGTAAATATTTACTCATTCATCAACTGATAATTCTTTTTGTTTTATATATATACTTCCTCAGTCCGATTTGAATTAAAAGTATAAATCTAAATAAGATACTGATTTCAAAACGGAGAGACTATTATTGTAATATTTTCTATGCCCAATAATGTGTTTTCAAAAAAAAAAGAAAGAAAGAAAGAAAAGTCCAATAATGTAAAATATTTTATAGAAGGGATGAAACTGAATAGAGAAAATCAGTGTATCAACGTATCACTTCCAATATTTAAGCATTTCACAAGGCCTAATTGTTTTTTTTCTCTCTGGGTTACATATATATTATTATGGATTAATGAGAAAAATATAATACGTCTAGTCCTACAAAATTAATCTATCTTGTAAATGATAAATTATACTAAAAACAGTGTTTCATTTGTCATAAGAAAAATAAGCCGATCCATTGAGCCGAAGAGAGTATAAATTTCAAAATTTGATGTGAATTATTTTTTTTTTGAGACGGAAAGAATGATATATTTATTTATTAAAGAAAGAAAACCTAGAAAAAGTACATAAGGATTGCTATCAAAGAAAACAATACTATTACTCCCTCCGTCTCAAAATTATTGTCTAGCTTGAAATTTCACTTTTAGTATAATTTAAATTAAAAATGAAAATCCAAATTACACAATAATTATGGGACGGATGGAATATATGATTAGACGAAGAATACAAATAAATATCACAAGTAAAGTGAAAATTAATAAAAAGGTCAAAGAAAGACTTTGGGTTGATGAAGTATACTTATTACAGAAGGCATCATTTTTTTATTAAGCAGTTAGCTCTACCTTATTACAGGATCTGGACTTGGAATTATAGTACTGAGTCAAATTTGGAGCACAAAGTCACTTTTATTTTATTTTTTTTTTAAAAAAAAATCGTTAAATTATACCAAAAGCACAAATAGGAAACAAACGTCTTCACCCATCACAGCCCACAAAACCAAACCACCCCTTCCCAATCAAATTCATCCCGTCCGTACACGTGCCCCTTTTTCTCCCTCCCTGTAACTCTATCTTCTTCACCCATTCCCCACCAAAAATACAAAAGGAAAAAATTTCGTCCTAAATTTAATTTAAAACACGAAATTTCCAGACTCTGTTTCTCGAAAAATCAAAAGAACTAAAAAAAGTAAAAGATCATGTCGGAAAAGAACACTTCTCTGCATCGAAGAATTTGGAGTCGATCTTTCACGCACTCGTTAAGATCATCGAAGAAGATAGCTAACCCGGACAACAATTCGTATCCAGATGTTTCTAGTTACGAATCTTCTTCTTCTTCCAGTAGTATAATTGTTCTGGGAAGCGACGGTGCCGTTGGAGCTTCTCCGCCGTCGTCGCGGTGGGCGGATATGCTGCCGGAGATCTTAGGAGAGATCATACAACGTGTGGAGGCTTCTGAGGATAAGTGGCCGCTCCGTCGAAACGTCGTCGCTTGTGGATGCGTTTGTAAAGGTTGGAGAGTGGTAACTAAAGATATTGTAGCGTCCTGCTCCCGTCAACAGGAAACTGCTGCTAAGATCACCTTCCCTTCTTGTCTCAGAAAGGTACTGATAATCAACTTGGGCATTATGGTTGGTAAAGTAACAATTCTCTTGTCTGAACTAACCGGAAATTGAGTTTCTTAGTGTAGAATTCTTTGGAATAACTCATTATTTCAATCTTATGATCATTAGGTTGAGAAGATTAATTTCTGAGATGAACCTTTGTGTTTTATGTTTTCGAGCTCGTATGAAGCTGTATTTGTTCATCTGGATATATGGTGTGAAATAAAACAAAACTTATTAATTGATTGGGATACAGATTTCATTATTTCTGAAACTGGATGCGAGAGTGTAATCATTTGGTTCTTTCTTGTGCCATACCATGTACTCTTACATTTCTATTCTGCCAATCTTCAGATGATTGTTGTGTTAAAAAGGGAAGTATGGCACTTTTCTTTTTCTTTTTTTTTTTTTTTCCTGTGTTTAATTTCTGTTGCCATTGTATGTGATTTTCGTTTTTGAGCGAAATGATTCATGCTTTTGTTAGTCCTTGATACAGTTTTGTTGCTTGTGCAGCCGGGGCCGCGGGAGTATCCACTTCAATGTTTAATAAAACGTGACAAGAAGAGTGGTATTTTTTACCTCTATCTTTCCCTTTCACCATGTAAGTGACTTGTACAAACTCGTTCGAGAAATTTCCCTGCTGTTTCTTCTGATTCATAATAGATTTGATTGTTGCAACTTTGCTGTTCTTTTGTCTTTCAACTTTCTTTGGCTGGGTAATACCATCGCTTTCAACTGATAAATATCATATTTGAAGTTAGAGTAAGACTTGTAGTTTTTGGCCCATCAACGTTATTGTGAGTTACACTTGTAACTTAGTCTAGTCAATCTGATTAGGTGGGATTTTTTATTTTGCAATTCTGCATTGGAATTGAAGAAAGGGCTTTCATTTTCTTTGACTTTTAGTGTTTGCTTGACTTTATAGATGGTTCTCTGCGGGTTAGTTTCGATGAGGAAGTAGCTCGGTTTTGTATTTTCTTCTCACTAAAATATCTCACTTTTTTTATGCTGGGAGTATTTTTGGGTGGATTTTGTGACTGTTCTTTTTTATCTATTTCACTAGAGTTAATAATACTTGGACTAGCGGAGAGATCACAGAAGTTTTGACTTCTTTACTTTATTTGTTGGATATTTTGATATCCAGTTGTAAGCTTAAAGCCGTCCTACACTACTGTATTTCTTAATTGAACTACGACTCTCTCAGCTTCTATTTAGCTGGAACTGTGATGATGGGCAAAAAGAATGCATCATTAAATGATTCCCTTGGCTGAAATCTCATGGATACTTATTAGGAGCTTGTTGATAATTATGAAATGCTGTAATTGTCTGTGGAGTCAATTGGAAATGCTTCTGAGTATGGCCCTTTTTGATTTTCAAGAGTGCTTTTAAGTAATGAGTTCTTAGTGATATACTGAGAATGACACTGAAGTAGCTCAGCAATGATTAAATGCTAGGATAAGCTCTGTTAGATGAAGATAAGTGCTCTTAGTTCTAAATCTGCTGTATCTTCAAGTTATCACTTGAGAAACATGGATATGCATTGAAGTTGGTCCACCTAACATGTGAAGTTGGTGCTATGCATTCTCAGCAATAAGTTACTGTTCTCCTTCCATCCCCAATTTGTTTGTGAATATTTCTGTGTCTGAATATGGTAAAGATTTTGATCATTGCGAATTAGCTATTTTTCTGTCTATTAACTTTGTTTGGCTCAGTAAGATAACCACTTTCAACTGTTAAATTTCACATTTGAAGCTAGAGTGAGATTGTAGTTTTTTGGACCATCGACTTTAATTCCATTACTCGCACTTCGGTCAAGTCAATCTGATTAGGTGGTATGTTTATTTTTAAATCTACTCTGAGCTTAGAACCAGGTCTTTGATTTACTTTGACTTTTAATGCTTGCTTGACTGAAAAGTTGATTTTTTGGCTGATTTAGTTGTGGAAGTAGCTGAGTATTTTTATCACTAAAATATCTGCACTCTTCTATGCTTGGAGTTAGTCAGTTCTTTGTGACAGATTTTTTTTAGTTATTATAACTACCAGTAAACAATCCTTAGCCTCGCCGAGAGATCAAGGAATTTTAGACTTCTTTTCTCATTTATTGATTGAACATTTTGATATCCAGTTGTAAGCTCAGAGCTGTGATTACAATTGCATTGCTTAATTACTGTGCTTAATTACTGTGCTACACTCTCAGCTTCTATTGGGCTGAAACTTGTTCATAAATGAAAGAGTAGAAAAAGTACAAATTGAAATGATTTCTCTGACTCTAATCTCATGGGCAATGATTATTATGAGCTTATTGACTAAACCTTTAGTTGTCTCTGAGTCAATGAGAGTTGTAATTGCTTTAAGTTGTAGCTTTTCATTCTTGTCCAAGAGTATTTTGAAGTTTTAGTGCTACTTAAGATGTAACAAGAACAAGACGAAGTAGTCCAGCTGGTTGATTGAAACGCCAACACAAGCTCTAGTAGACAAAAATGCGCATAAATGCATTATCTATTAGACAAAGATGTGTATAAGTGCATTTATCTTTTAATATTTAAAATTTACAAGTATGGAGTGAGGTACTGCATTCACAGTGATGTATGTCGTCCTAATATGTGAAAAATTAACGCTAAGCTCAAGTTTTCAGCTTTAAGTTACTGTTTAGTTCTGCTTCCCCGAAATTATTTCATCAATGTTTCAATATCTGAATTTTGTAAAGGCTTTGATTTCAGCAACATTCACGGATAAGGGAAAGTTCCTCTTAGCAGCTCGTAGGCATGGGAAGGGTACACATACGGAGTATATAATCTCTCTTGATGCCGAAGATTTTTCTCAAGGAAGTAATGCATATGTTGGAAAATTGAGGTCAGTATTCTTTTTGACACCTTCAGATCTGGATATTGTCGTTGGTCTTCATTCTAGCATAGTTGTTCAATTGGCATGGGGGTTTTCTTACTCAAGCCTTACATTAGATACTTTCTTAGTAGCATCATTAGTTCCTTGGTTTGCAATTGCTTTTTCTCAGCATAGGATTGAGATAGTTTTGGGCATTTTAGATCCTGGTAATTGATAGCCCTTATTTGCATATTTTTTTTAGCTTGAAGTGATCATTCAGTGACTAAAAACTGTAATCATGTATTTTGGGCCTGCAGAGTATCATTTAAAACCATGCAGTTTGTGGTGCTAATTGAGAACCCTTGTCTCTTTGCATCCAAATGTAAAAAAGACAAGAGTGCTTTTAGCCACTATTTTTAAAGCTTGTGTCCAGTAATCTTGGTTTTCAGAAAGAGCAGGAAACTTGAGAAGTAGTGATCTAAATTTCTCTTGCTGAGCAATAACTGCCTGATCTGATAAAATAAATGATATCTTCTCTTACTTCTCGGCGCAGATCAGATTTTCTCGGCACCAATTTCACCATTTATGATAGCCAACCTCCATCTGGAGCGAAGTCATCAAGCAACAAGGCCAGCCGTAGATTTGCCTGCAACCAAATAAGCCCCCAAGTTCCAGCAGGTAATTTTGAGATTGGCGAAGTGTCCTACAAATTCAACCTCCTAAAATCAAGAGGCCCGAGGAGGATGGAATGCTCACTAAGGTGTCCATGGTCCGGCGAAACAACCTCGGACAACAAAGAGGGTTCAAAAACACAGGATCAACCGTCCACTGTATGTAGCAATACTGTTTTAAGAAACAAAGCTCCAAGATGGCAAGAGCACTTGCAATGTTGGTGTCTAAATTTTCACGGCAGGGTCACGGTCGCGTCAGTGAAGAACTTTCAGCTGGTTGCTATCATGGACCAGAGCCAGCCAGGTGGGAAAGGAGACGAGGAAACAGTTCTCCTCCAGTTTGGCAAGGTTGGGGATGATACTTTTACAATGGATTATAGGCAGCCATTGTCAGCTTTCCAAGCTTTTGCCATTTGCCTAACCAGTTTCGGTACAAAGCTTGCTTGTGAATAACAATTGGATGTTGTTATATGATGTCCACAAGATTTTTGCCACTGTACCAGTGTGACATATACCTTTTTTTTTCTCAGAAAGAAAAAGAAAAAAAAAATGTTTTTCCCTCTATTTATGTACGGGTGAATTTTCTGGTTCACACTTCGGACAGACTGTACTTATGAATTTTGTAAATAATAATTTATATAAAGTATGCAAAAGAAAACCAGAATATTAATAACCATAATAATAACAATTATTCCATTTGTATTATATTATCTTAATTTTCATTGTGAACAATAATATAATTTCATTGAAAACGAAGGTGAAAAAGAAAAGGCACACATCTACAATGTAATTCCACGGGATCGTTAAGTGTTTATTTTTCACATTGTTGATCTCTTTTTTGTTTTGGGATAATCACATTGTATACCTCTTTTTAGCTTATTATAGTCTGCTCGTATTTGAAAAAAAAAAGAAAAGAAGAAGCTTATAGTCTGCTCAAAAGTAACAAAGGTCAATTTCCCAAAGTTGAAATTTAACAAGAACTGCCTTGATTTGCTTGTGTTTGAAAATAAAAGTTACAAAATCATGTTTTAGGGAAACCAAATATTACTCAGACCGCTGGAGGAGAACCTTTTCATCATTTTTTGTTCATACATGAACAATATCTTGTGAGCCTTTTTAGACTTTCGTTTGTGAGTGTTTTCTTTATTTATTGATTTAACAGAAAACAATGTTGATTGTTTTCACTTGCTTGGATGCTTTGTGATTTTTATGAACCTAATATATACTGTTTTAGATTTAGATTGTTGTGTTAAGAATCTATTCTTTGTTAGTATGTGTTAGCAAGATTTATTTTTATCTTAATATGAATATTGTGAACTTAATTATTTCTTTTGGTCCTTATTATAAGACATTTTGATTTCTCAAAAAATTTCATTTTATCGTGTTTTTTTTAATTGAAAAAGAAACGTTAAAAATACTTTTATAATAATTCGAAAAATACGATGAATGTGAAAATATATTCTTAAAGTTTTATATTCAATTTTAAAAAAAAATTATAAATGAAATTAAAAAAAAAATCAAAATAACTTTTTATATTTTCAATACAAAAAACACCTAAAAACACGCGCTAAAAAAAAGGAAACAAACGGATCCTAAGGTGGACATTAAAGCCTTTGGAAAAATTTTTAATTCTATTATCACTTCCTCTGGCGGCGGATGTACTACTGGTAATTGTAGAAGATTGTGAGAATGAGACAAGTGGAAGGAAGGAAGAAAGTGAATCATACACACTGGCTGCAAGAGGAGGAAATGTGAATCTCTCTAAAGAAGATCCCTATTTCATTACAAAAGTCTAACTAATTAGCTTGTGCATAGGTCACACGCACTTTCTTCAGTTTGCATCAAATGATTTCTAAACAAGCTTAATCTATAATAATCAAATAGTTTCCCCTGCTCAGCAAAAATATGGTGGCTGAATTTGACACAAGAAATCATTCGCTAATATATACTGTACAATAGAAAAAACACAGAGAGCCAGTTCTAATAAATCCAAGGAGTAAAGAATGGCAACGGTTGGAACCAGTGAGCAAAACTATTAGCATATTATTAACCATATTCACTTTCAGAGATATTTGGCACGACCAATACTAGATTCAGGCTACCCTAAACCTACCAATGTTTTAAACAGTAACAAGAAAGTAGCAGTAAGAAAAGGGTTGCATTATCATTCATACATTCTTCTAACCAAAATCGTTAGGTAAAAAGAAAGCAATAATACTAATATTAATGGAGACTAAAGGAGAACATCACCGAATAAGAATTAGGCACAATTTCTTTGAAACGTCGTTAGTAAAATTCCCAGCTAAATACTACTCAACAGTGTAAAAATTGGTTTTTTAATTCACTAATCGTGTTAAATAAATCAAAAGGGAGATTTAATTTAACAAATAAATGGTTTAGTTAACTAATAAAATGGGATTTGAGCGGAGTAATGTTTTCAATACCAATTAGCCCAACTGGAATTTACCAGAAATGGGCCAAAGGCAATGAAAGACATGTGGTTGGGAGAAAAGTTGCACAAAAATGGCAAAAGTATTGGGGTTGGAAGATAATTTTTATTGTCTGGAAGGAATAGGCAATGAAGACAATTATGTTGAATCTGGAAATACATTACTTACTTCCCCTGTGTCTGTCTCTCTCACACCAACCACCCACCATTGTTCATCCATTGTTCGTCTATCCAATTTCGAAACACCGTCTCTGCAAAGTTGGTGAGCTCCATGCACGACTCTTTTTTTTTTTTTTTTTGTGAATCAGCATTGTTTTTATGGGGGATAGATCTAAACTTTTCTTCTTTTTTCTTTGGTTCTTGAAAGGGTTAAAGATCTAACACTAAAAACAGAGCATGATATGAACTGCCTACCCATCCAAATATTTGAACATCGAGTTTCCATTGTGTGCTTCATCTGAATATGTTCCTGTTGTTTTTAAATTCTGATGTTTTATCTTCCTTTTCTTACCATTTCACAATAAAAAAAGAAGGAAAAACCTCCTCTATGTTCCTGATGTTTTTTACTTTCTGATGTGATGTTTTATCTTCTTTTTCAAGTTTCAACCATTTCACAAAAAGGGAGGGTGTTAAAGATAATTATGAAGAGTAGTTGAGAGGGATCAAATTTAGTGATAATTTTCTAATGAGTAATTATCGAGTGTGGTAATTTAATTTATTAGTTATCAAAAATAGTATTTATCATCAAAAGTAACTTTTATCTAATAATGTACACATGCCTATAAATATGGCATGTAGTTTTTATTTTGTATCACAATCAATACAATGTAGTCTTCAAATTTATTTTCGTCAAGTTTCTCTCTTGTATTTTATTTTTCTTTATATTTTAGTTTTTCTCTTGGTATCAAAGTAGGTTCTGTCCTGTTTCTGCATATCATTTTTTTTTTCGTCTTCAAAAAATAAATCATGGTTGATTACTTCCGCGTACTTTTTTTTATATATATTTTTAAAAAAATAGTTTCATGATCATATTCTTTCATAAATATTTGTGTCATGGTAACTCGAAATTCATCAGAAATCACTATCTTGTCTTTCCCTATACTATTAATCATATATTTCAGTCAGATTTTCTCAAGAATGACCACTCTCCATAAATCTCGCACAAATCAAATTCCATTTGAGTCACAAATTTTTTTTCCACAAATCAACTTCAGTTGATCCATAAATTTCAGTAACGAACAAAGAGGAAAAATATATACCTCTGAGTCAAATCACAAAATTTCCATCATGACAAACGTCTAATCTTTTCTCGAAAGAGTTTTGACTTGTCATGTAACAATCTAACAATCCAACGAAAATTTTCATTATGACAAAAGTCTGATCTTCTCTGAAAAGAAGATTTTTGACTTGTCATACACCAATCTAACAGAATTTCAAGCAAGTTGGCCAAAACATGGGAGAATCACTCAAGATCAAGAATAGCAAGAAATTTGACGCCATCAAGTCAGTGAAAGCAAACTGAATTTCCAACTCCGACTCAGTTTGAGGGGAGATGTTAAAGATAATTATGAAGAGTAGTTGAGAGGGATCAAATTTAGTGATAATTTTCTGATGAGTAATTATCGAGTGTGGTAATTTAATTTATAAGTTATCAAAAATATTATTTATCAGCAAAAGTAGTTTTTATCCAATAATGTACACATGCCTATAAATATGGCATATAACTTTTATTTTGTATCACAATCAATACAATGTAGTCTTCAAATTTATTTTCGTCAAGTTTCTCTTTTGTATTTTATTTTTCTTCATATTTTAGTTTTTCTTTGGGGGAACCCTCCTCTGTTTTCTTGTCGAAATTTCTTTTTCTTCTTTCTTTCATTTTTTTTTATTTTCCAAAAAAGCAATTACTATCTTTCTTTTAAATACAAAAAAAAAAGTTCATTTCAAAAAAAAAAAAAGAAAGAAAAACCTCCTCTATTTTCTTGTCGAAATCTTTTCTTTTTCTTTTTTCCTTTTATTTTTTTCCCAAAAAAGCAATTACTATCTTTCTTTGAAAAAAAACAAGAAATTTCCCTGTTTTTTTTAACATACTAGAAAAGTTTCCCTTTTTCGAAAAAAAAAACTAGAATGTTCGTCGTAGTCTTCAACAATTTCATCTCCTTCGTTCTCTCTCCTTTTGTCAAACAGTTCATCCATCCTTGTTCTTCTGTCTGTTGAGTATCCCATATCGGTGGTGGGAGAGATTTGATATCAGTATATAAGTCTATGAGCTATTCCCCTCATTGCCAATTAGTTTTTAGGTGAAACCTCATGGGCTTCTATATGGTATCAGAGCCAGTCTGTCAAAAGTCGGACTCCAAAGCCTGATGTGATAGAACTAGTAGGGCTGAGACGTGAGGCGGTGACTGGACTGACAAGCCCAACCTAAGAAGAGACGTTGGGCTTGCAGGGGAGTGTTGAGTATCCCATATTAGTGGTGAGAGAGATTTGATATCAGTATATAAGTATACGGGCTACTCCCCTCATTGCCAATTGGCTTTGAGGTGAAACCTCATGAATTTCTATACTGTCATCACTTTTCTTTCTACTGCCCGATTTTCCTATCTTCCACCTGAAATTTCAAAAAAAAAAAAAAAAAAGGCCTCCTCTTTTGCAGGTTTGTGTTTGGGATTTACAAGATGGTGGCCTGCTTTGGATTCAACATCTCCCGCAAGACTAATGTCCGTCCCGGTCCCCAACCAAGAATTTTCTATCAAAACCCAGGGTATGTTCTCTATAATTAATTAGTATTTTAGCTTACTTGTATACATTTGTTGTAGTTTTCTCAACTTTTTTATTTTGGTTTCTAGCTCTTCTTCCTTGAATGGTAGGACTGCTACCGTCGCTAATCCAGACAACTACGAACGAGTTACAGTCTCCAAAGCTACTTTGGGAGGGCCACAGGCATAATTTGCAAACTCGCGATCCTGGATCGTAGGATAACTTTTTTATTTTGGTTTCTAGCTCTTCTTCCTTGAATGGTAGGACTGCTACCGTCGCTAATCCAGACAACTACGAACGAGTTACAGTCTCCAAAGCTACTTTGGGAGGGCCACAGGCATAATTTGCAAACTCGCGATCCTGGATCGTAGGATCGTCCGATCCTACGATCCTAGGTACCTAAATCAATCCTAGATCGATCAAACTCGAATTTTGCAGTGCGATCGAAGTAGGATTGATCATGATCGGTTAGGATCGGTCAGGATCGTAGGATCGGTCCGACTTTACTATTCATCAATTACAAAAAATTAATTGAACTTTTTGAGATTTTCCTTTTTCTTATTTCTTGTGGTTCACATTCAATTGAGACTAATATTCTTTGAAGAAACTTTTATTGCTAAGAAAAATGTATTTTAGAAAGTTTTTCTAATAAAATTAAAAGAAGAACAATAAGAGAAGAGTTTTTATTAGAAAATTATGAAAAAAATTATTATAAGAAAATTGAATTTATAATTTTTTTTTGGTTTAAATATTAAATACTTTATGTAAAGATATTTGAAACCTAACAATCAAAGCAATTAATTATATAATATGTATAATTAATTTTACGATCCTACTATTTCGATCTTATCGATCCCATTTACGATCCGATCCTATGACTCTATTTTGATCCTACGTAGAATCACGATCCTACAAACATTGGCCATAGCGGTTCAGAGACTATGTTTCTGGTAAAGTTTTTGGTATTAACCGAGACCCCTTGAATTATGAGTTTCAAAATCCCCAAAGATTTTAACAATTGGCTTAGGTCCATGAACCCAGCCCACCACTTAGAAGGCAAGATTGTGTTCAAGGACATGAAGATAGAAATGTGGAACTTGTCTGTTTACGCAAACCAGGAAACGTTGCAGTTTACATTGTAATTAGAATTCCATATTACTCACTCTATTTTTTCTTATGTCTTTATAGAGAAATCATCAAAACCAAGAACATATTAATTAATATAGTTAAAATACGAAAATATCCTTATTTATTGTCTATATAATTTATCACAAACTAATAGAAATTCATCATAAATACTGTTTCATTTCCAATGCAAAGGTAATATTGGTAAAAATGGATCTCTCTCCATTGGTAGTAATCAATATGCACCTCTGTCACTACTACATGTAGTAGGACATAGTTTTTAAATCAAGCAGAATAAGATCCCTTTTGATGCTTGTCTGTTGTTAACTAGTAATGGTTTCCGTATAACCATTAGAAGAGACGAAGGTACCTTTTGTTAGCAATTAGTATCTTTGAAGAGACGAAGGTACATTTTGTTAACAATTATCTTATCCTATTTGGAACTTTCGGAATTCTTATTGGTTGTCACTTGATTTTACTTTTAATGGCAGCCTATTAGCACTGATAAGTATCATCTTAGTTCTTTGCCTTCTTATTTGATAATTTGGTTATTATGTTAGCACAACATAATGCATTTTTTTTTGACCCGGATTGTTTCTTTGGTGCTTGATACATGAATTGTCTTTACGAGTTTGTCTTCTGGAGGGTGTAAGAATATTTATTTTAAAATAATTTATTCATCTTTTTTGGATTTAACTTGAAAGTATCTGGAATGAGTAGCAAATTTTCAATGTTATATTTGTAGAAGTGTGGCTTTTAGTGTGTAAATGCATAGTTGTCGTATTATCCGAGTCAATTTTGAAGAGACTCATTGTGATATGCTGTATCCGAAGATAAGATTAAAATCATCTGTAGCAGCTTCTACATTATAATTTTTGCTGCAAAATGTTGATGTGTTCACTGGACTGTATGTTTAACCTGCTGGTACACCAATCATTTAGTGCTTTCAAGGGATTTACTGAAACTCTGTTGGATGGCAGGAGGTATGCTTTTGTGTTCTCTGAATGTGACCAAGTTTAGAAAAAGACCTACTCCTCTCATATTTCAGTCTGAAAATATTGTGTGGTGGGGAATGTGAAAAATGCTGCGGTAAACTTAATGAAGAGTGTTCCAATGTTCCAGTGCTCTATGATTTAAACATCATTGAAATGAATCTAGCATTGGTACTTCTTGTGGTCAGCGAAGATTTCGGCACTGTTTACTCCCTTATTGGCATTAATATATTACCACCTCATTCTTTCCATCACCAACAGTTTCCTTGATTCTGAAAGTTGTGTGGCACAACTCATGAAATGAGGATCAAAATAAGCGTGTTGGTTCTCAAGTAAGCCATATAGAACAGAGTTTCAGTGAGTTTCTTTAGTAAACTAGACTTGGTTGTTGAAGAGTTATAACTGAGTATCTTTTTACTGGAGGGTCAAGTTAATGTTTAGGTGAAAAACCAAAGTATTTATGGTCATGTTCTAGAGTGCCTCAAGGAAGTTGTACAGATGTTTAATGACTAGAGTCGCGGTCCTTTGTTTCTTAGGCAACCTTTACTGTCCGAATTTGCATCGTGTACTTTTTTTCTGCATCTTAATAGTTTTTAGTTTGTCTTACATTTCCCTGTTGGATGATTGAGTAGACAAAAGTCACTAAAATAGGTTATCTGTTTCTGCTGCTTTATTCCATCGGGCAGGCAGTCTTGAGGGTTGTTTTTGAAGTTCTACAAGGTTTCAGCCTTTCAGGTGTTGATATTGTTAATCTAAAATCAGTAGTTCTGTACTTATTACAGACGAAAATTGATAGGAACATGAAAGCGCGGTATCCATCGGATTAAAAAAATGGTGGGACGAAATGTAATTCTTCTCGCCGACCAACATAGCTTGGAAGGATCGAAAGTAGAAATATGCAATACAATTATTTTCTGGGATTTTGAGCGGCTACTAGGGCGAATGACCTGATATTAAAAGATCGAGAGAGAATCTGGTGTCGATTCGTGGCTAGGCGTCCCATAAAAATTTATGAGATGGAGAAAGTATGCAGTAACTATTTTTGTACTCCAAAATAATTTCATTTGGTTTGATCTGCCCTAACAAAAAGCCCAAAAAAAGATATACGCGCAAATGATTGAAAAAAAGAAAAAAAAAAAAAAACAAGAGTGGTTTCCTTAATCTTAATGTTGCAAGGAAAATTAAGTTGAGCTACTAGTCAACCAACCTTACAGAGTTATAATAGGGGGAAATATTTAATACGTTGTGAATAATCATCATCGGCTTTGGCTTTGGGATTATAAGTAGACCCACCAACTTCCTTGAGTTCCATGGTTGCAGCGTTGAAGCAATATGGAGTTTTGTAGACGGACAGTAGAAGCAGCCCAGAATTGTTGGGATCAAAACATTCGGCAGAGTATTTCAGAATTGTTGTCCCTCCTCCGCTACATATGTTGGGATTGTTTGAAGCCATCAATTCGAAACTCACCCGATGCTTAAGGCTCCACTCAGCTGAACCGCCGCTGGTCTTGTTGTAATTCTCCAAAACCCATACCTCTAGATGTTTTGAATCGTGTCTTGCATAATGTACTTTTCCTTGGGATTCACCGTAACAACGGTTGTGACACACGAATTCATCCTCCGAACACGGTGGTGGCTGGATTAGTACTACCACACCACCCTCCTGATCATGGGCCAAAAGGCGACCATCTTCTTCCTCCGTCCAGTAAGTCGCGCCAATCACCATACCGGCCTCATCCTCCGCAAGACTAAATTCCGCAATTGCATCGGATTTCAAACAAACCTTTGTCCACAAATCCGTGTCCGAAGAATACATGTCCAACTCCAGACTTGTCTTGAACTTGGTTGCTTCGTATGACCTGAAGCAAAACTTTAGGCAGGGGAATCGACGACGATGCCGCTTTGCCTGATCTGCTACAGTTGAATGCGGTTGCTGATGAACCGTAGTGATCCCTTTGACGGTCAGAAACGTTTGCGAATGATTCCCTCTCACCGGGGGCCATTGGAAGGTATACCAACTCTCCGCTCACCGGAATGCAAACCATGTACTCATCTACATCTGTGGTTCTAAACAGGAGAACCCCATTTGCGAAACCCACCAGAATGGGGTTCATCGCCAACTCCCAGCGGCGGCGGTAGGAGTTGGGGGCCAACCACCACGGCTGCCGGTCAACCATGGCGGTGAGGAACCCACACTTTCGCTCCATCAGCTCCTTCCCCTTTTCCGAGACGTATACAAAGTCATAAAAGTCCCCGAGAAGGCCCCGTCTCATCATTAAGAAGCCGTATGTTTTCCTCCTCGCAGTCCTGGTTGGATGGAGATTTGCAGGAGACACAATTATTATATTCAAAATTCAACAACCATAAAATGATCAGTGTGATCATATCCCCAATCCAATTCAGTGTTTGACTGAATCTCTCAACAATTTTATTACATCCGGTACCAGAAGACACATATTATACTCCCTCATCCCAGAAAAATAGTCTACGTTGAGTTTCAAATTTATACTAAAATTGGTACAAATCTCAAAACTCAATGTGGACTATTTTTTTGGGACGGAGGTAATACATAGTAACTCACTGTCCCTGCCACAATTTATTTCTAGTTTAACAATGATCGATCAATCATAGTATATGATGGAGATGACTCTTTATTTTTTTTTTCTTTTTTTTTATTCTCAACGAAAAAAGATATTTATATGCATACTAATTACACGTAACTAGTGATTTACTCACAATTGGCTAAATTTTCATCAGGAAATTAATAACTATTTAAATAAAACAGTACTACTTCATGAAAAAAAAAACCCATGAAAATACAGTACGTACATATATACTTTTACAATTTAAAAGTTTAACCATTATTTATTCTTCTATTAAAGTCCCCCCTCTTCCCTCCACCCAAAAAAAATTTTAAAAGCAAAAAAAATAATAAAATAAAAAAAAACAGACCAGACGTTGCAAAATTTAAATCCAAGCCATCCTTTGCCAGAATCTATATGTACACAAACCATTAAATGACAGTTATCGATTATTCTAGTAGGAATTATAATATTTTACAGAGTATTGTTTCTTTTTGAGTTATAGCTGATGAGTAATTCTGTTTTTTTTTTTTTTGAAAAAAATACAAATTTTGATCCACAATTACTAACATCAGGACATATTCAACACAATCGAAACACGCAAATCATGATCCATTCATCATGCAATAGGAAATTATAATACCAATATTGGAGGAGAAAAAGATAAACAGGGGGAGGTACAAATACCGTTCCATGATTGTTGTTGATGAAGCTGAGCAAGCAGCCGCTACCAAATTATCAATTTTACTAATTGGTCTCTTGTACCTCAAAGTCCAAATTTATAACTCCTACTCTCCAAAAGAGCCGCTTTGCCCGTGGAAAACTGGAAATATTTCCATATCTTTTTTATTGGGCTACTCAAGTGGGCTGCCCACACCGATTTCCCTCAATTATTCTTTTGTTCTGGGTTAATTACGTTTTGTCTCCCCCTCTCCCCCCCCCCCCAACACTCTATTACCAAAAGGCAATTTTTTTTTTTTCAAATAAACAATCCATTTATAAAAGAAAGTGTTAAATGGCTTGATTAAGTTGAAGGCACGCTCTAGCTAGTTTATTCTAACTTTCAACTATTTCTCTAGTGACTTTCAAGACACTACAAGTATTAAACCTATTAATAAGACCCCTTAGTTCTTCTACCCACGGAAGCAAGTTGATGTGACAAGTCTTCTTTTGCATGATGTAATTTGCCATATTCAGACTGTCTATCTGTATTTGACAGTCTTCAAGACCCATGGAGATCGCCGCCTGAAGTCCCAGCACACAAGGTCGCCCTTTCACATCTTCTGTTGATGATGCATAGAATGCTTTCATATCTGAAGCGATATATTTACCTTGGTTTGAGATGATCTCCCAAGCTCCAATACCACGGAGGAGATGTTCCAAAAAGGCCCCATCTGTCCGGATATAATATTGGCCCCTCATTTGTTCGACGATAGTAACTGTGTCGTTTGGCTTATCAACTGATCGGGGAACTCTTAGGTCATGCGGCTGAGTTATCTTATTGAAGACATTCCAAAAGGCAAATTTTAATATGTGCCAGGATTTTGTTGTTGGATGACGATGGTAAGGAGGATAATGTGATAAATTTGTTATCAGTATATCGCGGGCATGAGAAAGTTTGTGCAATAGAGGATTGCAATGGAAAGAGAGAAATGTCGTAAAATTTGCCTTTTGACTTAACAAGAATATTTTGGAAAAGAATGATATTTTTTACTCTAGAATCTAATTATTGATATGGTAATATGATCAATCTAAAATTAATATTTTCCATGCATCATTAAATACTTCTATTTTAAATTATCATGTCACCTCATCCAAAGGATCAACGCAACTTAAATGCATAATAAAAAATTACCACATTATCAAAAACCCTAGTAGCCGTCCTTTTCTTTCTCAACCCAACTTCAAAAGAATAATTATTACCCATATTCTCATTGGAGGAAATAATCTTGTTTGATCGTCGTTTCTCCTTTTTATTTTCTTTCGTCCAATAAGTGGTGTAATTCCTACAAAATTTTCGAGTTTTAGTCCTTCAATTGATTATTTGAATAATCTATTGAGAGAGTAGGATTCTTTTATTTCTAGTGTTCTTTCAGTGAATTGCTCTACTAAGAAATAGGTTCGAGAATTGCAGTGTTCGTAGCAGCGTTGAAGATGTTCACGACAAATGAGTCACCATATATCTATTTTTTAGATAAGTGGTTTGGAGTTCTCACCAGAGTTGTAGAGATCTACGTATTCGATATCAGGTTTATAATCTAATAGGTGATAAGTCTGTCAATTACATAGATAGATCTGTATACGATTATCTAGTAAATACAACAAAAAAGTATTTTGTAAATTGTGTTTAACTATTTCTTTGTATTATCAATTGTAAGTCATGCCTAGCCCTTTCTTGTTCAAAACTTTATTCGCATAGGAGACTGTAACTCAAAATGATCAATTTGTACGAGAAGGGTTCTGCATCATATCAAATGAAAAGCTTTAGCTGGCATCATAATTATAGCATTACCACATTCCAATGACTTGGTTCTCACTCTCACTAGAGAATGTGGCTATTTTAGCTGAGAACGTCGAGCCTCCGCATTCATTGGTGTGCGTGATCAGTAGCTCTTTTAGGGGAGAGAAGAGGTTATAGTTTGATTGTCAAGCTACTATTAATAAGTAGTGTCAAAACACATCCATTTTAATCTTCAGTTTCTTCCTATTAAATAGGAGTTGTCGCGATAGCGTAGACTCGTCTGGTTGCGGAGTACTAGCGTTACATGTACCACGGTGATGGGTGAGTTGAAATCACCTGGTTGTATTTCTTCAGCTGTTGAAGTTGGACTCTTAGTGGAATTCCATCAACGGAGCATATAAGACATTTTTCTCCTATTAAAGGGCTGGGTAGGATGGTTAAACAAAAAAGAGTTGAGAAAAAGACTCAAGTCACACCTATACGGCAGTATTTAGTTTCAGAAGTATCGGCTCTGGTCAGGGTCTGATTTAGTCGGCGGCTACAGCGATCATTGTGAAATGAAGTTAAAAGTGCATATTATCCTTAGGTTGCTCCATTGAAAGATCATATACGGCAATATCTCTTTTCACAAAGAGATGTGAAGCACTACGGGCAGACATTATGCAATGGACAAATAAGCTATCAAACATCCTATACAGATAATACATTCAACCTGGTGAAACAACTACATTCTCACGTAGGATAGCAAGTTTGTCAATGATGTTTGCTGCAAAATATTTGGTTTGTAAGAGAATTCTAAGATAGGCAGAACCACAGGAAAACAACTACATTGTTATTAGCAAACCACCAAAACAGTGCAGAAGATACAAATGTACCAAACATAACATAACAGCTCCTTTAGGTGGAAACCATTTCTCCAGAAACAACAACACGCTCATTGACCAAAGTTCTACATGAACATCCATAAGACTGGTTAAAAGTTACTGCAACCAGGGAAAAGAGGGGTTGGGGAAGGTTTATATATACCACAACTTGAACAGCCAAAAATTAAACAGTGCAGGGGGGTCGCTTCCTATTAGCTGGCTGTCTTATTTCTTCCCTCGAAGTTTCACACCAAGTGCTCTCTCAAGTTTAGATATGATCTGCTGATTTGGGATCGCCTTCCCTGATTCGTACTCCTGAATGACTTGTGGCTTCTCATTTATCAGCTGCATCAAAATAAAGAACAAGTGAGTTTACTCTCTCAAAGCAATCACGTAAAAACCAATCAGTTATTTCCGGAGACATTAATCACATTCTAATGATGCACATGAATGAAAGTGAATGAGAAAAGATACCTGAGCCACTTGAGCCTGTGTCAGCTTCTTATCTTGTCGAGCTTGCATGATAGCTTTCTTCAATTCAGTGGGAACCTTCTGATCTGCAACATTATAAGCATGGAAAGTTTTATCACGATGGGATAGCCTTCAGAAAGAACTCATCAATGAACAACTCCAGAATACCAAAAAATCTTATACAACAGTTTCTAACTCCAACATTAGGCTTCAATATCCAGAATAACTTTCAGAACAGATATTGCAAAGAGTAACAGTCATGCGACGTAGCCATCTTAGAAATCACAACACCCCATACCCCTCCCCAAGCCAGAATCAGTTCCCAACATAAATTACAATGAATTGAGTTATACTATAAAAAAAAAGGAATTCAACTCAAACTATTCAAAAGACTTTTCTATTAGCCAAAGTTCACTCCAAATTACTGGAAACAATTAAGGTTGACCATGCTTGTACGGTAAAGTGCAAACAGAAAAATTTCATATGGAATCACAACAGAACTTCAACAGATAAACATAACATCCAAGTAAAGGTATTAAGAATTTAAGATTCACGTACGAGCCAAGTTCTCGGTATCTTCGTCAAGTTTCCTGGTGTTCAATGTTGTACTGCTTGAGGCCGCCTTGTTTGTGCCAGCAGTAGCTGCAAATTGAAGTCAAGTACATCAGCTACACTCTCGAACAAACAAATCTCTGACCATCCATACAGCTAACTAATACTATGAAAATAATCCCGGAGCCCTCATCCCAGAAAAGGGAAATTTTCAGAAGACCCCAATTTCAAGACAACAAACTTCAGAAGCACAATTATTCATTCAGTCTAGAGGCCACGACTTCGAATTACAAAATAAAACATCGGTCATCCAAAGTTATGAAACACCCGTAGAACCCTAAGGAAGCAATCGAGCATTTCACAGAGAAAAACGAGGATAAAATCGTACAAAATCATAACCCTCGACGAAATGAGATGACGTGGGTACACATATCATCGACAGAAATTTAGGAAATAAAAACGAACAATTCCGAACTAGAAGCCTTCGTGATTGAAATTTTTACCTTTCCTGATGGTTTCAATCTCGGCGCCGCTGCGACGGGCGGCGTTGACGGCTTTTTCATCCTTACGAGCAGCGGCGGTGGGGGCCTTCTTACGGATCACCACGGGTTCCCAATCCTGAGTGATTCCGGCCATCTTCGCTTTGGATTTCTGCCTAAAGTTCTCCGATAAGGGGTATAGAGAGATTGTGATTTGTGAGTCAGCTAGTGCGTGTTTTGGGTGTTGTGCGTGAAAGTTCCTTGAGGAGGCGGATAATTATTCCCGTTTGGGCTTTTATAAAGAGTTGGATATTTTTCTAGTAGGGCGTTTGGTGACTCGGGTTTCTTTTCAGCACTACTTTGTTTGGGAAATAAAATTCCTATAATAGTTCCCAAAATAAAATTCCCAATATCCACTTTTTTTTAAAGAAAAAAAAAAGAAGAGAAAGTTCATTCCTTTGTTGGAATGATTTAAAGAAATAGTCTAAAATACAACTTACAAGTTACAATATATTGATAACTTATACAGATTTACTTGAATTAACGATTGACAACTTATGTATTAGAATTTAGATTCGATTAAAGATACACCACTAATTATCAAATAAAAATCTAATAAATAGATTTACAACGATTGATTCTTCTTGGATAGTGCACAACGAACCCACAAGTATCACCAACGATGCAAACACTCTGCCATCAACTAGTGATTAAAATTAATTTATCCTCTCAATAGGTCAATCAATCTGTTGAAGAAATTTTTGCGGTTAATCCCTTTATTGATAACAAAAAGAAAAACAACAATAAAATGATAAAATTAAGGTAAAAACAACTTATCTACTATATCTCAAAATTATTGTCCAGTTTGAATTTTTATTTTTCAGTTTAAGTGATTCCCAAAGTCTATTTATTACTATTTCATCATTTATATAACATTTGCAACAACTTAATTGTTCATTTTTTTTAATAAAAAAAAAACACTAACCATTACCGTAATGACTGCGAAATAAACTCATTTAATCTAACTTAATTGTTGGGGCCTAAGATTCTTGGTATAAAAACAAATTAAGAAAAATTATTAACAAAAGGCCAAGTTAAAGCCAAACAAGAAAATAGAAGAAAAGAAATAAATAATATTCCTTCTATCAGAAAACACCATCCACCTTGTAATCTATGAATTTTGCTTAAAAATAAAATATTTTTTTTAAGGTGACAAAGGGAATACTTAAGAACAAAATACCACGAGTCTAATTTCTTTAAACAAATATTTACTAACGAAGTTACTTTAAATTTATCGTTATATTTAATTTCATTATTACTAGCCTGATAATATAGCATAAGAGTCCCTTTAGAGTAATAAGCCCGGTCTCATTTCAAATTCAATAAAATTATTATAATGATTTAAAGGTGCTAATAAAGAAGAGTTTACAAAACTGATTGCATAGCTTTTTCCACATGTACTCCCAAATCAAACAATCCAATGACGGTATATAAAACTAACTAATAATTGCAATTATAATCCAAAAATAACCATTATTATTTTGTTCTGAATGGACCTTATATAGTCGCAATATTGGCAAAATGAACAATAAGTTGCTTTATCCAACCATATTCGCAACAACATTTTCCTCCAACGTTGATGAAACATCAACGACGTTTTTCATGTAGTTATGAACTTGTGAAAAATGTAGCAACTGATTAACGTGATCCAATTCCATCTTGCAAAGCTGAATTTGTTTTTCAAGTCCAACAATGATTCGATGGCAGCCACCAACAGGGTCATTGGCTCGTATATTTGCTTCGATGATCATACATTTGATCGTGTTTTCCCTTTCGCGATTTGTTTTCGTATTATTCTTAACCACCTTCAAGACCTTCTTCAGACCAAAGAATCGGTGAACATTGGAAAACGGCTTCTTGGCGTCCGCCGGAAAATGTCGGGCTAACGGGCAATCGGGACGGCATCTCCGGCGTTGGTATTTGCATGCAGCGCAAGCTGTTGCATCGCTTCTGCTGCTGCTGCTGTTATTGCTTGTATCTTTCGCAGCTTTTGTGGTACGTTTAGGAGAACTGGTTTTGTTGAGGGATGGTATTTGCATTCTTTATTCTACTACTACTACTACTACTTTGTATCATGAATGTAAATAATTGTCTAGTACATTTATAGAGATGGTTAAAACTTAAAAAGTGTTTAGATAATTGAAGTTTTAGTGTTTGAGATATCAGAAAATTTATCTTAACCCTCACGATATTTGTCCACGTTCATGCATGTGTTAATCGGATAATACCGTTGTGGAATTGATAAGTGTTTTTTGTAACTGCAATTTTCAATCCTATTGCAATACTCCCTCCGGTCCGCATTTTGACTTCGTCTTAGGTTTCACCTACGATGTCTTTTTAATTGAAATAAAAACCTTTAAAACATTTCATAATAATTAGAAGAATACAACGAATGTGAAAATATATCTTTAAGTTTTTTTTTTCCAATTAAAAAGACATCCTAGGTTAAACCTAGGACGAAATCAAAATGCCTTATAATAAGGACCAGAGAGAGTAGTAAACTTGTTTTGCATAATTTTAAGTTGGTCAGTTGATTATTTTGAGATATATAAATCGGGATATGAAGTGCTAATATCTTTCAAAATCACGTTTACATTAGCTTATTGGGTTTAAGTTTTAAGTTATAACCCAAAGGCCAAAGCCAGTTAAAACTTAAAAACAATAATAAAAATGAATTAGGAGCTTTATTGCCTTCCTCAACCTACTTGAAGATGATTTCATGAGAGATTGGATGCATTACAAATTCGAGCAGTAAGCTAGTCGGCATTCTACAAAAAAAAAAAAATTACTCAAAATATCAAACATGCAACTTAAAATCATAATCACTCTATTACGTAATCGGAGTAACACATAAAAACTATACAAATATAAGCAAGTGCAAGTCCGTATCTCGAAATATATATTTCAAACAAAAAAAAAAAAACAAAAACAAAAGAAATGCATTTTTTAAGCCTCCGTAGCCCCTAAACAGCAGTCAAAATTCAACTATATGGCTCGGCCATTGGTACAAGAAGAACTGATTCAAAGGCCCGAAGCTATAAACTCGTCCTCTTATTTGCCTGCTTACAAAATCATAGCAAAACGTCTTGACCCCCAATTTCATGAAAACCAATCCAGAATTCTCAGGGTAAAAACTCAAAACCTCAGGCCCCAACCACATTCCACTCCTCCAATCAACCTCAATCCCAAGCCATTCCATGATACCTCCTGGAAAACTCAACCTCACCCGATGTTTCATCATCCAACAATCTCTCCTCTTGTAATCTTCCAGAACCCATATCTCGAAATCATCCAAATCCCTTCTAGCACAATGCAGTTTGCCCTCAGCCTGACCAAAGAAGCCAGCCTGATTTTCTACATGATTTTGCCGAGGCGGCGCAGGAATGACTATTGCGCGCTTAGGCAGCTTTGCATTGCAATCATAAGCCAACAAAGCGGTGTCATAACCGTAGGGACTGTGGAATGTGGCAGTCCAGAAGATTACTCCCTGGATCGTGAAAGGCGGGACGTGTTTTTCCAGGTTCCAGGGAAACCTGGAATCCACAAACAGGGTACCCTGTTTCCATTTGTTCACAGATGAGCAAAAATATTCAACAACTAAACATGGCATGGGATTTTGTGCCTGGGATACTAGAAAAACTTGATGATGAACATCATCCAAGGATAATGATGATGAAGCATTGGATTCTTCTGAAAGGAGGATGATCGGGGCAGAGTAGCAATCAGCCCGGGGATTGGGGATGTACCGGAATTGACCCGTGGCTGGATTGCAAATGAGGCATTGATCATCCATGTACTGCATTGTGGGATTGTTTCTGCGGCACAGGAGGAAACCATTGGAAGAAGCTACGATTTCGAATTGGTGATTGGCCAAGAAGCTTAAGGTTTTCCTGAGATTACCCCAAGTTCCCTCGGCAAGCTTCTTTCCTTTATTCGATGTATATATGAAGAAAGGAGGCTCTGGCCGTGGATTAATGAAACCTGGGTTGAGATTGTGCTTTGGATTTACAAAGAATCCTAATGCAGTATATTGTTGTCTTCTTCTTCTGCAACAATTTTTTGACCTACGAATTTTTAATCAAAAAAAGCAATACAGAATCAACTATCATCAGCCTATGACTAACGTTTGAAGAACTTAACTATTCAATACAGAAAGGATTTGATGAGAATTTTGATTAAATGGAAATACCAAAACGTCGGAAAAAGCTCCAAAAGAGTGCAGACTAAGTACGATAGTTATCATGGAACTGAACTAAAAATAAAGAGCTTACACAATTTCAACCTCTGATTTTGGTTCTGTGGTTATTTCCTCAATGATCATCTTCTTCTACAAACAGCAGAACAGAACAGGCTTCAATGTCTTGTTTCTAGGGTTTCAAGAACTAATTTTGTTTGCTTAAAAAGATCAGCTATATTGTTCAATTATTAAAGTTAAGTTAGTAAATCGCTAATAGCAGGGGTACTAATTAAGGCAGGGAAATAAAGAATATGATAATTTCCTTAAAAAGATCCGAATATCGAGAAAGCAGTCCATAATTGTGGTAATTGAAACTTCCCATAAATAGGGGAGGTGGATGCAGATCCGAACGCGGTGGAGAGGATGAACAAAGATATGTGCGTGATGCCACGGAAGATGAGGCTGCTCAATTTGTTGTTTAAGTCATCATGGGTCTTTGTTATGTCACATTCTTAAGTTGGAGGCAATCTGATTTTGCTGATTTTTTTGGTTCCTCGTTGATGTGAAAGCTTATACCAACTCAGAGAAAGGAAATTAAGATTGAAGCTGTAGTTTTGTGGGGAATATCTTGTTGATTTTGCTCTGGTTTGTTGCTCCTCCAACACCTTTTGGATTCTTTTTCTTCTTGAATTGATTGAGCTATATGCAAGTCTTTGTTACCCTGGGAGCTCTTGAATCATAAAGTTTCAATCTTTTTCAACTCTTTGTTAAATCATAAGGTTTAAATCTTTTTAATTCTAACTTGTTGATATAATATTTTTGTTTACTGATTCTCCTGATTCTCTTTGAAATGAACTGTTTACTTGACAACTTATCATAAATTTCTGAATCTTTTTTCCCTTTTGAATTTGCTCCGTTCTATTGTTTTTGTTGTTTTCAATATTTCTAAATCTTTTTCCCCTTTTGAATTTGCTCGTTCTATTTCTTTTTCTTTTTTTTGCTGTTCTTTCGACAAAGTTCAACATGTTATATGAATTTTCTAGGTTACTTGCGATTTGATGCTTTGCTGAGGTATTTGTGTATGTGATGGATCTTTCTTCTGAATTTCTTCAATTAGTTTTTTTTTTTTTTGTTGGTCGTTAATTCAAAGGTAACAACACATTTTAAACAGTGTGCAACGAAGCAGCACATACGTGATGATCGAATTAGTCAGCTTCCAAATGAGATCCTTTGTTGCATCTTATCTTTCTAGACTCTCAAAGAAACAAGCAGGACAAGTGTTTTGTCCAAAATTTCATCCATGTAAATTATTAGTTGTTAATGTCAAAATTTCATCCAATTCGTTATTTTATTTCTTTTTGGTCGTTATCTCATAGGTAATACCTGAAGATCGAATTAGTCAGCTTCCGGATGAGATCCTCTGTTGCATCTTATCTGTCTTGACTCTGAAAGAAGCAGGCAGAACAAGTGTTTTGCCCAAAAGATGGAAGAATGTGTGGACTTATATTCCAGAGCTTGATTTTAGTGCAGTAAATACTTTATGCAGCAATGTAGAAGCAACCGTGGAGTACATGGACAGACTCGCGAGAGAAAGGGTCAAGTTTGTGAACTGGGTAAACAAGGTGCTAGAGTCTTGTGAGACCTTGGAGTTGAATAAGTTCAAAATCACTTGTGATATGGATTATTCTTCCCAGGTGGATATAAGTAAGTGGCTTCAATATGCCCTTGACAGGAGAGTTCAACGGCTGGAGCAGAACCTGTTTCGTCGTGGCCCACGTATTCTTACACGCATTGGTAATTATAATTTTCCGGCTGCATCTTTTGCTCACAGAAGTTTCAAGTCTCTTAAAGTACTGGTTTTGAAATTGGTTGATGTCTCTGGGGACGATCTTCAGTTTTTTTAAAAAAAACTGCGAGTTCCTTGAAAGTTTGTTAGTGCATCAATCTTCTAAGGTATTAGCTTTGGAAGTTTGTAATCCATCTCTTGCATTGCGGAACCTTGAAATTTGCTCATGTCCCATAAAAACTGTCATCGTGTGCAATGCTAATCTTGTCACACTTAATACTTTAGCACCGGGTGGCGTAGTGCTTGATAATGTTCCCCAGCTTGTTCATCTTAGCTTAACCAGTTGGACTTACTTTGTTGAGATTCTGGTTCGCCAGCTTTCTTGCTGTTTTTCAAAACTGGAGGTTCTTTCCTTGCATCTGGATACCGAGAGGATTAGAGAGGTATGCATCTTGCTCAGTGTGCCATAGGGAATTTGGAATAATTTTCCCTGCTGCCTAGTTTTACAACTTCTGAGTTGCGTTTAAATATTTTGGCATATCTTAGTTTGAACTAATTTTTTGGTTTTGTCGTCCCAGTATGACGGAAAACTTCCCCAGCTGTCTGCTCTGAAGCAGTTATTTATAGAACTTTGGGTAGGTAGTGGAGAGGGCATGTGTGGAGTTGCTTCCTTCTTTGGGGCATCACCAAAGCTGGAGAAGTTCGTAATAAAGGTAGTAGATTTATTTTGCACTAAGTATGTTCCTTTTCTATTTTTACACCTTTGAGATTAGTTATTCTTTAAAACGTTGATGTGGGAGACTGATTTCATCCAGGGTCAGGGAAAAAGTAAAAAATGGATTTTGTTTCAGTAGTGGTTAGTAATGTTATGAAGTTTAAAATTAAGTATGGATTTGGCTTAGCTAAAGTTTTGATAATCAAACTCAACTTGTGATCTAATAAGACTACTTGAATTGAATCAAACTCGAGCGGGGCTCGAGGCTTTGGTTTAGGAGCTGGCAAGCATCTCCAGGTCAACCTGGTTTACAGCCCTACTTTTGCTCTATACTTTTTATCCCATATCTTTTTGCTTTTAATTTTCTGGTACAACCATTGAAGTAAACTGGTTTGTCATGTTGGGTAGTAATTGAGCATGTTGGTGTTTTTGCAGATGAATTACCATTGTCATAAAGTTATAGACCCCAGTATGAAGTCAGAGAATGTTGTAAATTATTGTGTCCAACATCTCAGTGTGGTTGAGATATCCGGATATCGTGGCTATCCATATGAATTGAATATTGTGAAGTACGTACTTGAGAATGCAGTTTCCCTCGAAGAATTAATCGTTGACCCACGTTTTGTGTATGAGCTATATGATGGGGAGCCATGGAGCAAAACTCTTCGGGTTCGCACTCAAGAAGCCAAGATAACCAATGACAGCAGAAGGTGTGCTAATCAGCAACTCTTGGGAGTAGTGCCTTCACATGTGAGATTAGTGATACTCTAGCGCTACAGGCGATCTGGTCGGTTGGTCTTAGCTGTGATACTCTAGCTATGATAGGCGCGCATGTAATGTGATGATAAGCTGTGTTTTTAATTTTAATGTTATTGCCAGTGGAACATCTTTTCTAGTTTTCTTGTGATACATATTATCGAGCTCGAGTTTGTGGACATTTTTCATGTGTTCCGTCTGGGTTGCAGTTTGAGTGAGTTTCCGACATTTCTTACAAGTCAAATGAGCTCGAGCAAGTCAGGCGTAAGGCGTTTACATATATCATGGAACCCAGTGGCTTAATTTACAAAACGTCCCCAGAAGGTTGGGATGCCAATGCTCTATCTTTATTTAGCTTCTTTTTAATTTTTATGGAGGCAAAGACAAAATGTGTTCCTCAATTAGACAAGAGAGAGGTCAAATTTCGCTAAGATATCGATGACTGTATTGTTCCATTGTCCTGCATGCTCTATGCAAATTTGCAGTCCCTTGTAGAAATTTGCCGATTCAGACCGAGTAGCATCTCAATTTTAAGAAAGACGAACGAGGAGTCCTCATCCGCCAAAAACTCAAATGTCTTGAGAGTGTACGGCCATAGGGTGTCAATTTCCGACACAACAACATAATTTACAGAGACAATTCAACATGATTGACACGATTTAATTTTTTATTATATTTTTTCTCTAAAAAATCTTATTAATCACATGAAATATATAATATAAAATTGATCCGGTAACTCGAATCCACATCCCCATCATACGGATTTTATTTCGGATTTACTTTCCAGCATTTTGGACGGATGGGTTGGTGGATGGAATTGGGCTTATATGGAGCAACGTTTATGTTGGGTTTGGATGCTGTTGAATGGGTAAGGGGGCAAGCTGACCCAATCATAAGGCAAATGGCTGAGAGAGGGGACCACACCTTTTTATCGATTGATAGTTGAGACAATTTGTTTGAGTTTTAAGCGTGGTCTTCCTCGTTATAAGCAATGAAATACATTTCCGTCTCGCTGAGTTGTATGATACAAGTATAGAAAATACCAAATGGTTTAGAAAAATCCGCACCAAAGTACATGACCGAAACAAAGTTCCAATGCACTTTTGATAATTAGGTCTCTTCTTTTCTGTTTTTTTGGTTTGAGAATAATTAAAAGGTGGAAAATGTTTAACGGCATTAGGCCAACCATTTCTCTGTATAGAGAAGAAGAGTTGTCAAACTAATTAAAAGCAGTCCAAAAACAGAGTCAAAATTGCACCAAGAATGAGAAATAAGTAATAATTAGGGTAGGCATTCCATCCTTAAAAGAAGCACAAACATGAAGACACATGATAAAGGCAATGTGTTCAAAATGAACAAGAGCAGTAGTAGATCTAGTACTGAATCTGAATATACTAAGATAGATAGAATGGCTGGCTAGCTAGCTGTCACCAGTACTAACACATAACTTAAAAAAAGGATCATCCCGCAAAATCATCCAAATCCCATGTCTTCAACTCCTGATCTACCACATAACATAGTAAAGCGAAACTAATTAAGACCAACAGGCAACAAAACACCACCGGCAACAAATCTGACAATTAAGAAAAAAAATAATGAAATGAAAATATGCAAAAGGAAAAAAAAAATGAAAATGAAATGCATAAGATATTGTACAACAAGGGTATTAAGTGAAATTAATTAAAAAGGGGAGGGTGGGAGAAACTAACCAAAAGAGATGAAACTTGTTCAGAGTGATGAACTGCATCATTTCGGCAAGCTCCTCACTAGGCAGATCAACTCCACAGATGCGAACATCTGGGTTCCAAAGCCACCCACGTTCAACACCCACACCAATCCTAGACCTCAGGTCAACCAGGGCTTGAATTTCCTGCAAGGTTGACACAAACATCTTGGTTTGTGCCAACAGGAGAGATTCAGTTTCGAGGATGGCATCTTCGATGCTGTCTTGTGGTGTTAGGAGCAAGGAATGGCGTAACTCATTCCTCTCTACCAACAAAGACATGTAACGTTCAGCCACTGTTTGGGTAGCCCCTTCTTGGGCCGCTGATGCCCGGACATCCGTAAACCCAATAACGTTCAGTCACTGTAACGTTCAGAAAATCTCACAAGTAATATAAACCACGTAAACCCAATAACATGCTTTTCTTTCTTTTACTTACCAAGGAAAACATATCATCATCACTTCTCTTAATGCTCTCCTCATTCAGCCTAAGATGTGCCGCCATCTTTCCCATTTAATTCATGCCCTTGCTGCTGTATACTAAACCCATAAGGACGTAAGGAAGTGTACAATCCAAAGTGAACGAGAAATGCAACAATAAAGGATATTAATAAACTCAAACTCCGAGGGAAGAAAACAAACTTTTCAACATATTTGTGTATCCTTGTCATCAGAGTTTAGTCTTTTGTGATAGGCCTCAACAAAACACCCCCTCTCATTCTCTGGAATCAGGTCTAAAAAGCTCCCAAGCTGTATACAGAGAATAGGCACACATATGTAACCAAATACAATCGTATAAAATCATTTTCTACATAATAGGTTGTTGGTAGTTCTTGAGATAAACACAAAGTTAAATGAATTAGTTAAACTCCTTACCTGCTCTCATGTACTGCTCAAAGAACCCTTTATGCCATACGGCTAATAACAACTAAAAACATAAGGGAGAATTTCAGTTTAATGGATAAACTTCAGTTTTGTTTTCAAATTAACATCAGTTTTTTTTTACTTACAATATTTATTACAAGAGTAAGCTTCTACCAAAAAAAGTATAAAAGAGTAAGCTTCCATATGCATCAAAGAAAGAGTTAGAAGCTCTGATTATCCGAGAGCTTCAAACCAACAAACAATACTCGATTACTTTCTCTCTGATTCATCTAAGCAACCCAACATTTTGAATGAATTAACACCACCAAAAAGCGGAAGAAGAAACTGATAAATGCTAATGTCTGCCGGATGTACGTAGAGGTAATATTTTGTTTGAAAATCCAAATTCATACAAAAAAAAAAACACCCGCGGGTTTGCTGCAGTACAACAATCGAGAAAAACTAGGTTGAATCGTTAATTCTGACATAAAAAGTAAGCCCAGTTTGAATTTGACTCCAATAAACAAAACCCACAAAAATTCAGAAAGATCCCTACTGAAATAAGACCGATTTGATTAAAAAAAATAAGCATCACAAGAAAGTCTCGATTTATGATGGGAAGCTAACCTAATCCATCAGAAAGGAAGAAAGAGAGGGAAACAAGAAAAATTATAAGGAAAAACGTGCGGCTGCCTTCTTCTTCTTCGACTTCGCCGTCACCAATTTGTTAGGATTACTGGAGTCGCTGGAGATTGTACGGATCAATGAAGGAGAATGAGAGAAGGATAAAGTATGAGATGGGAACGCGAAGAAAGTGGGAAAAAAATTCAATATATAGTAAAAAGCTAATAAAAAAGACCCGTACCCGGATTTTAATTAACAAACCCAGAAAGAACCCGCGGCCGACTCAATTCTACATAATTTTGGAATCCCAAATAATAACTTGAAGCCCGGAATTGAAATCATGGCATTGGAGACCTTTTAGCATTGGACTAATGCCAATTCCATATCTTTTTTTGGCAGCCGAACATCGGATTTGGCATTGGAGGCTCAAATTCCAATTCCAAGCCCCCAATCCAAGCAAACGAATAGAGCCTAAGAGTAAGAGTCTAAACAGATATGTATTTTCGGCGCCAACAAGATCCACCTTCCCAGAGACCACCAGATCTTCTTCAGTGGTCTTGAGCTGTTTCCCTAGAATTTTCACTAATAGTGGTAGACGTTCAAATCCACCACCACCACCACCATCCCCACTCGGAGCTACTGTTGCTCCTCCGCCATGAACCTTGTCGCCATTTACCACCAGCATTTCCACCACCACCACCACCAGAAGTGAACCCCTTTCCTCCACCAGCAAATGAAGCAGTTGAGACACTTCAGTATCAGCAGCACCCGGATCTACAAAAACAGCTGATTGAGAGTCAGCGTGCGCTGCAGGCTCAGATCCAGCTTCAGTGGGAGCAGATTCAGCAGTTTTTTGAAACCAGTGTTACTATCGCCGCCAGATCTGTACTTGTTCTTCCAAATGGCGGTGGTGGTGATGATAGAGGTGGTGTTCCTCCTAATCCACCTCCTCCACCGCTTGACGTTGGGTTAGGCCTTATAAGTGGGGAATTCCACCACCATTTGGAAGAACAAGTGCAGATCCGACGGCGGTAGTAACACTGGTTTCAAAAAACTGCTGAATCTGCTCCCACTGAAACTAGATCTGAGCTTCCAGCGCACGTTGACTCTCAATCAGCTGTTTTTGTAGATCCAGGTGTTGCTGATACTGAAGTGTCTCAACTGCTTCATTTACTGGTGGAGGAAAGGGGTTCACTTCTGGTGGTGGTGGTGGAAATGCTGGTGGTAAATGGCGACAAGGTTCGTGAGGCGGAGGAGCAACACCAGCTCCGGGTGGGGGTGGTGGTGATGGATTTGAACGTCTACCATTACTAGTGAAAATTCTAGGGAAACAACCCAAGACCACTGAAGAAGATCTGGTGGTCTCTGGGGAAGGTGGATTTCGCCGGAAAGACGTATCCGTTTAGGCTCTTACTCTTAGTGTTTTCGGTTTCGTTCATTTATTATGTTTTGGGAAAGGCCTGGCCGATAGGTGGGAGTTGCTGTCTGCGACCTAAACCCTAAGGGTAACTTTGGTACTACTTTTTGTTCTTAATTTAAGGCGTTTTTATTTGTCTTAGTTTTGATCTAATATGTAATTTTAATTGGAACACAATGAACGTAAAAATATATTTTTAAGATTTTTTTTCTTCAATAAAAAAATGCATACTAGATAAAACTTAACACAAAATTAGAATACTTTATATTAAGGACCGGAAGGAATATTACATTTTCATAAACCACCTCGGTTTGTCGATGAACCGGAATTTTTCAATTTTTTATTTTTTTTTTATAAATAAGAGACAATTATACTAAAACACATATCAAAACAATACAAATTAGGATTGAATCCTCAAGCTCGTGACTGAACCTAAAACTCAAGTTAGGGCAGATTTAGGGTTCAAATCCTAAAAACACACAAATACAATAATACTTAACAAGGTGCTTGCCCTGGGCGAATGCCCGGAGTGTCGCCTGTATTTTTAAATTGATTTAAATAAAAAATACGAATCATTCTTAAAATAATAAAAAAAATTAGAAGAATAAAAAATCAATTTAAAGGACAGAAAGTGAGTTATTACACATAAATCTATCCCCAGATTTACAACATTTAATTTATAACAGTAAACTTATGCCCGAATTTATATAAATCATAGACCAATATCTACAACAGAAGAATAAAAAAAACATCCTTAAAAAATCAAATTTCTTTAATGACAGCTTATTTTTTTTCTGTTGTAGAAAGAGATGATTGATAATTGATGCCAGATTTTAAGTAATTGATTTAAAGGTCCGGGTGAGAGAGAAGCGGAATGAAAGAGATTCTTTGAAATTGGGTATTAGGAAGATATTACTGGTGTTTCACTTGATTTAAGGGGATTTCCTTGTATTTGATTTTATCAAATAAATAGTGTTGTTTTAAGGGATTATTATATACTTATAATTAAGATATTTTATGCAGCTATAATTAAGGGATTTATGCATTTATCTATTCTATTTTTTTTTCTGATTAGTTAGAGTGCCACGTATCAAAAATAATTTTATACTGAAAATGGCTTTTGACGAGAAAATTTTCATTGTAGTGTTGACACATGTTTTTTTTGTTTGCTGCTTTAATTAAGTACTATAGATTATAATGATACTATAAGTCTCACCAGCTTAACTCTCTCTAACAATTTCCCATACAATGAAGCCGAATGAACCGAAATCTCAGTCATGCCTGCTATATATGTGTGTATGTGTTCCATCCCATGCATTTAAAATGGACAATAGTCTTATTCTAATGCGTTTGTTTTCTTGACAATATATATATATATATATATATATATATATATATATAGACACACACAGATATATTTTTCATGAGCACTACGTTTCTTAATTATATTGATTATAATTGTAATTTTCTATGTCACTTCAGGGAGTAGAAACCGAAAAGCACAATATTAATTTGACTCCATCTAATCAACTTTATATTCAATGCCTTTCGGAATTCTTTCAAATCCCCTTTAAGGGATCTCACTGGTTCATTATTGCCTTATACTAGCTGCCATATGATTCCTGTCTGAATTCATGCGGCAACCAAATGTGTTTTTTTTTTTCCCCTGGCTTTTGTTGCTATGTATTTGATGAATAGGTTTAAAGTAGGTATTAGATGATGTGATTAATAATGAGGAATTTTGTGGATTGAACTTGATTTCCTCCCTCGTGAACTGAACATCACTCTGACATAGGCTACTCCTCTTTGATTAACCAACCCATGAGGCTATGAATGACTCAACAATTGAGGTGTAATTTGCTCTCTGTAGATTAAAGCCTCAAAATAGTTTTCCCGAGTATAATAGCACTACCCCTTTTGAGGGGATTGATTGAATCTTTTTCTTTTTCTTTGTTCTGACTTGTATTGATTCCTGAGAAACTTATTGGTATTAGTATTTTGTTTTTCGGATGCAACTGATTTGATTTGTTAATCAATTAGTCTTAATACATGGTAATTCAAGATTCATTTTTTATAATAAGTTAATATTAGTACTCAATGGCGCCCAAACAGAAAGTGTTGTCAATACGAATGGTAATAATTATTTAGATATGTGAGAGTACTTAAAAATTTTACCATTGTTGATTTGCATATAAATACTTTATTTCCTTTTTGTAATCACAACACAAAAGTGAGATGAGAAAGATGGATAACAAGTAGTATGATTAAGTTTTTACCACTAAATGAAATGAGTCTATGAAAGCAATTAAATGAGTAGACATATGCGGCCAAATTGCTTAAGGTCCAATCACATTAATTAAAACAAAAGCAGCAATAGATACTATCCAAATCAAATTTAGTAGCGAATGGAACATATATACTGATGGCCGATTCAACCAAGACCAAAATGTAACTAGCTACTAATAACAAAAACTAAAATGTAGCTAAGGATAATTACATAGAGTATTACATATAAGTCTCATGATTAATTATATACTCTCTCTTTCTCAAAATTATTATCTAATTTGAGATTTCACTTTTAGTAAATAATTATTCCTGGTGGGTTGGGTCCAGGAAGGCTCATCATCACGCATAACCAGAAAAATCCCCCAGCTTCGTTTTTGAGTTTTGATCGCCAACGACATCTAGAAAATATGGAATTCAGGCAATTTGGCATTATTATTACATTACGGTAATTGCGTATCCGGAAAATTTGACCGATTTACTCGAAACTTTACGTTTACCGAACTATTTTTTTGGGCAGGAGGGAATATTCTCCTTGCCTATCTCTCAGAATTTCTAATTCATCCCTTCTCCCTGCTTCCTTTCAACCTTGCTGAAATCTATTAAATCTCTCAACATTTTTCTATTAGTGCTAGGAAAACTTAAACCTCACCCCTTCAAGCATAACCCAGTCAACCCGCAATCTGACCAAAGAAACCATCTTGATCATCACTTCTAAGCATTGTAATCACTGAGCCACCTAGTTGAATCAGTACCCAACAGACGGACTGGTTGATATGCGAATGGAGGAGGGGACGAGTTTTCGCCGAGGTTCAAAAGAAACAGGGAAACCGCTTAAAAATTCAGCTATTATTGTTCATTTATTAGAGTTAGTAAATCCCGAATAAACATAGCAGGGTACTAAATATGGCTACCAAATAAAGAATGTTATAATTTCCTTTAAAAGATCCGAGAAAACAGTCCATATTTGGGCTAATTGAAAACTTCCCAAAACATGAAATTGTACGACAGTACAAGCACTACGGATTTCGTTAGAAGTGAAATAAGTCTTCAACACAGAATCAAATCTGCAACCTGGCTTCTGGCGAAGAATTAAAATTTACAATCACTTTTGAGCAGAAATTACGATATTGCCGAGCATCTAACCGTGATATTTTCATCTCCAGTGGGGGCTTCCTTGTCAATTTTCTGGCTTTCAACTCTACCAAGGTTATCCAGAAGGGCATTCTTGAATCTTGCTTGCATCATTTTGCTACAAACAAACAGAAGGTTCCTGGCAGAAACAAGTCACAATTAGTAATCCCACACTATCAATGTTAACAAACGTGGCTATTGATAAGCTACTTTTAAAGTTTTTCTATCACAAAAGATGGGTCCAAAATGAATTTTCCCCTTTAAGCAGTAATTTCATCACATAAAAGAATAAACTTGAAGCTTAGGTCTCCAATGGCCCTCGGCGCCCGGTCAGGTATAGGGGAGAATTGAACCACAAAGAAAATATCCCGCTACAGGCAAAATTCAGCTATATTTTTTTGGAACGCATTGCTAAACAGCAAGATTGCAAAGTAGAAAGAACTGTACAATGCACAAACAAAGAGAAAATACCAAGAAAGACAAAACTGGTCCATCCTTTCCTAAGTGGATGAAGAAAGAAAAATGAGTGATAAATGAGGGAACCCAAACCATCACATCAGGAAAAACGAAATGTAAAACTCCTGCCTAAAATCTGAAAAAGAGGAAAGGGTACACAACCAAGCAAGCTCAAAAAGGGGTCTGCTGAGCAGTTTCTTTGCCGCTACATGTAGACACTGGATTCCTTAGTACTAAGTGCATACGAGTACAACAAAACAAAATCCTAGCATTGTCCCTGAAGTTGCCAATATAACAACTTGCCATGGAGAACCCTTGGAAGCCGTCAAAAGGAAAAATAACTCTTCCAGGAAGCCAATAAAACCTATCTGGTATGAACTCATACCTATATTGGTTATAATGGTAGTCAATCCATAACCCATTAGACATTCCAAGTGCACATTTCTACAGAAAAAGGTTTTTAACTGCTAAGTTCCGGTCTGCATTAAACATATTGTACTTATTCCACAGCCAGACTGAAAACTTTCAAAAAGATAACCACTATCAATGAAACTCTAAAAGGCCGATATGCAGAAACTAACTCACCAGTTGATGATTCAAGGTTGCATCCTCCGCCTCCACCAAGGTCAATGTCAGATCAGAACCGCCTGAAGTTTTGCCTTCTGCAGCTTCACTCCCAGAATTTTCCTATACATATCACTATAGTCAATGAGATTCAGATGCTCTTCAAACAATGTTAACATTTGCTAAGAACACAATACCATATAGCACACCATTCACTACGAAGTTCTAAATATTCACCTCTGAAAGACTCATCAAACATTAGCTGGTAATACACTAACTTTAGAAGCGTCCACTGGAGCTGTCAATTCAACAACTTGCCAGGGAGAACACTCAGAAGCAGTCCAAAGGAAAACAAGACTTCCAGGGAGCTGGCTATTACCTAACTCATAAGACACTCACTCCTAGTCTGGTAACCAAATAGTTTCAGACAAACCATAATCCAATTTTGATGTTCAAGTGCTGTTTCGACAGCAAAAGCCTTTCTAAATGGTAAGTTTACAGATGCTAAAACACATTGTTTGTGATACTGACAACATTTATTATGAAACTATCAGAGATCAATACTCAAAGAGAATCTATCCAGATGATGATTCAACGATTCATCTTCTGTACCACCCACCACCATCATGGCAACTGCCTCATCAAGATCACCTGCCGCTTTGCCTCCTGCATCTTTACTCTCAGAATTTTGCTGAAAATATCACTGAAGTCCATGAGATACATATGTTCCTTAAAACATACATTACATAGAATGCACTAACCAACCAGAAATAATGTGGCTTCACCGCTAATCTCTGAATTTCCACCACTGCAAGAACCCTTTGTTGGCAATACACTTCCAATGCAAGCATGCAGTGGAGCCTCCATACTTTCAAGGGTAATCAAACAGTTCTCAGTTCCTTCATCAACATTTTCCTGTGAGAAATTTTTAAGGAATTCCCTGCATCAAATTAATCTCCAACAGAATCCCACTACACACATTATTTTAGAATAAAACAGGCAATACCCCAGGATTGCACTTCTTGTCACATAACTCCGCCTGACATGGAACAGTAACATCTGCAGAACCTTCACCTTCTTTGCACTCAACAGCGGCAGAACCATCCTCAGCAACTTCATCAACAATAGCCTGCAACATATGAAGAAAAGGCATAGACATAATCTCCACAAGAATCAGGAAGTTTCTTTGAAGACATAAAATACAGGGCCCTAAAATACACCAGCACCTCGCCTTTTACCATATCGCTTGAATTAACTAAGCAGTCTCTACTCTCAAGAGCAGCCAAACTATCCTTACCTAGTTCACCAATATTAGCCTACAAAATTCAAAATTAACTCAAAGCGTGAACCGACCTGCATCACCTAAAAAATGAATGCTGAAGGGAAAAAAAAAAATTTACCAGTGCATCTCCCTCATTCTCAGTGGTTCCAGCATCAGCCAGGGCTGCAGGCTTTTTGTGATTCTCAGCCATCGCAGAGACAATGCTGGACAGATTATTAATGTCCCAACCAAGAACCTTACATATCGCCTGGCCATAGGCCCTATGTGTAATCCTATTCTTAGTTTTAGCAATCGAAATAGAATGCTGCACAAGGGCCACACAACCTTTGTACTTCTTCCCGGCTAACTTTTTTCCTAGCCCGCCACAAACTAAACAAACAAACTCCCCATTTTGATTCTTGTTGTTATAGAATTCATTCAATTCTTTGTTCTCCCCAAAAAGCTTAACAAAAAACCTGTATTCTTCACACTTATCATCATCATCCTCCTCCATGTCATCGTTTTCGTCATCAGAAGAAATCGAAAGGTACTCTTTCGTAAGGCTTAAGGCCTTTGATTGTGCCCTTTTCGCCGCGAGCTTGGCCTCTTCTTCAGAGGACTGCAAGCGGGGTTCTGAATGAACCTTCGGCCAGTCCGAATTCCAGTCACCGCTGCTCGCCGGAGGATCAGTACCGGAAGAAGGATTGCAAGGCCACTCTTTACCCGGACTCTGAGAAAGCAATTGAGTAAGCTTGTCCTTCTTATTGCGTTTTCTTTTGTTTCTTCGATTCTTAAATTGGGTGGGATTTGAGGGATGATGAAGAATGCGAGCTGAGGCGGAATAATTGGAAGAATTGAACTGCTGGTGGTGGTGCGGCGGTGGTGCTGCTCCAAGAGGGCCTCGAGGCCGTGAAGAAGAAGAGTGAAAGTGGTTGGCCCGTCTAGGAGGACCTTGATGCCATAGAGAGTGAAGGTAAATCACTTCATTTCTCAATCTTTCTTCATCATAGACATCCATGGCGAAAAAAACATCAAAATTTCAACAGAAAATTTTCAACAGTATAAGAAGTGGATATTCACTAATTCAGTACTGCAGAAGACCAGACCAGACTGTACCCGAATCGGTTGGACCACCCAACCCAACCGGTTCAAAAGTACACGTGTACTAGTACATTTTCGAAGCTTCAAAACTCGACAACGACGGCGAACCGGGAAACTTAATTGCGAATTTGTTCCCGGGAAGTGGAGCTAAACCCTCCGCCGCCTGGGTTTAATGCCAGTCCTGCCCCTAGCGTTCAACCCGTTCTTATTAGTCCGTTTTAACCCTACCGGCGTAGCTCTATTTCCGTTCGTTTCCTCCAAAATGTCGTCGTCGTCGTCTTCTAAAGCGAAAGTGGTGGTGGAGTATGCCAAATCCGGCCGGTCGACCTGCAAGAAGTGCTCAACCGCCATTGCCGCCAGCAGTTTACGGCTCGGTTTGGTCACGCGAGACTCACGTGGCTACGACACGACCAAATGGCATCACTTGCAGTGTCTTCCTTTGAATTCCAACGCCTTTACTTCTACTAACTCTATCGGAGGATTCTCATCTCTCAAGGTAATTTGGGATTTTCAGTTCCAAAATTTGAATTTTTGTGGCAGATTCTGTTTGTGCTTGTTTCATTTCCGTCGTCAATTTTAAGCTGCAAGAAATGATTAGTTAATGTTGTATAGAGAGCCTATTGTCGCCTGTCTTGCAATTATGCATTGATGGATTCATACTTTTAGCTGGAGGCTGCTATGGATGTCATATGCGTTGTTTCTTTGAACCTTTTTTTCACTGTTGGGAATGCAGAGTAGTGATCAGGAGAAGGTGAAGAAATTGATGGCGGATAGTTCTGAGTCTTCGGGGAAGGTATTTGTAATAATTGCTTGTGTGCATTCGTGCAGTATATAGGAGTAACATATATTTTTCATCTGGTGTTATATTTATGGCTTACTCTCATTGAACAGGTTTTAGATGAAGAGAAAGATTCCAGCAGTGAGAAGAACAACTTGTTGGAGGTATTATTCGTTCCTACCATCCTTCTTTTGCCTGGGGCTCTTGACTATGTGTCTACTCGAGGACTTATGTTTGCTCTCCGTGTGCAATAGGTTGGCCTGGCAGATGATTGTCATGGTAGTGATCTAGGGGAGAGTAAAACAAAGAGGATGAAGGTATGCTAACAAGAACTAAGAAGCTTGATAATTAGTCCTGGCTTTGATATCTGTGCCACCAGTGCTTCTCTCCAGCTGTTTGTGGAATTTCTTGTTTGTTTATTTATTTGTTTTGTTTTTATTCCATCTGGATTTTCTTACAGCTTTCAGTGTCTGCTGAGGGAGACAAGCTGGAGATAGCAATCTCTGCCTCTGACATCAAGGACAAGTATAAGGTGAGATATACTGTGTGTATCTATACGTTCCCTGTTAGGCAGTTGCTTATTTGAGTAAATTTAGATGAAGAACTTCCACGATGGTGGAGGTTATGTGTGGCTCGGTTCAGAGAATACTTGGAAGAAGACTTAACTGAAAATTGAATGTTTCTCATTTTACAATGGTACATCTGCACAGGTTTTAACTGAATAGGATCTTCAGTCAGTTCTCTCTGAAAACTTTGGACTTTACAGCTGGCAGTTCTTGCCACTTTGTACCTGAGTTTGCTATGTATTCATCTGGTTTTGTGACCTGCCTGGTCCTCTCTAAGCCCAACATCTGATCATCTATATGATTATGTTGGAATCCAGGATGCTACGTTGCTACCCCAATGGAAGGCATTTCAAACTCTCATTTTTCTTGAAAAGGTGTGCAGAACTCTGTGGATTACCCTCAATGTAATCGTAAATGGTCTTATAGCAGTGGTTTGTATGTTCTCATTTTTATTGTAAAGTTATTATATTGGTGCAGATGCAGCTATTTTATCTATTATATTTTTATGCCTGGTGCAGCTTTTGTGTATCTATCCTATTTTTATGCCTTTACATAGTTTTAGTATTGATTTGATCCTTATTTAAAAAGAAGCTACTTTGGCTACTGTTTGTCTTTGTGGTGGTGTGGTGTGTGTTGGTGGTTGTGGTGTGTGTGTGTGTGTGTTGGGGGGTTGTTGTTCCAGATTTTGTGAAGTTAAGCATGTTTTGTTGGTGGAAATGTTTATGTTGGTTCCTGGCACTACATTTTACTAGCTGTCACTTGATTTATATTGTCAAAATAATTGTTAGGGTGATGGCCTCCATGCTTCTTCAAAGATTGCTGCATTTGATTTTGATGGATGTCTTGCCAAGACATCGGTGAAAATGTAAGATTTTGTTCTTTTCCTTTTATCCAAGATGACTATGAAACCGAAGCAAAAGAAGAAGGATATTTATTTTTTATTTTTTTTTTTTGAGAAAGGATAATTGTAGTTTTGTTTAGCAAGATTTTTTTATGTTTTTATGTGTAAACATGCTAAGAAGTTGCGATTCTATATAACATTTGAGAAGAAATAAAATTACTTGTGGTTATTTCTTTCAGGGTCGGTGCTGATGCGTGGTCACTTATGCATCCTTCAATTCCAGAGAAGCTGCAAGGCTTATATAATAATGGCTTCAAGCTGGTCTGGTTCTTTTTGTCCTGCCAATTGGCTTAGTTATTGATCTTCAATAAATTAATTGCATGTCCTATCAAAGAGTTTCAATGATTTTGGTTTTCTCCCTTATTGAATGTGTCTTCCTTCGGATCAGGTTATTTTCACCAATGAATCTAATATAGAACGCTGGAAGAATAAGAGACAAGTTGCCATCGACTCAAAACTTGGGAGACTTGAAAGTTTCATAAAGCTTGTAGGCGTCCCAATTCAGGTATTGTTTCAAGTAATGAATCCAATTGTTTTATTCTTTTCTGAAGTGCACTTCTGTTCAGAGCATGAGTTAGCCAGTCTACCCTTGTTTTGATATAAGCAAGTGAGAGACTTATGAGACCAGGATACTTCTAAATTAGAATATTGAACTTTCATCTTCAAAGGGAAGTTCAATCTTGACCAGATTATATGGTTGAGTTTAGATCCTCTAGCAGGAAATGTGATTGATGCTTGTGTACTACTTTAATTTTATAGTGTACTCCCTCCATCCTGAGAAAATAGTCCACTTTGAGTTTTGAAATTTATACAATGTGGAATATTTTTGTTGGACAGAGGGAATATCTTTTTTACGTGGAAGAATCTCTTGCGAATTTTTTAAGGTCCGTCATTTAGACCATTCTCCATGTAGGTTTTTATTGCATGTGGACAAAGCAAAGGTCAACCTGAGGATGCCTATCGAAAACCAAAAACTGGGATGTGGCATGTTATGGAGAAGCACTTCAATTCGGGGCTCAAGATTGACATGGATCAGTTAGTTGTTTAACTGGAACCTCTGCTACACTTTCTTACTTTTTTTCTTTTTGGCCGAGGATGCAGGGTTTATTTTTATTTTTATTTTTGGTGGTGGATTGGCTTTCCATTGGGTTGTACTGATGTCGTAAACTAAGAAAGTGATGATCGCTGTTATATCTGCCATAATTCATTATATGTTTTGCATGCAGTTCCTTCTACGTTGGTGATGCAGCGGGAAGAAAAGATGATCATAGCGATGCTGACATTAAATTTGCAGAGGTATTGGCCACATTCTGATTTCTGAAAATTCCAGCATGATCTATCACATTTTGATCTAGTAGAAACGATATAATGTGTTCTTATGATCCTATTAATCTGAAGTAATTTGCAGTAAACTTTGCATCAAGTGTGTAATTTCATCCTTTTGATTCAGTACGAAACAAGATCCTAAGTTGCTTGAGTATGCACTATATTTACATGGGGTACTAAACTTCAATAACATCAGCTTCTACTGGAAATTTTGTAGTAAAGATGCTGACATTTTGATTTCTTGGCTCATTTTCTGTGTCTATATTTACTTGGGGTACTACTTGGATGTCTCAACTTCAATAACATCAGCTTCTACTGGAAATTTTGCAGTAAAGATGCTGACATTTTGATTTCTTGGCTCATTTTCTGTGTCATCAGGCCATTGGACTGAAATTCTACGTTCCTGAGGAATACTTCAAAAGTTGACATCTCTCAACTTCAAGTGCTGCTGGTGCTGCATTGAAGTTCATTCCGTTAACATATCATTTGAATGTAAATGGTGTTTCCACAACGTTAGTAACCAATTGTAGCCATTGCCCAACCAACATTGTAAATCTTACTATCAGAAAACTAGTTCTTTAACTATTGTAGCCCCGAATTCAGAATTTATTATGAGAAGTACATTTTATATATACTGCAACTCATGTATACCAGAGCATAACTTCAGGCAATCGAGTGACCAGCTGGGCTTTCCAACTGTCAACAATCATGATCACAGTGCAAGGTTGGAAATCGGAACAAGCTCTGCGCGAACGGAGGCAAACGTGTATACTAATTTAAATCTTAAGCATTGATTCAAAGTAGCAAGCAATTGTTCCTATTTGCATCTGTCTTCATTGTCACTTCTTAGTCACAACCTCACCATCTAAGATGGCATGTCTAGTCAGAGCAATTTCTTTTACTAGATTTCTATATGTAAATGGACGAACAGCTGCTCGTAAGAACTGACCAGGAGGAGCTTTGCTCTTCTTGACCCTCTTCCTAAATGGACCATAACCAAGAGATCTCCATTCCTCTGGTTTCACTTTTGCCCTTTGACTCCTCATCACCAATTCATCCCCATCTTCATTAGCCCTTACTTCCATTTCTCTGGCCTGCTGCTTTCCAAACTGTCTCTCCTTCGCCTCCATAGAACGTTTCGCAAAATTTTCCATGGCTTCGTTACTATTTAACGCCTTCTTGAATTCCTCCTCCCAGTAGTTAGGATTCTCTTCTGGGCTCAGTTCCTCTTCATCTTCCCTGATGCCCAGTTCCTCGTCATTATCAACATCTGCATCCAAAATGGCATCATCATCATCTTCATCCTCCTCTAGGTCACTTCTACCATCATCCTCAATCCAGTCAATTATTTCACCTTTCCCATCAATGCTACCGCGATCGCCATCATCCTCATCAGGGGCATCACATCCCAACTCCATTTCCTCCAACTTCGCCTTCCACTCTTGGGTATACGGATGCAATATCTGCACCGGATGGTTGCTCAACAAAAACTCTAAGCACTTGGATTTCTTCTCGTCACTCAGTTTCTCGAAAGCATTCGCAACGTCATCCACAAACGCCTTCTGACTCACCTTCACGAGCCTACACAATCCACCATAATAAGTACAGAATTCCAACCTCCCTTCATCATTCACCAGCTCAAATAAGTAATCTTTCTCAGTCTCCGGATCAAGAAACGGGGTCAGCGCCTGGAAGAAGTTGTCCTGAGGCTCAAACCGACACTGAAACACCGGCCTCTTCACGTAAATTATGTCAGGCCTCATCCAAGCTGCACATTGCGTGATCATCGACCTGGACTTGTTCCCAAGCCTCCCCATCAAATTCCACTTGTCCAATCTCTGATCCCCTGCTTCAAGGACAACTTCACTCACCAATGTCCATTGTTGCCAAGGCAATTCCGAAACCCTCCACCTGGGATGCCTAACAAACACCCAAAAGTACCTCAATCTCACATCTGGGTTCAATTTATCCAGCCACGTTTGGAAATCTCGTGCCATTTCGAACTGCTCAATCTTCTCCCACTCCTCTAGATTCCGAACTTCTCCCATCATCGTCACACACTCATCGGTGAACCGTCCGCGAATTGGCTCGCCCAAAACAACCCCACGCCAGGAATAAGGCCCAAATTCGCCATACTTGTACCAATCGTGAGGGTGCTTAAGATTCGGGTCATCTTGTTCCATAAACCTAACCATCCTATCGTACCCCAAACCCATCATTTCAAGCTCATCCTCGGTGAAATTATCCGGATAGTTCTTGTGAGGATTTTTCAGCCTATAAAATAAACCCTCGACATATTTCTTGTTTCTTTTTCGAGCTTCCCGTCTTGCTTCTCGAAGGAGGTGAGCGTTGGCGTCGACGAACCCAGACCCGTTCCCTCCTGTATTCCCTTTGCTCCTGCCAGCAAATGTTCTGAAGTCGAGCCGGCGGGTAGCATTCTGGCGACAGGAATTTGGAGCCGGGTTTTTGCAGCTGATTTGGAGGGATTTTTGGATCGTGAAAGAAGGTTCGATTGAGTGAATAGGTTGATGATGAGGATTGAAGAAACTGGAAGATGAGGAGGGCGGAACGACAACGAGAAGAGGAAGGTTTAGGGTTTTAGAAAGGCAGGGGTTTTGGGTCTGCATCTTTACCAGTCTGAGAGTAAAGCTAGGTAGAGTGAGTTATGTTAGGATAAGGTTCAGTTGTGCCTACTTTAGCTTGTATGTGTATAATAAAAGAGCTGAGAAAATCTGTCTTGCAAGTAACAACAATTTTGGACTATTTTTATGAGGTATAAGAAATCTATTTGGTTCGTTTGAATTTTAATCATAAAATTCAATTCAGTCTTAACCTGACAATCTTATACTCAAATTAAAGTGTTATGAAATTTGTGTGAAATGAACATTATAAATTAGCAATTATGCTGATTTAATATCAGACACTCGGTGATACTGACCTCGAAACATCTACAAAATACTGAAATAGAATAAACTGTGGAAATCCACGCATTAACTCAACAAACACATCCATTCATAAGGTTACTTTATTTCTGCTCATTGAACATTTTAACACTATATATGTGTAAACATTTCTCTCCTCGATAGTCTTAAATTTGTCATAACGTGTTACTCCCTCCATTTCAAAATGTAAGTCTTTTTAGACTTGACACGTAAACTAAGGAGACAATCATCCAACAATTAATTTACGTGTTAAATATCTTTTTTATCCCTCATTAATTACATTGAAACTATAAACAAGACTAAATAAAAATAGATTAGCATCATTTATTGAGGGTAAATTTAGAAAAATAGTCATTAATTTATCTAGAATTTGTAAAACGACCTACATTTTGAAAAATCTCTCCAAACCTAAAACGACCTATATTTTGAAATGGAGGGAGTATCTAATATTGAATTCTTTGAACACGATTATATAATTTTTGAGGGTCAAATATCAACCACATTTAATTTTCTTCAATAATCTTTCAATTTTAAGTTATCAAATATCAAGGAACTATAGTTTTGCACACATAGTTTGGCATTTGTCACAACTATGTGACTTTCATATAACCCATACTGACAAAATTGGAGACTAGCTAACAGCAAACTCATAGTTAAAATTCCCATTTGAAAGTTGAGAATACAAGCTACATAAATTTGTGAAGGTACTCCTCTTTGTGAACAAGGGAAAAACTTATGAAATATACAATGTTGCCCTTTACCCAAAAATAGAAATTGAATATATATTCTTTATAATCAAGTATGTTACGTTCAATTGATATTATTCTATACTCCCTTCATTCTGAAAAAAAAAAAGAAGAAAATTATTGTAAATGTAAACATTAAAATTGGACTTATGTGATGTATATTATCTAAAAATTATTATAAAATTCATAAATAAGACATATGATACACTTTTTTGTTCTTCATATTAGTTTTTCAATCTGAAAATTAAATCATCCAATTTATCGATTTTAATTTTTTAAAATTAGACTATTTTTCTGGATTGAGGGAGTACATGGTAACTCTTTAACCCCCAAAAGAAATGAAAATGAAAATGAAAAAGAAAAGGTTTAATTTCACATAATTTTTCAATTTCCAATCACGCCTTTAAGGTGTCCTACTAACGTTTACTTTATTCTCCTCCACTTTTAACTCCCACGACTCTTCGAAAGTGTTAAAATCACACAATGAGAAAATATGATTAACTACCTTTAACGCTTTTCCTCCCCCCACTCACCGGAACCGCCAATGTCACGACGGCAACATACGTCGGAGCTTGCCTGCATAGCCTGCGATGACTTGTCGGAGATCGGTGCAGGCAAAGAAGGATGGCTCGTGAATACTCCCAATCTCTTAACAGCTCTAGACACTCCCTCTTTAGCCCTCGCCAACCGGTCAATCATCCTTATCCTCCATTGGAACGACTCAGCCGATCCATCTGCTTACCGGCGAAAAATCATCCCCGATCTCTCCCCCATCGAGGCTGAGTACATCTCCGCTATCGAATGGCTGGTCTTTGATGACATCAGGGTCCTCGCTATTGGAACTTCTTCGGGCTTTCTTTTGATTTACTCTCTGAAAGGCGATCTTATTCACAAACAGGTTCGTTCTATACGGGGATTTTATTTTTGTTACTCTGTTCTTGTGAGCAATAGTATTTTGAAAATGTTGATTTGTTAGGGGTTCTTTTGTTGTAAAGATCAAGCTTTGATTTTGCTATCTAAGTTTAAAGCTTTATCTATATGGTTGTTCGGAACATAGAGGAAAAGGAATTAAGTTGTCAAACTTCTGATTCTTTTGTCGTATGATTGATTTAACTGTCATTGAGCAAGTGAAATTTTCGTGGCAATTTATTAGCTTAGGGGACAGTGAACTTGTGCTGGCATCATTGTTTTATCCCCTGTTCTTTTAGCCAAACGATGAATTTCGTGCAGCTACTTACATTTCAATGGTGATTACTTGAATGAAACTGATGGTTTTAAGTGAGGTAGAGCTTCTTGATGACATAATTGACTTCTCAGCTGGTAGATTCCGGAAAGATTATCAAATTAAGAGTGAGGGGAAGAAAGAAGGACCTCGAAGAAGAAGCATCATCAGAGGAGGTTTGTGTGGTTATGCGGTCAACAGTTGCTCGATTTGATGGATCTGACATTGAGGTAGTTAAGAATCTTTTTATGCTCAGAAAAAAATTGCCCGCGTGCACCCTTTCTGGATGTCACTTCTTTTTTCTTTTAACATAATTATCTGGTGTAGAGTCTGCTGCGGCGGTGGTTTCGAGAAAGACAATCAAATTTCTGGGATGGAAGGAGAGATTCTGAAAATTTAGGCAATTCATCTGGAAGGCTCCCCTACCAGCTATGGAATGTAAGCAAATATGGAGCATGTGCTGATGCTGCCATCACGGGCTTAATGCCCCCTCCTCTAATGGAAGTTCAGGTTAGCCTTTGCGTCAACATTTCCTTTTAGATTCATCTTTCTGTTGGGTTGTGCTAGTCAACTAAGCCTTTGTATTACTGAATCTAGTTTGATATTTGTATTGTGTCGGGTTGTGTTAGCATATTTAGCTTTACCTTTGGGACATTGGTTATCTTCCTTAGTGCTAGTTTTGTCTTTTATGTGTAGTGTCATTTGGGCAACTTTCTGAAAGTTATTCTGGTTTTTGAATTCAGCTGCTTTTGTTGTTGGACAGTCAAGTCAACGATATTACTGTGCAGTGACAATCGGGGATGATGCCGTGATTTCAGCATATAGGTTAGTCAGTATGAATTTTCTTAACAAGACACATGATTTTTTTTTAAAAAAAATTTTTTTTGCGTCTGCTAGTGACTTATACACTTGATCAACCCTCACAATCTCTCACTACTCCTATACACGTGTTCAAGACTTTCAGAAAATAGAAGCAGATCAATAGTTGGAGCTATCCTGTCAAAAGTTGTGCCTGCTACTTTCTCAACCATATCTTCTCTCTCGAAAATGATCTGGCGCAGTGACACATCCCCGAAGAAACCAGAGGAAAAACCTCAACCATTGGCTCGAGGTCAGATGATGCTTTAATTGTTGTGCATATTAGGAAATGGTGGTCAATTATATTAAAGAGCAATCACATATTCATGTATAGACTATGACAACTTTTAATTTATCGGACAGCATTTTTTGAGTTTGGCTTGTTAGACTGTGGGTTAAAGACTTCTTGTAGATATATTTTGAGTTTGACTCTGTTCATTTAGTTCTTTTTCAAGAAGCATAGTCATGTTACAGAATTCTCATTCTTCCATCATTTCTTTCAGCTCTTCCACTTACTTGCTTGAAGGATCACCCAAGAAAGGGAGAAAAACTCACGCTATCACCTAGTGGTACACTGGCAGCAATTACTGATTCACTTGGTCGTATTTTGCTCTTAGACACGCAGGCACTCATTGTGGTGCGGCTATGGAAGGTTTGCTTCTAGAGCTGGTAGTACTGAAGAATTTGTGATAAACATTCTGTTACAACATTTATTTACTGTGATTTCTTTCAGGGGTATCGTGATGCAAGCTGCTTATTTGTTGAGATGCTTGTAAAGAAGAATTCTTCAGCTACTAGATTTTCTAGTTATGCCTATGAGAAGAGTGATTATTGCCTTTGTTTAGTCATCCATGCTCCTCGTAAAGAGATAGTTGAGGTATCTTCTTGCCATCTAGCTTCTGTTTTTCTTGGTTATTAGTTGTGTTTACTTTACAAGTGATTTCCAAGCTTCTTTCAGTAAATATCGAATTAGAGCCTATGAGTTCTTCACTGCAATGTCTGCTTCTTGCATTTTCTGCATGATTTGTGATCAAGTCTTCATGATGTGGTTACTTGCTTCTTTTTAGTGATCAGTTGCGAAACATAAAAAAGAAAATAGTGAAATTGTACAGATGGAGTACACGTAGAAAGAAAACTCTGCCCTATTTCTCATCTTGCGAATCTTTTTCAATATCAATCAAAATGCTGTTGGTGCAATGCTTTTAACGAGAAGGGTCTCTGATCTAATGCACTTTGAACTGCAAGCAGGTTTGGCAGATGAGAACTGGACCGCTTCTTCTGACAATCCCATTCCCAAAAGGGGGCTTAATATTGCAACCAACATATAGATTTGATTCATCTCAGAGCTCTTCATCATCATATGTACCATTAGAAGTTTTCTTTTTGAACGGCGACTCTGGTCAATTATCTGTATTGAACCGATCTCTTCATTGAGAACCCCATTGTATAAATTCGTTCAATCCTAACATTATTGAAATCGTTTGCCATCCCGGGCTTTCATAGTCGGCGCATTGAACAATAAACAAATGCAAATAACAACATAAGACGTGGTTTACTGAAACATTCTGATTCTTCCCAGTTGGGATTAGGAATCAAAGGGAAGAAGAAACATACACTGGTTCTGCTTAACCCAAAATTGAAGGAAAGTACAACTCAAATAGTAACTACTCCTAAGACTGACAATTGGGATCCACGTTCCCCACTAATTACCCACCTCCTACTAGTTCCCTTAATCCTCAGAACAACTGAATTATTACAACTCCTAATCCTCCAGGCCGAATAACTGATTCTGATCCACGACGAAACATTTAATTCTGATCCATGAGTAACATTTACTTAAAGATCTTGTAAACTAAATTGAAGGGATAAGAAATGAAGAAAGTACACCAATTTCTGATCGAGTCATTTCAGTATTAATTAGATATTTGGGTTAAACTACAAGATCGTACCATAGCGCGCTTATAGCTGATAAGTTAAAAGTAATTTCTGCCAAACACACATAATATGTCGTCTATCTGGGTCAAGAAGGATCTTCACCATAACCTAATCCGTTGGCGGATTACCGGACCCGGAGTCGGCGGGCAAGTTTGACAGGGAGCAAACGGATCAAAGACACTTTCCCTCGGAGTGGAGCAGCCATCATCCTCCAATTGAGACCCAGAATGACCCGGTTCTGGAATTGAGGTAACCGGAGAACGATGGGCGTCGCTTTCCCGGTTAAAGGCCGGAGTAATTGGACCCTTTAAGAAAACGCCGGTACCGTCCTGGGCACCTAGGGTTTTATCCAAGTTGTTGATGGCGGAGCGGCAAACGCCGGACCTTTTTTCCGACTGCAAGATATCTTCTTCCTGGTTGTTGATTATGTTCAGGTCATTCATCATTCGGGTTGCTCCATCCATGATGTATCAAGATTCAAGAAATTAGAAAATCAAAGAAACAGAGATAACTTGGAGATCAAATCAATCAAACCTCTCTACAACAAAAACTCAAGGAAGAGGAGTTTGGAAGACCGGGTAATAATAATAATAGAAAAGGGCTTCAAACGGCCGGAAAAAGGTACGTTGAGTTGGCGGCAGCCGGATAGAAAAAAGATAAATCTATGAGAGCGCTTCTGAAAGTTTCAAATGTGAGGGAAAAGTCCTTTCTTTTTTCTTTTTTTTTTTTAATTAATAACTCCAATCCCGCCATAAGAGATAAGCTGAGAAAATTGTATTCTGGATGGGCCAGTAAGAAGTGGGCCTGGCTTATGGTATGCGGCCCACTAATACAAACCAAAAATAGCAAAAATACACCCAAATTCTGTGAAATGATTTGGAACCTTATCCTTCATTCATTGGATAAAGCAGCTTTAGACATTAAAGTGATTCAATTCAACAAACATTATTCTGGAGGAAAGAGGAAGATTTGGAGATGCAAAATGGATGGATTAAAGGAACTAGGTCTTCCAGTACTGGGAATAGTTGCTGCTGCTGCTGTTACTTTCTATGCAGTGAGCTTCTCTGAGCTGAGTGAGGTAAATCCCAAAACTACTTCCTTGTAACACCTTTCCTCATTATTGTTAGTGTCATAGCACACCCAAATTCAGTTCTTTTTGGCTTAAATGCTATACAAACAATTATGGTGTGGAACTCTGGGTGATGGTTTTCGTCGTGTCGAAAACAAATTTGCAGAAATCATTCAGGGATTTGGACGATTCCGAAGAATCTTGCAGTGCTGGATTCAAGTCATCGTTAAGTTCCAGACAACGCCGGGCAAGAAGAAATGCTGAGAGGAAACAAGCCAACAAGCCTTAAAGCAATGGTTGACTTTCCCATTTGGTCTTAATTCTTATGTAGTAGTTTAATTATGGTTAATCAACTGATTACAAGATCCAGTTTCTTCTTATCTTCATGGGTTCTTGTTCTCTATTTTTGATCGCTAGTGTGAGGACAAATTTCGGGGACTAGTTCGCCAAATTGTCGCGTATAACATTGCGCCACGATGCGCGCATACAACGTTATCGCATCTTACTGTTGCTTTAATCTTTCATTGCACAATTCAATTTGCTAACTTATTTGATTAAACTCCGAAAAACTCAAGCCTAGGATCATGGCGGGTGGCGGCGAAGGTGGTTAATGTGTTCAAACTTCTTAAACAAGAAGAAAAGGAAACGAATTGTTGCTAATGCTATACTCAAGTAATTGTTGCAAAATGCATTATTCGTACTGATGGGCATTACATATTCACAGCATTAAGGAGTTATTTTCTCTAGACAGCAAACCGATATTTTCATCATCATCACGTCATCAACCTTCACTTCTATTTATGCTGCGCCTTCAGTTCAGCAACCCTCTCTTCTGTAGCCTTCAGTGCCTTCCCGTAGATGCTTATCATCTGAACCATAGGCATGACCACATTCAGTGAAACAGACAACTCTACGTACATGATCTCCTTACAGAAGGAATGAGTACGGATTTCAGTTATATTACCTCGTCAATTTCTGCAGGAGTCATGATAAATGGCGGAGACATCATTATGTTGTCACCGGCAACGCGTACTAACATGCCGTTTTTCTCACACTGTGCTCCGAAATATGCACCAACACCTGAATGAGTACACCACCAAATGCATCAATGGAGGTAATATCAAGCAAATTTGAGGATCTGAAGAAAAATGTTTATTGCCCTTGCATATACTGAATGTTTATGAAAGCATAACGGTGCATTAGGAGGATACCCCATTCAGGAGGGAAAGGATCATTTGGCGACTTGTTATCAGTAAACTCCGTGCCAAGAATTAACCCTGTCCCACGAATCTGACAATTGAAATGGTAAATTAGGGATACTACACTTAATACCTTGTTTTAAAAAGCTAAGTTAAAAGGGCTCTGACTGAAGTTTACCTCTCCAATTATTGGACTGTCTGAGAATGCTTTTAGTCCTTCCTGAAATTTTGGGGCAATTTTATTCACTTGCTCAAGGATGTTTCTCTCCCTGAAGATATTAAACTTATATCAGTACTCCTCAACCAAACTTCAGCATTTAAACATTGATAATGTCAAGAAACAATCCTTCAGTCAAATGGATACCACAGGTCATTAGCTTCTCATTTACGATCTATGCATGAAACAAGATATGCAAGATGTCTTCAACCCAAAGAGAGGAGGGGTTGGATGGGGGAGATATGAACTATTTGGCAGAAATAGTATACAGCGATGTATTGAAATGCCTACTTATAAATCTTGATTGCTTCCAAAGCAACGGCACATGCCACAGGATGCCCAGAATAAGTAAATCCATGCGAGAAAGAACCTACCAGACAAAACAGTGCATCAGTGAGAAAACATCATCATGAAGAAACTTTTCAAATTATATAACAGAATGCAGAGTCTTACCCAGCTTATTGCTTTGTGAATGTATGACATCCGATACTTGAGGGCTTACAAGAACAGCTCCAATTGGCATATATGCCGAAGAAAGTGCCTGTACAAAGAATTTTGGGATGAATTGCATTATTTTTCAACTGCAATTGTCGTATTAAAAAATAATTCATAGTTGAATTTACCTTAGCAACTGTGACAAGATCCGGTTTGATGTTATACTTGTCAGAGCCAAACATTGTCCCGAGCCTTCCAAATGCGCATATTACCTCATCAGCAATAAATAGAATATCGTATTTTTTAACGACAGCTTGAACCTGTGCATTTCCAGGAAAGGAATATCAGAGATGCAGCAACAAAAAATGATCTATTTCCCATTTCCACCAACCAAGTGATGCTTTTATTTATGATTTTTAAGTGCATTAGATATGACGAATAGACAATTGGACCCATCATAAGATGGACTTTTACTTGTATATAGTTGCCGCTTTATCCATAAGCCTATATACAGTGGCTTTTATGCTCTCAAACAGAGATTGTGCACAATAGTACCCATATGGAGCTAAAGTAGATCGAGAATGAAAATCAACCTCACACTAAAAAGGTAAACTAAGTTCCAACAACCATAATAAGTATTTTCACTAAAAATTTCAGGAAGCATGACAATCATAACACATACAACCAAAAGCGAAAGGTTTAAGAGAGATACCAACAGAAAAGAAATTTTTACCTTCTCAAAATAGGTTGCAGGAGGGGGAATGACTCCTCCTGCTCCCATGACAGGCTCCGCAATGAAAGCAGCAATCTAAAAATGTTTTTTTTTAAAAAAAAGTAGCTAGTAAATGCTCTTTCTCTCAAACATAAATCCAACAGATAAGTGGGTTAACATTTAGATGAACTATCTTCGGTTACCGTCTCTGGTCCCTCTTTAAGGATAAGATTCTCCAAATTATTAGCCAACCTGGTTGAGAACTCTTCTTCGGTCTCACCTGAAATGATGTTCATTGATACTATTATGTAACATGGGACAAAAAGAAAAGATAGAAAAGAAATGTGTCCCAGAAGGGCCAAAACCTGGCAGATGGTAACGCCAATAATGAGGGCAGTCAGTATGCAATACAAACGGTGCCGGTAGATCAAATTTTTGATGTAGAGCAGGAAGACTGGCAAAAGGAAATTTGTTTCAGTAAGAATAAGGTCAAAATATAACCCAAGCTACCAAAACAATGCACGTTGCATTACCCAGAAAGACTTGCAGATATTAACGTTGAGCCATGGTACCTGTCAAAATTGTTGGTTGAAGCAAACTTAATATTAGTACAAAAATCAGGTGCACAAAGGAAAATAAAACAGGGGGTACGGAGAAGCTTCTTTGAGTAGTCAATTACGATTTTGTCCGTGCAATGAATTTCTTCTTGTCTGTCCTTCCAAGTGCATTATTGTAATACCAAACTAGCTTCACCTACAGTGACAAATACTTGCATAAATGTTCAGATAATTACCATAAAGCTGCACAAGGAGAGTTTTTATGAAATGCCGCTCAACAGAAAACAAACCTGAGTGTCATTTGCATCAGAACCACTATTTGTAAAAAACGCTTTAGACATTTTAGAAGCAGTGAACAGCTCAGTGAGTTCCTTAGCAAGATCCTAAACATTCCAAAAAGGTAATTAGCTTGCTAGCATATTGGACCTAAACAACATCGTATATGCGAGAAGCACATTGTCACACCAGTGAGGGTTTTGTTGTACGATTCCAAAAGGAATGGTAAAATGGCAAGGTATTTAATTGCTTAGTAGCAGCTTCCACAAGCCGAGGCTCATTTCCTCCTGCAAGTTTGAAAAGTTGTAAATGTATCAACTCTAATTGCAACGGAATGAGACAGGCTAAACTCAGCTGTGATAAGGCATAAAAGATATATGTAAAAATAGAATGCTCAAGTCAACAACTATACGCACCTAAAGCAGTGCACCATAGACCAGCAAGAGAATCTAGGTATTTTTTACCATTAATATCATACACATAGGAACCCTGTGGAGCAGAGCAGGAATCAGAAAAACAGTTACTTTATGTTTAACAAATCCAAGAGGTTGAGACAAGTGCAATTTATCTGTACCTCCGATCTTTCAATCACGAGAGGGTTCAGATCTGTAGCCTGCCAACCAGCAGTAAATGGAGCCAACATATCATGTCCCTTGAATCTGTATACCAATAAGGTTTAGAGCGCAGTAAGGATAGGGAAGTGAAAACAGATCAACAGAGTTCTGTAGATGAATGAATATGTAAAATACCCTTTATCAGCATCATCCTTCAGCAAAGATGCCTCTGTACCATACCATTTACTCTGAGAGAGTCCCTTCACTGTATGATCTTGCAGATTGCAAAGTGCTGGCATGTAGTTTCCATGGGAACCAGCCTGCAGCAATGATGGAAACGTAAATGAGTATAAACCACAAAAGAATTTGTAGTGAAGGTTCGGATGCCATTGCTTTTCCTTCCCCAGTAAAAATGACACGGTAATGTAGCAAGGACGTAAAAAATTTGGATAAGTTGAAGATGGTGAAAGAAATCAGGAAGGAATCAGAATCCATTTCACTACTCATTTTCACTGTATATATCATTTTTCTTCTCAATCCAGAGATAAAAATGTTAGCCATGAACCATGCTATTAGTTCGGACTGTTCACGAAATACAGCACGCCATTCAGCCATCTGGAACAGGAGATTTTTACAGTTTGATGCATCCGTTGTATCTCTATACAACATGTGCTTTATTCATCATAACTCCTTCCCACAGAAATTACAGAGACACAGGTTGGTTTTTCATCAAAATTATTAAGTGGATGCAATTTGTAGGACAAACTCATCCTGATACCCCCAATAAAAAATCAGGGACAATCATCCAACAAAAAGGGAGCAAGGAATCGAGAAAGAAGGAACAAGAGAAGCAAAACCCAAATTTAACTCTCAACAATCAACATCCATCCATTAGCAATCAAATCAAACTGGAAAATCAACCACAATCAAGTCCATAAAAAACAATAGTGGAAAATGAAATTAAAACGTTGCAACTTAGTCTGACGTCGATATTATCAAGGTCATGAGCGGATTAATAAGCAACTCATATAACCAACCATGTGCATAAAGCAAAAAGTTATAGAAAAAGGACCTGAGCTGCAGCGGAGAGTTTGGTTCGTAGAGGAGACCGAATCAGACGATTAATTGCTCCGGCCATTGTGATTCCGTCTCCGGCGACTCTGTTTACTATGCAAAAAAAAAAAAAAAAACTGATGGGATTTAGTTATGGAAAGGATTCGCAGCAGCAGAAGCACCAGAAGAATGGAAGCGAAAACGAGACTGAATGACTGATGAGTAAGAGAGAGAAAAAAGAGGCCGTTGACGTATGAGCCGACAAACAAGTACACGTCGAATATACCAAAAATTAAGGATTACGAAAAGAAAGACGCAATAATTTGGGGGATGAATTAGTAAATAAAATTCATTTAATCTGCTCATAAATTTCATCCAACTTGGTTGATTCCCAGTTCATTCTGGGTTTTCACCATTGATTCCAGCCGCTGCTGATGTTAACCGTGATATTTCCATCCCAAACAAAAAATCATGTTCCCCAACTCTAGTTTCTCATTCATTCGCTCATTCCTCATCAAAATGTCTATGTAGGCATGTAGCATATAGATTTTGATCATGAATGCTTCATTTCTGAAATTAACCGTGGCAAGATAATTATGAATCACCTTGCTGCTGAATATTCTTGTATGTGGGACCCATGGCGTTAGAAGATTCAATTCCCAATAATACTAATAACCATTAATAATTTCCAATGTGTTTATTAACTTCCTCGGATGTTATCTTCACTGGTCGTCCAACACCAAAATACAATGTCACAATCATAGCACGTGCTGCAAAATAATAACAGTAGTAGTAATAGATAAATAAATAAACAAACCCTATTCTAACACCTTTTGTAGTATATTTTACTTATTTTTCAAAAATAACAATAACTCTCATTTACTTTACTGTAAAAAAAAGGCATACTATGAGTCCATATTGGATGTGTTTTCAATTAGTTTTTTTTTTTTAAGATGTTACCTGATATTAGTTAAAAGTACTTACGCTACTATAACGATAATAATTATAAGCCATACTATATAGATCATTAACATCAGATCTGCCTATTTAATTATTTGATAGGATTCAAAAGATGAAATTAAGACTAATAATAACGCAATAATTTCTTGTGCTTCCCTCGATACAGATATAGAACGTAGCTCAGCAGAAACAATTCGCAATCCGTGTGAATTTTCACCCGATTGAGCCCAAGTCTTGAGGCCTCACTGATCGCCATTAAACAGGTCATGGCTTCTGCCTGGAATGGGAATAAAGCATATTTGTATGTTACCTTTCCAATTAACTATTCATAGACTTATGCCATTACCTTTTTTATATAAAAAAATAAAAAAAAATCCACCCCAACAGATTCTGTTTAAATATGAGTAAAATCCCCCTTACAGTGTTGATCTTATGTATTGCATGGTGAAATTATAAAAATCTTTAACAATGTGGAAGTTTATAAAACTAATACAGTAAAACGTCGTTAATAATTTATAAATTAATAATTTTAACTAAGTCATAATCTCTTTCCTTCCCAATTTGGAACCAATAATAAAATAAATGAAATGGATGAAATAGTAATAATATAACTGCAGGTCTGACGAAGGCAAATCCCGATGGCAGCGAGTCAACGGTCAACTAGGACGGGGACCTGCAAGACAAGGGTTAGCACTCCTTTGTCAAAATCAGTCTAGTGAGAGAAGTAAAATAAACACACACTAGAGAGAGAATGAATAGTGTGAATTAACTCCCTGAAATTAATGTCTTGGGGTATGTATAATTCACTATTTACGAAGTGTCCAAAAGAGGGTCCCACATTAAATCCATATGAGACCTTTTGTGCAATTGGGCCGTTGGGCCTGTTCCTTTAAAAGCCCATCATTCTTGTCAAATGGGCCATGTCAAAATTTGCTTCATCAAGAGCCCCTGTTGAGCCCAAAAGGGCTATGTAATTTTGGGATTAACACCATAATCAGAAGCCCACCTCTGAACGGCCCATTCACGGGTTAGGGTTTTTACCATTTATCCCCATCTTTTTACCGGATGATAAGATAAAAAAATCATGGATCAAGATGAGCGGCTGAGATTGTATCGATTCGTGAACCATCATCATGATGACTGTATTGAATCGAGGCGACCCCTTGTCTTCTCAAGAGTACTATATAAAGGGGGATAGTCTCATTTGCAACCTTCTCATTTTTGCTCCCACTTTCTTCTCCTATATTCAGTAACAACTCTCTTCTCCGACGAGTCTTTCCGGCGATCTTATTCCCTGCAATCTTTCAGTCGAGGTCGAAGGTATTGGTTTTTCTTTTGTCTATTGCTTTATATCTTCGTAACTTTCTAGGGATCGACTATGGACAAAGAGATCAGAGCCGGGAACGTTCCGAGTCATCTTCAGGACGCTGATTTAGAAGCATTAGAGACGAAGTACAGATTGACCGTGTTCGAGCCAATCTTACCCGAGGGCAATCAGAGGGCGGACAATCCGCTTCAGGGGAAGATGACCATCTATGCCAAGTTTCTTGAGTATGGCCTTCACCTGCCCCTCCTCTTGTGTTATCAGATCCTCAAGACCTACCAACTTCCCTTAGCCCAAATGACCCCCAAGCTTGTTCGAGGGGCCAAGGGCTTCCCGATTTGGTATAGTGTTACTCAGAACCCTAAGGGTCCGAAGAAAGAGCTGGCATTGAGGAGTGAGGCGTTGAAGCCTTCGAAGATGGCCTACAAATCTTGGAGGGTCGAATATCTGTATGTAAATTCGTCCTTCTCCGACCTCCCGCCCTGGAACAACGACTTTGAACGTGAAAAGGTCCTTGACCCTTGGTCCGAGCAGGATTAGGCGGAGATGCTAAGGCGGAAGCCAGATTTAGACAAGTTGAAAGCGTGGACGAAGTCTTACAGTTACCTTTTTATTGCCTCTATTAGTGATACGAGAGTTAATTTGAACAGAGGTATGGTCGTCGACTCGTCGAACCTGATCGCCTTTTCCTTTTGTATTTTTTTTAGGTGAATTTTTACTGATGGGGAGAAGATCTGCTTTTGGTATTACAGATGAGCCCGAGGAGGAGGCCCAGTCTCATCAGCGTAAACAAAACTCATTGTCGCAGCAACCTCCTCGTCCAGACGGAGGAAAAAAGTCGGACGAGGGGAATAAGTTACACTCGTCCTTAAATCTCGAGAAGCACAAGGGTCCGGGCCCTCAGAACAAATTCCTCTCTTCTATTTTGAATAAGCGTTCGTCCTCGTCTCAAGTAGGAGAGCGTGAGAAGTGGGTGAAGTTCAACCCAAAGGCGGTTTCAATTGGCTCGGTGGTCGGCGGGAAGAAGGGTCTCATGCCCGGTGAGCTATTTAAGGAAACATACACTGACAATGGTCTCCTCACTCGTCCTGCTAAGGCATCGCAGGTGCCCTTAGGCATGCCTTTGTGAAGTTAAACCCTCCGAAGGTGACAGGACCAGAGATCCAAGTCCCGGACAACCCTCAGATAGCCGACTGCATGGTGCAGGTGAGCCTCTATTATACTTTATTTTCACAAGTGATTCGCTTTTTCTTAACCCTCGTCCCTTTTCAGTCTCTTTAGACTGTGGCAGCATTCGGCAAACTTGCCAAAACCTTGGATAGTTTAGTGACGGTAAATGAGCAGGCCGTGGCAGAAAGAGTGGGAGAGCTCGAAAAGGCGAAGATGGAGATAGAGCAACTGAAGGAAGAGAGGTCGCATTGGAAGAAACAGGCTCACAACGAAGCATTGGCCAAAGTCGAGGAGACAACAAAGGCTAAGCTAGAGGAGTCGGTTATGGCCAAGCTGAGGGAGTCGATGATCTTGAAGTCGGACCTCCACGAGTACATATTGGTTGCCCTAAGGGTTTACCTTAACTCTCAGGCATTTGCTAGAGGGGTCGATCAGATCATGACTCCGGTGATCAAGATGGGAATAAAACAGCATGCGAAGTTGGTAGGGGACGCCCTACACTCAGGGGGAAGTGTTCACGCCCTGGTGGACAAGTATTCGGACGAGGCCATGGATGGGGCGACCTCACAGATCCGCCTATGTCGCAAAGCCTGAAAATTCTTCAGGGACGCGAATCTGAGTGGAATGAAGTTCCTCGAGGAGATATGCAAGGTTTGTCCCACCATTACCTCTCCCGAGGATGTTCTCTAGATAGCTCAGCCGCCTTCGTTTCCGTACACATTGCCGAACGACATTGGATCTCCCGTCTCCACCCCTCTTGTTCCGGATGAGGAAGCAGAGTTGATGGCTCGACAGAGAAAGGAGTCCTTGGAGGGTGGCCAGCTGTCAGGAGACATGAGTAGGTCAACCGTGTCGGGGACCAACAACTCGAAGTTCAGCAACTCCGAGTTTAGTGCAGAAGACTTTGCCAAAGATGAGGTGAACAAGCAGTAGGTTTTAGGTTCGTGTATAGGGGTTCGAATCGATGCGTAGAGGCATCTTATTTTGTCTGATTCCCTGTATTCTCCAGATTTGAATAAAAGTTTTTATTTAATTATTCGACCATTCGCATTCGACCACCTTGTTAATGTAGTTATGGTTATTTATGTAGGAAATTTTTGCACGTATAGTTGATGCCGGAGAAGTATTGGGAAGATCATGTTAAGAACTTCATGAAAATGGATGCAGAGACGTCTCAAAGACTACAAATGGTCGAAGCGCAACTGCGCAAAAAGAAGAGGGGCAAGGGTCTCATAAATCCCAACCTAAAGATTTTATTCCCCAAAATTATGATGAAAGTGTTTTGACTCATCTTCGGAAAGCATACGCCTTGGTCGCCGTCAAATGGGCCAGGTCTTCTGAGAAGATCACGAGTCTTCGTGCGTACACAGATCGTTTAACGTCAGCGCTCCAACATACGATGTCCCAAGTTATAGAACTGGGAGGCAAATTCGACCCGAAGACACAATGGCCGGGCACCTGCAACGATTTAGAAGACCAACCGGGATCCCTAATAAGGGAAGCTGAAAGGCGCGTATACAAGGACGACGCCATATTTCATGAATTAGGTCGAATAAGTTAAGGCTAGTATAGTGATTAGGAGCGTCGAGGTTTAGCATTGGTGTATAGAGGTCCGTGATTTGACTAGAGTC